CTTCACTGCCACAACAGTCCTCAAGGACACACACGGCAGATTCATTTTCGCTAAAGGGACACTAGATGGCAAAATCAAACTGACAATTGGCTCCATATATGCCCCAAACACGAAACAATTAGAATTCTTCCAGAAGACACTAAACAAATTCCTCTCCTTCTCTGAAGGGGAAGCAATCCTAGGAGGGGACCTCAATCTAAATATGAAAGGCATAGCCCTGAAAGATATCCACCCTACAACCCCATGGGCAACCTTCCTCCGAAGGAAACCCCCAACAACTAGGAACCCTTACAAGTTACTAAAAATGCTAAAAAGCAGGGGTCTCTACGACATTTGGGGTGAGCAAAACCCGGAGACATCAGCCATACATTCCAATCGGGACGCCATGATACAGTATCCAGACTGGACAGCATTCTACTCACACAGGGTCTGATCCCTCAGTGGAATCAACAAACATAGGTAACATTAAAATCACAGATCACGCCCAGTAGAAGTCATCGTTAAAATAGGAGAAGGAACACAAACCACCCCATCATGGTCCTTCAGTCCCATCCTAACTACAAACAAACAAATTAGAGAGAGTCTCACAAAAACCCTCCAAAACTACTTCAAGGAAAACGATGTAAACAATATAACAACCCCTCCTATGGGACGCAATGAAAGCGGTCACCAGAGGAGCTTGCATAAAAGAGAAAACATTCCTTAAAAACAAACCTCCTCAAAAATTAGCAAAATAGAACAAGACATCACAGCCCTCTCATCACGCTACAAACAAACAGGATCTAAAAACTCCTCAAACTTATGGAACAAAAAAGGAGAGAACTAGACTCCCTAGAAATTAACAAAACAATGATCAACATTCTATACTCTAAACAACGTTTCTACGAATATGGAGGGAAAAACTCCAGATTACTAGCAAATAGATGCAGGAAAAAGCACTCAAAACAAGAATACACTGCATCACCAAAAAGACGGCAACATAACATTCTCCCCGAAGAAATAAACTCAGAATTTGCAGAATTCTACTCCAACCTATACACCTCCCATAACCCACCAGAGAAGGAAATCAAAAATTTTCTAGCAGGACTGTCCATGCCTACCCTAACTGATGAGGAACAGGAATTCATGGACAGCCCTATCACCCCAGAGGAAATAGATGCGGTCCTCAAAAACCTGAAACCACACAAAGCCCCAGGCCCAGACGGCTTCACAGCAGAATTCTATAGGAAATTCAAAGAACCCTTGATGCCCTACATGACCCGCCTATTCAACGACATCATAAAAGGGGGCCCCATCCCCAAAACCTGGACCCACTCCAAAATAGTCTCCATCCCAAAACCACTAAAAGACAGCCTCAAAGTAGAATCATACCGCCCAATCTCATTAATAAACCAAGACTACAAGATATTCACATCAATCTTGGCCAACCGCCTAAAAACCTTCCTACACAAGTTAGTAGCCCCAGACCAGACTGGCTTTGTCCCTGGCCGCAATATAACAGACCCCATCAGGAAACTACTGAACCTGATCGAACACAGCAAGGCAACCAAACTCCCATTGACAATTATGTCCCTAGACATCCTCAAAGCCTTTGATTGCTTAGAGTGGAAATACATATTAGCAGTACTAACTAACATGAAATTTGGCCCCAACTTCCTACAAATTCTCAAACAAATATACTCCCAAGCCTCAGCAAAATGCAGAACTAACAATATGGATTCTAATACTATAGCTATCCAAAGAGGCACGAAACAAGGATGCCCACTGTCTCCCTTCTTATTTATCCTGGCTCTGGAACCCTTAGCAATCAGCATCCGAGCAGCCACAGACATCAAGGGAGTGGAAATAAAAGGCAGAACCTATAAATTAGGGCTCTTTGCAGATGACCTAATGGTCACAACACCAGACCCCATAAGCACAGCAACCTCCCTAATCAGAGAACTCAACACATTTGCAATGGTGTCGGGCCTACAGGTAAATTTTACAAAGTCAGAAGCTATGTGCTTCAACACCCCTCCTCACACCCAAAAAGAACTCACGAAGGTCACCAAAATAAAACTTTGCCACACCAAGTTCAGATACCTAGGGGTACAAATAACCAGAAACCTCAATAAATTGTACCTCCACAACTACAAGCCCCTGTGGCGACAAATTAACAAAGACCTAAAGAGATGGAATAACATGAATTTCACTCTCTCAGACAAAATAGCCATGATCAAAATGATCACACTCCCAAAACTAACCTACCTATTCCAAACCCTCCCAATCTGATCCCTCAACCCAACTTCGCTGTTGGCAGAGAAAACTACACTCTTTCATCTTCTCACATAAAAATCCAAGAATAAGCCTCAAATACCTGCACCTCCCCACCTCAGAAGGAGGATGGGGAATCCCCAACATAGAAGCATATTACAATGCCAACCAAATACGCCATATAATCCCATATATACTAGAAGATGAGACAAAACAATGGGTACACCTAGAGAGGGACACAATTGAAAATACCTGCACCACAACATACCCATTCCTCCCAAACAAACTAAAGAAAATTCCCACAACACTTAACAGGTACACACAGACCATGCTCAAAGCATGGAAAACACAAATAGGCAAACTATCCCCAACCCCATCCCCACTAATCCCCCTGGCGTACTCACCCATTATTCCACCATGCAGCACAAAACCTCCAGATAAAAACCTGGCAAACCAAAGGCTTATATCGCCTAATAGACTTTTATAAAAATAACAAACCCTTGTCAACACAAGAAATACAAGACAAACTAGAAGACACCCAAATGCCCTGGTTAACACAACACCAACTACATGCCCTCTTAAACAACCCAACAGTAAAATCAGCAGCAACTAGGCCCCTGACAACCTTCGAAAACCTCCTCCTAACAACAAAAGGAAACGGTAAAGGGACGGTATCCGCAATATACAAAATACTACTCCAAAATCCCGCAAATCCCCTAGATGCAATCAAAAAACAATGGGAGAATGACATAGGCTATGAGATTAACCCCACTCAATGGACCAGAATGTGGTCTAAACCCCCCTTTAAATCCATATCAACGAAAAGAAAAGAACTCACACTGAAACTCACCTACAGGTGGTACCTAACACCAAGGAAACTAGCGCTAATACACCCAGGAACCTCACCAAAATGCTGGAGAGGGTGCACCTCCACAGGCACATACCTCCACATGTGGTGGGAGTGTCCCAAAATCCAACTATTCTGGACAACAGCCATACAAGAAATATGTAAAATAACTAAGCAAGTAATAGACATCACCCCAGAATTGGCCCTACTAAACATCTTCCAAGACAACAATGCCCATTTACACCACAAAGAACTCATAACCCACCTACTTTCAGCAGCCAGAAACACCATAACCAGACACTGGAGAGACCTGTCAGGAGTAAACATGGACCAATGGTACCAAATAGTATGGGAAACAGCCCTACTAGAAAAATTAACTAATAAACTGAAACTGACACGGGGACAAACAGAAGAAGACGTCTTCACCCTGGTATGGCTCCCTTTAGCACATACACAGCCCAACAGGACAATGACAATAATCCACCAACAGCATACAAATCAATATGGCTAACCTGATCCAAAACACCCACCCACCTCACTCACACACGAAAACAAAGATCACCACAGCCAATCACAAGCAGACAATCACACCCTAGGCCAACCCCAACCTCTCTCACCACGAAAGGAACACAAGTGAACAACACAAGCAACGCTGACACCAAACTCTACATACATTAAACATAATAGAAACACCGCCACCCGACCCCACCCCCAGCCCACTCCCCGCGCTCCACCCCCTTGCATTTGTCCATTTAATTTTCTTCTCCCCCCTAATGCCTCAACAAATGAAATGGATTTGTAAAAATGTTACATGAAAAAAATATATATACGAGGCAGTACACTTACTTCTGTAAAACAAGAAAATCCTTAATAAAATATTTAATAAAAAAAAAAAAATCTAATAAAAAAAAAAAAAAAAAAACACAGCAGTGGGGAGAACTTGAGCATTTCTGCCTGTATAATATAAAGACGCAGGAACCCCATTACGGAGTGGGGGGCACCTGTGGCTTTGGGGACCTATTATGTTCTATATGATTTATGCTGCATTTGCGATGTTCTATCATGTTATTGCTATTTATTGTTCATAAGCTGCTTTGGGATTCATCTGAATGAAAAGCAGCATGGTAATATAATACAGTAAATCAAATCAATTCCATACCATACCCCGAAAGGCCATCTCCCCCTTCAGCTTATAAAACCATTAAGGTCAATTCTTCCTCAGCTCCTGCCCCACACTGAGAGCCCAATGCCATGGAAGAGAGTGTAATTCAGCTGCTCCCAAGGTTTTGCCACTTCCCATTCAGCTGGTCCCAAGGTTTTGCCACTTCCCATATTTTAGAGACACCTCCCACAGCAGCAGCCATTCCTCATTCCATCCAGCAATAAAAATGAGACCACTTTTTCGTCATTGTTGGCATCTGTCCGCCTCGGGAGACAATGGAGGAGTGTGCCTTTGGGGGCGAGGTCAAGCTGTTGGAAGGTTGAGGCATCTTGGCATTCCAACTTGCTGGGTGCAAAAGGTTTTCTTTTCTTTTCTTTTTTTTGCCTGGTGAAGCAGCTCAGTCTACTTGTGGAGTGATATTCCAAGCTCCAAGCGAGATTGTGGCAGGTCAGCACTTTATGGACCAGGGCTGTCCAGCTAAGGCAGGTGGGTGGGTGGGTGGGTGTATATATCTATACAGTGGTACCTCAGGTTACATACGCTTCAGGTTACATACGCTTCAGGTTACAGACTTCGCTAACCCAGAAATAGTACCTTGGGTTAAGAACTTTGCTTCAGGATGAGAACAGAAATTGTGCTCCTGTGGCACGGCGGCAGCGGGAGGCCCCATTAGCTAAAGTGGTGTTTCAGGTTAAGAACAGACCTCCGGAACGAATTAAGTACTTAACCCGAGGTACCACTGTGTGTGTGTGTGTGTGTGTGTGTGTGTGTGTGTATATACACACACACACATATACACACACACGTTTTATTTTATCCTAGTCCAGCCAGTTCTTTCTTACAATAACTTTTGCAACCAAGTCGAGCAACTGACCCCTGAGCCTGCGTTTTTTCCTCCTCCCTCCCAGCCCGCCTTTCCTTTTATGCCGTGCTTCTTGAGAAGGAAGCTATGGCCTTATCCTCTGCTCTCTGTAAACCGCCATTGGAAGCCCCACCCGCAACCAACACTGCTGAAAAGCGGGAGGGGGGAAGGGAATATATAAAACAGCGCAAATAAGAGACAATTCACCTATGTTGCCTTCTATGGCGATCTTCTTGATGGCGCTCTCGACCCGGCTCCGCTTAGGTGGGGTTGCCATGGAAACTGCCTACCGGCTACGGTGCGAAGCTCCCGGGGAAGACGGTGCGACTGAGAGGACAAACCTAGGCGGGAGCGCTCCGGTCTTCCCGCACGCCGAGGCTACGTAAGCCCGTCTGCCCGCGCGCGCGCCAGCCAGCCGGCCAATCCCGTTTGTCCCGCCAGCCGCCGTTCGAATTTGGCGCGGCGTCGCTCGGGGTTGGCTATGCCGGGCAGTGACGTCACCCGCGGGAGTCCAGTCAGCTTCTTCCTTCCGGCTTCGTTTTCACCTCAATGACGGCCTTATCATAATAATAGAAGCCGCAGCTGTCGTCGTTCTCTCCCCTCCTTAGCCGCCTGAAGAGTCCCTACAGGTGCCCGAGAGGGTCATAAACCGTATGGCGAAGCGCGCGCGAGCGACCGCGGCTTGCGGCACAGCAAAAACCAACCGCGCTCGCTCGCCTCAGAAGGGCCGGCTTTTCATGGGGAGGGAAGCTCAATCACACACCGAGCAACGGATGCAGCCGGAGGGAGCGCTGTCGAGCTGTGAGTGCGTCGATCGGCTTGGGTCGTAGAATTCTGCAGTTGGAAGGGGGTCCCGAGGGTCATCTAGTCCAATCCCCTGCTGCAGTTACGTCGTTGCCATGGCAGCTTGCCAGGCTTCTGGGGCGAGATCGCACTCCGCCTTCCAGGAGGAGATTTTAAAGTTTTCTTAGAAATAATGTTTAAAATGCCGCGTGTTGTGGTCTTTTTCTGCTGTGATCTTTGAAAAGGCATATAGCCTAGGTGGCTTTGAGACCCGGGATTACGGGAGAAGCCACGCATATTGTGGATCAGGGATGGTGGACCTGAGGCCCACTGGTTAAGGATGATGGGAGTTAGGAGTCCCCGTAACATCTGGAAGGCTCTCGACCCTGGTTTAAATTCTCCCTTAATTCGGTTTTAGATCATCCAGCTTCAGGATAGCATAAAAACATCAGGTGAGTTCTGCTGGATCAAGCCAATGGCCAGTATAGTCCAGCATCCTGTTCTCAAGAGTGGTCACCTAGATGTCTAGGAAACCTGCAAGGAGGCTCTAAGCACAAGTACACTCCTTCCCTCCTGTGGTTTCCAAAAACTGGTATTAAGAAGCATTGCTACCCCCAGCCGTGGAGGCACATCGTAGCCATCACAGCTACCAACCATCAATAGCCTTCTCCAACATGACTTTCTTGGGATCTGTTGCATCCCTGACAAGGAGCTGAATTGCTACTGCCACCAATCACTTTACTGCAATAGCCATATTTGAAATTACTACATTTTACATGACTGAGATACTCAAAGTGAGGAAGGCCCACTTTTGTGCTATGGTGTGAGAAAGACGTGTAGCTTTTCCCGTGTTTGATCTCACTGCAACAGCATGTCGCCACACGTACAGCGTCATACACTCCACAGTCAACACCAGCAGGGGTCAGTTCTGCCAACTCCTAGCTACACCTCTGCCTAAGACATCCAAGTGAGGGTAGGGACCTGTTCTTTTATTCCTTAGAAAACGCTATGTGTACTGATCTAGAAATATAAACAAACAATTCAAAATGTACGATTCCTGTGCCTTTCACCTGGTTTGCATTTGGACACAGAAACTTAAAGTTTCCAGGAGGGTTTTTTTTGTTTGGTTTTTTTAGTCTTCGAAAAATTCTGAAGAATAGGACCCAGGTAACCTTAAGTTCAGCAATAACATCTGAGAGATTAAGGATTGAATTGGAAAAGGCAAATGCTAATGAATACACCATCCCCACACAGAGCTCATTTTGCTCAGAAAACGCCAAACAAATACTGGAAGAAAGGCTAGAGGAACAAAATGAGACATCCATAGAAACCTGTTGCCCAGGTTATGGTCAAGACAACCAGAACATTCAAGATTTAGTAGTGGCATGCAGTAAAGGCTTCACACAGGAGATGTAAACTATTGTAGAAATTCTGTAGAAATTCCCACACGCATTACTGGATGTTGACCACTTCTAAGGGCAAATCTGACTTTAAAGAATTTTCTTGCCCAAATGTGTTGCTCAAACTATTCTAGAATCCATACACATTTTTTATAACAGCTACAACCAGGGGCACAATTTTTTTAGCCAACATATGCCCCTTCCTCTACAGTGCAGTTGACACAGATCTCTTTTACCTTTCATTGCCAACTAAAAGCATCTCTGCTCAGACCCTTATGGAAGTTTGATGGTGTCTTAACAGTTAATGGGAGCAATAGTTTTAAGGCAATTTAATTACAATGGTTTTGTGATTGTTGCTTTATGTTAATATCTTGCAACCCACACTGGCATCCTTAATAAACAGCAAGCTACACATTTAAACAAACACACATGGGATATCCAGTGTTAAAGCAGACCCACTGAAATCAATGAACTCAAGTAATGAGTCCATTTCAATGGGTCTGCTTCAAGTATGATTGGTATTTCCCAGGTTCCTAAGCCATTTTCAAGAGGCACCAAACCAAACTTGCTTAATTTCAGTTTTGTTTCATGTCTCTTTAGACCAAAAGTGAAACCAAACTAGTGCATTCCAGCACTCCTTCCTAACAGCCACATATTACCGTACCGCTTTGTATTGGAAGCGGCACCATTTTGATGGGGAAACAGCCCATGTCTGAGTTTGAGTACAGCTGAGGAAGGACTTCCATTCTGCACAACTGACTATAATTTCTGGGTAGGCTTGCCTCCCATTTTGAAAACTTCAGTTGTATGCCAAAACTTCAGGGCTATAAGAGTTAAGGAAAATGGAAGGACATCAGGTTTGTTTTATTGCTCTTAGATTTGCCTGCTATACAAATAGTTCACAAATTCAGGTAAGGTAATCACATTAAGTAATTTGTACGTGAAATGCTCAGATGTGTACAATGTACAGATACATAATGGATGTAGATCCATTGAAAAACAGCAAGTTAGGATGAGGAGGGAAAGAAAAGGCAATCATGGTCAAACATAGCTATTTATTTTTCTTCTTATAAACAGCATTCAGTTCCTTACTGAAAAAGCCTAGAATTTATATATATTTTTCATCCCATCACTTACAACAATCTGTATACATTATTTACATCTTTCCAATACATGTGTTGCAGAATTTCAGACATTCAACTTTTTTTTTTAAATCAAAAAGCTGTTTTCATTTAAAACAAGTCTTGATCAATAATGACTACAAACTGAAGTAATATTGGCACAGTCTGCGTACAGCACAGGTCTCTGTGTTGCATTTTATATTTTAAGCCTATTTTGTCCAGCTACTTTTGAAGTATTTAAAAGAAGCAGACATCATAGTGTTGCATCTGCAATACCTTCTTGCTTCCAAAAAGCAGGCCCAACACCAGGTTTAGAGAAGGGGTCACTGAGTGAGCTCACACATGAAGGCAAGACTGTTACAGCATAAAATCAAGTACAAGGGGAACCAATTTATGCACTCGGAACAATTAAATTGTGAGGCTTTTCCTGTACTGCTTCTAGCTGCCAAGGGGAAAGAGAGAGATGCATGCGTGAATACTCCTGCCACAGCTTAAACTCTTTACAGGTGGAAAGCACCTTTAGGAGATGGTTTGCGTTTAAGCATTCTACCCAAAATGCTGCTTTTTCTTTTGCAAGGAAATCGCTCACCCCGCTGCCCAACCCCATGATGATACAACTCCTTCCCCTTCTTACCATCACCAATTGTAGCCTGAGGTTGTGCAGTCCAGCAAGCTAGACTGCTTGATTATGCTGGCTGGAAAGACCTAGCCTGATTCAGGCAGGAATCTGTGGCCATAGCTGATGTGTGCTGTGCAGTGCACATCAGGAAACCTCCATGCTCCTGGATGTTCCCTGTTAGGAGAGCACAAGCAAGTGGTCCTATATTTTATCTAGTCTCCTGTCCCCCCCCCCCACTGCACTTAAGGCTTTGCCAGTTATAGTAAGAGTTAGGCAGGTCTGTCTGCATGTACCAGGTTTACCAATGAGTAATATTTACTCGAGCCTTTTAATTTTTACAATACATGTTAAAAGGTATTGATTTTTATGGCAATATTTAGCAAACACAACATCTGTGAATAAATGTCTTCAAAAATGGAACCGAATGACCTTTCAAAAGATTTGAATGACCTAGTTATACATGTACAAAAATAATGAGTACAGTTTAGTGGCTATAAAAATTAATTTCCCCTAAAAATACAGTTATCTATGAAAAAACTATTGAAAGGACAGTGTTCTTGAAGAAGAAAAAAACCGAGCAAACAAAGAGTTTCAAAAGTTGAATTACTTTGCCATTTTAGGAGGGAACTGAATTTCAAAAAATGAAACTATGTGTACAACTGGCAGAAATAAGATGCCAACTAAACTTTTACTTAAATTTAAGTAGATCACTCCTAAGGTGGCTAGTGTTTCTATCAATGCAGTCTAGAAAACCCTAAATAGTTACCTATTAAAAGAAATGCAATGAAAAGAAATGAAAATATTAAATAACATGGGAATGTTGCAATTGAAAAATTGGCAGGTCCACCTTTTTGTTTTGATTTAATATGAAAGCATAAATTTCACCTATAATATAGTATTCCAGGGGGAAAGAATACATGTCAGCTGGTTTAAGACATTCCCAAGCTGATTTTTTTTATTTAAAAAAAAATCTTAAAACTTTGTATGGCAATTCAAGGCAAGAGCTCAAGGAAAAGAGGAAAAATCTGAAAAGGTAAGAAGAGTCAATAGCAGCAAATTGGCCTTTTGCCTGTAAAGGGAACTTTAGAGAGAGATTTCAGTTCTAAAAGATTAAAGAGTCTCTGGTTTTCTATCTTAAAAGTAACTGCAAATATTCAGAGTTCTAGATTGCATAGTAAGCAGTAAAAGAAAACTTGACATGAACTTACAGAAGAGCTATTAATCCTTTTGAAAGCTTTCTGGCTAAAGCTGAGTTACCACTAAAATATTGTGGGACGTTTTTATATTTACGCAATGAACATGGATCCCTGACACGAATATGCAAAGTAGACATACAATTTCTATGGTCAGAATGAAAAAATCTGTCTTAACAATGTAAATCCTTGTTCACTGGCCTAAGAAAGCACAACACAACGGCTTTAATGGACTTGCACCAACTTCCATGACCATCAATTTTACTCTGTCTCATCAGATTGAGGAAGGTTACCTTCTGAAGTTATTAACCCTATCACCAAAACAAAGAAACACACTGAAAGCTGAAATAAGAGTAAAACTGGTTCAGACTTTTGAAGCTCCTTCACTCTTCCTCCACGATGTAAAAGAGTGTTAAAATACAATGGCTGGCTGTGACTATATTCCCAGGCCTGAATATCCAATGTTTAATATATAAAAAAGCAACCTGGCATTTAGCAGAGTACCCCTTCAAGATTGAAACCCAGATCCAGACTATAATTTTGTGGATTTTAAAATACTAAGGTGTTCAGTTTTCAAAATCCTTGGTCAGATGAAAAAAATCAAGGAGACCTGGATTTACGTTTGAATGCATTGGTAAATTAGTATATATTGTGTCTGAAAGCCATCACTGAAAAATGTAAAAGTTCCCAATGCAATACAAAGATATACTCTGTGTTCAATACAATGAGATATCTTCAGTGTTTTCGTTTTCAAGTTTAATGAAATCAACAGAGTTTAACTAAATGTACTCTCAGTGATCTCCAGCCTTTTATTATCCAACCAAGAAGTCAGCAAACGAAAGCAAACCAAATAATCCCCCCCACAATGAGCATTTGAAACTTAATACACTCTCATTGTACCTTTATAGAACAGACTTACCTTATAGAAGGTTCACAACAGTCCCTAAAAAAATTGTGTGTGTATGTGTGTTAAATTAATATTTCAAGGGATTGAAATTGCTCATCATTGGGAAACATTTCAATAGTAACTTCCTTCCTTATAAACTGCTGTCTGTAAATTCCAATTTTTTAAAAGGTCCTCAAACATCTATTTAAATATTTGATCTCAGAATGGTAAGCCTGACTTCTATAAAATCAAGCCTGGACATAGATGTAATACCATAAAAGATTAGCATATGTAATACCGTGTGTGCATATTAAGTAGTACCCAAACTGCTGATCATTTATTTTGCTAAATCTACATGCAGAATTATGGTGCTCCATGCAATATGTACATTAGGTACAATGAGCAAGGGCTACCTAATTATCAAGGTGAAGTAAGCCTAGATGAGTTCACAGCATTTCTTGTTTTTCCTTTTATGACTGAGTTACAAAAAATTCAAGACCACGTCTTAAGCTCAAGAGTGTGTTGAATACTTGATAATGCAGTGTTTAAAACACACATTGTGCATATGTAACTTACATACACTGCAAAAACCATGCTATGGGAAGGTGCTGTGCACACAAGATTTTAAAAGGGACATGCATGGGCACGCAGCTTATGTCTGAAATGCATACTCAATAAGATACCGCTTTGTGAATTTGCAGGTTCAGATCTATTTCACCCAAGGAAGACTATCTCTATACTACACAGAACTCCGTTTTAAATCATTCTGTGCAAATTGGTTTAAGAACATCTGAAGAGTATGATGCATCAGCAAAAAAAACCATGACATTTTTTATTTAACACTATATAATCAGAGAGTGGCAAGCTGCAAATGTGCAAGAAAGATCTGATTGTATATAGAACTCTGAATTAAACCTGACAATTTTATGAACATGTGGGAATCAGAGACAGCTCATGTTCTGAACTTCTAAGAATGAAAAGTCTTGGGTTTCCCAACATGCTATCAAAAACATCCACAAACCAACAGGTGACGGTTATCTGGGTACTTGGTTATAAGGTACTGGGTCATCTCATTTGAAAGGAGGGGAAGAAACAAAGAAAGAGTGACAAAAATACAAAATATGTGTGAGTAAAAGTAAACAGAGACATCTAAAAACATGAAAAAGTGGTACTGTGTGCCGTATAAGAAAACTGCTGCGTTTGGGTGTACAGTTAGGACTGCAGTGGGACTGTGCGCTCAGGATGAATGGAATGGCAAGTGTTCCATACGATAAATGGATTGAGGCCGTTTGCAACTAAGGAGCCCACACTTGTACGTCAAGTGAGATTTCTGCCACTCGCAATAAAATGACTATGGTGGATTTTTAAAGTATTTTTTAAATCCTTGTTAACACCACTGTTGTTCTCTGTAAACAACTTCCCCTTGTTTCCCCTTGATGCTCTGGCAAGGCTACTGATTTATACGGGTAAGAAAGCTTACAGTACAGTTTGACCTCCCTTGATCATCAAAATCAGGCTGGCTAATCTAAAGGAAAGTTGAATGTTTGAAGAACAAATGCAAGCAACAAAGAAGAAAGTGGTCAACCCCCATGCTGTCCTTAGTCCTCCACAGATGCAAGACGTTGGGTGGGTTTCTGAGGACATAAAAAAAGAAAGAAAAATGAGCCCCCCTCTCTCCCCACCTCCTGTAGCCCACATTCATCTCTAAAGGCATTGTTTTGCATTAAAAGCTGGAAATCACTTCTAGAAGTTATGGCTTTTTAAAAAAAGGTTTACACATATTTATTTATATCTAACAAGAAGTGTAAGTCCTGGGTAGCAATTTGTGTTTTCTGGTTCCAGCAATGTTCTTTGTATGTGCTTTGTACCTCAGAAGAGAGTCTGCCAAGGCACTTAGAGAATGTTAAGTCTCTTAAAGGACTTTCTGAGAATGGGCTGCAACTGGCAACGCAGAACCCATACAACCAGCAGTGTCACATATCCCAACAAGCATGTATTTTTTTCTCTCCTTTATAAACACTCGACATCTGCTAAAAGAAGATTACACAACAAACAATAACAGAAAGCCATTTACTGTGTGTGTCTCACTAAAGACAAACGGGTTCCTCTAATAAAAGCACAGAGAATGGATCTAGGTTGCCCAAATAAAAAACAAGAACAGGTTTCCTTTTCTTTCTAAAAACATAAACAAAAATTTAAAAGGCTGCAAGCCTCTTCACACGCTTGCTCAGGAGTAAGTTCCATGGATCTTAATCAGTGTGCAGAGGATTGCAGCTCAAATCCCTAAAACACCACATGCCTGCTTAAACCAAACAAGTGATTTGCACAAATTCACTTCTGCTTATCTGTCCTTTGAAGTGAGTTTTTCAATCAATTCTTGAAGTGGAGCAAGTTCTCTTCTGTCTATAAGGTTAAATTCCTGTGGGAGGCAGAAAAAGACCAACAATTCAATTCAACATTTAGCAGCATATCCATTAGTTATCAACAACATTGTTTTACCCTATGTAACTGAAAACACAATTACCTTACGCTGGAAGTAAAAGCAGTCAACACAGTTTTTAGGAAGAACAAAGATGAGGTCAAGGCACACCGAAACTAAGACTAAAAGAAAGATCCCCATCCGAGAAAGACAGATATTAAAGTTCATTGTGGGGAGATTCCACAGAAAGCATTGTCCTAGCTGCTGCTATTGCAGAGATCAGAAGAGAACCAAGTGAGGTTCTCATTTCACTTCTCTAGGCATGTTCACTTGCCTCTTGTTGATATGTGAGAGGATCACCAGTGTCCCAGTTAGAACTCTAGAATATTCATGAACCTGCACTACTTAGGTGCAGAATCTATATGTGGGACTGCACATGGCACATGAAGAAATCCAGCAGTATTTTTAATTCTAGGTTGGTGGCCAAATGCTACCAAACACCTCTAACAATAGACGTCTGCCATGCAATCTGTGACAGGACTAATTTCCATTTCACACAGAAGGATTTCAGCGTTTCCAAATGGGATATATAATCCTAAAGTAACTGCTTTTACCTTAATCAAATACATCACTTTTGCAAATTTTTCAATATCCAGTTAAAGTGCACAGAGGTTTCTGGTTATGCATATTCACCATTCATGTCACATTAAGGAGATCACAAAAGAAAATATTTGGCAGGTGGCTTTACTGTACAGTTTTTGGAACCTGCTAAAACCTTTTTCATTATGGAAACCTACCCAAACATGTAATTTTACTAGGTATATTTGTTTTAAAACTACTAATTTTATTTACCTATTTTTTTAAAAAATATGTCAGCTTGTTTTTAAATATTTAATTCTGTTGGTATTTTTAAATTGATGCTTTATATTTATTTTATAGAACCTCCTTTGATTTTCTGGTTGATTAAGATATATAAGTCTTTCAAATAAATAAATAGCTCTAAACCTTTTCTCTCAATAATACTTCACGGCATGACATAAAACTTAATTAGGAATAGGGCACAGCAGACAACATTAGAATCATGTTAAAGAGAAACTTAAATGTGCTGAAGAGTACAAGGATCCCTAGTTACCGCAGTAAGCAACAGAAAACTCAAAAGAGAATGTGAGCCCATGCTCCATCTTGCAGGGATATATTAAGTCATAGTACCCCATGGCTAGTTACCTGAACAAAAAAGATAAAGTGCTTGAAGGATGTGTTGAGATGTGCCTCTTCTTGCAGCTGAATGACTGGATCAAAGTGCTGGTGGTAGATGTGAGCATAAACTCTGAAGAGACGCTTTAGGATCGTTTTAGCTACCGACATGAAGTTCTTTGGGAAAGGAACACCTAGAAATCAACAAAGCAAACGTCCAAGTGTTTACATTCAAGTCCTACAAAGAACGCAGGGTTGTATCCAACAAAACCATCCTGTTCACACAACAATGTCCACTTGCAAAACAGAACTTCCCCTCTCTTCTCCCTCAGATCAGTTCTGGGGTTTCCCCTAAGCATCCAGAGCAGGTTGGGGGTGGGAGGGGGAGAGAGAAGAGGAAGGGGAAGTTCTGTTGCACAAGCAGAAGCAGCCTTTGTGCTGATGAGACGGGTTCATTAGATACAACCCCCAGCTGCTATCATGCTCAAGACTCATCTAGATAGTGGCTTCTTGCTTCAGTGCATAAGCTGTAGCACAATACATGACCCATGCAGCAAGAATAAGAAGCCACTCACAAGGAATACAGAGTTCTTGTCGTCCCATGAATGGGCAGGGAGCAGCACAGGTTTAAACAGCCCACGTATCAGGACTGAGAACCACAAATATCGAAAAAGTACCATCTATGCAAGCGTTTTTCCAGCAGTAATCAAAAACACAACCAGAACTATTCAGCAATTATGTTTTTTAAAGACATAAGGTAACTGTATCTTGCACTGATTTAAAATTTTAAGTTTAAAACTGTAATTTTTATAAACCAACAAATGAATTGTGCAGAAGTGAACAAAAATGCAATACAGTGGTGCCCCGCAAGACGAATGCCTCGCAAGACGGAAAACCCGCTAGACGAAAGGGTTTTCCGTTTTTGAGTTGCTTCGCAGGACGAATTTCCCTATGGGCTTGCTTCGCAAGACGAAAATGTCTTGCAAGTCTTGAGATTTTTTTTTCGCTTTTCCCCCCCTTTATCTAATCTGCTAAACCTTTAATAGCCTTTAATAGCCTTTTAGCAGCTAATCCCCTAAGCCTTTAAGCCTTTAATAGCCGCTAAACCGCTAATCCGTTAAGCCGCTAATAGGGTTGCTTCGCAAGACGAAAAAACCGCTAGACGAAGACTCTCGCGGAACGGATTAATTTCGTCTTGCGAGGCACCACTGTACTACACTAGCACAGAAATCACCCTAAGGGAAGCATCCATAAGCAGAGAAACATTTAATTGCTTATTTTCAAAGATCACTCTTCTTTTTAAATAAGGACTGCTAGAAATTAGGTATGTTCTGGTCTACATAAAGGTAAAGGTACCCCTGACTGTTAGGTCCAGTCGCGGAGTCTTAAAATTAAATCTTGTAAAAAATTAATTAATATTGAACAACTGCTGCTTAAGATGGTTACATATATTTTCAAAATCTTATGTTAAGTTTCCCTCAAGTGAAAAGCTTTTGTTTTCTCCTATTCCTTTTGAAACAGCATAGATGTTCACAGTTTGCAAATTAAACCATTCAGCTTTTATATAGCGGCAATATACTAATTTATACCTATTTTGGATGGGAAGAGTGTCTCATCATCCAGCTGGTCCTGAACCCATGTCATAAGGTAATCAATGTACTTTGGTGCTGAACACTTGATTGGCTTCTTTATGTTTGTCCCATCTGCCCAGTGGTACTCATATCTGGAATGAAACAGGGTTAAAAGACATCCCTTTAAATAAATCTAGGACTGTACACAATAAACAAATGAATTATTGTTTTTATAACATTGGGATATCAAGGCCTGCTTCAGGTGTGCCCAAGGGCCTGGAAATGCTCAAGAGAATTCTTCTCTCTTTTAACCCCTTCCCCATACACAAGTCTCCTCAGTTTCAAAAGTGATTAGCACAGGAACAAATTCCCCCCGGGCACTGAGAACCAGTTGGCTGGCATCCAAATATACACACATGAGAATTAGAGTGATTATGGTATCACTATATAAGACGTGACATAATTGGCATTTTGCAAAGCTATCCCTACAACCAGCAGGCACTATGGTTCAAGGAGAATTATTGTGCTAACTATGTTACAATGCCCCAAACCTCATAGTATCTCAAGCCAGAGGCAAGTTCTTCCCCGATACAGCCATGCCCTTAGCTCATGAAATGCTTTTTAATTCCAGAACTTTTGAAGCTAAGTAACACGTGCATTAAACACACTCATTCATGTTCTACTCCTTTTTAATCTAAAGCTGACAGTCTAGTTTTATACTTTAATAGCATTGGATTTAAAATTATGGTACAGTATTGCATATAGCTTAACTGATGCAAATGACACATTAAGTGGAATAGTAAAACAGAAAACATTCAGCCATGAACCTTAATTATTCCAGAACCTGGTCTCTGATCCCTTCCACAGCCTCCTTATACAGCCTTCTTTTTGATAATCTTAATATTATGCACAGCTCCGTCAAATTTTCTCTTTCTCTTGTTTGGAGTGAAACTACTGTATTTCAGCTCAGCACACATTTCCAGGATAGCAAGCAACAGTGTAACAAATCAAACACAAGACACCCATGGAGAGAGCTTCAATGTATCTATGAACCAGAACACTGTAATTAAGCAATGTTTTCAGAACTCTTTGATCTTACGGTAGGAAACTATGAATTGGCTTCTTTTGAGCCAATGCAGTAACGATATGCAACCAAAATTTGAAAAAAATCCATTAAAACAGTTATGTATTCCACAAGAACCGAGTAAAACAATAAATGCTAAAGCCACTTTCTTCTGTATTGCATCGATATTCAGCATGGAGGGCCACTTTGGAAACTGGTACCTCGCACCTATATTCACCCATTTAAAATTTTCAGAAATCTATCAGCTGAACAAAATAGGAAGATCTGAATGAATGCCAGAAACTGGCTTCAGAACATGTGGAACATTTTGGGCTGGAGACAGACCAGTTGTCAGGGGAGTTGAAATGGTTAGGAGGAGCCATCAAATCCCATAGCGTACATCAGGGTTGTCAAATCTGCAACTGTTAGACAACCAAATTGTACATAAAGAGAGACCAGTAAAGCCTGTTTTGCACCTTGTAAGTTCAAGTGCAGTTTACTTCCAAGTTATGTGTGCATAAGATTACAGTATTAACCAAGGTCTGCACACCCACTTCAAACCAGTTACATATCCTAGCTTGTGGCCATTCTTTTCTCTAAACAGTGGCTTTCGGACACAATAATTAAGGAAAGCGACTGATAGTGAAATGTTATGCTTGCACGTGGCATCTGAATAGCTAACCCAAGAAAAACAGCTGCTTAATTGTAGTGAATAAGAGGCAACCATTGCCTCTTATTGCAAACGGTGCCAGTGTAATAACATGTCTGTGAGTAAAAGATTTACATATCCGCCTTCATTTTTAACCATGTTCAGCTTTTGCCAGCTAATAAATTTGGAAGAGATCAGAAAAGTCCTTTAATCAAGGTTTCTGTACTGAAAATAAAACCCTGCATCCAAACAACTCTGATTCAACCAGTCGTCAAGATATATTAAGACACAGAGAAACAGAGACAGATCATGCTATTTCCAGACGCATAAGTAGAACTAAAAGGACAAGGCAACTAAATATGTATGTATATATATATATATGTAAAGGGGAAACAAAAGGGGGGGGCCTATACAGACACATATATTTAATGGTCCTCTCCTGTCTTAACAACACTGCTTTGGGTAGGAGACAGCAAATAGAGGACCCTGAGCCAACCCAGCTTAATCCCAGTTACCAAGCTTCAGGCAAGTGTGCTGTTGAAGCAGTTGTAGTTGTGGAAAAGGGATTATCTAGTGGGCTACCTTAGGTAGCTGGAAATCGGAGTTAATCACTATCATTTTTAAAATAAAAAAGGGTTTCCAGTTCTCAGGGTTGTAGAGATGAAAAACATGCCGGCAATATTTGCAATTCAGCAGTTCAAGGTCAGATCATGGCCTTCAGGACTATTAAATTCCTCCTGCTCTGCTCTCACTCACACTTTCATTGACCTCCCACCACCAAACAAATCTGTAAAGAATTCGATCAGGCTAAAAGCAAAAACATGAAACACAGAACTTCAGCTTCTTTGTAAATAAAATTTCAGGTTTTTAACTTACTAAGAGTAGCAATTATCATTGTTTAAAACCCAATTAAAAATGAAAAACAGCAAGTATTTTATATCTCATAGTTTCAAAGTTGCATAACTAGCATTCTTACTTTGGACCTGCAGACATCACTGGGCAGCTCTCTTCTGTGCAGAAGTCTGTAATTGTCCCATAAAGCATGTTGATCTGGTTGAAGAAGTCCACAGCTGTATATATAAAAAATAGGAACAATTTCAATTTGGCAGATAAAAAGTGTGTGCTTTCAGTTGCAAGCTAGACCATCCACACAGCTTCTCAGCAAAAGTACTCTGCTGTGTTTAATATGTTACTATACAAAGGAAATGCCAGTCAGAAAACAGACTAAGACCTCCAGAAAGACTCGCATAACAAGATAAGTGTACTAAAATGGTTTTGAAACTATATAATCTATGTTTGTTAAAAGTGGTGAAAGTACAAATATGCAATCCTCTGGCTTTCCATTCCTTCCAGTGAAATAGGATCCCTAGAGTCAAACAATCTACAACTGCTAAACACACATCAATGCCTCAGTGTCTACCTCATCTCTTAACATGCTTTGCTACCTTTACATCCCTTGCTTGGTCGTTCCTCGTCTATGGTATCAGGATCTCTGTCTGGAGTTTATCTACCAAAGCAATGCTAAGAAGGCAAAGTTCCTTCTGTTGACTGCTTTATCATTTATTTATAACATTTCTATATCTTCATCAGTAATACCAGGGAGACTCACAACAATACAAACATGTTTCTCATAAAAGGTAAAGGACCCCTGGACGGTGAAGCCCATTCAAATTCAACTATGGGGTGTGGCATTCATCTCGCTTTCAGGCTGAGGGAGACAGCGTTTGTCTGCAGACAGCTCTTCCGAGTCATGTGGCCAACATGACTAAACCACTTCTGGCACACAAAACACCATGAGTGCCAGAGCGCATGGAAACGCAGTTTACCTTCCCTCCGCAGCGGTACCTATTTATCTATTCACACTGTTACTCTTTCGAACTGCCAGGTTGGCATAAAACATTATATTAAAATACAGCAGAATACAAAAATCACAACAAAACCAGCCAAATTATACTAAAAGGGTGGCACTGAGAACCAGCAAATGCCTGGATGCACCAGAAACTTAATGAAGTTGTGCAAAAACTTAATAAAGGGGGGACGATTCCATAAACTGTGTGCCGTAACAGAAACAGTCCATTGTCACTAAGTTGACCATGCAGACTTCACCCAAATATCTCAGTCTATGGGCAGATTTATGTGGGAGAATGCATTTCTTCAAGTACCCAGGTCCTAATTTTTTAAAGGCCCTAAACTTGGCTTGGCAGCAAACTGGCAGCTGGTGCAGTTCTTTCAAAAGTGATGTTATATATTGTACTCATGGTTAGTCTCCCTTTTCTGCAGCTTCCAAGCCAACCTTAAGGGCAGTTCTTCATACACCACACTATGGTAGCGAAATATTGAGGCTATCCAAACATGGTTGTGCTTCCACCATGCTATCCTGTCCTGGAATGTGTGCAGCTGACACACTAGCTGAAGCTGGTAAAAGGTGATCCTAGCTACCACCGTCACTTGAACCTATCAGGATTCAGTTACAACTTGTAGACCCTCACCCATTCCACCAGATCCATGCACTGATCCAGGACCTGCACGTCCACACTTGACTCAGATGTCAAAGAGAAGTAGAGCAGCATGGCCACTGCCAATGGCTTCACATAGATGTTAAACAACACTGGGGACAAGGTTGAACCCTGTGGTACCCCAAAGCATAACTGCTAAGGGACTGAGGTACAGTCACCCAATACTATTCTGAATCTAGCCTTATAAATAAGACTGGAACCACCAAAGCACAGGACCTCCTACTGCCAACCCAGAGAGTTGGCCCACTAGGAAACCATGGCGTCAAAAGCCATTAAGCTATCAAAAAGCAACAGGGTTGCACTCCCCTGCCCCATTTAATACCAAATCTATTACTAGATTGCCCTACTCCAAATCCTGAAAAATGCTGAGCACCCTTCTTTCAAGATGCCATTTACAGACTTGTATTTGAAGATTGGCCTTGTAAACAGGAACAGCTGTGCAATTTGTCTTGTTTTAGTTTGGCTGCAGACAGAGCAGCAGCACAAAAGGATTTGTGGCCTTCCACAATCTAATTGGGTGATGTCTGGGAAGTCAAATTATGACAATTTCAATGTCACTGTCATTAAACTGCTATTGAGATCATGGCCTCCTCCATTCAGCAAGACTGACAGATCCTTCCATGCCCTTCAATTCCAGTCAAGGAACACAGGAATTAAAAGTTCCTATGTTCTGAATTTTTAATTTTTTTTCACACAGCTGTGCTCGTATAAGGGCATTATGATACTGGCAATTTTATTCTGTGTTATGTGTTAACTGGACCATAATCTTGCAGTCCTTATAAAGGACACTTTAAGAAAGGTTGGTATTATTACCTCCAAACTGCAGCTAGAGGGGCAGGCAGTTGAGGCTGAGAGCAGAACATGAGAGCAGAGCTTGCCTAAGACCACCTATTGAGTTTATGGCAGAGGCAAGATTCAAACCAGGGTCTTCCCAAACCATAGCTCAATCCTTTATCCCAAGATGCAGTTATTCATTCAAAGTTTTCCATCTAGATTTTGTGACACAATATTTTCCACAAAAACAAAAGACTGTCTGTAGAATGCTCTCCCCGGGGAAGTTTGCCTGGCGCCTTCATTATAATGTATACGTTTAGGCGCCAGCCAAAAATGTTCCTTTTTAACCAGGCCTTTGGTTGCTTTGATTGACACCCTATGCCCTTTTAAAATGTGGGTGGTGGGGTTTTTTTGGGGGGGGAGAGGTAACTGGGTTGTTGTTTTTATTTTCATTATGTATTTTGTGTTTTTATATTTTGATTTTATTCTGTAACTGCCCTGAGACCTCCGGGTATAGGGCGGTATATAAATTCAATAAATAATCATCATATTTTAACAACTGATATCTTAATTCAGCTGTGGAAGGGCATGACTGTACAGCAAAACAGCTGTAGATGGAATCTGGGGGAGTCGAACTTACTAGGCTTTTATCAGCTTTCAATGTTTGCTAAAAACAGTGGTGACATTTCTCTCAAGAAGAACAGCTGAAATTTAAAGAAACCAGTATGGAAAATCCCCAGGGAACATGGCAAGTCTTCGAGCCCAAGACACTTCTGCAGCCACATGTGATAAACAACACTGTAAAATCCAGTTCTTCTGCTCAAAGAACAGACAGACCACAGCTGGTACCATATCAGACCTAGAGAATTTGTGATCCATCAAGCTGGACAGAGACAATTAGCCATTTGCTGCAGCTTGCTAGGGCCTCCAATTGCTTCCCCTTTGTGCAGTTCCAGACAAGGGGAAAACCCAGAAAGTCCCAGTCCCTGGTGAGTTGCATTCAAATTGGTGAGTCACAAACTGTGCATCTACAAACCTACTTGCCACCTAACTACAGTGAGTGCTTCTGACCTCCTGGTAAGCAGTACACTTGGGAGCATATAGATCACCTCACCAGATTTGTGCTGTCAACGAATGAAGGAAACAACAGGGGTCTCTCTTTTGCTGCTTGAAGTTTTCCTTTCTGTCTTATTTTCTGGGAACCCGAAAAGTAAGAACTTGCCTCTGTCCCAAGTCCTCCAAGCATGCATGAGAGCTAAGGTGAGTTGGTTTAGTTCACTATTGCTTTCTTTCTACTTTGGTATACCTCTGTAAACAGTCAATAGTGGACAGTACACATTCATGTAGTATCCCATGCACACAATTTCTTCTAACCTACCAACTCTAGTTTTGATTTGCTTACCACCTGTCCTATAGAATTGATTTATTAATTTATATCCCACCTTTTTTGTCCTCCAAGGAGCTCAAGGTGGCATACATAGTTCTCCTGCTTGCCCTTTAATCCCTCCAACAACCCTGTGAGGCTGATTATTAGGCTGAGAGACACTAACTGGCCCAAGGTCAGCCAGGGAGCCCAGTGGGGATTTGAACCCTGACCTGCCAGGCTCTATTCAAACATTCAAACCACTACATCGTACTGGCTGCAGTTACATCATGGCACATTCAACCATTCTAAAAAGAGTGATTTCCGGAGGTAAGTATGCAGAAATAAATTTAACCATTACCCTCCCAGGGGAATGAATGTCAAATCTCTCATGCCTCCCCTATCCCCCCCCCCCACCCAGCTTTATCAGTCAATATTAATGCTCAAAAAGCATACAGGGGGAAAAGGTCATGTTACTTACTGTTCACTGCAACCCATTCATTTAGATCTTCACCCTCAGGCAGCATAACAGCCATCCGTAGGTTGCCACTTCCAAGAGTGGCCTCTGCATGTTTCAGCAGCTCATATTGGTGAGAGCCTTCTGGAATATTCTTCTTTGGTTTAAAAGTTTTAGAAGAGCGGCTACCACTGCAAAAGGAGGGAAATTTTTTGGTTTCAGAAAATCTTGCGTACTGGGGAAAGAGAGAGACAGGTTCACAGAATGATCCCCTAATCTTACACTAAAATTCTTATGAGTTAGAATGTCTTCTCCCCTCCCCACAAAATATAAGATGGCTGTGTGACTAATCTGTTGCATGCTTGGAAACATGGTGTACACCCTTATTACATACCACAAGAGGGGGGGGGATCCATGAGATTAGCAAAAACACAGATGACATAAACTTCCGTCACACAGTCAAATAGCCAGCATAGGAGCTACTTCTCCATGCTGCAATTCCATCTAGAACACTGATCAAATGGAAAGGTCTACACAAATCCTGCCATTCACATGCAGCCCTTAAATTTACAAAGGAAGGAAGATTATGCAGGATCTCTTAACAGTGAAGCCATAATTAATCTAGGTTAAGTGATCTTGAATCTGTACTCTTGTGTAAAAATATAAGAAGTGTGTTGCTAGTTCAAGTGAAAGTTTACATGAAAGTCAACATTCTTTTTTTACAAATCTCAGCAACCAGCGAGTGTACAGAGGTCCACTGGAAATTGGCTAGTGATCCATCAGTGCAATACTATCTGACTACCTTCTGCTTTGAGCTACTCATATAACATTTCCTTTCAAATATCTCTCCCTTCTATTTTAGTCCTCTTTGGACCCATTTCTTCAAAGATGTAGAGGAATACATCTACATACAAGAAACAGTAACGTTCAAGGTGCCCTGTGTTAACCACAGTTTAACCACAGAACAGCAACATACTGAAAGGCATACAAGAACAACTAAACTTTGAACAATTGTTTTGACAAAGGTTCAAATGCAAAAGGTTAATTTTGTTAAAATTCTATTCCGAACATGTTGGTTCCAATATGGCGGGAAGGCAGGGATAAAAATAGTAAGTGTCTTTCTTTTTGGTCAAGGAGTACAATTTACTCAGAAATCTTTAGGTGGTAGAATAGGAAGTCCAATATGTTGTCAACTAAATCAGAGGAACCCTAAAGTCTACTGAACCTACTAACACCTTTTCAGGGGATCAGGTAAATTAATTAACTAAGAAGTAAATTCTAATGAAGATATTTTTCCAACATTCCCTTCTGATCCTCCTGAACAACCATAACATACATGCAAGTTATGCAACTTTGAAAGAAGTAATCTAGTTTGTGTCACCAAAAATATAGAGGCACAAGCTTTAATAAGTTTGTTTTTGGGACTTCAGCATAGGTTACCCGAGCAGTGAAATTTGACACAACTAATCCCCTTAGCAAAGCAAACACAATGAATTAAGCAAACACATAGCATTGGACAGACAGAAAGGAACAAGTCAACGGCGTTGACAGAGTCACCTGAGGCATGGTTTGTCTTGTTCCAAAATCTTTAATCAGGCTGTATGTTTTTTATATCTTCAGAGACACTTTTCTAACATTAAGGTTTACTGCTCTGGAGAATGCACTATTTAGTTAATGAATTTGTGTAATAAATTAGTATACTGCCCTTCAGTGAATATTTCCATGGTGATTTAGTTAAAACTAGACATGCATAATAAAAACAGGCAAAAAACAATAAAAGAGCAGGGGGGAAATGCATTAAAATTATCATACTGGGAGACAATTAACTGAATAACAACCCATCACTCTGGATTTGTGCAGGGTTTACTCCTTAGCCTTCCCTTCTCCCAGAGATGTCCCACAAGGCAGTGAGGATGGATTTTTTGTCAGGGTTTACTCCCAAAGCCTTTCTCATGAATAACGATAGCCGCAAAGCAGTGGAAGTTCAGGACTGACGTTAATCCTAATTAATTTAAATCAATGAGGAGGCGGCCCTGTCGGCAACAGGGAAGGCCTGTGCTGGTGCCATTTGCGATACCCCAAATACCTTCTACACACAATGCCTTTTACACCTTTTGATCCGCTAATCTTAAAGTAGGAGAAGGAAGGAAGGAAACGTGTCATTGTGGTTTGCTTATAACGCACACACACTGTTATGTGCACACTCCTCTGTAAACATACAATATTGACTGTCTTCAGAAATGGGAGGGGATTCTGAGTTTTAGGAGCTAGCCCTATGCAGATCTGAAAAATATTTGAAAATCCTATGAGTTCATCCTTCTTTGAAAAAGAAAATTGAACACCTGATGTCATAGCTAGGTTTAATCATTAGCATACTGAACCCAAAGTTGCCTTGGGGTAAATGGTTTATTTACATTTCTACCCCTCTTCCTCTCAAGCTTCATAAAAGAAAAAAACTGTATATTCATTTTTAGCAAGGGCTGTGTATGTGTGTTAAAAAAGATCATTCAGCACACCTACTCATGCATAATTCTGGGTATTAAAGGCTACCCCATCCAAGAAAGTCTTGCAATACTTCCAGCAAGCTCAGACATCTAAGAAAGGCACATAATTGAAGGACAACCACAGAGTAGTTCTCTGGAGCCTTGCTCTTTGAACTTTGTACAGTGATGGCAATGTAGTACAGAAGATGCTGTGGGGTTTTTAAAAAAAACAAAAAATGATCACAGCAATGCATGCGAGAAAAAATGGTTAGGATGCTGTAGGCCCTACATTTCCTATGAGTAACAAAAATTTGTTTTCTTCAGGACACTTTCCACTCCGCCAGCTGAATGCTATAGCTGTTGCCTAGACTGCAGGAGCATAGGTGATATTGGGGTGTTAGGGGAGGGGGGTTACCTCTGATGGGGTACACAATGTGCTCCGACTGGGGTAGTTTGCCCACATTTTGTCCTCACCTTGCACTCAGCTCTCACCTGTGGCTCCTAGAAGCTATCAGCAGGTGACTGCGGCCACACCCTGGGAAACTGCTTCAACTGGCCAGCTAAAGAAGTGAGGGTAGCCGATGGGTCTCAAATGCTCAATGAATTAGTGGCTTCCCCTGTGTTTGAAGACAAGCTCCGGTGGATTGAGTGGACAAGACCAATAGTGGGTCCAATGGTCAAGAAGGTGTTTTCTGTATGTACTGTACAGGGAAGTGATGGGCAGATGGGGCTCATCAACTTGGGAAGGGAGCCCATCTAGAAGAAAAACTCTGATCCTAAACCCCTGCTGCCATGTGGGATATCTTTGGGAGAAGAAAAGGCTATGGAGTGAACCCTACACAAATCCAGAGTGGATGGGGCCTTGTACATCACCCATGAATTAGTCAGGCCATCTAAGTCAGTGCTATCATTACATCTTGTAGCAGAAAATTCCATATTATGTTATAAATTTTGGAAGTGTGCCCTGAATCTGGGCAACACTTTCAGAAAATCTATTCACTTTCTACATGCCATTCACACATTTGTAAATCATTCATCTCCCCTTACTCCAAGTTAGTCATTTTTCTTTAACCTTTCCCTTACAGGAAAGATGCTCCAACACCTTCAATATTTTGACTAATCTTTTCTGAACCTTATTAGGAACAGATTCAACAAAACAGATGCAATGAAGTATTTAAAATTTTCCTTTAAATACCATAGCAACCTACAACCCCCTTGTTAACTGTTCTTGAGGGACTAATATTATTAATCAGTGAGTCGGTAAAAAATAATAATAATATTGTTCTATCTTTGAAACCTGCCATGATTACCAGTTCTTAATCTGTTACTTTATAATCAGTTTAATCAAGGCAGTGATCTTGTACTCTATTATTCTGCTAACCATAGTTAATCTACCACCACTACTACTACTACTACTACTACTACAATTTAGTGCAGGCTTCCTCAACCTCGGCCCTCCAGATGTTTTGAGACTACAATTCCCATCATCCCTAACCACTGTTCCTGCTAGCCAGGGATCATGGGAGTTGTAGGCCAAAAACATCTGGAGGGCCGAGGTTGAAAAAGCCTGATTTAGTGCTTTACTTCAGTTTGCCACTAGTTTTCCCATATATTAATATGGGATTCAATATATCAGCAAACTTTCCTTCCACATTAAAATTCCCATCTCAATTATTTTTTCTTATTTTTTAGTCATACTAAAGTCTCATTTCTTATTTTATTACTATTATTTAAGAGTATTTATACCCCAACCACTACCCAAAGTTTTGAGGCTGCTTACAATATATTAAAAACACAATAAAATAGGCAAGGATACAATAGTCACTGCAGGAGGGCAAAGGGCTACTCTGAAATAAATACCTTAGTGTTGCTACTATTCATTATATGCAAGTCGTTTTCTTGAAGTGAAGTAAGATGCTAGCTGAATACCATGTACCTCCTTGACAACGTGGAAATATTAATTTATTCCTAACAATGTCTCTCCCTCTCATGTTGATGAGCCTTCACACACCAGAAGACTTCACACCGAAAATCAGCAGAACATGCAAATGCGGCAGAAGTTGCTGGGAACTATTCAGCAATGTTTGAATAAACTAAACAAACCAGCCAAAGGAAGCCTAAGCTCTAAATCTTTCTTTGCTTTTGTGAAGGGTCTCTTTTGCCAAGCACAATCCAGTCTTAGGAATCCAACCGAATACTCGATAATATTTTACTGTATGCATATTTTTAGCACATTCTCTCTTACCACAGCACAACACAGCTATAAATATCACACCATCAAACATGAAGCAAAGGAGGGTAGCTTTGTTCACTGACTTCATGCAACAAGAGTAGCTTGCTCCTCAAAAAGAAAATACGAAAAATAATGACATAGCTGAAAATAAACAAGAACTAGTGCATTGAAGAATGTTATATAAATTATCATGACAAAACACTAAGAGTCTTAAAGAACATAAGACACCTTCCCTATTCAGCAAAATACACTGTCCTCAAGTCACATCCACACCATATGTTTAAAGCACATTGTTTCCTCCAAACAAATATTGAACTATAGTTTGTTCAAGGTGCTGGGAATTGTGGTGCTTTAAATGTGTTTTAAAAGTATGGTGTGAATGTGACCTGAATAGTTCAAAATTCATTCACTGCATTGACACAGAGAACATAAACACTGAATGATCTCAAAGGAAGGAACATAAGACTATTTAAACACAAGGGCAGCACCCTATAAAAAGGGGGTGCAAAGAGGAAAGAGACAAAACAAACAGCCAGGAAGAAGGAAATAACTGCAAAGATAAGGAAAGGGTTGAGTGGCCAGTGAAGATGAAGTCGACACATTCAGACACAGAACAACAGGATATTATCTCAAAGCAGAAGCAATACAAAGAATTAAGGAAGTAGGGCAGACTCTTCATTACACTTTAAAATATCAATGCATTTTTACAAGAAGATGCTAACAGCGCAATCTTATGTTTGCTTATTCAGAAGCAAGTCCTACTGTGTTACTTCCTTGTAATGTGTTTAGGACTGCAATCTAAGTAGCCTAAACAGGAACTTACGTTAAATTTCTGCAAAAGGCTGTTGCTGTTGCCACTGGGATTCCTCAGTTATTAAACATAATTTGCTATTGTGCTTGTAAATAGAACAGAGTTATTAAAGACAGGGTTATCTAGAAATCATGATCCACCTCTCAAACTAACCCACCTTAGAATTGCAGGATTGTTGTTTAGGAAAAAATATGGGGGAACGGTAGAGAACCATGTATGCCACTTTGAGGTCTTTGGAGGAAAGGTGAAATATACACAATTCCTGGTTTAAAGAGCAAGAGCAGACAGCTGAGATGTAATAACCAACTACTGTACAGTTTACGTTAAAGAGGAAGTTGTGTGTTTTTTGAGCCCAAGGGAAAAAGGGAGTACATGAGCATATGGCTTCACTTGCACATATATTTTAAGTAATACCAACCTATAATTTGGTATTACATCTGAAACATCTTAATGTTTCATGGTACCTTGCCAGAACTAGAGAACTGTATTTGCTGTTAAGATAAAGATTTTTCAAAGGAACTCAGATGCAGTGATTAATGCAAAATTGGACCTTGCAACCTATTTATGAACTACTTCCCACTAAAATAATTTTTATAATGAAGAATGTGCCACTACTTTCCAGCCATCTGCTGAGAGCCCACACATTCACTTTCCCTCCACCCAGAAGATGACAATTCTCTGAACAGATGCAAACTTATTATTTTATACAGACCCTTCTTCCATTGACTTAGCTACAGCATCAAAAATATGCTAATGAAACGCTAGCCAGCTTCATCGTAGTACTGCAAAAGGCACAGGTGCACAGTAAGCCCAGCTAATTGATAATTCCACTGGGTTTCCCAGGTATTATATACACTGTGGACCTTGACAAGAATCTTTTGCCCTTAGGCTTTAATGGCTGGACAAGTAGCCAAAATTCTGATGTATGGGAAACTGAATGTGAACAAAGTAGTAAAAAGTAGAAGCTAGATTTATGAAAGCTCTTCTAATGCATGTTTGTACTCTAAATTCAGAGTCAGCTGGCAGCAAGTGATAAAGTAACAAGCCAAAGTTAGTTAGATTATCTTGAAAATTCAATGAAAATTCATTAAGAACCTCGTCACTAGAAAAACACCATTTAAGCAAAGGCTTGTTGAGAGTTGGTTAATTTGCAGTATTCATAGCAGCTAAGTACTTCTTGCTTTGTAGTGCTTAAGAGTAAAGATAGCCTACATTAAAAAAACCTTAGTAATATGATTCTCTAATACCTACCTACCCACAGCTTCCAGCTAGGCAGCAAGGTTGGTCCACATATGCAAATTTCATCATAAGAAAGTGTTGCTCTATCAATCCCAGCACTCTTGTCTCCAGCCATAATTAGCAAGGTGTTCTGCTTGGACATTTCCTATTATCACCCCCACTCCCATATGTCTCTAGCAGTCATTTTGCCTTTGAATATGGATGGGGGGGTGCTCTCATGGGTAGTAACAATTTATAAAACCAGGTAAGTGGTGTGCGTAAATGCCATGGGGATAGGAGGGGAGGATTGGCGACAGGTTGCCAGAACCCAAAGGAGCGACATGGGGCAAGTACTGTACATAACCACACATAATTCAGTGGTGAAGCATTCGCCTGCCTTCCATGCAGAAAGTCCAAGGTTCAAACCACAAGGGGAATTTATAATGCTGATGTATGTCTTACCGTGTTTTTATATTTTGTTGGAAGCCGCTCAGAGTGGCTGGGACAACCTAGTCAGATGGGTGGGGCGTCATCATCATCATTATTAGTAGTAGTAGTAGTAGTATTTCTCCAGGTAGGGCTGGTTAAAACTCCCAGTCAGACCATGCAATAGTGTACTAGATTAAGCAATAGCCTGACTCTGTAAAGCAGCTTTCTATACAGCAATGAATTTCATAATTCTTAAGTTGCAGCAAAGAAAGGGTTTAAAAATGGATGGCATGAAATTGTTGAATTGGCCATCTAACACAAACCTGACTGGCCCCAAACTCAGATATTCCAGAATAACACCAAGATATTCCAGAATAACACCAAGTGCTGCCAAGACTAACCAAGAACCCTGTTTAACCAGATCACCTTTTACAGCTGGTTTCAGACCAGTATTGCATGGAAACCATAGTTAATGTTAGGGAACAGGAAAGTATTCCATCCTGAGAAGGGAACATGCATTCTCAAGAACGGCACCTGATTTCTTAATTGCAGTTAAGAGGGAGTCAACATTATGTCTGCACAAGCTGCGTATGTGATTTAGGAATTATACAACAAAATGTAAATCATTTGAAAAGGAATGCAGAAGAATTTATACATTGTGACAATATTAACTTCTAGAGAAGTTAATGCACTCAGGGTAAATGGAGAATTTCTATTTAAGTTTTCATGCTTTATTAGTCTCTATGGGTTCTGACAGCTTTCAAAAAGAGGAACACACAGAAAGCGAATCTGCCAGCCTGGGGCAAATCCCTAAACTTCTAAAGCCAAACACAAGATGAAAATGTTAGAACAGAAAAACAGATGTTAGAGCAGACTTCAAGTAAAACTGCACTTGTGAATTGTGATGTTCTTAAAAGCTACGGCATAAGATGAAACCTGCCAATTATTAAGGAAGACAAAGAGCGACAAAACAAATTTTTCAAAAATTTCCTCTTCATCCCAGATTTCCTCTTCTGGACATCCCAGATTGCTGTTCCAAGGACTGGAAAATATCTACCTTTCCCAGATGTTCAGGAAAACATAGTTAGGTTTGTTCTGCAAAAAGTATTTCTAGCTCTTACACAAGGGTGAAAGGAAGAACCAGGTCCTTTTGGAGGCAAAAGTAGCATGATCTATACAACTTTCCTTTTTATGTCCAATAAGGAAGAATTCCGAGCAACTAATTTACCAGAGATCAAATGTTGGCTAAAAACGTTCAAAAGGAGAAAGAAATTCTTCCAATGACAACAATAATTCACATTTAGTGTTTTAACCAACTTATTATTTTCTTCATTTCTGCAGCTCTTTCACTGTGCAAAGTATTGCTTTATTTTAATCTTACTAACCCTTTGAGCTTCCAGGTGAGCAGGGCATTATTATTCTACTTTTATAGACTGGTAGAGAATTAATTACCAAAGCTCAATCAAAACTAGAATTTGGACACACATCTATGCCTATTAATGGACCACCATGGTAGCCTGGACAATCGCATTCTTCTCAAGAAGATGCCTGGAGGTATGATTTCCAAAATGATCAAATTGTTATATTTAAGCAGACAATCCTGGAATACTTTCCAATGCTCTTTGTTTCTCCCATCAACTTGGAAGAAACCTCTGGCTATCACTAGAAACAAGGCTACCAATATAAAAAGGTGGTGCATACTGTTCTTTAAAATCTGAATGTTACCAGCAGCCCTGCCCCCAACTGGCAATGACTTCTCTATAGCAGGGGTAAGGAAAATCAAGTGAGGGAATTTAACTTAGTCCACAATGACAATTCCCTGAATCTCTGCCCACCTACCTACCAATTGCCATCCTCGTTACTTCAAAAAGAAGTGGGAGGTTGCCCCTACCCCCTTTAAGATTGGAGTGAAAAGGTTTGTGGGTGGCCCACCTGCCAAATTTGACCCACGAAGCAGATCCTCATAAGGATCTGGCCCATGTAGCCAAAAGGGTTCTGTACCCCCAGCCTATAACCTTTCATCACAGACTTCACTGTTTGCCAAAGATAAGGCAACTTCTGATTTGTGAGAATCTTTCTGCCTACAGAAATTCTGCGCGCACATTCTGACTCAACAGCCTTTTGTTGAAAACATGGAAAAAAGCAAATAAATCAATGCACCGCTCTCCAAAGTTGATAAAACAGAAATGTTTGCTGGGAATGGGTGCTGGCGTGGCAGGAGGGCTCTGCAAACTAAGACGTCTATAGGACCAAGGAGGTGAGGAGACATGGGAAGTTTCACATACTGATTCCAAATAACTGGTGACAACTCTCTAGTGAGAAATATTTCCCCAAGGAGAAAAGTAAACAAATCCCCAAGCAGAAAACTTGACCTCTGTTCACTCAGGGTTAACAATTCACTAAAATCTAAGACTAGAAGTATTTGTTCTCAGTGACAGAGATGGGGCTGATGGGTAGGTGTGTTTAAGACTAATATTCGGATACAGTCATACCTCAAGTTACAGATGCTTCAGGTTGCGTTTTTTCGGGTTTCGGACCACCGAAACCCGGAAGTACCGAAACAGGTTACTTCCAGGTTTCAGCAGTTGCGCATGCGCAAAAGCACTAAATCGCTCTTTGCGCAGAAGCGCCAAATCGCAACCTGTGCGTGCGCAGACGCGCCACTGCGGGTTGCAGACGCTGCAGGTTGTGAACGTGCATCCCGCACGGGACACGTTCACAACCCGAGCATCCACTGTACAGCGAGAGAAAGGAAAAAGCTGTATTTGGGGAATAATTACAAAAAAATATTTTACTGTCTTAGAAATGCATTCTATAAGAGTCTTCCTAGACAATTAGGGGATGAAAAACATGTGCACCATTAAATATGAAATAAATTGCATAAGGTGTCTCCCTGCCCGCCCCCGCCCCCACACAGGGGTAGCATAATGCAGAAAGTGATGCTTACTCTGAACCATTAGGAAAGACATCAGCTCAGCTTGTCAACATGGCCTATACATTACCATTGTTGATTAAGTGCATACCTTTGGCATGCTAAATGCTAAGAAGGCACAGAGAAAGATGAAAACAGCCTCCATCCTGTGGCTTCTCTGTCCCTGCTGCCCTGGGGGTGGATATTATTCTACTGATGTAGATATGCATCTTTGACACTTCATATCCTTCCACATTCTATGGCAGCTTTGCAGAATAATTACACGATGTCCAATGTGATGACTTTGCAACAACATGGACAATTTTGCAACAACATGGATGAGCCATCACATAGAGGCCATTTACAGCTTCTTCCATGTATATAATTTTAAAAGTGCTTGACAAGTCTCCCGTGGGATAGCTTGATAAAAAAAGGAGGCAAGTAGACTAGCTATTATCTTTTACATTAAAAAGGCACACCATGGGGTACTCAAAGGGCTTATAGTTACAATAAGCCCATTCTATTCTAGATTTTTTTAAAAGCCTTCAAATCAATATTGTACAAAAGGAGGAGATCAGAATGGGGGGTGTAGCACAGGATAAACAGTTCTAAAGGCTTGGGGCAATTAACAGATTCAAAAGCAAGCATAAAATATCCAGTTAACTAGCTTGCACAGAAGCATGAGTTCCTGCATGTAAGAGCATGTGCTTCCAAGCAGCACCAAAGGGAGTCTGAAAAGGTATATAAATGGCATAACATGTATCCACATACAAGGCAAAATGAGAGCAGAATCTGACAAGAGCTTTCCCATAGCATCTCACACTTGTGTGGTCTTAAGAGTGTGTGATGTGCATTTGACCTCTCTGTTCAGTGAGCAAATGTCTGCAGCTTGCTGGAAATCCAAAACATACTATACAAGAGAAATGTGTTTGCATAGTGGGGGGGGGATTGTGTCTCTGCAGTGAAAAACAGCAATAATAATATAAGAATCTGAATCCATCTTAATGTCATTATCATACAAATTTGTTTAACACAAAGACCTAGGCCTTAAGAGAAAATAGGGGCAGTAGAGTTGATTTTTAAAAATGTACATTTAAACAATCTATAATCTTGGAGGCTTCCTAAAGATATGATTCAGAAATAATAATAAAAAATCAGTTTCACTCCTACAGGTACATTTTATCTAGATATATTAAACATGTTTTGGGCAAATAAGCTTAGTTCTGTGCATGCTGGTGCTTTTCACTGAGGCTTACATAGTTGAAAGTTTATCTTGCTCTTGGAAGATAGGCTACCAATTAGCTTCCAGGCTAAGTTCAAGGTGCTGATTCGGGTTTATTAAGCCCTATATACCTTAGGACCAAGATACATGAAAGATTACCTCGCCCCTTGTACACCCAGTCAATCACTGAAATCTGCAGGTAAGGGTCTCCTGCAGAAACCATCTTAACATAAGGTACAGTTCTGCATAGTGCAGGAACAAGGCCTTTAGTGTTGTAGTACCGACCTATTCTTTTGGGATTCTCTCCCCTTGAATATTAGACAGGAGCTGTCTCTGTTGTCTTTTCATCATCTACTGAAGGCCTTCCTCTTTCAACAAGACTTTTGAGATCTTTCCCTGTCTGCATCTAGGTCAGAATTGTTTTTAAGATGTTTTATAACTTTTTGTTTGCAGCCTTGGGGTGCTTTGAGAGGAAGGGTTGGACATATATTATTTAATAAACAAATAAATTAGATACCCAATGCGAAAACAAAAAACAACAAGCTACTGAAATATGGTGAGCTGAAGCAAGGTGTGTGGGGTTTTTTTTTCCTTCACAAGGGTTTCTTTTGCAGGCAATTTAAGCAATTCTAAAAAGCAGTGGTACATTGCCATATGGTACGCCTACCAGAGCTATCTTTAACATTTTCCTGGGAATTGCAGGCTATGGTTTCTGCAACTCTGCAGTAATTTGTTCTTAAAGTAACACTGCCAAATTGACCTATATGAAAGTCTGCATTTCAAGTTTCCAATTAAATACTACAGTGGTGCCTCGCAAGACGAATGCCTCACAAGACGAAAAACGCGCAAGACGAAAGAGTTTTCCGTTTTTTGAGTCGTTCCGCAGGACAAATTTCCCTATGGGCTTGCTTCGCAAGACGAAACGTCTTGCGAGTTCTTGCGAGTTTGTTTCCTTTTTCTTAAAGCCGCTAAGCCGTTAATAGCCGCTAAGCCGCTAATCTGCTAATAGCCGTGCTTCCCAAGACGAAAAAACCGCAAGTCTTGCGAGGCACCACTGTACTGTCCACAGCCCTATCATAGAGCCACAGCACAAACACAGCAACTCGTAGCATCGGTGCTGGCTGCCCCACAACAGACCAGTGTTCAAAATTTGCCAGGCACATTTTGCACCTGGCTATCAGCCACTTGTGACCAAGTGAAGATGCCTGGGCCCCAGGGTGGCACCTGAAGTCTCCAACATCTGGAGGTGCATGGTTGGGGATCCTTGGATCTTGACTGTTTTCACACACTAACAACACATCCTGAAGAATGCTATTTGTTGTATTTTACCTGCACAATCAGAATGAATTTCAGGAACCAAAAAGTTGTATTGAAAAATACAACTTTTGAGCTGTCTGGCCCAAAAATGGCAACTAGGCATTCCATTTTGGTGACTGTAACCCTGGTTTAAGGAGCCATTTGGCGCTTAGCTTATATATCTAAGTTTTTAGCCCTGCTACAGACATGCTACCCATGTCTTGCCATGAGGAAGAGAAATGATGTACTTGGGCCACTATCTGCGCTGAACACTTGCGTTCATGCAAAAAAAGGGAAACACAACAGGAACCAACATCTATTTTCTTAGAACTGTGAAAGCTCAAAAGGAACAGGCAGATCAGAAAACCAGCTTTCCTCCTCATTTCCAAATATTTTATGTTTTCTTCTGTGTTCCCTAACCAAGGCAGGTATGAATATAAAACCCCAAACCAAAGACAAGAAAATGGAAAATGGTGGATGGATGGGCACAATTCACTGATATATCTGCACAGCAAGTATTTTTAGGCAGTCTCAAACTTCAGGAAGAGTTCTCTTAAAAATGCAGCTGTCAGTTTGGCTTTCACAATCAGAATGAAGATAACATGGGTTTACAGAATCAGAAATTACTATGGGCCTTAATTATATAGAAAGAAGCATCAATCCACAACAGATCATTACTCCAGGAGACCAAATGAGAGCACCTCTTTTTTTGCCTTTTTGAAGAAAACACACTTTATTTGTTTTAAATAAATTTGTTTATAGTTTTCCTTTCAAGATACAGTCCTTCCAAACTATCTACATGGCCCCACGTGCACACAAAGAAAGCTATGTGGCTCTGGAAGTTTGCTTCAGGTGGGTTTTTTTTTGGGGGGGGGGTTAGTTTTTTGCATAGACACAAATCCATTCCAGATATTTTAAAGAGTAAGAAGAGGAATGAATAAGGCATAACATTTTGACACTTACTGTGGCTAAAGCATATGCACAGGACTGGGCTATCCTAATATTAATTAATAACATATTTGCAGAGGTTCGTGGAAGCGTGTATAAGCACAACTACATTTTATAGGAACATGACAAAGTACTGTAAGTCTTCTACAACAAAGTGATTACGTATTTTATTTAAGTCCCCAACATTCCCTTTCCCAGGAGTACACTGCGTTTTATTTTGTAAGTCACTTAACCGGTTTATGTTGATTGTCATAATTAGATTGCCTCCACTCCAACCAGCAAGGACTGGAGATTACTTGGTTGTACTTTTGAACTAGGAAACCAAATAACAGAACAACAGGCCCTACACATTTTGTATGTGCCAGTTAGCTAACAACTACTGATATCTAGAACTGTTTTCGTGTTGCAAGTGTCTGCATCAATCTGTCCTTTCCAGTACCTGCTTGCTATAATGCCAGACAAGTTGTAACACAATTAGCTTTGAGTTTTTCAGAACATGTGCCAATCCTTCAAAAGTCCAAAAGCTTTGTACTAGCTTTTAACTGCATGGTATACTGAAAGGCTTAAAGAACCAAGCAAAGTAGTTGTTTTCATGTGGTTTTCTTTAAGCCATCCTATGCTGGTTACTCAGATGTTAAAAGTCAGGATGTTCCATGGTGCTTACTGTTGTGTATAAGACGCCTTTGCCCATAAAATTCAATAAACTTCTTCAAATTGCTTCTTCAAGTTTAGTATTAGGGAAATGGAAGATGTACATTCTCCAAATTCTGTGCTGAACCTCTAAACCTCAAAGCACATAGACCCTTCACAAAAGAAGCCCCTTCTTCTGCAATTTTGAAGGCCAAAATGTGTCCTGTGTTCCCTAGAGGAACTTAAAAGACTATCAAGTACCATGCAATCTACTTCTAAATTTAGAGACATATTTTTTTTAAAAGATTTTAAGCAAACCAAAAGTTTGCTTTTCACTCTAGCAGATACTTTAAAAAAAAAAATTAAGAGCAAACCAGACCACCACAACGCAGTTGCAATCAATGGCCAGAGTACAAAAGGAGGAAGGGGATCTCTAAGGGTTATTGTCCATGATGTCTAGCCCCCTACGTAACAGAGCCAGCTGCGTTCCCTGTCAGTCTCAGCAAAACAAAAAAACAACCCCCCCCCAAAAAAAACCTTCTCTACAAGTTGGGTACCCCGTACAACCATTATCTTAATCACAAGAACCACTCAAGAGAAAAACTGCTGCCTTTTCAAACACAGAAAAGGCCGGTGGGGAGAAGGGGCGATTAATTACAGACTCCTGTATTCCCTGAGAGGGGGGTGGAAGGGAGGAGACAAACTAGGGGATGCAATTTCATTTTATGGTTACAGACAGAAACCACCAGGGAGTCTCTCCAAGCTGCTGTCCAAGAGGGGACGGGGGGAGGGAAGAACAGGCAGGCATATGGGGCACCTGATATTACAAACACCCCCACCATCATTCTCACCCCACAATTAACAGGAATCACCATATTTTCTATAATACAGAACTCCTCCACTTGGCTGCAGCTGGCAATTCAGACAACAGCAGTGAGATCCTCCAAAATGCTAACACCCCCATTTTAGCTCAAAAGGCAGCCAGAGGTCCAAGAACGAAACAGAAACTTTTAGGATAGTAAGCAGTTTAGCCGCAACAAATTAGCCTCCCATTTCAGCAGAAGCGGACCCCCCCCCCCAACTGAGGTACAGAAGGGGCTTCCCAGAGCCCCCATCCCACCAAACTCCCCTTTTTATAATCAAAGGGTCAAGCAAGCAAAGAGATAACCTCCTTAAAATAAAATAAAAAAACCCTTGCTTTTTAATCAGCATTTTGTATTTTCATTTTATATTTTTCTGTTGCAAACCGCCCTGGGATCTTTGGATGAAGGGCAGTAGGCGATGATGATGATGATCAATATGGGGGAAGCTATTTAAGGGGAACCAGCAACATTAACACCAGAAAATATAAATAAAAGCACTTCCCCTTTTTTTTTCCTGCGGTCGGTGGGGGTGGGGGTATTTTATTTTTTTTTAAGGAAACACATAAGGAACAAACGTGTTGGAAAGCAAAGGGGCGAGGGCAGAATTGGGGAGAGCCCGAGGGCGAGGAGGAGAAAATGGGGAGCCTCAGGAGGGGGGAGCAGGAGGAGGCCAGCCATGGAGGGGGTGGCAAGGCATACACACGAACACAAAGGATGTGAGGAAAGAGGCTTAAGCCACAGAGCAAAAAAACCCAGAAGTAAATAACCCCAGTGGTGGAGGAAGCGGCGGTTGGAGAGCCAAGGCCCCCGGGCAGAGCCGTGGGGCGCTGCGCGGAGGCGAGGCGGAAAGGGCTTCCGTCCTCCTCCCCCGGCGGGGCTCGGGCGCCAGGAAAGCAGCCCGGCTTGGGCCCTGCTGCCGGCGAGGCGGGGAAAGGGGCTCCCTCGAAGAAGGCCCGCACTTACAACAAGAAGCTCATGGCGGCGGCGGAGGAAGAGGAGCGGGACTCGGCTCGGCTCCCAGCGGCAGGCGGCCCCGGCGGACGAAGGGGAGGAAGGACGGTCGGGCGGCGAGAGGGAGCGCGAGCGCCGCGGGGCGGGGACTGACGAGGCCGGCGGCGGCGGCGGCCGGGCGCCTCCTTCTTCCTCCTCCTCGGCGTCGCCCTTTCCCGCCTCCTCGCTGCCTTCGCCTCAGAGGGCGCGAGGGATGGCGGCGGCGGCGGCGGCGGCGCTCTCCCGCCTCCTCAGGCCGAGGCCGGCCATAACGCCCTCCCCCCTCACAGACACACACGGGCACCCCGGGTTTCTGTGAGGAGCCAAAATGGTTTCCCTACCAACCCCCCTCAGCCGCAGCCCCTCCTGACTAAAATCACAAGCCGGCCTTCCGCTTGGTGCTTGTAAAATTGTAGAGCTGGACCAGGGGACCCCCGAGGGTCATCTAGCCCAACCCCCTGCAATGCAGGGGTCTCAGCTCTGCTTAGCGGCATGGCAGACGTTCAACAGGTGTTGCTTCTCTCTCTCCTCCTGACTTGCAGCTTTGGGCTGCCTGAGGGGGAATGTTGGCGGGGGAAACAGGAGCTTGTGTTTCTGACGGAGTAAAAGCACTGTGTATGTGGTGCTACAACACCCAACACACACACACACACATTATTATTATTATTATTAGCCACCCATCTGACTGGGTTGCCCTGCTCTGGGCGGCTCCCAACGGTTAAATCCATACCAGGTCCGTATAGTTAAAGCTATGGTTTTCCCAGTAGTGATGTATGGAAGTGAGAGCTGGACCATAAAGAAGGCTGATCACCGAAGAATTGATGCTTTTGAATTATGGTGCTGGAGGAGACTCTTGAGAGTCCCATGGACTGCAAGAAGATCAAACTGATATATTCTTAAGGAAATCAGCCCTGAGTGCTCACTAGAAGGACAGATCGTGAAGCTGAGGCTCCAAGACTTTGGCCACCTCATGAGAAGAGAAGACTCCCTGGAAAAGACCCTGATGTTGGGAAAGATGGAGGGCACAAGGAGAAGGGAGCGACAGAGGATGAGATGGTTGGACAGTGTTCTCGAAGCTACCAGCATGAGTTTGACCAAACTGCGGGAGGCAGTGGAAGACAGGAGTGCCTGGCGTGCTCTGGTCCATGGGGTCATGAAGAGTTGGACACGACTAAACAACAGCAATCTTCACAATATATGCAACCATCATGCCCCTTCTTCCAAATTTCATCTGCCCAACCTGTGATAAGCCTGAGTTGGTGCAACATAATTAATATTGCTCTTCATTGCTCAAGATACCATTTGGAGGAAGCCTTCACAACTTAGAAACAGCTGGCCCTACCTAGACTTATGTCAGCCTATTGCACTTCGTGTCATCTTGACTGCCGTATCAGTGTGTGCATGTGTGTGTGAAAAGGGTGCAATGGCTGGGTTACTTGCATTCCGGTTCCTTTGGTCCATATGCAGCTGTCCAGCCTCTGTTGCTTCCTGCTTTGCTCATGAATAGTGCCTTACTCCTGAGAGTAGTTGAAGGGAACCTGCAGTGTGGATGGATGGTTTATTTTATATAGATCAGGGGTTAGCAAACTTTTTCAGCAGGGGGCCGGTCCACTGTCCCCCAGACTTTGTGGGGGGCCAACTATATTTTGAAAAATATATATGAACGAATTCCTATGCCCCACAAATAACCCAGAGATGCATTTTAAATAAAAGCACCTTCTACTCATGTAAAAACACGCTGATTCCCGGACCGTCCACGGGCTGGATTGAGAAGGCGATTGGGCCGGATCTGGCCCCCGGGCCTTAGTTTGCCTACCCATGATATAGATTCTCCTTTGCTTTCTCTACCTTTGTCATGGACCCATTCCCATAGCTGGGGATCTAGGAGAGGTGAAGAGGTCCACTGAAACTGCTACACACACAGTGGCAGCACATTTGCATGTTCTGTCTGCCAACTAAGCAACATGGCCAGGCTCTCTCACCTTTTTTATTTATAATACTTACATTTCGCTTTATAGGCCCAATTTTGGAAGTAAATCCCAGTGTATTCAATGCTTACCCTCAGCTGGATATTCATAGCTCTGCAACACTGTTCAAATACTGTATATAGAAAAATATTTACTCATGTAGAAGTGGGACTGTGTGTGTGTGTGGCATCTGTTGCACTGACTTTTTGTATGCTAAATATATCTTGCCTAATGCCTGAAGGGGTGTGGTGGGTAGTACCTCTGGTGATTGAACAGACCCACATTGCTCCTTGAACGCATGTACACACCATCTTCAGTCAACACATCAAAGCAGCTAAATTTTATTATGTCAAAAAAATTGCCCCATGTCTCCCATCTTTGGCCAGGAAAGCCAAATGTATTTTGATTATTTCACTTATAAATGTAGACTAGTCAAATGGATTGTTTTGAATCTTACTGGCAGGAACGATTACTGTATGTTAAATTGACAGGAGAATGAATGAATCAATCAATGGGGTTTCCACATTGGAAATCTGACAAACTTCCATCTATGCAATACTGCATCCAAAAACTGACTGAATATGCGGAGTTGGATAACTCATCTGAAACAATAAAGAATAAACCAAAACAGGTATTTCTTTCAAAATGGCAAGTCTTTAAAATATACTTGAAAAATAATTACAGAAGCTTAAACTCTGTTGCAGCATTTGACTAATTTCAGTAGTAGTATCAAGAATGATGTGAGATAAAAGAAAAACCAAGAATCAGTTAAACCATGATAATAGTTTTTACTGGCAATAAATTATATGTAATTGAATTAAGGAGTGGACGGGAGATCAGGTCAGTAGTCAAAAGACCTCTTATCTTTTTGTTATAATGCTTTGTGTTTTTTGGTTTTTTTACTTGGTTTATTATTTCTACTTGTTTTTTGTTCAGTTTTGATGTATGGCTTTTTTCATTGTGCATTAATAATAATAATAAATAATTTTTTTTTAAAAAAAGAATCAATCAATGGGAAGCCACTGGTTATTTCTTTACCTTGAGAAATATCAGGAAAGTTAAATGCTAGTCATACATATCTTTTGTAAATAAAATTGTTTTACATACTCTATTTTCTGAACTAGATTATCAGATGTTTTTGAATTAATCTGAGAAATGTTCTTTGGTGTGTCTTTTTGTAAAGTAGCAGTAGCTGATTGTTTTAGATATTAACATGAAATTAAAGTCAAGGAACCTCCCTGGTAGCAGGAAAACCTGTACCTTTGTACCGTGAAGCCACTGTTCTTTGCCTGTTAATAATTGGTTTTACTGCAGCAATACTGTATTAAGAATCTCCATTTTTATCGGGCTTTTGGTTTAATTTCCAGCATTTGCCTCTTTATTTCAAGTAAAACTTTCCCACCTGGGAACAAACTATGAAGCAAATGAATTTTCACATCACTATCTTGAACCTGATTAAGACATGTTGCCTTTATTACACATGTGAATAATGTATATCAAAGCAGAGATCAGATACCTAACCAAGCCCTGAAGAAGTGAAATGCCCTGAGATCTGGCATTCCACTTGACGAGTTCTATGGAAACACTGATTTTTGTTTGTGTGGGTATGCCCCTTTACTGCAAACATAAGCACATTTTCTTAAAACTGTTCCACTGACATCAATAAGCCTGACCTCCAAATAAGTGTGCTTAGGACTGGAATGTAAAATTAGATAAATACAATAAATGCAGAGAACCACAGTGAAGCATAATAAAACATACCCTAAAAATTCAGACCTATTATTCTCTTCAAAATATATTGCATTTCAATATATATTAAATTCCAATTGTTACTGCAGCAAGCCAGCAGTACTATTTTGGCTCAGTAACTGCCATGTGAGATAATTATATAACCTGAATTATATTCTGTTTCTACCGTATGGTTATTGTCATACTGAAAAGGGTTACGGGTCAGCTGAGATGCTTACTCTAGTATGGGAAGCTCTGGTAGTCTACTGCAGTGTTACATAACCACAAACTGTTAAGACACGCTAAATCAGATCTGTCATTTGAGGTTATCCACTCTACCAAATGGGCATAACAAATTACTCTGGAATGGTCATACAGCTGAACATTCACAAAACCCTTTGGCTGTGATATGTCTTTTTCAGGCTTTGTGAACCAATAAAAAGTTGATTATTAGACAGTCACACATGGTAGCATAAAAACTGTAAAAACGTGCAATTACAGATTTGGTATGTACTCTTTTAAGGTCTATTTTGAGATTGGGGGGGCGGGGAGATGACTTGTTAAGAGAATCATTTTCTTTGGCGATCACTCATAGCTGAGTAAGATTGTCTTCCATAAACACCGTTTTAATAGTAAGTCCATAAGTGACTGTGGAGTCCAATTCTGGACCAACAGTGGGGTCCACAGTGTCGTTCCACAGTGGGGACATTGGTTTCCAGGCAGGAGTGGATCACAGTGTGGATTTGCCAAGCGTGCCTTCCTCTTAGCACGTTTCTCCCTTGTGTCCTGAGTTCGAGCGTCTTCAAAGCCCATGACACCTTTGGTAAAGGCTGTTCTCCAACTAGAGCTCTCGCAGGCCAGTGTTTCCCAGTTCTCTGTGTTTATACTACATTTTTTTAGATTTGCCTTGAGACAGTCTTTAAACCTCTTTTGTTGACCACCAGCATTAATATACAGTAGTATCTTGGGTTACATATGCTTCAGGTTACATACACTTCAGGAAATAGTTAACCTCAGGTTAAGAACTTTGCTTCAGGATGAGAACAGAAATTGTGCTCTGGCAGCGCGGCGGCAGCAGGAGGCCCCTTTAGCTAAAGTGGTGCTTCAGGTTAAGAACAGTTTCAGTTGAAGAATGGACCTCCAGGACGAATTAAGTACTTAACCCGAGGTACCACTGTATAGCTCATTTCATGCTTTTGGAATTGTATATCCAAGGTTGTCATTTGCTTTTCGCTTTAGCGGAAGTACTGATCTTCTTGTTGGCAGATTAAACTTTATTACACAAACCCTTTGAATGGCAATGCCCATCAACTCCGGGGTGGGGGCCCGGCCCCCTCAAATATTTTACTGAGGGGGGGGATCACAAAGGGACCTTGGCTCCTAATAATAATAATAATAATAATAATTTATTTATACCCTGCCCATCTGGCTGAGTTTCCCCAGCCACTCTGGGCGGCTTCCAACAAAACACTAAAATACAATAACCTGTTAAACATTAAAAGCTTCCCTAAACAGGGCTGCCTTCAGATGTCTTCTAAAAGTTTGGTGGTTATTTTTCTCTTTGACATCTGGTGGGAGGGTGTTCCACAGGCCGGGTGCCACCACCGAGAAGGCCCTCTGCCTGGTTCCCTGTAACTTGGCTTCTCGCAGCGAGGGAACCGCCAGAAGGCCCTCGGCGCTGGACATCAGTGTCCGGGCCAAACAATGGGGGTGGAGACGCTCCTTCAGGTATACTGGACCGAGGCCGTTTAGGGCTTTAAAGGTCAGCACCAACACTTTGAATTGTGCTTGGGAGCCAGTGTAGGTCTTTCAAGACCAGTGTTATATGGTCTCGGTGGCCGCTCCCAGTCACCAGTCTAGCTGCCTCATTCTGGATTAGTTGTAGTTTCCGGGTCACCTTCAAAGGTAGCCCCACATAGAGCCCATTGCAGTAGTCCAAGCGGGAGATAACTCTGGCAAGACAGTCTGCGGGCAGGTAGGGTCTCAGCCTGCGTTGGCTCCCTTACTTCCAACTCTACCATTGCACGATTCCCTCAGGTGTTGGGCCCAACAGGGCCTTCTAGTGGTCGACCCCCTTCCCCAAAGCTGCGGGGGAAGTTCTCTCCTGAGCCCACCCCCACCCCCAAATAAACCCGCTCTGAGGAGAACCGAGTCCCCTTCACAGCGCTAGGCCTCGCTTCAGCCCCCGGCCGCCGCCGCCGCGCTGCGCCTGCCAGGAGCAAGGCCCTCTCGCCTCCCAAGTTCCCTCACGCGAGGCCCAGGCCTCGGCCTCGGCGTGAGGGGCGGGCCGAGCGAGCGAGCGAGGGGCCTCCTGGGATGCCGCCTCCTGACGCAGCTCCTCCCTGCCCGCCGTGGCTCCGCTGCAGGCCGCTTGCCGCCGCCTCCTCCTCCGCGCATGTGCCTCAGGCTTTCGTAGCGGCGACGACAGCGGCAGCCGCGGAGACCACCACGACGACGCCGGGGCTTCCGCCTCCTCCCATGGCCGGGACGCGCTGGGTGCTGGGCGCGCTGCTCCGGGGCTGCGGCTGTAGCTGCAGCAGTTGCCGCCAGACCGGCGCGGCCTGCCTGCCGCTGCGCCACGCCGCCTCAGTCTCCTCCTCAGCCGCCCCCTCCGCCTCCTCCTCCTCCGGTTCCCTCGGCCTCTCCGGCCGCCGCCGCCTCCTGTTCTTGCTCGGGGCAGCCACGCAGAGCCGCGGGTTCGCCGGCTCCGCCGGGCCTCTGCCCGGCTTCGGCGCCCTGAGGAGCCCCCTGCTGCCTCCGGCCCTCGCGGGGAGATGCTACAGCCAGGTAAGGGGAGGGGAAACGGGGAACCGCCACCCCCCAATACTTCGGGGCGCCTTTGGGAAATGGGTCTCCACACACAGCCTCCCCAAAGTGTGCGCGTGAGAGAAATGCTGTTTATTTCGTTTCTGTACCGCTTTGTGGTGTTTTTCTCTCCCCACCCCACCCCGCCTTCGAGAGGGGATCGTGTTCGCGCATTTGCTCCCGAGGAGTGCAGGGCGGGTGGTGCCTTTTTTTATCCTCGCCAGGGCCCTTTTGAGGTGGGCTGGGGGGTTGTGTGACGAAGACAGACTCTGGCCCAAGGTCACCCCACGTACCTTATGGCTGAGTGGGAATTGGGATGGGCTCTCTGTGGACGGTGTAGCTTCGGCTTTCTTTTGCTAACTTACGCACACGTGCACACACAAACACACACGTGTGTGTGTGTACATACATGCGCATACACACACACATATACATACACACGTGTATGTGCGCGCATACACACACACACACATACGTACGTACAAATATTCATACACAAAGCCAAAATACTGCTCCCCCAAACTGATGTTAGGGGAACGCGGGTGGCGCTGTGGGTAAAACCTCAGCGCCTAGGACTTGCCAATCGTCAGGTCGGCGGTTCGAATCCCCGCAGCGGGGTGCGCTCCCGTCGTTCGGTCCCAGCACCTGCCAACCTAGCAGTTCGAAAGCACCCCCGGGTGCAAGTAGATAAATAGGAACCGCTTACTAGCGGGAAGGTAAACGGCGTTTCCGTGTGCTGCTCTGGTGCCGGTTCGCCAGAGCAGCTTCGTCACGCTGGCCACGTGACCCGGAAGTGTCTGCGGACAGCGCTGGCTCCCGGCCTCTAGAGTGAGATGAGCTCACAACCCTAGAGTCTGTCAAGACTGGCCCGTACGGGCAGGGGTACCTTTTAAACTGATGTTATTAGTCTGGGTGGTTTCCTGAGGTTTATATGTCGCTTGGCTGTACGACAAAAAACCCTCAAAAGCGCTTTGCACAAGATCTTGCGTCTTGCAAGATGAAACAGTGATATCGTCGCTAAAAGGAAAAAAGAACACAGCCAGAATCTGAAACATACAAGAAGTTAAAAGCACAGGAACGCAAATAAAGACTCACGTTGGTGTAGAGGCCTTGTAACAGGGTTGTTGTTTTTTTGGGGGGTAGCATTTCAATCCAAGTTATGGGAGAAGCTTTTTTGTGATCTCCAGAGTGATCCTGTTCTTTGAGACCTCTGGGGGGTTGCTGCTTTCAGCTATTGCAGAGGTAGGCAACCTAAGGCCCATGGGCCAGATGCAGCCCAATCGCCTTCTCAATCCGGCCCACTGGCGGTCCGGGAATCAGCGTGTTTTTACATGAGTAGAATGTGTCCTTTTATTTAAACTGCATCTCTGGGTTATTTGTGGGGCCTGCCTGGTGTTTTTACATGAGTAGAATGTGTGGTTTTATTTACAATGCACCTCTGGGTTATTTGTGGAGCATAGGAATTTGTTCATATTTTTTTTCCAAAATATAGTCCAGCCCCCCAAAAGATCTGAGGGACGGTGGACCTGCCCACGGCTGAAAAAGGTTGCTGACCCCATAGCTATTGCCTGCTCTTCCCAACAAAGAAGCTCCCCACCCCCCTATTTCCCAGGGCGAAGCTGTACTGTATTCTGAAGGACTGGGAAGAAACCACTTGTCTTCCTAAACTGCAGCTGCAGGGGTGACCGGATTATGTAGCCAGAGCAGGTTTGGGGATTCTCTCCCCAACCAAGCTGCTTGAGGGCGGTCCTTCTGACCATGATATTCTGTGTTCTTTCTCTCCTGGAGCTGACCAGATGGGAAGGAAACCTGGGTGCTGTTTGCTGGGTTTTCAGGTCGCCCCATTGCCCTTTCTAGTGCAACGAGCAGACAACAGTTTCTGTGATATTACAGAAGCTTCTTGAGCATTCTTACATTTGCGGTGAGGTGGGGAGAGGGGATCTGCTGGATGGGAAAGGCATCTTGCGTACTGGAGTCCTACTTCTGACCTGGCATGGTCAGTGGCTGGACACCTGGAAGTATGGTGCTGGCCATGCAGAAAACAGCACTGCTGGCTGCCTAGCTGTGACCCCCTAATGTGAGGGTGCTACCCTGAACACCTTTGGAAGGAAGAATGGCATATAAATTAATAACTAAATAAGTAATAGATCCCAGTTCCCTACCCACATCTCTAACTATAATATTCCAAATTCTGGAGAAACCCATGCAGCCTTCTTGTTTCTTCATCCACCAGTTTTGTTAGGAGCCTTTATCTCTAACATACCCAATTCATGAATTGATGAAAATATGCTTTGCTGACACTGGAGGTACTTCCGGACAACCTATTTTTTGAATAGGTTTGTTGGATTTGTTTGCAGAGAGATTAGAAGACATGATCATTCAATGGACATTCATTCTGATTTGTTTGTGGGAAAGTTAGATGGCAGTTGCATCAAAGCAAGTGTTATCCAGCACTTTCCAGTGCATTTTTTCAGTTTTTTGCTTATCACCAAAAATCAAATATTTTGGAGAAGTGGGTTTGTTGCACAAAACCTCCCAATCAGCTATAACTGGGCAGCCTAGATTTGCCAGTATGTGAGTGAGGTGGAATCTGCACTCATATAAAAACCGTTCTGAAAATCCTTTTTTAAAAAAGCGTTTTTAGAAATACATTGAATTTTCCATAAGGCTCACCATCTAGTGTCACATTGCATATTGCACTTCAGACACACTTAAAACATTTTATTTGCAGCTATATAGCTGAGTCCTCAATCTCACCTAATTGTTGATTAACCCTGGCCCTCAGATGTTTAAGGGAAAATATCCAAATTCAGCTAGGTACCCATTGCTTCACCACGTGGTCCTAGTAACTGAGGAAAGTTTATTTTCCCCCACTCTTTGTGCATACTTAAGATTAAAGCAGCAATTGTAATCAACATTCTTGATTGAGAGTCATTTGAAGTAATCAAGGATGCCGCCCTTGTTCCTTCAATTCTGCTTTCCTTTCAAATTATATTAATAATAATAATCTATTTATTTATTATATGCTCTCAGCAAATATGTAACATAAACTCTTTTCATCATCCAGATCATAATGTGTTTTCACCTTGGTGCTGAGAAAATTTCCCATCCCATTGAAGAGACACACTTGTGACATTGAGGACATGCCTCAGAGCCATGTTAGAGTATCACATGTGCTTTTTAAGCAATCTGGTCCCTGCATGGGACATGCACAGGATGCTTCAGTCCACTTGTCACATTGCAGTGATGTCAGGTGACCTATTTTTGACCATGTGATTTGAAAACAAACCTTGCAAGCAATCGGCTGATTTCATGTGCGGAAGAAGCCCTGCAAGTAGTGCTCCTCCAGTGTATGGCGTCAGGTGTAGTGAAGGTGGGCATGGCTTGGCTGAAATGGACAAATAGTTTGACTCGGCATGAGGCAGATACCTATATTCCTGACTCATAAATTGTGCCCTGATTATATGTTTAGTTACAAATATAATGTTGAAACAACAACTCTCTCTTTGAAGGAGCACAGCCCTCCATTTCATGATGAATATCCGCCTCTCTCAGAGTATGACCCATCTCCAACCAAGTCACGTGGCGAGGAAGATGATGTGTATCTTATTCGAGCCCAGGGTCTGCCTTACTCCTGCACCGAGGAAGATGTTCTCAACTTTTTTTCAGGTAATTTCATTTTTCCCCCTAACCAACCAACATGGTGACGTGGCTAAGGGTCTGGACTACAAATCACATAAAATGCATGCTTTAATGTTTCATGTTGGGTTTTTTTATTGGGGGGCAGGGAGGCTGGTCAGAACTGGGGCTGCCAGGAGGGAGAGGCAGTGCACTTAAAGCAGCTTCTCTCTTTCAGCTAGAGGGCACATGGGCACAGCTAGGATTTATGTTGTGGAGGGCAGGACACCCACCTGTCATCATCCTCTGTTTGGCTCTGTCTAGCAGATTCAGAATGAAATGTCTCAACAACAGTTGTTTTAAATTACTTTCCTTTGACCCCAAGTGCTCAGAAAAGTCTGTCAAAATCTTTCTACAATTTCTACTTTTAGTTAAGTATTTTTATTTATTTACTTCATTTAGGAGGAGGCAGCTTCCCCCATACCCATGAGAGGGCGGGAAACATATTTGTTTGTATTGATCTCTAAGCAGCTCTGAGAGCCTTTCCAGCTGTAGAGCAGGATAAAAATGTTTCCAGTAAATAAGGCTACATACACTAATGTGAGGCACATATGCTGAATTGAACTATGCAGGAGTTCTGGCTAACCAATTAATTAAGTTTAGATTTCCATGCTGGCACAATATGTCTGGGACTGTGTACTTCTGTTGAATCTGTTCAGAACTGTATTGATTGCCTACATTTCTGTAGAGCTTCTCCTGGTTGTGGAGCCTGTAAAATGGCTATTTTCAGAAGCTCACAATTCCCTAGGCGTATTTATTGGCTAAAGCAATTAATCATTGTTATATGTTTTAATAAGTGCAGAGGGATTATAAGTAACTTGGCACACCATGGAAGAGCATCTTTAAAAGTAGCAGTAGATGTGCCAACATACTGAATTCCCAGTTCTGTAGCTGAGTGGAGTTGTTGAATCCTTGGAGCTTTTAATACAACCCTGGAGATACTGGACAGTCATCCAAATAGGGCTACCTCATTCAGGCCTTGTTCCTTTGGTGTAGGGGAATTTAGTGGCATTCTGGTATGAAACATCAAAATGTCCCGTTGCATCTGAATCAGAAAAGAAGGCACCTGAAGTTTCTTCATCTGCCTACTTTATAACCTTGTAGGCAGCAAGATTCGAAATGGTGTGAATGGCATCCACTTCCTCTTAAACCGAGATGGCAAACGCAGAGGAGATGCTTTGGTTGAACTGGAGTCAGAACAGGATGTGCAAAACGCCTTGGACAAGCACAGAAGATATCTGGGTCAACGTTATGTGGAAGGTAAGCTTCTTTTTTTGCTCGGGATTACCGTATTTTTCGCTCTATAACACGCACCCGACCATAACACGCACACAGTTTTTAGAGGAGGAAAACAAGAAAAAAAATATTCTAAACGAAACAGTGGATGTATGATTTTTGTGGTTCATGCTGTGGCCACAGACATGTGATCTGATGGTGAGTTTGGGGTAGCCCAATGCAAAAATCCTGAGGATCCATGTGGATCCATGCTTTGTAACCACGTTTTTGCACCACTGCGGCCCCAGGCAACAGTGGGTGCGTGATTTTTTTGGTGCAAGCTGTAGCCATGGACATGCTATGTGATCTGATGGTGAATTTGGGGTGACCCAGTGCAAAAATCCTGAGGATCCGTGCTTTGTAACCAGGCTCTCTGTCCCTCTCTTCTCCCCACTAAGCGGCTCTTCTCCCGCTTTGCTGTTTCAAAGCGAGCAAAGCGAGCCATGGAGGAGGGAAGGAAGGGGAACCATGGATCCTCTGCTCACGACTGCAGCAGATCCCCCCGCCATCCATAGGCATTCGCTCCATAACACGCACAGACATTTCCCCTTACTTTCTAGGAGGAAAAAAGTGTTATGGAGCAAAAAATACGGTAAGTATGATTCAATAACTCATAGCACTATTCAACGCTGCTTCTTGTGGGGTTTTTTCCAATGCAGTTTTCGAAATACATAATGAGGATGTTGATGCCATCATGAAGAGCTTGCACTCCAGTTCAACATCTGTGACAAACGATGGAGTGGTGAGACTGAGAGGCCTTCCCTACAGCTGCAATGAAATGGATATTTCTGAGTTCTTCTCAGGTGATTCTGCGTGGAGTAGCGATTCTGTGAGCAAGTGATTGTGAGCTTGTGTCATCTAATGGGGATTTTTTAAAAAAATCACCTTAGAAGAATCTTGTTTGTTGTACACCTGGTATGGAGATGTCAAATGGGGTTTCTAGTGTGAGCAGGAAAAGTTAACTCAAAGTGGGGGGGGGGAGAGATGCAGAAGCAGGTTTAGATATGACTAGAAACTTCTTGTTTTCAGATCAGGAAGAATTGTGAGTAAATTCTTTTTCAGATCAGGAAGAATTCTGATAATGAGGATACAAGGATGGTCTGATAGCATTAGTGGAATTGTTCTTTTCCAGAAGAGTCAAGTATCAGAATAATTCAGAAAATTGTTTTAATGGTGGTGATATTTTGTCACACAGGGTAGAATTAAATGGATGCATTGTTTCACATTTAGGTACAATCTGACACCTGGCAGTGAACCAAAGCTGGACATACCATCATATTGAATCTGCTTTATCTAATTTTGTGCTGTATGAACAAGTGCCCTAGAGGGCCTCCTGCATATCTCGTGTGTGTGTGTATTTAAATTGAATGGGAGCAGGTCAAAAGGGATGCAGGTAGAAACAGGAGAGTCTTTTGTTTCATGTATGTTTAGCTTCAGGCTCTTGAGACTGATCCATAACATTTTTGCATCAGTTTGTAAATTGTACAAGAACCAAGTGCTAAAGTGTTAGTGCCACTATATTTAAGGCAGCCTTTGATGTGCAATTTTATCATGGAGCGTGAGTTCTCATTTTGCTCCTCTTAGGAAGAACAGAGAAAAATGTGCCCTGCTGCTACTGAAATGCCTTCTTTTGCAGGTTTGACTATAGTCGACATAACATTTGTCATGGACCAGAGGGGAAGAAGGAAAACGGGAGAAGCATTTGTGGTGTTTGCTACCCCTGAGATGGCTAATCAAGCCTTGTTGAAGCATAAGGAGGAAATTGGGAGCCGGTATGTTGCTATTGGATCCATGAGAGGAGTGGTGGATATATATTTTTAAAACAAACTTTTTTCCAAAAAAAAAGCAGGTGGAAGTTGAATGTATGCTGTCTCCTCCAATCAAAACATTATGCTGGATTGGTTGTTGTGAGAAGGGATGGGACTTGAGAGAGGGTGATAATATGTACCTACATATATACATTCCAGTATTGTGTGTTTAAGTAGCTAGCAGTGGATATTGGACTAGAGAAACCTGGGTTTGAATTCTGGTGTCAGTCATGGATTTCACATGATAGATTTCAACAGGGTCTTATCTTCTGCTCCCATTGTCATTTTAAATGAGAATAATAATATTGACTTGCTTTATAAGCTTGCCAAGAAAATAAATGAGAGAGAGATAGAAAATACTCTGAATTAGTTCACATGTAATAAATAATGGTTTTGCATTACATGAATGAACATTGAGCTTGTATACTCCCTCATCCCCTCGTACGCTCCAGTTTTCTCTGCATTTGCATTTAACTATTTGCTCTTACATCTGAGCTGGCAAACGAAGGCTTGAACTTTCCCTGTAACCCATAATTTCGACACATAGGTTAATTGTGGTTTGAATGTGACAGACCTGGGTTTACATTCTGGTTTAGTTCTTATGTAGATTTGAATCCATTCCTCTGTCTGTCTGTTTCTGGTTTTTGCAAAGGTAGTAGTGTAGGAGCTTGTTGTCTGAACTGAGCCTTTGTGTAAATACACAAATGTAAATTTACCAAATGGTAAATATCAATCCTGATCTAACTCTTCTCACTTAAAAAAAAAACCCATTATAGATACATAGAAATATTCCCAAGCCAAAAGAGTGAAATTCGAACACACAATGGCTTTTTCCGGGGCAAGATGATGGGCTATCCCACTCTGAAACAAGATTCCGAATCTGTTTTTGACGAAAGTGAGTTGAATGAGGCCTTAAGACCGACTGCTACATATGAAAGCGATAAAGAAAATGGTAAGTCCATACAATACTTATCATTTGAGATATCTTTGACTTGCCTCTTTATGTCCTCCACATGTTGGAGAGAGGCAGACAGGACACACATGTAATTTGCACATGTTCATTCTGGCCTTGTTCACTTTACAGAAGTTTTTAAGCAAGCATTTGAAAAGCCTCGGGATGTGTCGGAGTCTGGGAGTTTCTCCTCGCTTCACTTTGTTCATTTGAGGGGTCTGCCATTTCAAGCAACTGCACAAGATATTATAAATGTACGTAGGGGGTAAGATCATTTAAAATATCCTGAACAATTTTATTAGGAACTGCTGTATTTATCATTCAAAATGGGAATTTTAGCTTATGTCAGTCACTGAAACTTACAAGTCCTGATTAGCCTGAAGCAGTTCTGCAAACAATTTGCTAAAACTCATTCATCCCTGCACTTCTCTCCTGAATGCCACTACTTGTGACCTGTTCCCAATAAGCTTGTGCCACCAGGAAAATCAAGAGCACATTAGAGTATTATTTCAACTTTTAAGTCTTGGAGAGGATTGAGACAGTGAATGGTAACACCTTAATATTCACATTCAACAGCCCCGAGGATTGGGCTTATTGGCCTGTTACTCCTTCAGTACTAATTAGGCTCCCCATCTTGATTGTGACTGATTCCTGGCCTTTAGGAAAATGCTCAGAACCACTTAGTTGTGCATGAAAAGAGAGTGGAGATTATCTTTCTTTAACATCAATCTCACACGATGAACAGCTTCTGAACTGAGGACCTTTGCAAAAGCAGTTTTGGGTATGGCATGGCCTGCACTTTTAAAGAAAACAAGTAAAATTTCAGCAGGACATGTCCAAAGTAGCTTTTTGATGACAATGCAAAGTGTGTAAGCTTCAGTTGTGGAACAGGTCCAGCTTTGTGCAACAAGCAATTTGGCTTATTATGTCTGGACAGCAGCTAAGACCTTTTAACACATTACTGCTAGTCTCAAATATAGAACAGTAATTCCACTGCTTCTGCTCGGTCTTGGGTTTTCACATTTTGATAATTAAATCTTGACTTTCACCCCACATGCCTTTCTTTAAAGTTCTTTGCTCCCCTGAAACCGGTGAGGATCACTATGGAATATAATTCAAGCGGGAAAGCAACGGGGGAAGCGGATGTTCACTTTGAGACACACGAAGATGCAATTGCAGCCATGGCCAAGAACAGGTCGAACGTGCGTAAGTGGAACTTCTGCATTTTCCCCGGGGACACAGGATTAGAAGGGGACTGCTGAGGCACAGCAGTGTCAAACCAGAAGCAGGAAGAGTATATAGCAAGAGCCCTTTGAGAAGGTACATATTTTTTCCTTACTTTAAAAATTCCTTGCGAAGACGTCCTCCTCTGATGTAAACTGCCGGGAACAGAAACATGACAGGTTCTCTATCTTGCCCTTCCCACACCTGCCTTGAGTCAGTATAAGAAAAGATTCCAGAAGCATTCAAATGATCCAGTTGTGCAAATAGTTAGAGAGAGCAAGAGGTCTTGCAGTGGGGCGAATGGGGAAAAACCTTTTGAAAAGCTGGGATCCAAGATTGCACTTTTGATCATCCCAGTTGCAAGCTGCTTTGCCGGGGTGAGTGGATGTAGAGAAAACCATTTCTGCAACATAATGCCTGAACCTGTTCTGTTTTTAAAACCTAACATAATACTGCATTTTGAAGTATTAGATGCATTGTGCGTGCCTTTTGAGCCTAGTAAAATCATGGTTCATATATAGTTGCAAGGCCACTGATGACAAGTGAGGAATCCTTACAGGATGACATTGCACATCAGTATATGTCTAGCAGTTTCCAAAAGCAGGCAGGTCTTGTTCATTTGCAGTTCCAGAAGTCACTACACAGCTGTGGAGGGATCACTTTAAGCAGCTGTGTCTGCTGTAAACTGGCTTTCTGGAAAAACTGAGGTTAGTAATGTAGGTATCAGGTAAATGGTGGCATGTAGTGCTTGATAAGTGATATGCATTGCTGCATAAACTTTTCCTGCACTAACATTTCAAAGCATGAACGGAAAGTTAAAGCTGTTCTTCTCTCCTACAGAGCATAGATACATTGAATTATTCCTGAATTCATCACCAAGCAGAAAAAATGGTTGCCAGTGACGATGGCATAATTCCCAAAGTATAGGTGAGTGTTAAGGCAAACTTGAATTTCTCTAGGAAACCAGACTGTTTGTCAAGTAAGCATCTGTAGAGATAACCCAATCTGTAGTTGCAGTGAATTAAAACTTCCCAGATTCAAATCATTGCCAATATATACAGCCCAAGTCCTCTAATTTGGAGATCATAGGCAAAATGTGAATGCAAGAAGAGCCCTGGTAAATCAGACCAAAGACCTATTTAGTCTAGCATCTTGTTTCCCAGAGTGGCCAATCAGAAGCTTCTGGAGGTCATGAGGGTATCCAGCTCCCCAGTAACAGGCATTCAGAGGCTTGCAGTCTCTGATCTCAGAGACAGGATGCAGCCATGATGATGTGTAACCACTGCTAAGTCTTTTTTCTCCATTACAGTGTGCAATTTCAGGCTTAAACCTTTTGGTTTAAGGTGCAAATTCTCCTATGGGGTGTTACTCAATTTAAGTCAAGGCTTTTAAAGGCAAACAGTAAATAATGGCACAATATTAGAGAAGTAAGGTAGTGGGGAACTGGTGGCTATTATGGGATTTTCATGAGGTAACCATGTGCAATGGCCTTGAGAAGCCTATACAGGAACAAGTTGTGCATGCTGTTATCTGATCAGGTTACTGGAAGTGTTGGAAGTTTGCCCCACTTATGCTCCTGCATTCAGAATGAAAATTGAAAGGGTATTTTCTAGTGGAAGCAATAATTCTTTTTCTGTTTTTCTTTTGTAATCTCTTCTCTGTTCTTACGTAAATTGTGACTTTTTGGAACATTGTCTCTATTTAAATACCTTGTGGTAGAGTTGGCTATAAAAAAAAAAAGCAGTCAACCAAATTTAGAGCAGCACTAATAAAAGATCTCATATTCAGGATTTAAGTCTGCTGTGCTAAAAGAAAGTTAAAAACTAAATTCTGCATACATATTTTTTTGTATAATTTTGCTGATCCTGGAAAGGAGAGACCTTTGCTCTTTGACTACTGGAAACCTCCCTGGGCTAAGATTGCTGCTAATTATAGCTCTCATAGTCTTTTAAGCCTGTATTTGCAGGCATAAGGACTGTTGAGATTCTCCAAATGCTAAAGACACCCAGCATGTTACTGTTGTGTTACATTTGAGAGCTAAAGAAAGAGGAGGGTATTGGGCCAGGATGATTTGCATTCATATTTGTTAATTCAGCACCCTCTTTCCCAACAGGATAAATCAAGATGCATTTCATTTGCACATTTTCCTAGAGCTGGAATATAGGCGTTCCCGTAACCAGCAAGGATAAATTCTAAAGGACACTTTTTCTCCTGAATTGCCTTTCAAAGTAAATCTAGCAGCTGCAGCTGCAACCCTACAAATCGTTTGTGCGGGATCTGTTTAAAACCAAAATTAAAGTTGAACTGTCCTTATGCTTCTTGTTACATGTCCTGGTAGACTGGGGGCCAAGCTGTGATGCACACAGGGTCACGTAAATGTCAGTTTCTAAAGCACGGATGGTTCATATGCGTTGCTGATTGTTTCCCTGTGGTTAAGCAAGATAGACGTGGGCTCTGATTTCAATGCCAACTCAACAGTTAAACAAAGTTAGGGGGAGACATGTGAGATTCTGTAGCCTGTTGCCAATTGCTTATCGGTGGTAGGTAGAACAGTGTTACATCTGCACCAGTCTGTTGCATGGAACTTAATGCCAGAACTGCTCTGATGCAGTAATTCATGGTAGGAATTCTGTGGGTCACCATAGGACTGAAATGCCCCATAGGGGAGATAATTGCCCAAAGAAAGTCCCTTAATATTGACTAGGATAGGGAAGCTGAATTGCAGCATATGCTCAGCAGAGCACACATGGGGCTTTTGGGTCAGATGTTAGATAGGGTGCTGAATACTGACTATAAAGAAACTGCTATTTCTCCATAAGTAGCTTCAGTTGTATTAACATTTAACTCAGAAGTTAGCAGTTTAGTGGTAAAGACTTAATACAGTCAGTCTTCATCCTAGGAAGATGGTTAGGTTGATGCAACAGCCCTTGGATCCAACTAATTCCTTACATGAAAACTGATTTTTACCATGTGAATGGTTTGGATTTACCATTACCTTGCTTGGTTCTGCCAGGACATGCGAGAGGACTGATAAGACCGTTGCCAGCATTATACTTGTGCAGCCAAATCCCAGATGAATATGAAGTGTATGGTTGCTAACATATGCAGAAAGTGCCCATACCTCAGCTTTTCAACTAAACTAGCTAGGCAATGAAAGGATTTTCAGATGGGTGATTAAAGATCACCAGGTGCTTTTGGCCCCTCTGTATAAATCTGTTCTTTTCATAGTAGAGACTAGCAAGTTTGATAGGTAAAGCTGAGCCCAACTGCTGCTGCTACCACTAAGTATAGTGACAAGTAGGTGTTAGACAAGTAGGTGTTAAACATTGCTTATTAGTTTTGCCTGTCTGATCAAGTCGATGTATTACTCTTAATAAATGAAAGCTTTTTTTTCTTAATGCAGACACTGTGCTTCAGGGTTCTTTATCTGGTTTTGACACATTTCAACACAGCTTTCAAAGGCAATACCAGTCCATTAACCATAAGACCTCTAAGAACCACACCTTTCTTCTGATTGTACACAGAAGCTACTTTCAAAAGTAAATGTGTTGGTCAGTTTTGTGTATGATCAGTAGTGCAGCTAGGGTTTATAGAAAACTAGAAGATACAAAAAGTTCCATAAAAATAGTTTCGTCTACAAGGCAAGTTTGCCACAATATAAGGTACTGTGTTATTGAGCTCTGTTGAGCACAAGAGCCTTCCATCAAAAGTGGTTTGCCAATTCCCTGTGTTTCTAATATTCTTGGTATCAGCTGAAATACAAAAGCAGCCACGGACTATGCACTTTAAAATGCATAGTGAAAAGCTCCCTTGTTAAAATAAAGTGGAACAGGCAGTTGTTGTGTACATCAACATGTTGACCGTGTTACATGCTTTAGTTTAAGTCATATGAGAATTAATGGACCTAACAGCCATTTTCATTTATTTCAATGGGTTTACACTAAGATAATAATAATAATAATAATAATAATAAATAATTTATTTGTACCCCGCCACTCTGGGTGGCTTCCAACAAAGATTAAAAATACATTGAAATGTCACACGTTAAAAACTTCCCTAAACAGGGCTGCCTTCAGATGTCTTCTAAATGTCAGGTAGTTGTTTATCTCTTTGACATCTGATGAGAGGGCGTTCCACAGGGCGGGCACCACTACCAAGAAGGCCCTCTGCCTGGTTCCCTGTAACTTTGCTTCTCACAGTGAGGGAATCGCCAGAAGGCCCTCGGCGCTGGACCTCAGTGTCCGGGCTAAACGATGGGAGTGGAGACACTCATTCAGGTATACTGGGCCGAGGCCGTTTAGGGCTTTAAAAGTACCAACACTTTGAATTGTGCTCGGAAACGTACTGGGAGCCAATGGAGGTCTTTCAGGACCAGTGTTATATGGTCTCGGCGGCTGCTCCCAGTCACCAGTCTAGCTGCCGTATTCTGGATTAGTTGTAGTTTCTGGGTCACCTTCAAAGGTAGCCCCACATAGAGCATATTGCAGTAGTCCAAGTGAGAGATAACCAGAGCATGCACCACTCTGGCGAGGCAGTCTGTGGGCAGGTAGGGTCTCAGCCTGTGTACCAGATGGAGCTGGTAGACAGCTGCCCTGGATACAGAACTGACCTGTGCTCCTCCATGGACAGTTGTGTGTCCAAAATGACTCCCAGGCTGTGCACCCAGTCTTTCAGGGGCAAAGTTATCCCATTCAGGACCAGGGAGTCCTCCACACCAGCCTGCCCCCTGTCCCCCAAGAACAGTACTTCTGTTTTGTCAGGATTCAACCTCAATCTATTAGCCGCCATCCATCCTCCAACCGCCTCCAGGACCTTCACTGGTTCTGATTTAAAAGAGAGGTAGAGCTGGGTATCATCTGCATATTGATGGACACTCAGCCCAAACCCCCTGATGATCTCTCCCAGCGACTTCATGTAGATGTTAAAAAGTATGGGAGGACAGAACCCTGAGGCACCCACAAGTGAGAGCCCAGGGGTCTGAACACTCATCCTCCAACACCACTTTCTGAACACAGCCCAGGAGGAAGGAGCAGAACCACTGTATAACAGTGCCCTCAGCTCCCAGCTCCTCTAGACGGTCCAGAAGGATGTTATGATCGATTGTATCAAAAGCCGCTGAAAGATCCAGCAGAACTAGGAAACAGCTCTCACCTTTGTCTCCAGCCCGCCAGAGATCATCAACCAGCGTGACCAAGGCAGTTTCAGTCCCATGATGAGGCCTGAATCCCGACTGGAAGGGATCCAAATGGTCCGTTTCTTCCAGGCGTGCCTGGAGTTGTTCAGCAACCACCCGCTCAATCACCTTGCCCAAGAATGAAAGATTTGAGACTGGGCGATAGTTGGCCATACTGGCCGGGTCTAAAGATTATTATTTTTTAAGAAGCGGTTTAATGACCACCTCTTTCAGCGGGTCTGGGAACACACCCTCACAGAGGGAAGCATTCACCACCCCGCAGAGCCCATCGCCCAGCCCTTCCCGGCTTGCTTTCATTAGCCAGGATGGGCAAGGATCAAGGAGACAGGTGGTTGGTTTCATGCGTCCAAGCAGCCTGTCCACATCCTTGGGGGTAACGGATTGAAACTGATTCCATGCAACTCGACCAGACAGAGCTCCAGCACTCTCCCACCCCAGCCCTGCTCCCATGGTGGTGTCTACCTCCTTCCGAATCTGAGCGACTTTAACTGAAAAAAAACTTTGCAAAACCATTGCAGGAGATATTGGGGTCATTACAAGACCGCGATGGTAAAGGTGGTTCCATTAAATTACAAACCACTTAGTAAGCAGACATACTCTACAGTTCCTCTTCCTTGCAGCTATATTTTCCTCTACAGTTGCAAGGATGTAATTGTGCTACTGGTTAACCATGTCTTCCCTGAGAATAAAGTCTAAAGCCAGGGCTACAGCAGCTTTGTTCAACCTTTGATGCTCCAGCTGTTTTGGGCTGATGGTTTGGGCTACCTGGAGGGCCACCGCTTGGGAAGGCTAAACTATTAAATTTCAGTAACTAATTGTGGTGTTATAGCTGGAACTTCAGATCAGTTATGACTTAAAGCCACATACCCTTCTACTCCATATAACGTATCATAAAATAAGCCATGTAAAACTTCAGTATGTTTATAGTAAAGATTGTCTGCACAGAACAAGACATAGCAAACAAAATATACAGCAGTTTTGTACGGATTCAAATACATTGTGCAGTTTTGATTTAATTTCCAGTACAAGTAGGTCTCTTCACAAAACACACTTTGTGGTCTATGGTTCAAGAAAGCAGCCACCACTGTAAGAGTTAACTTCTGCTGCTGAGTAATCTTTGCAGATCAAGGTATATTCTATATCACACTTGACAGGTTTTCAAAAATCCATTGTTTTATGGGTAAGCAGCAGTATTACGATATATGCCTTCTTAAATTTACATTTACATAAATAGGGAGTACTGCCCACATAGTCCGGTTGTGTCAATCGCATCTACAGCTTGAATAAGCAGCTTTGCAAAAAAAAATAATTGTCAAGTCATTTACAATCGGTTGCTGTCCTTGTGGGTATTCTGCAAAAATATAGACTCCCAAGTTGAGAGGCCACCAGACATGTGAGTTTTTGTGCAGTCGAAATAATTTTTGTACACAGTACATTCTCTTTCAAATATTTTGGTTACATACAATGCATTCTTTTAAGCAGCAGCATGTATAAAGCACAACCCTAAAGAAAACAGAAGCTCAGGCAAAAAAATAAACTTATTTGTGGTATTTTCATCTTTGGCCAGGCAATCAGTTGTAGTTTGTTTTTACAGATCACCTAATTTAGTACCAAAGACTTGTGGAGCTTATTCAACTGCTACATTTTTGCACACATATGTGCAGTTCTGTAGGCTATAAAACATGGGTAGAGTGCACCACCAAGTCCTCTAGAGGGTTTTGTAATTCAGAGCGAGGGCTCAAATTGCAGATCGCACAGGTCTGCTGGCAAGGCAGAGTACATTCGCATAGCTCGCTCTTAGGAAATCGGACTGAGAGTGGCTCAGTGTCCTTGCCCTAGGCTGAAAATAAAGGATGAAGTGGCTTAGGCAAGACACAAGCCTAGTTTGCATAGCTGACAGGATACCTACAAGCACTAGAGAAGTAAAAAGAGTGCCATGGTAGGAAGAGTCCTATTTATTCTTATGGGCACCCATGCTTAGGTTGTACTGCTATCCCCCAGGGAGCAGTATCTAGATACACCTCCACCAATATCTTCTGTGTCTTCAAAAACTAAACATTTCAAGATTTACAGAACCTGTTTCTAATGCTTTTTCATCTCTAAAGCATCTGTAACACCAGTGCATGTCAGAATCTGGGTAGAACTCGGGAGTGGTTCACCCAGGTCTTTTAAATGTTTAAAAGTTAGGGCTGATTGGTCAGTTCACAGCCCCCACCCCAACATGTACTCTGATTCTGCAAAAGCAGACAAAGGTGTTCTTTTGAGTAACTCTCCAAGATGTTGCAGCATTCAGAAGCTTCCGTCTGGTAGAAATAAGCTGCCTTTGACAGGACCGCTGCCTATCACCGTTGGGAGTCCTATGAAGGGCTTGCCGAATATTGCTGCATCAGATGCTTGTGGCACAGGTTACAGACCCGCTCTGGGTAAATGCTGGAAGGAAGGGGCAGTTCGTTTGCTGAACAGTCTTCACAGAACACTCCGCCACAGTTCTTGCAGGTGTTCTGAAGAGGGGAGAAAAACAAATGGAAGTTAAAACCACCATTACATTTCCTCCTCAAGGGAGCAGGAGCAGAGAATCTCAAGTTGCCTTGTGTTTGTTTCAAGTTAATAGCTTGTCCTGTCCTTCGGGCTCAGGTTGGGCAGTTACTTCCTCTCATTGCTGCACACACAACCCCCATAAAGCAGGTCATGAGAGTGGTCAAAAAGTTTGCATCTGTTATTCCTACAAAAGGCTGTCGAGTACACTACCGGGGCAGAAGATGGTTTCCCCAAGTTAAGCAGGTGAGGCACTCTGTTTAATTTTACCTTTCTTTTGCTCTGTGTACTTTCTTCTTGACATAGCTGGCACAACTCTAATTTGCCAGGTCCAAGGGGCTGCTCCTAAATAATTGAAAAACATGTTCTTTAAACATACAGTTAGGCTTTTTTTTGCTAGCCTTTTGATGTCTCATGAATGTTTTGCTTACAATTTGCTGAAGCCCTCCCACTCAGACTTAAATCTCAGATAATAATAATAATAATAATAATAATAATAATAATAATAATAATTTATTTATTTATTTATTTATTTATTATTTATACCCTGCCCATCTGGCTGAGTTTCCCCAGCCACTCTGGGCGGCTAGTACAGATGAGCTGAGCTGAGTAGGCTCCAAACTCACTACTTCCCTTTCCGAGTTTGTGCGCTTTGAACATTGAAGCAGAACTCATTTGAATTTACCATTTTATAGTAATATTTGTATAGTACTCTGAAGTGGTATGAGCACTTCATACGCATTGGCTAGTTGTGTAATCCTTATAAGGTAAGTCAGTATTATCCCCCATGTTAAATGCATAGAATTCAGGCTCAGTCCCTTTAAGCTGGCAATTCCCAGATTACTTACTACAAAACTAAATTCAGTACTACTCTGGGTGGCTGGGGCAACCCAGTCAGATGGGCGGGCTGCAAATAATACAAATAAAAGCTTGGACACCAAGGTCAAAAGTTCCAACAACAGGAATTTTGCACCGACTGGAGTTTCTTCATTAATTTTATGGTTTATCAAAATAATTTTCTAACACCGCTTCTGTTCTCATTGGAGGATACATGCTTACAGCAGCCAGGGGTCCAGAATACAACATTTTAACATTTCACTTAATGCTCAAAATATATATACACAAATATTTGGAAATTTACAAAAACAGACGAAAGCCTTCAAATCTATAAGCCAATATTCTAAAACCAACTTCTTGATATTTGACAAATATGTCAAAGACAACATTACATGTCAGCATCCCAAAACCATCTGCACACCACTCAAGCTACTCAGCCTCTTTAGCAATTCATCATTTTAAATATTTTCCCGCATATTAAAGGCTCTTGGCTATTGACTATTCTAAAATAAGCAACATAGATGACTTACATGCTCCTCTTGCAAGATAGGAGGTGCCCTGGAAGATAAATAAGACATTAACTTTGAATGTTATTTCATCCACATCTTAACTAATGCAAGCTGGCTATTAAGTTTGTTCTGATTTGTCATAATGGTAATGTGGTCACACACATTCATAATACTTAGATGCTCCAAGCATAAAGCAGGGTTGGTTGTCCGTGCCTCATACCAAGCTTTTGTCAAAGGCAGAATACAATCCATAAAGTTAAAGTTATGAACTCCCAGGTTTTTACCAGCCCACCATGCAATGAACTCTCAAAATCCAAACACAAAGCCCTCAAGCTACTTAGCAAGCATCTGATTAGATTTACACGAGAGCTCTGCTTGTCCACATCTTGGACCCAGAAACTAAGATATGCTTTCTACAATTGTCAAAACTAAGACACATAAACCACATTGATGAGCACATCTACATGAAAGTTGCTTGTTTCACACTTCAGCACAAGCCAATAGTTCAAATAACACTTCCCTAGAAGAGCCACCACAATGTGTGGAGTTTTGTATTATATGCCTCTATGGGAGGCGGGTGGCGCTGTGGGTTAAACCACAGAGTCTAGGACTTGCCGATCAGAAGGTCGGCAGTTCGAATCCCCGTGACGGGGTGAGCTCCCGTTGCTCGGTCCCTGCTCCTGCCAACCTAGCAGTTCGAAAGCACGTCAAAGTACAAGTAGATAAATAGGTACCACTCCGGCGGGAAGGTAAACAGTGTTCCATGTGCTGCTCTGGTTTGCCAGAAGCGGCTTAGTCATGCTGGCCACATGACCCAGAAGCTGTCTGCGGACAAATGCCGGCTCCCTCGGCCAATAAAGCGAGATGAGCGCCGCAACCCCAGAGTCGGTCACAACTGGACCTAATGGTCAGGGGTCCCTTTACCTTTACCTATGATATCTGTGCTACCTGAACAGACCCAACAATTTCCCTAAGCTTCTTTTTGGCCACTAAAAACCACTGCAATGGCCAAGCAATTTGGAGGGAATCTGGCTTCCTGAATCTGGGCATCCAATGCCCTGCAAGAAAGCAACTGTAAGCTCACAGCAAAGCTCACTCTCCAGATATGCCACCTTCAGCATAACTTATCATGGGATGTTAACTATCCTCCCTAGAGTACTTATCATAGCTGGAACACATGCTAAAAATGGTGTGCAAATATAGTATTAATTGAAAAATGTCTGGATCACAATTGTCTAAATTCAGCCATTGTTTGCAAGGATGTCCCGCACAAATATCAGATAAAATTTCATGTGTGAGAGTCTACAGAAATCATACGAGAAGTCATCTTATTAGCTGAAAAACTGGCCATTGAATCATAACCACCAACACCTGTATGATCAAAGAGAATATGAATTGAATATATGGTCCATACTTGCTTGGAAGAACTGTCTGCCCCTCTTTTATTGGTGTTCTCCAGGGAGACTCTCCTTCCAAGTGTTTGCTTCCTGCATCCTGTCAGAACAAACAGATACTGAAGGATCAAAGAAGAACACAGAAGAAATAATATGCGCTGTGTCCATTTCCCCTCCCCTCAGCAATAGCTGTTAAGTTTCCTGAACGGCCAGAATCCACAAACTTTTGGCCACCATGAAACTACCTACTACTACTAGAAGAACTAGAGATCACTTAAGAGAAAATAACGAGAATTGTGGTAACAGAAATTGCCATGTGCGTGTGTTACTCTGGGGATATTTGAAGAAGCATGTGGTTATCCTTCATTTCCTGGCTTGATTTAATGTTCTGGTACTAACCTTTAAAGCCCTGAATGATTTCAGACCAGTTTATTTGAAGGATCACTTGCACACTTATTTAAAATGGGCAACATCCCTTTCTTCTTTGCTGTGACTCCCCCAAATCAGTTTCAGGGGGTCCCCAACCATCTTGGCAGATTAGTGTCCATTCAGCTGCCAGACTATTACTGAAAATCTATGCCTTTCTGGAAAAAGTCCTCCCAATAAGATGAACAATGATAAACTTAAGATTACAATAAAATGTCCTTCTATTTAAATCTCTCTTTTTAAACAGTGGTGTTTTTAAATATGATTCAGGCAGTACACCCCACCCTCCCTTCACAGCATATCAAATAAAATTACATCAATTAAAAGGAGGGAGTTTCACAGAATACAGGCCATTAATGAGCAGGCTCTGTCCTCTAGTTCTCATGAATTGAACTGATCTTGATTTATTTAAAAATTTTGGAAATTCACAGAACAGCTTATATTAAAATTTCTGTAAGCAGTGCAGAGTTTTAAAAGCCGGCCAGGAGGCTTTTTTTTTGCTGTAAGCACAAATGCAGAAAAGCAGCAGCTACTCTTATGCATGCAACAAAACAGGCACCTATCATCACACATGAGGATCGATGGACGATTTGCAGGCTGCTTTTACCTTTTTTACTTTTTTCTACATGCAATTTGCACGTGCACAGGGGAATTTTATCAGCAGCAGTTCAGGGGCCAACCTCCAGGTCACCTGCCCCTTCCCCCCGTCTGTTTTTTTAACTTAAAAAAACCCACACTACTTGCCACGGTGCTAGTGAGACCCTAGCCACTCACCATCTTAATCAGGCATTAAACGTTGCAGGTCCCATGCTGTGGGACACTTTTCCGGCACCCTCACTTTTGACTTAAAGACATCTCTCGATATAGTTGTTTAAAATATTCTTGAGCAGCCAGTAATGGTAATTCTTTTTCTCTACTGCTTTTAATATTCCTTTAGTGTTTCTATATTGCTGTACACCACCCTGATTTTTTAATTTTTAAGGGCGGTATATAAAGAGCTTATAAATAAACAAATAAGTATACTCAAAGTCCTAAATTTACATTTAGACCTACAAATTAGCTAATGCACGTTTGTGCTCTGGGTCTGTGCCCTTTTAAATAACCTAGCAATGTCCTTGCAGGAAATTCACCAGCTTTGAATCACCTCAAGCTGTTACAGTATACTTATGCTTCACTGTGACCAACAGGAAACACAAACCTCAACAACAGCAACAGTAAAATAAGAAGAATCCTAACAGGTTAAAAAGAGTAACTGAATTAAAGCTACAGTTAAGCACCAAGAAGCAGAAGAAGAACATTACTGTTTTAAATCCGGCCTTCTGGAATCCTTTGCTTTGGCTGTGCAAACTTCTGTTCTCTTGAATTCCAGGGTGGAAATGTGACCATCGCTCTCGCTCCCGTTTCAGTTCCAGTTCCAGCTGGCCCCTGAAGTAGCAGCGTGGAGAGAAAGTGTGTTAAGGACAAGCTGTAGTTTACTGACCCAATAAAAAAGGCCACTGAAAGAAGGAAAGGTTTCCTATTTTTTATGCTCCAGATTGAGAATTTCAAAAACGACCCCTCTGAAGAAAACGGCATCGCATCCGAGTCGCACCCTTGGCCCATCCCAATGCCAAACTTTGTAACCCCTCCTTTAGGCATGTAAATGCCTTGCCCTCCTCTGACTCTGCTAGCCTTGCTGGTACCCAGCTAAGCAGTGTGGCATCAGGTTTGCATGCAAAATGTCCCAGATTCAATCCCCGGCATCTCTAGGTGGGGCTGGAAATGGCTCCTGCCTGAAGCCCTAGACAGCCACTGGAGACAACGCTACGTCAGATGGCCCAATGGTCGGACTCAGTATAAGACAACTTCCTACGTTCCTGCATTGACCAATTTCATTTCATTCTTAAATTGCCAGAGCACATAGAATCATAGAATTGTAGAGGTTCTGGGGATCATTTTGTCCAACGCCCTGCAATGCAGGAATCTCAGCTAATGCATCCATGACAGAATACATCATTATGTACTCAATGTGAACACAGAAAGACATGGGTAAATCCAGAGGCACATGAGCCATGATTCACCACTGCACGCAGGAACAGTGCGCATCAACGACACTTCCCCTGCGTGGAGACTTGCAGGTTCTATGCACAGCTTATGATTTCTCATGTCTCCTGCATGAACAGGTAGAGGATCAATATTAGCTGTGCACGAGTATCACAAAGGCCAAGAACATAAGGCATGGTGAATGAGTATGCCCGTTTGTGTGGGCATCGTTTAAAACATTCACTTGTGGTTCTTCTAAAGTGGCCCACAGATTTGCACACATGGGTGACAATCCAGGCAGATCTCTAGGCACACAGCACACAGGCCGCTGCTGAAGATGGAGGAGACAACTCTTAAAAGCCATATGACTTACAGTCATACCTCGGCTCCCAAAGGCCTTGGGAGTCGAACGTTCCGGCTCCCAAACGATCAAAAACCGGAAGTGTTCCGGTTTTCTTTTTTTGGAAGCTCAACAACCGGTATGGCTTCTGCTATTGTTTCTGGCATGCCTGTGCAATCGGAAACCAATCGGAAGCTGCACCTTGGTTTCTGAACCTTTCGGAAGTCGATAGGGCTTCCAGAATGGATTCCGTTCGACTTCCGAGGTCCAACTGTACTGACTTACATTGGCTGGCTACACTAATGGGAAGAAGCTCTTCTTCAGCCTTAAGCTTTGAGATAGCTCAGTTGGCAGAGCATGAGACTCTTAATCTCAGGGTTGTGGGTTTGAGCCCCACGTTGGGCAAAAGATTCCTGCATTGCAGGGATGGGACGAGATGATCATAGTTTTCCCTTCCAACTCTACAGCTCTATGATTCTACTGAAAGATGTATATGGACTTACACAAACAAGAACTTAACAGTTTGGAAATTTCAAAATGTCACCCTCGTTTTGGAGAGGCTTGCTAGGACAACCTGTGAGGAATCCTGCAAAATGCGCAGAACATGCAAAATGTTCCAGCAGAGCTGGAAAAAGGCTGCTCAATAAAATCACACACAAATAAATCAGTTCTGTTCACCGCTGCTTGGTGAGCTGTTCCACCTCCATCTGAAGGCTGTTGATCTTATCCCCAAACTCCTGCTTGAAGAGCCGATTGTCTTCCTCCAGGGACTGACGCTCCTTCTCTGCATGTTGCAATCTGGATTTGAGCCACATGAACTTGTGATAAAAAACAAAAGCCATGGTGGGGAGGAAGACTGAGGTTAAACAATAAATTAAAGAAAAAACTGAGCCCAATGAAAGGTGAGAGGAAACGTATGGGAACAGGAAATGAGAGGGGGAACCAAAAGAAATCTAAAGAAAAATCAAAATGGAGGTGAACCAGGCAGAAGAAACTTCTATTTTCAATTTTTTTTATTCTATAACTACAGTTTACAGTCATTAGATGATAAACATAAAACATCACTTTTATCCATAGTCAAAGCAAATCTCAATTACACAGTATTTGTAAGTCATTTCTTTTAAATTTACGTTACATTGCAGCTTTATACAAGTAATTGGAACTTGCATCATGGGTTACCTACTATATTAAGAAATTAGTGCATTTGTCTGGTCTCTTCCACAACTGTTACATCAGGTTAAACACACACGGATCCAGAGTGGATACAAAGTCGTGGACAAGTATTTAGGCTTCCCAATCTACTTGAGGCATCACTGCAACTGGGGGGGGGGGCAGGGAGAGAAATGCACTTTCACAACAGAGGGGCTGATTTCAGACTGCATGTTTTCACCAGCTATGTGGCATATACTCAGCACAGTGGCCTAACTGTAGGGTGGACAAATAGAGGCAGTCACTCAGCAAAAATTATGGAGCTATCACATATTCCAGTCCACCTCTGAAATACCATCTTCAAACAGACTCAAACGTGATTTAATCAGGCATATGGCACAGTCCTCCATTTACCAGCTCAGGATGCTGACGGGGCATCACTTCCTTGAAAGAATCCCACTGTCACAAACTCTCAACAGTATGAAGAACTGTATCATGTGCCCAGTTCGACATCCTGACCGTTTCTTGGTGAGTGGCTGGCAGAAGCACAGCAATTCAAGCCAACAGTGTGGAGAAGAGAGGGACAGAGGGGACTGACTCATTAGCAAATCACCGTCAAGATCAATCAGCAAAATAACATTTTCTCTTCCTTAACCAGAACAAAGTCCACCAGACCATTCTCTGAAGGGCTAAGATGGTGACAGCTTCCGCTTCCAACCATTATTCTAAGCGACCATCCTCTGTTCTCACTCAAACTAAGGCATCCTACGGCCAACTAGCAGGAACCAGGTATGACTCTGAAGCATCACTTCAAAGGACATTTTAAACAGAAGGAATTATGGGCTAGAATTCGGAAGCTGTGTATTTGTTCCCTTGTCCTCTCTAAGCATGATAATCATAGCGCAGCCTATGTTAAGCCAGCCAAGTCTGAAAGCTAAATCCTAACTACAAGAGGGGTGTGGCATCGTAATAATCCTCGCCACCAAATTGGACATTTTAATGAAACATGTTTACTTTAGGATGGAATTTAAATTGGTGCCTAAATAGACATTGCTCCAAATTAACTGGGTACAATTACAAACATGCCACACCAAAGTGTAATTCTTAAGGATTCTTACTTTAAAGGAAAAGAGCAAAACATCTGCTCTGCCAGTTTTACAAGGAATACAAGAGTAAGATTCAGCCCCCTAGATTCTAAAATCAGCCAATTATTCCCCTCCCCCATCTTTTAAAAAGTCAATTTCCCCCATTTTGCTTGAACACAAAACAGGAGATTTCCAAGGGAGGGAACTGAAAAAAGAACAACAGACTATTTAAAACTGTAAAACTAATTTGGACAGCTGGACGAGTATTGATAATGACTCTCTACACACTAAAGGCTGTTTAGGGACTAGCACAGTGAACTCTTGCAGTCATGAGAAAGACCCCTAATTTAATCCCAAAACAAAAAAATAATGTTATTTTGAGTTCCAGCAAGGTGTTTTCCTATGCTTTCTAGGTTTTAGTCGGTCTTTCGGTAAGTCCCCTGTTTGAACCAAACACTTAGAATCAAAAGTTAACAAGATCAAAAGGCAACTTTAAGCAATAACGATCTAGTTATCGTATGCTGTAGCTACTCTGAGTCAATGACTGACCAGCAGTAAAACACTACCAGTTCCATTCATCCTCTTAAACAAGGTAAGAACCATAATGAACTGTTCTGCAAAATACATTATTCCATCTTTCCTAAAAGAGGAAGAGAAGATAACACACACCTATTATGAGAGTCCTTCTAGAAAAGAGAACCACTGTTTATTTTTTAGGGAAATGAAGGCAGAGGTAGAAGGCAATGCAGAAACAAAAAGGGCTTTCCATTTTAAAATATACCTAGTGACTAGGCGTTGCATCCATGTCACTGGAGGGGGTTGAATGAATATGTCTTTCTCTAATGCAAAAGGGTTGGTATTGGCGCATTGTTTTAGTGCGTCCTTGCACTGCAAAATATTCTGGTTACAGTTCGTTACAATTTTGGTTTGCATTATTTGTTTTGTATTATTACTGCCCTCCTCTGGATATTTCCTTACGTCCATGTACAGTGGATTATATCAAAATAATGGGGTTGTGGGATCATCGGAATGGGCAAGTGGGAAAAGACAACGAACAAGACAATTGTATGTAAATGCAATTGAGAGAAGGTGAAAAGAGCAAGTCCAAGCAGAAACACATTTTGTTCTGCTATAAAGCAAAACAGTGTAATCTCGCCCCATTTCAGCTGCGGTGGTTGGACGCACAATATCTGTGAACTGGTGCATCCTTTGAGCTGTGTGCTGAGCACACTGTGCATATCAGACCCACTTTCCGTCTACATAAATTTGTGATAAATGCACAGTTGGGGTGGGGGTGGGAAACGTGCAATGCAGACAAGCCTTTGGTAAACAAGGACTAGGCCCTTCTAATGGAAAGTTCTTCCGAGGTGAGCTTGTCCTGGTCTTGAGATCAAATGGGACAGAAAAGCTAAACGTTCGTGGCTTGCAGCAGGCACCCAACTGCTTTAACTTCCATGTGTGTATTTTCTTCATACACTTCACAACAGGGAAACAGAGGAAACTACCTCAGCTTCCCGCGAATCTGAGAATTTTCAGGGGGAAAGCTTCACACTTTTCCAATATCCTGCCAAGAGTAAAAAGCTTGTGCTGTATACACTTGGTATCAATTGTATGTACAGACCCACAAATCTGTTTTTACTTATGATTTTATGGAGTAGGTTCTGGTCAAATCATTTGTAGTTTAGTAAAGTTTAAGCAACAAATAACTAAGGGAAGGAAGATTATAGGCTACCTTTTCTATTTCCAAACAAAACAGATGCTTAAAAAAAGAAAGAAAAAGAAATCCACCAAATTCCAAGTCAACTTTAGGTGACAACATTTAAGTCTGACATCTAAATTCTCAATCTCTTTTTGCTTTCCCCTCATAACTGAACTGAGATGTCAAGAGTTGTGAGGCGACCAGCTGCAAAAAAAAAAATGCCTAATGGGGCTTCTGAATCAGTTTGTTTGCTGCACTATTTAAGGTTTTTGCCTGTTTCACCAAATCCTTTTCACTATATGATGATAAGGAGATGATAAGGGGGAAATGGAGGGAGAGAAGAGGAGAAAATTGACAGCAGAAGAAAACACCAGTTAATTTAACAGGTATCTGACAATATATTTCAATGTCAATGCTTTCCTTGAAAATACAAACACCAACTATGTATGTGTTAAGAAACCAGTCTTGATTTCCATTCAGTAACAGCAGTGGATATAGCAATAGATATTTCAGTACGGCTAAATCTGGTGTATTTGCAAGGTTCAGCGTTCAAACAGGGGCAGCTACACCCCGGTTTGGGGTGGCCCTTCCAAACAAGTTCTCTGGTCTCATCAAGAACTCCTCAATTTTGGCAGCAGTGGTAAAAAAAAAAGGGGGGGGGATGAAAGTAGGCATGGTTTAAACCTTTCTGCCAAGTCCAGCAGCCTGATGGGAATGTGAATCAACCCCTCCGCAGTCATCAGATTGATCATTTGAAGGAGGAGGAGCTTCATATCTTGTGTGTGTATGTGTGAGAGAGAAACAGTGCATGTTTGTGTGATGCGGTCATACCCATGACTGCCATGCAGTCCTCACTAGGCCAAATTCCTTTTTCCAGGTTACGTATTGGATAATCAGCCCACTTTACCTAACTTCTCACTATACACAAAGGAGACGGAGGAAATTACTTGTGTCTGCTTCTTCAGGGTAATGCTTTGTAGTGCACCATGTTGAAAATGCTTAAGCTCCATTTTCAAATATCCAAAAAATACGTACATTAAGAGTATCTTTTAAAAAAACACTCAACTGAAGGCCAACTTTGTGTTTCGCTTACTAAGCAAGTTTCAATCTTACCTTTGTTCGAGCTGTTTAATGGTAGCAGCCATCTGATTTGTCTTCTCCTCCAAGCGGCTGTTTAGTTCACTCTTTTGTTTCACTCCCAGGTCAGAACTCTAGGAAGGCAAAAAGTCACAACACCATCCTTATTTGTTTATGCAGCAGTCACCTGCATCTTGCTGTTGACTGAGTATTGTTGATGCCAAAGTACCAAACTGAGAGAAAAATGCACAAACACTGAATAGTTGCAGTGATTTTAAAATGAAGACCTGGAAATCCCAGAGGACAAAAAAAAGGGAGACACGAGTTCAAGTCCTATTTCAAGCATAAGCTGAGTGCATGGTCTTTGCCAAATCACACTACTGGCCACAGTGCCTCGCTACAGAATTGAAATTGCAACGACCAGCTTCACAAAGCTGTGCTGAAGTGGCGTAAACGTAAAGGTACCCCTGACAGTTAAGTCCAGTCGCGAATAACTCTGGGGTTGCAGCTGAGGGAGCCAGCGTTTGTCCGCAGACAGCTTCCGGGTCATGTGGCCAGCATGACTAAGCCGCTTCTGGCGAAACCAGAGCAGCACATGGAAATGCCGTTTACCTTCCCGCCGGAGAGGTACCTATTTATCTACTTGCACTTTGACGTGCTTTCAAACTGCTAGGTGGGCAGGAGCTAGGACCAAACATTATTGTAAATAATGTTTACATAATGTAAATAATTTACAGTATTGTAAATACACATTGAACATACAGTAATTAAAATTTGAAGGCTTTAAGATTCTCAACACAAGGTTTACTTCAAGGCTTTTGATCTTATCTATGTAAAGCTTGTGCAAGACTAAATGGTATCACTATAACTATGATTAACCAAATAAGGGAGAAGCAACAGGCCCTGAATTCAAATGCTGAGTTATAAGCACTCCATGTGCAACACTGAACCATGGCAGGGAAAAATTAGCAAGAGAGATTGGGGGGGGGGGTGAGAGACAGACAGACAGACAGACAGAGGAAAGAGCGCAAATCCCCCCAGTTCTTTCCCAACCTCTTACTCAGAAGTAAGGTGTAGCTGTTGTGATATCTGCTCCAGCCCAGATAGTTCCATGTGGAGAAATTGTAAAAGGAGCACAGTGCAGTACAGAGATGATGTTAAGTGTCCTTTCACAGAGAAATACATTTAAATTACCCTACAGAGCAGGGCCCAAGATGACTGCTGTCCTACACTACAGCACTATGTTTCTTTCTTATGCATACAATGCCGCAAGAGTTCAGGGGAAATAATAACATTTAACCACGCAAGCCAAGTGAGGTTGAGAATGCCGAGGGTCCTCTTCCTGAACTTCAGGCTGACCAAGCATTTGAACCTTGGTGTCTCATATCCAAACCCTGCATATTTTCCACCATAAAGCTAAGAGGAGTGAGTCATGACCTAGCAGCCAACCTGGTCTTGCTTGCTTACCTGCAGCTTGAAGGAAAGTTCGAGTTTTAGGGCCCTGAGATCATCAAGCTGCTGCCTGAGTGCCACCAGTGCATCTTGCTTCTCGCAGACATCTTTTTCCAGCATCTTCATGGCCAGTTCCATCTCTTGTCTCATTCCAATCTGCACCTCAAGCTCTTTTTCCACATCCTAAATCACACACACATGCATACATATATATGAAATCTGGAATATGAAAAATCTACCCACATTGTCCATTCCTCCGGCACAGAAAATGAAAGGTGAATTTTCTATACAAATCCAGAAGAGCAGCAGTGCTAGTTTAGCACATTGAATGCTACTGAATTTATTGTGAGGCGAGCCTTTGTAGGCTCCGCTCTGTTTTATCAAAGTGATGTTTCTCACATCTGATTAAGTAGAATCCAGCTTACCATGAATGCTACTTCTCTCCATTAATATGGGAAAATGTTCATACAGCAAGAGATCCAGGGCTTGTAACAGTCTCTTAGACCTGAGCGTTGAGCTGTGCCACTTACCAGCCGCAGCTGTGTTTCTTCCTTTAAGTGTTTCCGTGCTTCACTAAGAGCATGTCCATCTGCAGTTCTGTCTTGCTTGGGTACCTGCTGTTAAATCAGAAAAGCAATGGGGTTTTGTTGTTGTGTTTTTGGTACTCAACAAATATCACAATGATTAAATGATGTCACTTCTGATTTTTCCCTTTTGGCTAAGTTCATGCAAAAACATCACCTTTGTTAATTTATCTGTGTAGCTACTTGGATACCTAAGGCCACACTAATTATTTAAACATCAGTGTGTGTTCGCAATGGATAGCGTACATTCAGATTTTAATGCATGCAAGCAAATGACAGCACAAGGATCCTTCTGCAACCTAAGTTCTCCAAGGGGAGCTCTATAATTTGGCACGTCAATACACATACTGGATAGATCACAGTATAACAGAGGCAGAGAACAGGAGAAATAAGGTACGTTGCAGTAAAATGCCTTCAGATCCTAGAAAAGTAAGTTGCACTACGTACAGGCAACTCCATGGCAGTGACGCAGTGGGACATGATCTACCCGCAGTTGCCAGACACACACAAACACACTCTCACACACTGACCTTTCTGTTGGATTCCAAAATATATGAACTTTCTTCTTTGACTCGCTCCATGTCTTCTTGCAGTGTTATTATTCTGTTGTTTGCAACAGCAAGCTGTGTGTGTCAATGAGAACAATGCAACAAGTGAAAAACAACACTTTTTGTGACTTTCTTGGTCAAGAGTTAAAATGAACTTGGACTAGGGCAACTGCGGAACTCCTATTGCTTAATGCCAAGACAAATCATGAGAAATCTTACACATACAAAAGTTGGCCAGTAGAAGATAGCTGTGACAGGTTGCTCAAGAAAGGTGTAGCAACCTCTGGTCCTGACAGTTCTTAATGGCCTCAAACCAAGACCAAAGAAGAACCAAAGCTACCCAGACTTTCATGTTCCCTAAACCTGTGCTGGACTCCCTGATCAGGCCTTTTGGACCACTCTGCCCACAACTTCGTATTCCTGCTTCCTCTAACCTACCATTCCATGTTCATGATTCCTGTCCTTACCAACATATGCCTTCCTTGGGGTAGGTGTCTGCCAAGTCTTGTACCAAAATAGTCCTTTACCTGACATCTCCAGACCATAATGTTATTTGTTTGGTTTGTACTAGTAAAATGTTTGAGAATTACTTCTGAGTAAATACAAATAGGATTGGGCTTTTAGCTGGTCAGCCATCCTGCATTAACTTGCTAAAATATGCATACAATTTGCATACACACAGAAGTTTTGAAGGAAAATGCCTGTTTTTGTTTTTACAGGGTTCCATATCTGCCTTGGGACGCAGGTGGCGTTGTGGTCTAAACCACTGAGCCTTGGGCTTGCCGATCGGAAGTTTGGCGGTTCGAATCCCTGCGATGAGGTGAGATCCCGTTGCCCGGTCCCAGCTCCTGCCAACCTAGCAATTCAAAAGCACGTCAAAGTGCAAGCAGATAAATAGGTACCGCTCTGGCGGGAAGGTAAACAGCGTTTCTGTGCGCTGCTCTGGTTTTGCCAGAAGCGGCTTAGTCATGCTGGTCACATGACCCGGAAAAACTGTCTGCGGACAAACGTCGGCTCCCTCGGCCAGTAGAGCAAGATGAGTGCCGCAACCCCAGAGTCGTTCGCAACTGGACTTAACTGTCAGGGGTCCTTTACCTTTACCTTTATATCTGCCTCATCATGCTCCACTACAAAAGAGGTATTCCGTCCATGTGAGAAAAATTATCAAACATTCAGTTCTAATTAACTTAATACCTGAAACATATTTCCCTCCCAAACATGAGCAAAAAGCACATTTCTTTGATTTCTACCTACCTCCTCAGTAAGTTTAGTATTGGATTTTTCTAAAGCATCAACTTTCGCCTGCAGATTATTGACTGTGGCACTGTGAAATTAAGAGACCTGCGGTAATTATACTGAAATGAAAGAACTCAACATTAACAAACCAAGTCTTTTACAGGTCATAATTATATAGGAAAACTGCACATTACCTTAAATGTCTGTTCAGCTCTTCCACATAATTTTTCTGGTCCAGAATTGCAGTAATTTGACCATCTCTGGAATTGGGACACAATTAATAATAAGAAATAGCAGCTCAACATTATATATCAAATACATATGAACCAGATGGGGAGGTGGGGGACTCGTTCTATTGTCGTTGTACTTATGAAAAGAAAAAAGACTGAAAGCAACTGTAGTTTAGCAAACATTATAACACCATTCCATAACAATCAGACAAACTGGACTTAATTCCAACATTATTCCAAACTATGATTAGAGAAGCTTAAGTAGAGTTTGGTGTGATATCTGAATGAACAAACAATGGCTTATAACCAGGTAGCAAACCAGAATTTAAAAACATGGTTTGAAATGTGTTTGCAAACCAAAGTTTTTGTTAGCTATTGTTTGGTATGATGTCTCAATTAACAAGCCTACGATCATCATTCATCGTCCAGCATTCAAAATCCAGAGAGTGCTGTACCACAAGGACAGAAGTGAATTCGTCAAGCTGAGTGCTGAGAAAACTCAAAAGCTGACAAGTAGCTCCAAACCATGGTTTGCATGTTGTAAGTTTAGAAGCTCAAACAAGACTTGAGTTGAACCACTGAAAGCAAAACCTTGATTTCCAAGTATGTATGAGTGAGAATGATGAATAGTAAACATGACAAAAGCAAAAGACAATTTATTTAAAAACTAAACAATAAAGTGACAGAAGTAGTAACCAAAGGGGACATTAATTTAATAACTGTGCTAGTATTTCTGTCAACACCTTCTCATACAGTATCTTGCATCTGTGTAAGTTAAGTCACAGCTGCTGTATTAAATTTCTTTAACAGAAAAGAATATAGGCACACGTGTTTTCAGGCTCCATATCTGTACTTCAGAGCTAAATATTTTGGCATTCAGATCACTTTAGTACAGCCTATTTCAGGAAAGAAGTAAACCTTCAAGGCTTCAATATTAACACTAATATTAGCAGATCCCACCCCAAAACAGTTTTGAATTTATATAGTGGTTACAATGTCTCCCAAAAGGTTAATGAGATTGTGTTAAGCCTGTAATTGAATGCTGGGGCTATTATTAGGAGGGAAAGTACAAAGCAGCATAATTGTTAAGTTCAAACTAATATATAGTTTCATAGAACATTCTGATGCACTAGTCCAGAGAAAGATTACCTACCCCTCACTTCCCTTGCTGCTGTTCCCATCCTTTAAGTACATTGAAAAATCGATAACTCCAACCTACAAGAGAAGTCAGTAATGCTTCAGGTCAAAACACAACTATATTTCTTCTTGCATGAAAAATTGAGTGCCTTATTATGATTACATGGGCAATAATCAGGTAGATGAGCCAGCTTTGCGTGCTCAGATCTTCCTATTTTCTACTTTTTCAGCAGCAGCTCTCACATCACCAATGGTCTTTTAAACAGCTGTTTGAAATGGGGAAAACCCCAGTGAAAGCACACTACTGCATGCAAGTGAGTAATTCATCTCGCTGGATCATGGCCGCAGTGTGCCATCAGTGTGTTTCTTCCTACTAAGAATGAAACCCAGATACCCAGAGAAGATGGGAACTATATTTAAATTAATATCAGTCCAGTTCTTCTGCAGACAGCATCTTAGAAGTAGGGTAGGACAACAGATCATAGCCGACACATTTTTTCCCAGGCCACATCCAAATATATATGAACAGAAAATGCAAATGAGATCTACTTCTGTTCAAAAATAGACACGGTTATCAATCCTCTACAACAAAGGTCACCAGCGTAACACCTGCGGGTGCACATATCGCTTTCCTGACACCCACAGGGAATGCATACTCTTCAGGAATTAGACTTGAAAAAGCATTCTTTTGTAGCTAACAGAATAAGCTGTGATGTGTACTTGGATACAGTGCCTTTGTGGGGCCCACAACACTTTCTCTAATTTGAAAAAGCACCCACAGGCTTTAAAATGTTGGTGACTCCTGCTCTACAATTCTATATCCATAAATCTAGAAGCCAGCAAAGAATATGGATCCCATAAACTTTCTTAAACATGCAGGTTTCTAGGCCCCATGGTATGGAAGAACTTGCACACTGCTTGAGAAGGGCAGCTTAGCTTGACATCTTCACAGTCAGCTGTCCGTGCAGATAGATGTTTTGAATGCCCCTCACTTACCCTCACATCTCTCCCTCCTATCATACTTCAACTTTCTCAGAAGTCCAAGAATTATTCATGAACACTGAGCAAGTCAATATTTTTAAAAAATTTCAAAAATTGTGATTCTGTACAGAAAAATGTGTGTTTGCTCAACACAACAGATTTTTTTTTTTTTAAAGCACAAAGTACAGATTTTCCCTTGAGGATGCTTTCACCTGGTTCTGAGACGACTTCCTTTTTTCTGCTTTCACTTCAAATCAGAACAAAGGAAAAGAAACTAACAGGCTATTTTACTAGTTTAAAGTAATTAGTAACAAGAACGAAGAAACGGCTGCTTAGAGATGTGCAGAGAACAGCTATATTGTTTCAAATGGAAACAGACATACAGTAAAACCTAAAAAAACAAAAACCCTCTTCACTGATAAATGCCAAGAAAATACAAAACCAAAACGCAAAGTATCTTAGTTCCCTAAGCAAAAAATACCTCAACAAGTAGGAAAATCCTTTATTTAGAGTTCAGTGAATCTTGATTTGTGTAGCAGCCACTGACTAGCCAAATTGCATCCCAGTTATGCCTTTTTTCCCTTTTTTAAAAAACTTTCTCAAGAGCCAAATGGACACAACTGAAGAGAATATATAGGGGAACAAAATATCCATCACCTGTGAATCCAAGTCTTCTCCCTTCATGCAAAAGTTTGCATCAATTACATTCAGACCTACTAAAAGACCAGCAATTATGGCACCTTCTTCTTCCATCATTAGCGCGTTAGGTTCATAAAACTCACTGCAAAACAAGTTGAGATAAAGCTTGTCAAATCACTATATTCCAGACTTCAACAAATCTACTCATGGTTATTTACTGCTCAGCCTAGTGGATGAGTTGATAAGAAAGCTTTTAAGTTTTACGGTAGTTTGTGATGATTAGCCAGGAGGCGTTGGAAGCCAAGCCAGTCACTCTGCAAGAGAATCCTTGTTCAATTATCTACATTATTCAATCACAGGAAGCAGGGATTCCAACTTTAAAACAAGGCTAGGAGAATGGGGCAGAGGATTATTAGGGTTTGATACAGATCCTTCATCCCTCAATACATACAGAGAGATTTGTGGGGCAATTTTGATAACTTCAGAGGGGCATGAATATACCTTGCTTTTGGAGGGGGGTATTCTATTGCAAACAATTACACAAGGTGGCCAGGAATGCATTCTTTCCTTCTAAAAACATTTTTCATTCGCTAAGCGGCTTAGTTACACTCCCCTGGCTACTCTGCACTTTGAGAGTGGCTGAACGAAAATGCCTCTCCCAGGGAATGATGCTATGTGGCACTGTATGGAAAAAATAATGGCTGCCCCATCTTTTGTCCATTGAGAACTTGCAAAAGGGAAGATAAACTGATTAAAGTTTTATTTTCCTGCCACTTTCATTGCAAAATAAAGTGAATTTTATAAATATATCATTTATAGGCTTTCAGAATTAATAAATAAATAAATCAAAATGTCAACCAATCAAAACTTTACAACACTGGCTTAGAGATGGCACAATGGGTCAGTGTGTCCGTCTGTAAGCCAGAAGGTTGGTGGTTGGCGCCCACCCTGGGACAGCTGTAGACAGAATTCCTTCATTGCAGGGGGTTGGACTAGATGACCCTCAGGGTCCCTTTCAACTCTATAGTTCCATGATTCTATGAAAGCAGTCAGCAAGTTTTATAGGGCTCTTCTTCATCCTGGATGTTATATTAAAATAAAATAGCAGTAAGTGCGGGAAGTACTTGGGGTCATGGTAGAAAAGCTCCAGTATTTGCCATGGCGTCATTTCAGGATTAAAACGGAAACTTTTCTTTCATGGCTCATGAGACCGCATGAGATAGGATGGGATCATGACACATGTGCAAGAGGAGGCCCATGTTAGAAGTCTGAACGGCTTGCTTGCATCAAGGTCATTGTGAATAACCATCAGGCATGTAAAAATAGAGAAAAATTCAAAATTCCGAAAACATTAAGAGCAAGGAAATGGTTTTCCATAACTATATTCTTTTAAAAGAAAACAGAAGGCAATCACCGCATGCATTATTTACATTGAATCTATCTACCTATAGTCTACACTCAGTTGGTAGAGCATGAGACTCTTAATCTCATGGCCATGGGTTCAAGCCCCAAGTTGGGTGAAAGATTTCTGCATTTGCAGGGGGTTGGACTAGGCAATCCTTGTGGTCCCTTCCAACTCTATGATTCTATATGTGTATTTCTGACCTATAGTGGCTCAAGAGCAAACAGAGAGAATGTGTGTGTGCGCATGCACAAACACACCCACAGAGTTTAGAACGGGCAGCTGCTGTGCATTCCCACTCTCCTGAACTGCAATCCATTTACTGCCAGCAAGATTAAGTCTCACTTCATTTCATATGCAAGGTTAGCCTGCAGACAGGAACCTGTTTATCTTATTTTTCTACAGTAAAATGTCTAGTAAAATTTTAAGTGCTTTCAAAAATTTGTGACCATGTACACATTTCCTTCTCGGTGTAGGGCAAAGTCGTGTCTACGGGAAACCTTTGAGTTCCTTTCTAGAGCCCTCAATGCTGGCAGGCAGGTATTCAAAGAAATTATGACAATTTAGCAAGTCTCCAAACCAGATTATACATTCCACCCATGCTGCTATCAAAACAACCTCTGGAAGTGCCAGAACAACAATGAGTCAAATTATGAATACAGAGGCACACAGAGAAGATACCCACAGAAAACAATTTGCTTATGTAATAAATCCCCTTTTATTGAAAGCAAGGCTTCTCTGGGTCAAGAAACAGCAAACCACTAACCTGAGAATTTCCCTTCTGTTTATCAAGGCTTTCATGTACTCAGAAAGCTTCTTCTGCATGAGAGCTAGGCGAAGCCATGCCCTTCCTCTACCCACAGGCGTCCTATCAATACCAGAGACAAAAAGATATATGCTGTTATATAATCTACATTCCAACTTCCACACCCAAAATAAATAGTAAAATTGAGACAATGTTTTATTTTAGTGATGCAGACTGTAGCTCACTAAGATGATCTTTTCCTGCTCCATGCAAGAAAATTAGTTTTTAGTTGGGGGAATCAGAACCATAATATTCCAAATATGGCCCAACAGATTTCTAAAATTTGCTATTGCTTTCAAATCTCTTCATTTGCAATGCTGAATTTGCCTGTTTCATTGTTGTTGCGCACAGAGTTGACATTTTAGTCCAGTTCAGACATGACAGGAAACAGGCAGCTAAACCGAAGGCAGAGGAGCTGTGGAAAGCTGGGCAAGTTGCTAACTATTTGTGTGATGAATAGACTTCTGCTTGATGGCCAATGCCCTACAGCATCCCTGGCAAACGCCTGACCAGCTTCTTGTTGAAAGGGTAGACAAAAGTCTTCACTTACTTCAACCCTGGCAGATCTTTAACACTTGCTGTGATTTCTCCAGCTTCAGGGACAAACTTCTCTACCAACTCCAGAGGTCCCCAAAATGACTTGTTTTGGCCCAGGAAAGTCTTCTTGGCTAGATAAAAGCATTGTTACTCCTTATATCTGAATCAACATCTTAAAATTACAATGGGATCATGTGAATTGCCTTAGAAATACAAATCATATACAACAGCCCACCCAAAATATTAATCCATTTACACTGCTCCTTCACCTTTATCCTATGCTCTGTTGTGCTCTATAATCCTTCTGCGAACAGTGTAATTATTTCAGACAAGGAGCCATGCAGATGGCAGCAGGTATGCAATTACGAGAAGAAAGAAGCAGTTCATTTTTTCTTCCCCCTTTTCTCATTTCCTGTTTTCAGACTTGAGTGTCTCTCCAGTGCAGTTTTTCAGCAAATACTGTAATGCAGTGCTTTTTTCCCCCAGGGGATACTCAAGGGTACGCAGCACCAGCACCTCTTTTTTGTTGTTGTTAAAAAGTGTGGCACTTACTGTAACAACTTCATGGTGAGTACTAGAAGTATAAGAGTTGTGCAGGAAGAGGCATCTTTGGCAACAGAAGTTGCTAGAAATCCACTTTAGGGGGTGAGCGTGCAAGTGTTGACCCACAACCCCTCCCTCACTTCTCACAGGTGGAAAAATAGTTCCTGTCCCAGGATTCAGACTCATTATAAAAGGAAAGTTTGCTTAGGCCTTTAATGAAAAAATACTGCTCTATCGCAACCAGTACAGAAGTCTCTGCTACAGTATGCATGATGAGACAGGAACTATTTTTCCACCTGTGAGAAGTGAGGGAGGGGTTGTGAGTCAACACTTGCGCGCTCACCCCATTTTAGGCTGCAACTGGTGAGCCAACTGGCATCCCTTCAGGGGCTGGGTTTGGCTCCAGAACCTCAATTTTCTGAAGAACCTGATTATCAGCAGGCAGTAGGGCAATTCTCTCTCTCTCCTCCTGTGATTGGCTCTTAAGTGCCATCAGGTCAGTTGCTTACAGAGAGAACTGTGTGCCAGGAATGGCTGTGACTAGGACACTTATCTGTTTCGCTCCCATATTGTTGTGGGGTGACACACTTTACAGAGACGTCTCTCTTTGTCCTGCTACTGCCACTGTGGCATTGCTGGAAGGCAATACCAGGGGGTAGACTGGACCTCCAGAACAGACAGCGAGCACAGTGTGAGAAAGTCTGCTGATTTCTTCTAGGCCCTAAGAAAATTAATGGGTGGGAACACCTTCACGTAGAAGCCTGCCCCTGCCTAATTTGATTGAAAACAACTTTATTCTAACATCTTTGTAAGCTGCCTTGAAGACCTAAATAGTAGAAGGGCAGAATAAAAATATGCTAAATAAAATAACACCCACATAAGTATTATTTCTGTGGGCAGCTTTGTGCATAGGACCAAAAAAAAAGTGACCACATGCAGCGGTGGAATAGCAATTTAACATTGTGGACCTAATCCCTCAAGTAGGTTTGCCATCACAATCACCCACCTTTTAAGCCATGTTTGAGACAATGTTCCATCACTACAAAAAACTGCTGGAGGGGTGCATAGTCAGAGTCCAAAGTTCTCCCAAGATTAAGAGCAGATTCAATCAAGCCCTTTATGCTCAGCTTAGCCATGTTCATCAGGTTCATGCGTTCATTAGCCATGAGATAGTTGGGATCTGCAACAAAACACACAGACAAGGTTTGGTCAGAAAAATGCCTTGACGGAAAATCATTTTCAATGGGCAACTGTTATTTTTAACATAAGGGACACTATGGATACTGAAAGGCAGAGTATTTGTAGAAACCAAAGCTTTAGGTCTTGTTTTTTAAAACTATGACAACAGCAGCACATCAGACAGAGCCGAAAGTGATTCAGCTACTGGAATATTTAAATTAGTAAACAAAGAAAAACTGAGTGTCTCTGGGGAAAAGGTTTTAAGAGACTTGTGGCAGGGATTTTTTAGAGAAATTAGCCATAAGGAAAACAGCAGAATGGGCAGAGGGAGGAGGATACAGCTCTTTGGTGACACACAGATCTAGCTTCTAATCAGAGGGAATGGTTTTTCCAGAGCTCTCCTATCACAGTGTTTTGGGAAAGGGATGCTGCAATTATCACCTTGTATCTTGCATCATCTTGTTCTTATCTGTGCTCTTTGTTGGTCCTGCTAGTACAGCTAGCTGGAAAAATGTGGGATACTAAGGTCCTTTTGCATCTTAGTCACATACTCACGCATCCACTCCTGTCAAATCAGTTTTGCTTTCAGTTCCTATGACTTTTAGTGCCAACGGGGCAGAACAGAAGCCTAAGGCTTCCCCTCAACCCTATTCATCATAACTCCATAGCCCTTACACCCATTCTTCTGGAAAAGCTGCAGACTGCTTTCTTAGGGACACCTCTACAATGTATACCATTTTCATGATAACGTTTTTGCCTGTAAAACAGCAGAGAGGGAAGCGAATCCTCACCCCACAAAAAATCCCCACCCAACTTTAAAGACACCTAGCACATAAAAAAAAAACCAACCCTGCCAGATCTGTAATTTGGCAGGTTTCTTATCTAGGAGCACCTCTCTCTGGTGGGTGCTATTTTCCTACAAAATTTCCCACAAAGCAATAAGAGAGATCAAGTCATTTTCTTTATCCTCCTCAAAATTCTAAATCTTGCCCTAGTAGGAAAACAACTGTAGGTATCCTTTTGAAGTTTGGCAGGATTCATCCCCTCAGAAGGCGTAACAAGCCTGAAAGTGTCATCCATGTCTGTCAAAATTATAGACAGTATATATATATATATATCCCTAACAGATACTGCTGTACCTCTTTGTCTCCAAACTTGGTCCAATAGCTTCATTTTTTTTCATATCAGGATTCAGACTCGGACCCAAACCAAACTAGACAGTCTCCAAAGCACCTCAAATTAGGCTGTTTTAGACATTTTCTTCAGCACCCATTTTTAAATCCCTAACATCTGTTTTACATTTTTTAAAAGCAAGTTTTTAAAAATCTGTATTTATGTTCTAAATTAAGCCTGTTTTGCACAAGAAAATGCCTTTGCATGTAACACTAACTCACACATTCACAATTAGGTTATAAATGTCTCAGGAAACGGCCAGTCAAGCCAACTACATAAGCAATTAAATTTGGAGAAAGTATATGTACAAACAAAGTATATGTACAAATTACATGCAAGCAGTATTTAACAAATTAAACCAAAAAAAGATATCAACAGGATTTCTGCCCAGAGTTCTGTTTCATGAGCAATTAAAAGCAATATGTGTGAGCTCCAACATTAACCAAGGGTTTGTCCACACTTGAGTTTAATATAAAGCAATTAGCAGTCCTTTTTATGGAAGGTCGTCCACATGGCACCCTACCCAAATAGTTCCTGTCCTGATAACTTTCCTGTGAAATTTTGGATTTCTTCAATCTAGAGATAATCCATTGAGTTTTGGAAAACACAACTCCAAACCACACAACTTGAAACAGCAGACAGTTTTTTTCCTGGAAGTGGCTCAAGCATCCATTTTTGCTGCTCCCCTTTCTATGCCCTCTAGATCCGTGGTTCCCAACGTGGGGCACCCCCCCCCCCAAAGGAGGGCAATTTGATTTTTAAGGGGGGCAGTTCGAGAATGAGTTATGAACAATGAATGGCCTTTTAGACTTCCTCCATGTGAATAGGAGTTCGTTTTTTGAATAATAAGAATTATATCATGGAGGAGGGGCATCAGGATTTTAGAGATGGTTAGGTGGGTCATGGCCAAAAAAAGGTTGGGAACCACTGCTCCAGATCCTCCTAAAACCAGTACTGCTCGGACGGCAGTCGTTCCTATTTCTGGTGAGCTTCCACAACCCTGTTGGTTTGGGTACTTTTTTACATGGGGGAGGGGGGACAGATTTGTGAAATATTGACAATTGAAAAACGGAAAAACAATTATTTCTCCAAAGCTTTATAAAATTTGATCTCAGTGTATATTACTGTTTTGTTTCAATTTCTTCCACAATGATATACAACACTCTTAATTCCAGTTGTGTAGTGCCTATTTCCAGCGAGCTCCAGAAATCACAACTGCAGCCATTTTTAAAATAAAAAAATAATTTAAAAATGTTTCCGCAATACTGGAAAACTGAAGAACAATTATTTTTGCAGATCTCCCTGCTTCATTTCCCCCTCTTCATTCACTCACTCACTCATTCAGCCTTTATTGGCATAATCATATCCCCCCTGTTGTTTTCACTGTATGTCACTGTACTGTTTTTCCCACAACCATCTTCCTATTTTTGAGTGAGGAAAGCCTGTCACTTTATGACTGAATATAAAGTAAAGTATGCACACACAAGCTTGTAGTGAATAGAGAATTCTTGGATGTTTGCTATTATGCAATTCCTGGGTAGACACATTAAAAGAAAGGCACACGTCAGTCAGCTGACTCCTGCATGCATGGCCTGTTCGTGCAAAATTAAAATATATGAATCAATACATTGGGAGGTGGGAACAAGGACAAAAGGGTATAGATGGAAAGCAGATTTGGTCTTGGACTACAAATGCATGCACTGAGATCAAATTTGAATGGCAAGATGAAGCTCAAATGTGTGAATGCTTTTAATCAGAAACACAACAGTTTATCATTTGATTATCTCAATATATAAAACTGAGAGCAGCAACGACAGATTAATGCCTGAAATGTCCTCCCAAAATGAAGCAAAGCTGGTTGTTGACCAATGAGACATTATAACTATTTTTGGAGGAATGAAATCTGCAGAAGTGTATTTGATCTCATTTATCAAATATATGATATACGTATATCCCAATGAATCATCTCCTCTGCCTCCGAAGACAAGACAAACTAATCACATATAATTTGAATCTGCCTATTTACTGACATTCCCATATTGACATTCTCTCTACTTTTATTGTACAATACAATTTTATTGTAGCAATATAGATCTTGGGATTTGCCAGACAACTTATCTGTCTTGAAAGAGTGATGTCAGCCACTATGAAACTGTATTCCAACAGAGGATTTCCCTGACATATTTTTCAAAGGAGGAAGTCCAGCTACAAAGCAGACATTGTATTCCTAACCAACTCCAAAGATCGTATCAACATATAAATGCATACATGTGAGAGAGAAAGTCAAAACTGCAACAGTAACAAGTTTCTCAGCTAACTAACAAGGCTGAATGCAGCTGGCTAACTACTTTGATAATATAAACCCACTTGAAAGTACACTGTGTTGCAGTCACTACAAGGACAGACAGTGAAGACTCTGGAATGGAAAAGCAACATAATTTAATACACTGACATGAATGCATTTGTTTTAAATGAGTCAAAGCAGAAAGCAGATTTAAAATGGATTCTTTTCACTGCAAAGCATGTATAAACTGTAATCAAATTGCAAATGCTTCCCTAACATTTTGAGCAGGCAACACGGGGCATTGTCCCCATGAATCATATCCTCTGTCAATTAGGTAAAGGTAAAGGGACCCCTGACCATTAGGTCCAGTCGTGGCCAACTCTGGGGTTGCAGCACTCATCTCGCTTTATTGGCTGAGGGAGCCGGCGTACAGCTTCCAGGTCATGTGGCCAGCATGACTAAGCCGCTTCTGGCGAACCAGAGCAGCGCACGGAAACGCCGTTTACCTTCCCACTGGAGCGGTACCTATTTATCTACTTGCACTCTGACGTACTTTCGAACTGCTAGGTTGGCAGGAGCAGGGACCGAGCAACGGGAGCTCACCCCGTCACGGGGATTCGAACCACCGACCTTCTGATCGGCAAGTCCTAGGCTCTGTGGTTTAGCCCATAGTGCCACACGCGTCCCTCCTCTGTCAATTAGGATGCTATAATTATCTTAGTCAGGCTTCCTCAACCTCGGCCCTCCAGATGTTTTGAGACTACAATTCCCATCATCCCTGACCACTGGTCCTGCTAGCTAGGGATCATGGGAGTTGTAGGCCAAAAACATATGGAGGGCCAAGTTTTAGGAAGCCTGATCTTAGTTCTGCAGTGAGGCAAACAGGAACAGATAAAAACATTTGCCTGACTAAAACAACCATTGCAACTGGTTCTAAAAAGCTCAAAATCTGAACCCAGAGCTCTTTGAACCGCTACCTCACCTTGTTTAGACAATGTCCTCTGTTAGTGGAGTGGATTCATAAACTAGATTCTCCCCAATTTCCACAGGAAAAACCTGAAACCCGCATGACAAAATCTATGGCAAAGGTTTGGGCCAGGGCAAGTTACAGACGGGCAAATCTGTCAATTTTGGTTTCTCATTTTCCAATCTCATATTTCCATATCAGTTTGCAATTTTTTAAAAGTCTGCATAACAATTCATCAGCTTTTCTGCGCTAGACTGTACCATTATTCTTTGCTTCCTTCAGCAGCTTCAGCATTTAATGTTATTGCTTTCAAATGCGTAATACATAGATGAACATTTTTTCAATCTTCTTAACAGCACAATCCTATTCTGAAGAAAGCCCCATATAAGTTAATGGAAGTTCACTCCAGGGTATGCATGTGCAGGATTACAACCTAAGAATTTCTCACTTCAAGGTGACCCAACTCAAACAATGTTTTTACAACTCCATGGAATGTGTGTTTTGCTGCTCTATAGAACATATCTTGTGAGAAGGGACTAAAGGTCATGTTTGCCATCCTTCCTCTTTCTGGGATTTTGCTTCCTCTGTACATCCCCATTCTTCCTGTCAACGAAAGCAAGTGTAGCTCTAAATGCTAAACAAAACATGAGCAACTACACCATCTGTACAACAAGGTTAGGTGAAAACAGAACTCTTAAGACAGCGATAAAGTACGCCTTAGGGCACAACTAGACACAAGGTGGGAGACTCATGGTTGTGGTAGAATCTCCCACATTAAAAACAACAACACCACAACGGGAGGAAATCTGATCAGGAAACACAAGGAGTAGATCCCCTTCCGCTGGTGCCATTTCCCCATTTAATCCCCACCCTCTATAAAGGATTACATTCAAATCTCGGTTCTCGAACGTCTCCATTGACGAACAATTCGGAACCCAAATGCCAGCAGCCCAGAAGTAATTGCTTCCGTTTTCGAACGTGCCTCGGAAGTCAAACAGCTTCCAAGGCGCATTTCTCCATTTTTTCAATGGATTTTGCCAACCACCCTTTGATCTTCGGTTTTTGAACGTTTCAGAAGTCGAACGGTCTTCTGGAATGGATTATGTTCAAAAACTGAGGTTCCACTGTATTTGTCTTGCAGAGGCACACTTATTGATATCATGGGGGCATTTCCCAAATATACACATTCCCTCCTCACAGTATTTGTTCTACAGCAATAATGAATTTGCACAATCCCACACATGCACTCTGTGCATCCATTTGCACTACAATAATTCTGAGGCAGTGTGCCAGGAAAAATGAAACAGACATGGGATCATAAAGCACCACACTTTGCTTCTGCTGCATAAAATTATCAGAAGAAACCAGCAATATATCTATGGTGAACAGGTACGACGACTTGAATTCCGCACAAGTTTTAGAAGTCGGCAATAAGGAAGGAAATGGTGTAGAACAATGATTGGGAAGTAAGAGAGTGAAGGAGTGGTCTTCCAACTACATGTAGGAAATTGTATGGTCCTTTATGAGATCTTTTGTGCCCATGTATAAAGACACCCCAAAACTTCAGAAGTAGACCGCTATACAGTGAACAAGCCATGGAACTTGATGTGGGCTGTGCTACCTCTCACTCCCCAAAATCAATATCAGTATGGATGCATTCTGAGAAGATAATACATGCAACTGGTTTTTCAAAAGGAAAAACAAACATTTTAACAAAGGAACGGTCAGCACAATATAGTTACAAACATGTATGATCCAGTTGCTATCACTGGAGTGTACCTGGTGATCCAGCTCAAAGACAGACAAGAAAAGCCAGTTGAAAATGAAATGGAAATAATAGCTGAAAGATGTTGGTGTGGCACGCACCTTCTGTATCATCGCGCAATTGCTCCACCAAATCTGTCAAATCCTCCCAAGAGTCTTTGCAAACAGCGAAAAAGGAAAAGAAAGAAAAATGTCATGCAAGCCATGATTCAAAGAAAAGACTGAAAAATCAAGATAAGAAAAGGAACACAAAGGGGGGTTGGTATACCAGATACATACCAAAGGGGTTAAAGATTTAAAAATTCATAAGTTAGTATAGTCTGCATAGAGCAACAGATTGAATTTATTAAACACAATGAGAGGATCATTTTTAAAAGCTTTCAAAGTCATACAAACACATTAATTTTAAATCAAGTGGCATGGATATGCTTAAACTGGATTTATAACCTGCCTGACTAGGTATAAAAATCTACCCAAGAAGTTTTATGGTACAATTCAGAACCACCTCAAAAATAAATCCCTCCAAATAAAAGGAAGACATTTGTTCCCTTGTTTTGAACCAAGGTTAGGGTAAGGCACCAGGTTAAAACAAATCTTAAGATATTGCTTGCACTTAAATACAGCCAAATTTATTGGTAGTACCATGTTCAGTACTCTAGCAATGCACGAATAGCACCCCTTCCATTAAACAAAAATTAACCACTGCACACTGGACTTCAGCAAAGTTGTTAGGTAAGTGGGGGCGGGGAGAGAAATGTCCTGAGAAAACAAAGGACGCAGCTTGCCTTCACAAGCACAATCATTTCAATATCTTGTCAAACAGGAACCAATTCTAAAATCAGTTATTATGCTAGGTTCATACTTACATTTTCTTTCCCTCCGTAAAGGCCTAAAGGCAGAGCCGTAAACCTGAGTGAAAGCATTGCTTCCGAGTACAGGCAGAGAGCTTCAGTAATCTGCCTGTACTAGGATTACTGGAGCAAGCAAATGACACACCCATCGTGGCTTTCTTCCCACAAGAGAGCTATAATCTTGTGCTCTCCTGTATTAACTTGTGAGTAGCAGAGAAACTTGAGTATGAAAACAGCATACATTTTAAAGTGATCCTAATAATTCAATGCACAAAACTGATATATATATATCTATATATCTCAGAACTGATGTCCTACTTCGTGTTTTTATATTCTGCAAGCCCATTAAACATAGTAACACGAACTACAAAGGTGGTCATAATTCTGGAGGTATGCTTAACCATTTGTGTCTTAATATATATTTAGTTGTATTCTTTTAAAACCTTTTGTATGTTGCATATTATTAGTAGCAGTAGTATTTTTGTATTTTAATGTAAATACATATATTAATAGACACTGTTCCTCAACATTTTATTAGTGTGTGTGTATTTTCCTGTGCTCACATACACTAGAACTCAGAAGAAACCTGCTCTTATCTTTCATTTTTTGCAATGGAAAGACTTGTTGTTGTAGCAGATGCTGTTATGAAACATCTATTTGAATCCTAAGGCGGCTTAATTTATGGAAACTGACAGAAGAAAAGTTTGCCATCCCCTATAGCCACTGGCAACCCCCAAAAAGCATCTCCAGAGGGTTAGGGTGCCCTATTGAGCAATGTGGAATGGGTTAGGATGGCTGCCTGGGGGAAGGAAGGAAGGAAGGGGCCAAAAACTTTCCTTCTGTGATCTTCCTTAAGCTAACTTCTTAGGGGGCAAACCCAATTTTGGGCTATACCCTCCCTCCCCCAGAGACCTCCTGCACACCACACCACACTGGACAGCCACCTCAGCTTTCCAAAGAAGCATTTAGAGGATGCAATGTTTGCTGGAAACTATCCTTCCATGAACTCCCTTAAGGTCACTAATCATGGGATGCAACAAAATTATTTGCACAGCACTTAGAAATTAAGTAGTGTTGCCTCCATACTACAAATGAGGGAGGAGCTTGAGACTCAGAGGCAGCAAGTTGCCCAGGGCTAGATTTATACTGTGTAAAAAATTAAATACAAATAAATCTGAACAAGGTCATTTAAATTATGCAATCAAAACTGAATTCAGCAAGTCATAAACATTCTTTATTTCTTACCCCTTAACTTGCATTTCTTCCTCTTGTTTTTGCTAGCTGTGTAGAGGGACTAGGAACTACATGAGACTTTGCCATTTGAACACTAAAAATGTTATTCATTAACTCCTCTGGCTTTCAAAATTCACCAGGCACTGTCCACACACTTCCAAAAATATTTCTGCAGCCAAAAAAGGTTGAACTCCTTGTCGAATATCTGATGGAAAAGTATTCCGCAGCATTGGACCAGGGACACTAAGTGCCCAACTTCTAGTTTAAGTCAGTCGGACCTCTATAATGCAAGGGTCAATTAACAGTGCTCCAACGGATGATCTCAGTGATCAAAGCTGGAATAAAAGGGCTAAGGTGAACCTTCAGGTATTCTAGACCTAAGTTGTTCAGGCTTTGTATATTAGCACAAGAGACTTGAACTGACAGTATACTGGCCGCCAGTGCAGATGTTTTAGCAGTGGTGTTACATGCTGTTGACTGTCTGCCCCCCATCAGCAGTCTAATTCTTGAATTCTGCACCAGCTAGACCCGCCAGACCAGGCCCATGGGCAACCCCACATAGAGTGCATTGCAGTAATCCTGTCTCAAGGTTACCAATACATGGACTACATTGATACAGTGAGGGGGGGAAAGTATTTGATCCCCTGCTAAATTTGCCCGTTTGCCCTCTGACAAAGAAATGACCAATCCATAATTTTAATGGTAGGTTTATTGTAGCTGTGAGAGACAGAATAACAACAGGAAAACCTCCAGAAACCCAGAAGACAAAAGTCAGAGACTGATGTGCATTATAATGAGTGAAATAAGTATTTGATCCCTTTGCAAAAGATGACTTAGTACTTGGTGGCAAAACCCTTGTTGGCAATTACAGAGATCAGATGTTTCTTGTAGATGGTCACCAGGTTTGCACACATCTCAGGAGGTACCAGTATTTTGTCCCACTCCTCTTTGCAGATCCTCTCCAAGTCAGTAAGATTTCGAGGCTGATGTGTAGCTACTCGAACCTTCAGCTCCCTCCACAGGCAAATTTAGCAGGGGATCAAATACTCCCCCCCCCACTGTAGGCAATCCCGATCCAGATAAAAATATAGCTGGCATACCAAATGAAGCTGGTAAAAGGCATCCCTAACCAAAGAGGTTATTGGGAACTAAAATGACAAAGGTGAATCCAAGAGTACACCTTTAGGGGGACTCCAAGCCCATTCTGAACAGGAAAGTGTCCGGCCTTCCAGAAACGTGAATGACCTACCCACAAAGCCTCCATCTTCCCAGGATTCAAACACAATTTATTGGCCCTCATCCACTCCACCATTGCATTTAGGTGGTCCAGGGCTTGCACAGCCACTTCAGAAGCTATGGAGAAAAAGAGCTGTCTCTCATCAGTGTACTGATGGCACCATACTAGAAAACTCCTAATGACCACTGAGAGATTAAGAGTAACAGGTTCACACTCCTCTGTACCTCTCTTGATAATGGGGCCGGGTGACCAAGGCCGATTCAGTCCCCAAACCAGGCCTGAGCTCAGGTTGAGGTGGACCCAAATAATCAGTGTCAACCAGGAACTTCACCCATCAAATAGCCCTGGGTTTACTTAGTGACCTAGTGAACTCCTGGCTGAAGTAAGATCTGCACATAGCTTTTCGAGATCATCTCATTCTTTTAACCACTATGCCACAAAAGCTCCTTCAGCTCAGGCTGTCGGTATTAGGCAAAGTGCTGCAATCAGAGCCCTATTCTTTCGCCCTCCTACAATAAACTACTTGCAGGATTCAGCACCAAATAGCATTTTGTAAGTTTTCATCATGCAAAGGGAGGCAAACCATTTACTGTGCTTTTTATTGTTCCATGAGCACACAACTGCTTAGTTCTTTACATTCATACAAACACATGTCGCTTTTTAGGCACATGTTGGTATGCTAGTATGGTGACAAGGTAGGTATGTGCATTGTGCTTGCCCTCACATAACCACATTGCACCCTGCTCAGTGGGAATCTGTGGAAAGCATGAAATGGTGATGGCTACAACATCAGAACCAAACAATCCTAATCAGATTTCTTGTCTAGCCTCAGCAGCAGGAACAGCAACTCACATGCAGATAAATTTCCATCAAGTCCATTTTTTCATGGCTATGTGCAGCCACATTGCCCATGTCAAAATGGCTGATATTTTATATCAAACATTATCATCAGAAAACTTGTCACAGCTATATTTTGAGTTGATCTCTGCTAGAATGTTGAACAGTTTCATCTTACTTTCATCAGTTCATAGGAAGCGATGCTGAGAGTGTAACGTTGATCCTCAAACCTGCACCCCTTGTCTCTTGCACACTTTTCTTCAGGCTGCCTTTGTGTGACACTTCTCAAATGATACCAGTTTTAACTGTTGGACCCTAGTTTGGAAATGTGGCAAGAAAACTATAGGAAGAGCCCTTCTGGATCAGACCATATGCCCGTCTAGTCCAGCATCCTGTTTTCAACCAGGGAAGTCCACAAGCAAGTCTTGAAGGCAAGAGTTCACCCTCCCTGTTTCTAACAATATATTTCTTGCCTTTAAAGCAGTTTCACATAATCTCTTAAGAGAATTCTAGTGCAGTTCAGAGGCTGTTCAAGAAAAGGCCTTTCTGCATTAAATGCTATGAAAATTCCTCTCTGCTTGAGGTATGAATAGGGAAAATCCAAAGTGGCTCCAGGTTTCTCTTTAGACAGCTGCATCTTGCAAAACTCCACGTCTTACAAATCTGCACCATCATTTAAGAGTACTGTACTTCTAAAATAAATACCACTATGCATTAGAATCTTGAAACTCTTAATAATTATGGTAAAGTAGGAAGCTGCCTTAAACTGAGTCAGACCATCTAGCTCAGTACTGTCTACCCTGACAGAAGCTATTCAGGTTTCAGGCAGGATTCTCTCTTAACCCTACCTGGACTTGGTGGGGATTGAACCTGGGACCTCCTGCACCCAAGGCAGATGCTCTACCAATGAGCTACAGCCTCATGCAGTTCCAAACCCATTCTCAAAATGCAATGATTTGAGGCAGTCTTGCCCAACCTGGTGCCCTCCAGGAGGTTTTGACTACAATTCCTATCATTCCTTCCCATTAGCCATCCTGGCTGAAGTTGATAGTACAAAACATCTGGAGGGCACCAAGCTGGGGCAAGCTGTAAAATTCTGAAGAGTGTTTTTGATACACTTCTTGCATTTATTTTACATTAGTTTTGGCAGTACCAAAACTGCTATCATTAGCAGAAATTTTAACTACTGTGCTGTATGGGAAAGTATAAACAAAGGTGCTCACATAACACTGGAAAGTGTACAATGCCAGAAATGCAAACAATTACAACTAATATTGGCCATAATTCCATTAAAGAAATAGTTTTCTGATTATCAGTAGTGGTAATCTTAAATGGAACAAGAAAATACCACTGATGGTGTGTGTGTGTGTGTGTGTGTGTGTGTGTGTGTGTGTGTTCCCTAAAGTCAAGTCACCTACATCCCAATAAATCATAATAAGCCTGTAAGTATTTTATCAGAGACTTGGACTTACTATCGATCTACTTAGGTGAGGAAATAGCGTAAGGAAATTGCAAAAAAAAAGTAGTTTGTATCTTTTTTCCAAGCGTTAGATAATTTGACGACAGCAAAATCTCACTTGCCATACTTTGATGGCTTGCCCTACATTTGTAGCAGAGTCTATCACAGCATAATAAGTAATATCAAAAGAAAGTAGGAAAACCCTCAGAGAAAGAATGAAGATATGTTCTACCCAATCAACACCAAGACTCTCCTGTAGTAAGCACAGCAAGACAGGAGGTACGTGGACACTTCTAATTCATGCTAAGCTTGTTATTTCCAAGTAATTTCCTCAAACATAAGCACCTCATTATTTGCCCATTTAAACGGAATACAAACATAGGAGTCTGTGGCTGCATCCTTTTAATCAGGACTTTGAAGTCACTTGATGCTTGCCATATCAACTGCTTGTTTTATTCCACATGATGTACTGACAACAGTACTGTCCATATACCAAGATATGATAAAAAGGATGCTTGCTTTGACTTTTGAACTGCTACCACTTTAATTTTAAAGCTGCTACTTATTGCTACCAACTCCCACAGGGTGGGCTAGAACCAGCTGGTGAGTGACAGAAGCCTTCTGAATATTTCCACAAGCTGCTGGCAGTGGGTTATGAAGACAATGCAGCACAAAGAAGCTCTGTTTCATTTCCGGGTCAGAGATGGGAACCAACATGTGAACAAAGGGGGGGGGGCTGCACTGGCAAGTCTCCCAGCTAAAATGCTTGGGAGCCAGCCTTGGTTACTTTTGTACACTACAAAATGAAAAACAAAACTCAGTGTGGTTAAAGGCTGTTGACAGTGACAATGCCAAGTGGTACAGGTTTTGCAGACATGACTAAACTGGGGCATGATACTACAAAATAGGCTGTGCTCTCACCTTTAGTTCACAGTAACCATCAAATCAGGAATCCAATGAGTAACCCATTGGGTTTTAAGAGACATAGCTATATCTGCCAGCTCCAGGTGCCTTACTGTTTCAAATGAAGAGATGTAGGGGAGTTGAAGGATAGGCCTTTATATTATTCAATTTCCTAATTCCAATAGCATCTCCTACCATCTAAATTGCCCTTCTTACAAAATAGACTGCCATGAGGTATCGTTTTTAATTCCCAAATAAACTGTATTTTCTGCCTATGTCATCCAGACTTTAGAACACTATAAACGACAGTAAGTCCATGTAAATATACTTTGTGATTTTTGAAAGAGACACCTGCTACAATATCTAGCTTTGAAAGTACACAGGAGTTTCCCAACCTTATAAACATAATATTCTAAATTCATCTCCATTTATAAAATAAAAGCTTCTTCAAAAGCAATATTTAAAGAAGAAAACACAGATCAAAATGCTACTATTGAAACATCAAGGTTTCTTTATTTGAGGTGTTGCACATAAATACACAACTTCATCTCACAGAGATCTATCTTGGTTGCTAGGGGTGGGGTCTAAGAAAAACAAAGCAAATGAGCACAGGAGTTGTTTAGGATGCAGGTGAGTCATCTTAAAAGTCCAGCAGCTGTTTTGGAAATCTGTATCAAATTAGGTTATACTGCAATGAAGCAATTAAAATATGTCAGGTTTCCCATATTCCTACATAATGTTATGGGGTGGTGAAGACCAGCACCCTCCTTCCCAGCCTCTTTAACCCAAAACAAGACCTGCAGGCCTCCCTACATAGAAAATGCAACCATACCTTCATGGGTAGGTTCAGGGTCGGGCGTAAGAGAGATGTCATCCAGCTCTCGCAAACAGAGCCATTCTCCATCCATGGACACTCGGAATTTGCAAAGATAGATGGTCTCCATGGCAGCTTGTGTGATCTTGTCTGTGGTGGGGGTTGGCATATCGCTTTGAGGCGTCAGAGCAGACATGATGACTCAGCCGGTACAACAATAAAATAAAATATATAGGCTAAAAGAGGGGGAGGCTTTCTGATGATGGGGGTGGAATACCTTGCTAAGTCAAAAAAGAGCTGCTGAAAAATCACGCAGCTGCACAAGTCTGAGAAAGGCAAGGCACAGTGCAAAGGGAAGAAAAGATGCCTCTTCTCCTCTGTGGTCTCTTCCTCTGTTTTCTTCTGAAAGACACACTCTTTTCTTCAATTTGACTATAAGCAGCGTACTGGTAAATGACCACAGCAAATTTGGCCTTCAGAGGGTAGGAGAAGCTCTGTTTACTATTTCCTAAAGATGCTTAAAAAAATAATAATCCAAAATGGTAAAATGCATTGAAGAAAACACATCCAGAATTGCAGAAATCGACGAGGCTCTCTTGCTCTCTCACCCCTCCAGACAAGCCAAGATACAGAGTGATAATAGGATTGGTTGTGCGCAGTAAGCAGGGTGTTGACCAAAATGGCTGACTAATGAACTGAACTGAAAATTCAGACTCATGTGACCAGCTTGCACTGAACGTAGAGCAGGCAATTCCCAGGATGCTTTATAGATGCTGCTGCTGATGATGCAGGAAGAGCAATGAAGCTGATCTTGCTCTCAGCATCCACAGCCTCTTTTCAGACTGTGCTAGTCAATCTGCGATCACAGACATAACACAATGCATGCTTTTCTCCTCAGCCTGTCTCACGGTACAAAGAGATGTAAAACATGCCCATTAGCAGTCAAAAGTAAGAATCGTATAGTTGGGGTCACGGGACTGCAACAAAAATTAAGCACAAGCTGATTATTAGCAAATACGTTAAATGCTATAACTTCTTGGAAAGTGTGTCAGTTTCCAATAAGAACATTAATGCCCAAAGAACAAAGATGACATTATATTTTATCAGCTTTGGATTTAACCACTCTCCTGCTAGCCATAGGCAACGAAGAATTGCATCTGGGGGCAGGTGGGGGGGAGGACTGGTGGAAAAGTACAGAGCACTGCATCCCTCTTCTGCATGAAGCATAGAGATCAAGCAGGCTGCCCAGGGGACAGAAGTTCCCTTTTCGACATCCAGCATCGAAATGCAGATGGCTGCTGGAGCACTGCTTATTTACAAAGCTGTATTCTATTGATAAGGTCTGGTAAATACACCAGAAGAATTGCAAGGTCAATGCATGCCCAAAATCTCTATCGAAGATCATAGTCACCCTTCAGCAAAGCTATCTTTACAATCTGTAACCCAGTATGTACAGGTTTCTAATTTATTCATTAACCTCACAATTTCTCACCAGACTGATAAGTGAAGAGGGACACTTTTTCAGTTCTTGGACACAGGCCCCATCTGTTTTACTTATGGCTATCATTTGATGCCTAGACTTAAGTGTATCTTTAAACCTAGTGCTATTGAGAAAGCTTGAGACACGAGGGAATTACTATTGGGTGGATATCTAATGACCAAAACGTACTCCATACTGAGAAGAATATGAAGTTACATCCATATGTTACAGGAAAGCAGTACTGTATCAATCATGTCTCTGCCCTGGCTCTTGTTTAAAATCTTCATTAAGAATTTGCTGTAAAGAGTGAATAAATGAACCATATACTTATCAGATAAAAAAAACCTGGGGAGAATTGTGCACATTTTAAAACCATAAATGAACTTTCAGATGGCTCTAAATGTAAGAGTCGCTCTGCCAAAAAACCAAAATGCACAAAGGACAAATATTTAAAACTGTGCATAAAATTCTATACACAAGCAACAGATAAAGGATGTGTGACAGTAGAAAGTCTAAGACCCATAAACCAAGTTTGAATAAGGTAATGCCATTCAATTTTGCATTAAAACAATTATTACAGTAAAACTGTCTCGCTCCTATTGCAGGAGAAATGTTATATTCACAGAACTGTGGCAAAATACTGCATAGATTGAAATTGCCACATTAAGAGTAGTGTGAATGCAAACTCTCAGATGGATACAAATTCAAAGGACATAGCACTATCATGAGGTTGCTGACCAAATTATGGCTAACATATCAAAGAAAGTACATACAGAAACACAGTGGCCACCTGTGCATGCTTTGCTACTGTCATAGTCTGAAAGTTGCTCTAACATACTCGTTCAGCAGTACATACAATGCTATAGAAAATGCCAATCAGCTCCTTGGGAAATTGGAAGCCACATGAAATTAGAAGCCTACATCAAGAGAGAAGCAACTGAGAATAGGAGACATTTATAGAAATCAAAATTAATTCAAACAGGGTAAGAATCTCTTTCATTTTAGAAATAGCGAACACACAAAATCACTGGTTAATCCAGCATGAGGTACTTGAACTGGAAGATAAACTGAAAATAGTCCTCGTGGATACATTACAAGAATAGGAACTGATCGGGAGGTAAGCCTTGAGATAACCAGAATCTTAGAGACAAGCATATGTAATCTTGAGTCCTGCATTTGTACTACTAGAAAATAAAAGAAATTATCTTCCACACTGCTCAGAGTAAAAGGGCTGGTTGGCACTTACAGAAGCACCCATGAGGCTCACAACTAGGCAAAAAACTCACATAGAAGTGTCACTTGTGATAACAAGTGCCTTTATGTGGGGGAAACACACCTAACAGGTACCACTTGTACAACTGTAACAGCTCTTTTTGGAACCAAAATAAACACGCACGTCCCAGCACCCATATGTACAGCCCCAGCACAGGGATGCCAGTGTTCACCTCCGACTGAGCACTGCCTAGCCACAACCATAGCAGGGGCTCTCATGTACTACCAAGGTGTCTGCAAAGAGGCTGTCTAATCATAAAAGCATCCTGAAATGTCTTCACTAAAAAGGAAAAACAAACTGCCAGCAATGTGATGGAAGTATCCTGGTAAAAGAGCCTTTAATGCCACACACTGCTATAAGTTGATATGGGTGCTTGAACTTTCCTGTGTGTTCGACCCATGCTATACCCAAGTCAAAAATATAACTTTTTACTGCATTGCTAAATGTCAACTTCAAGACAAGTGCAGCACCCATCATCAGCCACACAGGTACAACATAGCAACTGATGACACTGAATAAGCCAACGGAAGAGAAGGGTAAACTTTGAGCTAATAACTCAACCATACCATGCACTCAATGATTTTATGATTCCAGAAACACCAACAGGGAAAAATACATTGAAAGTATGGTCTTGTAGGCAAATTATAAGGCTGTGTACACATTCGTGTTTACTCTGCATCAAGTGCACTCTCACTGCTGGTTTGGAAAGTGGTATACACACATTAGCCATACCTAATCTGCTGTTCCTTATGAAATATTGAGTTTTGATTCAATCCCACCCCCACCCCCGCCAAAACTGCTTCAATATGAACTGAGGAAAAAAAACTTCTAAGTCTGTAATGCATACGCAACTTTGGAGTCACTGTGAAGATACAAAAAAATTATTTGCAGGATTTTGCATGCTGTGGGTTAAACCACAGAGCCTAGGACTTGCCGATCAGAAGGTCAGCGGTTCGAATCCCCGCGACAGGGTGAGCTCCTGTTGCTCGGTCCCTGCTCCTGCCAACCTAGCAGTTCAAAAGCACATCAAAGTGCAAGTAGATAAATAGGTACCGCTATGGCGGGAAGGTAAACCGCGTTTCCGTGCGCTGCTCTGGTTCGCCAGAAGCGCCTTAGCCATGCTGGCCACATGACCCAGAAGCTGTATGCCGGCTCCCTCGGCCAGTAAAGCGAGATGAGCGCCGCAACCCCAGAGTCGGCCACGACTGGACCTAATGGTCAGGGGTCCCTTTACCTTTACCTTACCTAAACAAACTATTTGAAAGTTCTTGAATCTTGCTTCAAGGTATATGAGGTAGGAGTGGGCTGTGGACCTAATTTATATACAGGTTTGGGAATACAGAGAAAACCTGAAGCTGTTATGAGGCCTTGAGTTGGAGGCTAGAGCCAAGAGCACAGTGGAAAGATTTCCTTTGTTATCCCAGAAAACAGAATGCCTCCTATCATCTTTTTCCACACAAGTTATTGAAAACAGTTGTTGTACTGGTTTTAGTGGCCTTCCTAATGAGACGACAGTACTGGGAAATCAAAAATATGACGTGTATAAACTGATTGTGGTTTATATTAATTATTTAGACTTCGTAGTAATTTGCTTTTAAAGCTCAGGTATATATAGGTGTAGCTTTGGATCAGCACATTCAAAGTAACCCTGACTGTTGCTGAAGACACATCTCTTTGCCCTGGCCTTTGGCATCTGAAATTTTAGGGTCCATACTAATGGTTTTTAACACTGAATTTTAAATTGCTGTAACCAACTCTGGGACCAGTTGGTGAAGGGCAGGTAATAAACATTATTATTATTGTAACAACAACAGCATGAATATGCAAACACTTTGTAAGGGTGTTTTATGCAGTGCAACATTGTTCCCTTATTATCCAACACAGATGCTAAGTTCAATTTTGTGACAGATTTTTAAAAAGTATTTACAAACAAAACATGGTAGGTGATCATGGAACAATAGGCAATCATCAAAGGGCGGTAAAATAACCTCAAAAGAACCCCAATTCACATTATCCCAATGCTATTCCTAGCAGAAAGGGAAATCACATAAATGCTACCAGGTCTAGGACTACTACTGCCTCTCTCTATTGTCTCAGCCAGAGAAAATAAGCTCTCTGCCAGTTTCCTCCTCTGCTTAAAAAAATCCACAAATGCCTAACTCACAAAGGTTTGGTTCATTAGCTTGACACGTCACTAACTCTTCAGTAATTTCTAAACAATCCAGTGTATATCACACCAGGCAGGTTAAACTGGTACCTCGGCATCACAGTCAAACATTCTTCTTCAACACTGGGATCACTGATAATTATTTGGTCTGCTTTCAGGCTCACTTCAAAGAGCAGATGCTCACATTTAAAGGTTTGCATGGCTTAGGGCCCAGGTATCTGCTGGACAATCTTCTCTTGTATCTATTAAAAACGTGGTGTTGACAATGTGTCACTGACGTGAATTGTGTGTTAGTTCATGCATTTCAAAAAATAAATAAATAGTAAATGCTGCTGCATGGTGGGGGTGGCGACTAGCTATTCTGCTTTTGTGCCTGTAACCCAGGTTCCAGGAGCCATTTGCCTCCTAGCTTTTCTACCTCTGTTTATCACACTGATGTGCCCTCTTGCTGAGATCTGAGGCAGTTCTCCACGTGTCCCCACCATTGGAAGTAGGCAGGTGGCAAGCAGGGAAAGTCTGCCTGCCCTTTTGGTGTTGGTATCCAACCTGTGAAATGCCCTCCCAACATTTCATGGACTGGTAAAGGTAAAGGGACCCCTGACCATTAGGTCCAGTCGTGGCCGACTCTGGGGTTGCAGCACTCAGCTTCCGGGTCATGCGGCCAGCATGACTAAGCCACTTCTGGCGAACCAAAGCAGTGCACGGAAACGCCGTTTACCTTCCTGCTGGAGCAGTACCTATTTATCTACTTGCACTTTGATGTGCTTTTGAACTGCTAGGTTAGCAGGAGCAGGGACTGAGCAACGGGAGCCCACCCCGTCGCGGGGATTCGTCTGATCGGCAAGTCCTAGGCTCTGTGTTTTAACCCACAGCACCACCCGCGTCCCATTCATGGACTGGTACCACATGGCAAAGAACTTCCTATTTCTCCAGGTGAACACTGCAAACTTTTAACATTTAAGCCGCTATGAGTTTTTTATTGATTGAAGCTTACATCATGTGCTGTGCTATTGTTTTGTATGTTTTGTTTGTCTTTTTACACAAGTAAGCAATAATGAGGATGATAAGCCACGAGGGGGCAGGGTATACATTTTTAGGGGGGGGGAAACAATCTTTGCAGTTCTGTTAATCCATTTTACACACATTCTAATAGTGCCTCACACTTCCATGCTTTATTCTTTACAACTGCAAGAGTACAATTCAGAAACCTGCAACATTTCATCTGGGAGACATACCCAAATATCCCTTTCTCTTAAGAATCACATAACATTTTCCCTTTTTGCATTAGGGAGCCATCAGCACCACAGTGTTGGAAGCCTCCATGTGCAAGAAACACATCCAACTTTCACATTTGAGCAAAGCTCTTCTTATTATATTATGACTACTTAACAGCAGAACGGAACGTTATGCTGGGACTGACTGCAAGTTCCTTGGGGGAAACAATCTTTTTTTGCTTGCAAAATTCTAAAGCATCAAGTGCAATATAAATCATTATTACAGTAGTAATAATAATGATCAGTTTAATAGACAAAACTCTTGAACACCCAAGGCTGCTAGAATCTTAACACAATGCAGTTACTAACACTTAAAACAATTAGCTTGACTCTTTCATTCGCTCAAAATCTTTATCACTATACCTATTGAAAAGACAAATGGCATTGTGGAAGGAGAAAGAAAGACCCCCTTATCATTTCACCAGAAGTTCCAGAGTTAATTCTTTGTTAAAACAAGCCCTTAGAACAAAATAAAATGAAACGGCAGAAGAAAATCTAATAAAGTCCTCAATTCCAAAGCAAGACTCATTCAAGACTCAGCAGTTCTTCTAATTCATCCTCATGATTCAAATCACCATATATCAAAAAGTTAAAGCAATCACCAGTTTGTTTTTCTTTAAATAAATTAATAAAGACACAGAGAATGAAGTTCCCAGCCAATTTGTGTTTAAGTACAAAGCTGATGTTTACAAATGTTGTGGGGTAGGGGTGGGGTGGGGTGGTATAAAGCAGTGATATCCTGAACCTAAAAAGGACCCAAAACTTGGGTAACTAAGGCTGCAGCCCTAACCGCACTTACATGAGAGTAAGCCCTGCTAAATCAAAAAGGACCTTACTTCCGAGTAGACAGTAGGACTGCAGCAAGAAACACAGCTGGGAATTAGTGTTTTAACATCTCAGCCAGAAGAAAATATAATATTGGAGATTAGGGAGAAAGGAATAGGAATTGATGGGGGGGGCTGAGGAGAGCCCAAAAACCACAGCTAGCAAGACAAGGCACACTTTCTGAAGAGCAAGTCTCACACACAGTTGCTTGGGGGGAGGACAGCAGAGGGATCATAGTTGGGTCGTGTGTGTGTGTGTGTGTGTGTGTGTGTGTGTTTCAGAAAAACGTAGAATTGGAAGGGACCCTGAGGGTCATCTAGCCCAACCCCCTGCAATGCTTTTTAGCTTGCATCGATCTCAATAACCTCCAGTTATTTTAGTCGGATAGGCGATTAACAGGCTTGTTTCATAAATAAGGGGGAGGGAGGGTTGCTGGCTTGGTTCTGTTTGCCTTTGTTCTAGTTTTTAACATGCGCTTAGTACTTTCATGCTGTGAACCGCCCTGATATCTATGGGTGGAGGGCAATAATAATAATAATAATAATGATGATGATGATGATGGGGATGTTTTTCGCAGGGCTTGGAGTGAGCTGGTGATGGTCAGCTGCTGGAATGAATGGGGTCGGTGCTAAATGGTCTGGCTTGCTTTACAACCCCATGGACCTTGTTCGTGGGGTGGGGTATCGGAAAAGGAGCCCACCCCCCTCAAAAAAAGAAAAAGGAGGAGGAGGAAAGCGAAGGGAGGAGGCTTCCCCTCCCTCCCTGGGACAAGAGTTGCCCGTAACATTATACAACGTTGGGGGGCGGATGACAGCCGAGCACACCATGTGCGGCGGACACACAGGGCGCGGTTCGGGCGGAGAGAGGAGAAACCAGGGCGGCAGCGGCAGCGGCAGCTTCTGCCGGGAGACGGGAAGGGAGGAGCGGCGTTGCCTACTACTCACGGGCGCCGCCGGCTCGGTGCTGCTGCCCGGTCTCGGGCCCGATGTAGCTGAGCAGGACGGGCAAGGGGACCCCGCAAGGGCCCGGCGGGGCGGCTCTCCAGGCGCTCTGGGGCTGCAAGCCCGGCGCGGCGGCGCCTCCACGGCCCGGGTAGAGGAGGAAGAAAGGGGGCGAGTCGGGGGGCGCCTCTTCTTCTTCCTCCGTGGCGGCGGCGGCGGCTTTGCCCTCCTCCTCCTCCTCCTCGCGCTCCGCTTCCCCCTCGCCGTCGCCCGCCTCTCTCTTCCCCGCTCCCTCCATGCTCCCTCAGAGGCTGAGGGTGGCGGCGGCGGCGGCGGCGGCGGCGGCTCCCTCTTTTTCTCTCCCTTCTTCCTCCTCCTCCTGGACGGCGGCGAGAGTGAGCGGGCAACTTTTTCCACAGGGCGGGCGGGAGAAAGAAAGCGGCGGCGGCAGCGGCGCCTCCTTCTCCCTCCTAGACCAGCCCCCTTCCGAAGCCCTGACTGGGCCCAGGCCGACCGGAGGTTGAGATGGGCCGTCCCGGCCTCGCGCGGAGCTCCGCCCCCGTCTTGCCTGGCTCTTCTTTCTCCCCTCACGGCCGCTGTGGGCTCCGCTCTGGCGCTTTCCCGCCGCTTTGTGATGGTGGGGGAGGGGAAGGTTCTTGCCCCTCTCCTTTTCCCTCAGAAGAGGGGCCACTTCGGTAGGGGTCAGTTCTGACCCCTTTACTTTGGGGGGTGGGTTCGTTTTGACCCTTTCTCCCTCAGGAGTGGACACATTTCCCGCCCCCTAGGAAGGGCGACCCCTTTGGGGTCAGTTCGTGCCCTTCCCGCCTCTGAAATATGGCGTGTGTGTGTACCATTATTGCCCTTTGAGTGGCTGTGTGGAAAGAGACCACTTTGCTGGTCAGTTTTTGCCACTGTGGGGTTTTTATATTTAGTGTATTTTTGGTCTTTGTGGAAGCCGCCCAGAGTGGCTGGGGAAACCCAGCCAGATAGGCGGGGTACAAATAATATATTATTATTATTATTATTATTATTATTATTATTATTAAATACACACACACACACATATATATATATACACACACACATATGTATGTATATATTAATTATTCAATTTTACATTCTTCATTTGAATTCAAACATCAGCATCATCCCCATTTAGGATTTCCTGAATCCTTAGACCTCCCACCACCCCTCCATAGTTTCCATTATCAAACTTTTCCTGCTGCCATCACTAATTTCTCTTAGTTTTCTTTCAATAGTCCATTTTACCTTCGTTTTTAATACATTACAAGCGTTACTCAAATCCTGCCAAACTTTTTAGTTGTTTACAGTGTTCTCTTAAGTAAATTATAAAGTTTTCCCATTCCTTCTTAAAGTTCACTGTGGGGTTCATTCTTGCCCGCTTCCTGCCAGGGAATGGACACTTGAGAGCAGTTCCCACCCCGAATCCACCACAGTTGTCAGTTCCTTAAACTAAAATGAACTATATCCCCTCACCCATTTCCCTGCCACACACAAAAAATAATTTACATGTTACCGTTACCATTTAGGGCTTAAAACCCTTGAGGAAAATGCACTATTTGAGTTTATATTCTGGCTGAGCCTTTTTTCATACCAGATGCAATTAGAAAGGAAATTTGTACCACCTGAGCATGTACAGAAGATGTCACACCTTGCGGATTTAATTTGCTTTTGTATGCCTAGTAAGGGCTGGGTGACACATTAACCTTACTTGATTTCTCTCTGCTCTCTTAAAAATACTGCATTTGAGGTGGTAAGTAGTAGATACCATGCTTTGCCTGCAGAAGGTCTCGGGTTTATTAATAATATTTATTTCTTCTATATCCCACCTTTCCTCCATGGAGCTCAAAGCAGCACAGTACATGGTTTTCTTACTCCTCATTTTATCTTCACAACAAGCCTGATAGGTAGGTTAGGCTGAGAGAGTTGACTGGCCCAAGATCGCTCTGTGAGGTTCAATCCTTGGCATTTCCAGGCAGAGCTCAGAAAGGTTCCTGCTTGAAACTCTTAACCAGCCATTGTCAGTCATTGTAGATACACCAAGCAAGAGAGGCTAAAATGTCAGATTTTGTACAAAGTAGCTTCATACATTATTTTGATGTAAAAAATCTGTAACGGTGTTTGTGATAGCCTATTCACAAGGCCAAATAATCACTTGATATTGCAGTTATTATTACTCCCAAAAGATCAAAGTATTGTTCCCTTTCCCCACTCTACCCCTTGACTGCCCCCCCCCATCACCCATTTATGGCTAGGCAGAAATACAAACCTATGGTTCCTTAATCAAACACACTTGTTTGGCTTTTACTGCAAGCATATTGAGAAGCCATCGTGAAGCATGGTCTCTCCTCGTAAATGCACACAGAAGAATATGTCTATATTTGCTTACCTCAAATGATCTAGACATGGTCTGTTTGCTAATTTCTGCACAGGGGCACTTTCCCTGTAGAAGATAAAAACTCAAACTGCAGCCCGTTTAAAAAGCTTGCCCTAATCTTCCATTTCACCACTTTATTCCCTTTACAAAGTGATCTCTCAAACATTACAGAGAATTTACAAACTTTTCAAATAAACACCATGGTTCACTCTTATTTCTGATGCCCTAGCATGAGCATCAAACCAAAGACACCATCCAATAGGCTTGGGGGAATGCTAAGATTTTCAAAAGTGCAATAATAATTTTGGGAGTGGGAACTAAACAGCCTACTGAGGACCAGCCATGATTACAAACCACTGTGCTGTTTGGGGGCACAGGATGTAGAGAGGAAGGTAGACGGAATATCATGAAGCTTTGTGAAGAGAGCATGGCTGTGACTACAGCAGTAAAAAAGCACTATACATTGCAAGAGTTTGTCCCACTTGTCAGTCCTTAAAACCACATCTCAAAATTATGGCTTGCTCTACAAAAAGACTGACCTCTCCCCACCTGCAACGGAAGTTACTTTTCTGTAAAGTAACTTCCAATCACTATTTTCTGTAGCCTTAAACCCCTCACAATTTTAATTACAATGTTGGTGCCCACCACTAAAAACAACTCATCACAGCATGTGCCTCTGCTTCAGGGTTAATATCCCTTTTAAAAAATTAACTACTAATAGGCATCCCCTCAGTTCATTTCTGAATGGTTTCTAGTCATTATGTTAAACATACCTGCTAACATTTTAAAATCAAAAAGTGATTGGTTTTGGTTTCACTCAACCCAGCTACCAATGCAAGATATGCTAAACTGTGGCTTCAAATATGTATACTGTATTAATGTAGAGCACACAGGTAACTTAGAAGGTATAGAAAGTATATAGAAAGTTTTTGAGAGTCTGAATGAAGCAAATTAAACTTATGCATTAGAAGCTTTACCTGCCAAAGCTCTTATCATTCACAACATACAGGACCGTCTCCACTTTCGCATTGGATCTGATCAGCCTAGCCCTAAGTGTATGCTCAAGATAGCTTAATGCAGATTAAATATTCCTTGGGTCCCTTAAGAACTAAGGAGAGCCTTATTGGGTCAGGCCAAAGTATCTGGAACTCAATCCTGGGCATATTAACTAAGAATTCCCATTGAGCTCAATGCAGTTACTGAAAGTCAAAAGTGCACAGAAATGCAACCTAGCAGGTCAAAAAGTGGTGGAAGGTGAGAGGATTGTTGACCTGCTATGTTCTCAATGCAGTGATTGGGATTTACATTTAAACACAGTGCCTGGTTACTGCGGATGACCACAAAGATGAGCTGCTGGACAAATGAAACAACTGGGAAAGGCAGTTGCTCTGAACTTTGCATACTATGAACAATGCTGCTTTCTCCATGTTAAAATAAATACATATTGCCTTTATTTACCCCAAAAATGAACATTTATTGAGCTCACATTCACTGCCTTCAGCGAGTAAAAAAAGAATTATACAAAGAGAATCACTTAAGCTTAACACTTTTCTTAACTCCAGCACGAATGCCAGACAGTTCGCCTCCGTATCTTTGTTCTTCTCTTCGGACCTCACGAACCTGCCCCTTCCTACGAATCTTGGCTCGCCTGAATTTCTCACGGTGCTTGACTCTTGGGTTACGATCAATCTTTTTCCTTCTGGGTGTGAGGCCTTTATTCTTGACAATCTGGTACGTTGCACCTCTCTTTTGATCTCCTGCTTCCTCTTCCATAATCAGGTCTTCCACACATTCTGTTTCTTCTCGTTTCCTCTTTTTCTTAAGCTTTATCTTTTCTTCCATCTCCTTATAATAATTCAGGGCAGCCTCCTCATCCAAATCTGAATCATCTGTAGGTTCTTCGGCATCCTTACCATTAGAAAGCTCACCAACAGCTTTAGGTTTGATTTTATTAACAGGCTTTCTAGCAGGCACGATAAGCTTCTTCCTACCTTCCACATCACCAGCATCAGTACTATGGAATTCATTAAGGAGCAGACGAATCTCCGGTGACAGTTTTTGGTCCACAGTCGCCAAGTCATTTATTAAATTTCTGTAACTTACAAGTCTTTCAATGACAGGGTGACCGTGAACTGGAATCCTTTTGGCTTTCAGCACCAAGTAAAAACTAATGTTGCAGCAATAGTTCAAATAGAGATGGTATTTGGTCTGTAAATACTGGCTGCCCTTTCCCTCTGGGATGACCCCATCTTTTACCATTTGCATGAGCGGCTCCAGTTCATCTCTGAGCTCAGTTAACTTGGCTTCAAAGTCCTGAATCAGCTCCAGCAACTCCGGGGATTCCTTTTTCAACAGCTTCAACTTCTCTTTTTTAGAGAGAGACTGCAAGTCCTTGGCAATTTTCGACCCGGACTCTTTTCGACCTGGCTCCTGGGCTGCCGCAGCGTAGGCCTCTATCAGGTCCAGGCCGTAGTCATCCTCCCCCAGATTCTGCACCAGCCTTTTCTGAATGGCTTGGGCCTCCTCCTCTTCCTCCAGCTCCTCGGCTTCGGCTTCCTCCTGGCTCTGCTTGGCTGCTTTGGAGCGAGCCGCAGCCTTGCCGTAGTCGGTGCCGTAATAGAGCTGTTTCCGCTGGCCCCAGGCGAACTCATGGGGGAGGCCGAGGTCTCCGCTGCCGCCCCGCTGCTCCTCCAGGTCGCTGTCCATATCCAGGGGCTCGCCTTCGCCTCCATCCTCGTCGTCGTCCGCGCCCTCATCTTCTCCATCCTCCTCCGTCTCACTCTCCTCAGAGAGCTCTAGCCCCAAGACCTCCTCCTCGCCATCTTCCTCCTCCTCCTCCTCCTCGCTGCCCAGCGCCGCCAGCACTGCCTCCTCCAGACGCCGCTGGTGGAAATCGTCTGCCTCCTCCGTGAAGATCGGGACTCCCGGCTCCGGCTCCTCCATCTTTTCCTCCCGCGGCTGCGAGGCCCTCAGGCCCGCGGCTATTCTCCGCCGCGGCTTCCCCATGTTGCCGGCAGCGCGGATGGATCGGCGGTCGGCAAACCAGCGTGCGGTATTACTGCTGTGCGGCCGCCAACGCACGACACTACTTCCGAGTCGAAGGTCGGTGCGCCTCGGAAACCGGCTTTCACTTCCGGTTCACAAGAAACGGGTAAGCCGTCGCCTCCACCTAACTAATTCCCAATTGTCATTTCGTTGTTCAGGAAATAACTGGACGGCCGTTAATCTGCCGCTTACCGTCGTTAATCTACGCGTCTCCGGTAGATTCCGAACTGTACAGCGACCTCGCTTTCGAGGTGCTTTACTTCCGGCCTAGAGTAAGCGAGTAAATTCTACATCCGGTCGGTTGATGCGCCCTGCTTTATACCTTCCGCCTCGCTTGTGGACGCTCTGGTTTCGGTAAGAAGCATAGAGAGGTGATGGGGAGGATGAGCGCCGGAGGCGAGGCGGGGCGTTCGGCCGATGAAGTGCGCATGCGAGAACCGCAGGGGGACACGTGGCCGACGTAAAGCGTGCGGCGTAATGGAGTGCCAAGCGCGTGTATCTCAGCCTCTGCCGCTGCTTCCATTTAATAGAACGAGCATCCACACAGGTCCAAGATACATATTAATCGATGCCAGTTAATAGCAATGCACTGTTCACTCAGTTCGATAGACAGATAGATGTCTATTTATTTCTCCTTAGGAATCTGCTTTATGCTGAGTCAGACTTTTGGTCCATCTGGGTTAGTGTTGTCTACACTGACTGGCAGCGGCTTTCTAGGCAGCAGCCTCGCAACTCAACCTGCAGGGACCGAACCTGGGAATCAGCCACATCAGGGGTGGAGTTTGGTAATATGGCTCCCTGAACAAGACCAAGATTGGGCGCCCCTTCCCCCTAAATATTTATTATTTTCCACAGTTTTTCATTTTGGTACAGCTGCTTTTTAAATGGGTCTTCTCAGTAGGTACCCGTATAATTATAAGTATTGTTGTTATGTGGGATGCGGGTGGCGCTGTGGGTTAAACCACAGAGCCTAGGGCTTGCCAATCAGAAGGTTGGCAGTTCGAATCCCCGTGACTGGGTGAGCTCCCGTTGCTCGGTCCCAGCTCCCGCCAACCTAGCAGTTCGAAAGCACATCAAAGTGCAAGTAGATAAATAGGTACCGCTCCGGCGGGAAGGTAAACGATGTTTCCGTGCGCTGCTCTGATTTGCCAGAAGCAGCTTAGTCATGCTGGCCACATGACCCGGAAGCTGTACGCCGGCTCCCTCGGCCAGTAAAGCCAGATGAGCGCACCAACCCACAACTGGACCTAATGGTCAGGGGTCCCTTTACCTTTATCTGTTGTTGTGCTCCCTGTCTGCTCCACACCACCCTAAATCTGGTGTTGTCTGCTTACAAGGCAGCTTCTGAGCTATGGTGGCCCTTCCCTTAAAGAAAGAAAGAACAGACCTCCTGGATTTTTTCCCTGAGGCTTCTCACACAGACACCCTGCTTTAGCAACTGAAGGAGTGGTGGAAAGTGTGAAATGACAGTGTTGTTGTTCTCTCCCTGCTCACACTGCTAGGACTTGGGGTCTCTGGATGAAACCTGATTCAGAACAAGCAATGGTGTTGCTGCTCATGTTGTGAGATCATTTCGTTGCCACAAGATGGAGACAGATGCCGACTTTTAGCTTTTCCAAAGGATAAAATATATGTTAGGGTGGAAGCAGCAAACATGATGCCTTCTAGATGTTGGACTCCCATTTCCCGTCAGCCTCAGCCGGAATGGCTAATGGTCAGGGATTATGGGAGTTTGAGTCCAACAACATCTGGAGGGTACCACACATTAGCAGCTCCTGCCATAGAAGGTAGGTTAATTGATGGATGCTGGCCTTCAGTTACTGAAGCGTACATTGGAATATCAAAAGATGGACCGCCACATGCGAATTTCCCCAGAATAATCTGCTAGTTGCCATCAGAAACAAAATCCTGGGCTTCGTGGGTCTTTGATTAATCCAGAAAGGCAAGTCTTGACATTTTTACATCTTCAGGACTACCAATGGATTAACAGAATCGATAAATATATCAGTTTAAGCAAAGTAAGTGTGCAACCCTATACAAGTCTATACATGGAATATACTTCTGAGTAGGCCTACATAGGCTTGTGCTGCTGGTAGTATATTAAATCCAAATTAATTTGCATATTAATAAAAACAATTGGCTTGTATGGAAATAAACATTCTTTTTTTGTTTCTAGATAATTCATGTACCTGCCTCAGCAGGGACTGCCTTAGTACTTAATGTAGAAGGCAGGGGGCCTTTTCTGAGAGGACACCTTCCACCTACAGTTCTCATAAGTTCAATAAGCACTTCCATGAATTTTGCAAGCACGTTTTTAGGCAGTTTAAAGGCTTTTGATCACTGGTTAACTGAGTAAACACCACAGCCCCAAATGACGTAGGAGGGTGTTAATAGGCAAGAATTGGTGCAGAGTCCGTGGCACCATTCACATAACAAAAACTACCATAGAGATATCAAGTTTTTCAAAAGTAGCAAGTCCATGGCTTCACTTTTGAAAAACAGGTCTGCAGTCCTTAGCTAATTGGGAACCACTGGTTTAGTCTAACCTGCTTGATGCAAGAAGCCCAGAGGCTTTTCCCCAACAGATGACTTTTCCTGTCCAGACTCTGCTTAAAGACTTCCAGAGTGGGTGATCCCACCACCCCTCTAAGTAACGGGTTCTTTTGTTAACCCACTCTTACTGTCAAGTGGTTTCCTCCTAATATTGAAATTACACCTACCTGCCTATAGTTTAAGTCCATGAGATACAGTAGTGTCTCCAACGAGATCAAAAGTTTATCGAGGACTGGGGAAAATTTGTTGAGTATTGGGGAGGTTTAAGTGATAATGAAATAACGTTTGCGGCATTTAAAGAAGCTCTGTAAAAACTTAAAGAAATATTGTAAGAAAGGAAAACAGGTGTGGATAGGTTTGTTAAAAGGCAATACGAAATGTAGGAAATGTGTAACTAAAAAGTTTAATTCGGATGATTGTCAGAATGGCTGATGGAAGTCCAAAAAAGGAGAAAATTTGTAAAGTGGAAATGTTTGTTTATTTTTCTTTTGCTGAAAATTAATAAAAAATATTATAAAAAAAGAGATACAGTAGTGTCTTCTAGGACACCAGAAAACAAATTTTTGCACTCCTCAATGACTGTGTGTGCATGACCCTTTACTCTGGCTCCAGTGTACTCCCATCGCTAGTGTTTGAAACCATGTACACGTGATGTTAGCCACAATCCCATAGCTGTCCTGTAGTTCTTGAAAAATCCTGCTGTTCAGCGCATTTCTACTCAAACCAGCTTCCATCCAATTTGAAAAATGTCAGCCGCATTCCATTTGCAGTTAAGCTGAGGTGTGTGCACTCGAGACAACTGTTGCGTATGCCCAGATGACAGTTTTGTGAACAGGAGTTGGAAAGGTTGCAGGTGTGGAAAAAGCAATTGTGCTTTGAGTGATGAAATCTGGGAAGAGGCGGCCTTGCTGTGCTTTAAGGTGCTAAAGCAGAGCTTTCCAAGCTTTTCATGCTGATGACACACTTTTTAGACATGCGTCATTTCGCAGCACAGTCATTCAGTTTTACTACCAAACTAGAGGTTAAACTAGCCCCTTTCATCGACACACCTACACACTGCAGCCAACACACTAATGTGTCATGACACACAGTTTGGAAAGCTGTGTCCCAAAGTGTATTTGACCTAAGTGTCAGCCTTTCAGGAATTTGAAGTGCTGTCATGTCCCTCCTCTGTCTTCTCCAAGTTAAATACAACCAGTTCCTCCCACCTTTCCAGTTGTGCTTCCAGTACAATTCCCTTTTTGATCTACTTATGGAGGCTTTCAAGCTGCTTTTGGGGCTATCCTTCCACCTTAAGTTACCACAGTCAGTATGTTGGACTGCTGTTTCTTAGTGCCCTCTGTACATCAGCAAGGCATTGTAATCCCTCAGAGTGAAGTAATGGTGCTGAAAAGAACTCTTGCCTCTGAAACAAGCAGGCTGACCGATACCAAACCCAAGCGCCGTTCTATGCAAAATAAGTGCAGGTGCCAGTTTCTTCTTAAGAAAACCACAGAGCAGGTGCAGCAGGGCCAGTTAAACTGGAATTTAGAGTTGCAGCTCTCTAAAGGAAAGGAAATGCAACTATTAGGGCGCTTAACCAAGTAAAGATGCTTAAATCTTCAGATACCATGTATATAATTCAATAGCTTCATTAAAATATGAATTTGCATATCTTTTTATTTGAAGGAGCTCAAGGTGGCATACGTGGTTCTCCCTCCTCCTTGCTTTATCCCAGGTAACGCTGGATTGTAGTGACTAGCCGAAAGTCACCCAGGGAGCTTCATGGCTGAGCAGAGATTTGAACCCTCGTGTCCCACGCCCTGGTCTGAAACCCTAACCCAGGGGTCAGCAAGGTTTATCTTGCCTGGGCTGGATCAGTCCCGCAGAGATCCCTCCGTGGGCTGGATCACGTGCGCGCATGAGGCGCACCTGCGATTTTTGGCATCTGCGCATGCATACCCGCAGTTTTTGGTGTCTGTGCACGTGCAGACACGATTTACAGCGCCGCGGAAGCGAGTCCACGTGCTGTGCTGCACTGATTTAGTGCAGCGCGCGAGTGGGCAGCTCGATTTGGGGGCGGCTCGTGGGCCGGTCAAACGACCTCTGCGGGCCGCTTCTGGCCCATGGTCCTTAGGTTGCTGACCCCTGCTCTAAACGTAACACCTGACATAGGACTCCTGCCAACCCCGTAATGCAAGATGCTTTGGGACAGGCTGTGGTTACTCACTGGTGATCAACAGGCACTCTGCACATGCTTCAAGCCCGAGCCATTGTCCTCCGCGTGAAATAAGTTACAGCTAATCCTATTGACATAGTAGGTGTGAGTCCTGACACACAAAATCCTTGGATAAATTAAGTCCAGAGAGTGAATCAACTACCTTTGTAACTTTTTCCTGTTATTGATTTCCCCCTACCGGTTTTGTCAAACATGTACTTGGTGACTGAAAAAGTAACTGAAACTCTTCCTGTGGTCATAAGGTGTGTATTTTTAACCATGTGCACAGAGGCTGATATAAGGAGCTCTGCAGCTGGTCCGTGGAAAGCAAAGAGCCATGTGATCTAGAGGCAAGTGACTTCAGTAAAATAACTTTACTCTTTCAGGCACATGAGTTTGCTGGTTTAAAGGCGTGGATCTTGAGTTTGGAGGCAAAATTAAACCAAATTAGGAGCTGAATAATGTAAAACATACTGTATATGGAATCACAGAATCTTAAGAGTTGGAAGGGACCCCAAGGGTCATCTAGTCCAACCCCCTGCAATGCAGGAATCTCAGCTCAAGCATCCATGACAAATGGCCATCCAACCTCTGCTTAAAAACCTCTAAGGAAGGAGAGTCCACAACGTCTCATGGGAGACTGTTCCAGTGCTAAACAGCTCTTACTGTCAGAAAGTTTTTCCAAATGTTTAGTTAGAATCTCCTTTCTTGCAACTTGAAGCCATTGATTCAAGTCCTACCCTCCATAGCAGGAGAAAACAAGCATGCTCTCTCCGCCATGTGACAGCTCTTAAGGTATTTGAAGGTGGTTATCATATCTCCTCTCAATCTCCTCTTTTCCAGGCTAAACATACCCAGCTCCTTCAAGCACTCCTCACAAGGCTTAGTTTCCAACCCTTGATCATCTTGGTTGACCTTTTCTGCATATGTTCCAGCTTGTCAACATCCTTCTTAAATTGCGGTGCCCAGAATTGGGCACAATATTCCAAGTGTAGTCTGACCAAGTCAGAATAGAGTGGTACTATTGCTTTCCTTGAACTGTACACTATACTTCTGCTGATGCAGTCTAGAATAGCATTAGCTTTTTTGCTGCTGCACCACACTGTTGACTCATGTTAAGTTTGTGGTCCACCAAGACCCCTAGATCCTTTTCACATGTACTGCTAGTAAGCCAGGTGTCCCGCGTCCTATATTTGTGCATCTGGTTCTTTCTGCCTAAATGCAGAATCTTACATTTGTACCTATTGATATGCATTTTGTTAGCTTTTCCAATCTGTTAAGGTCATTTTGAATTCTGATTCTGTCTGTTCTTAAACCAAGGCATACTTTCCCATAGCAGCGGGGGACTCAATTTACAAATGGAACACACTCAACAGGAAGTGAAACATGTTCTTATTCCAAGGCAAAGTTCACAAACCAAAACACCTATTTCCTGGTTTGCAGCATTCTTAATCCAAGTTGTTAATAAGCTAAGCTTTTCTTAAACCAAGATACCACTGTATATATATATATATATGTGTGTGTGTGTGTGTGTGTGTGTGTGTGTGTTTTATCTTGATTTATTATTCTTCCGGTAAGTTTCACCATTTCTGCATGTTCCATAAGTTATTGTATCCATTCTTCCTTTGCTGGGACTTCTGCCTTTTTCCACAAAGGTTAGAGTCATGCCTGTTCCTAGTTTTGCCTTTGGCCAAACCAAGGAATGTTTGGTTCTAAAAGAATGTGAACTTTGGGGTGTAAAACATCCTCACCTTTTAGAGTCCCTACACATGAGCAGTCCCGCCACCGCACGCGTTTCAAGTTGCATTTGCATGTTGCTGTACATACCAGAGAGGGGATGGGGATACCTGATGTACATTTCCTATTTAGTTTCCCCGTGTCTGCAACACACACACCCTGAACAGCTATCCATGAAGCTGTCATCTGCTCAAATATGCACGCCTCATCTTAACTGCAAAGTGAATGTGGCTTATGTTTATAAATCAGACGGGAGCTGGTTTGAGGGGGAAACCACCAGGCAGGACCCTCGTACCTATGGGATCGCCTCCCTTGGTATGCCCCACGGAGGACCTTAAGGTCCATATATAGCAACACCCTAGAGGTCCCGGGCCCTAAGGAAGTTAGATTAGCCTCAACCAGAGCCAGGGCCTTCTCAACACTGGCTCCGGCCTAGTGGAACGCTCTCTCTCATGAGACCAGGGCTCTGCGGGATCTGATCTCTTTCCGCAGGGCCTGTAAGACAGAGTTGTTCCACCTGGCCTTTGGCTCAGAATCAGTTTGATTCCCTTCCCCTTTTTCTTTTTCCTTTCTCCTCCTATGATGAGATTGCTCCCTAATTGTTTTAATATTGTATCTTAATATTTTAAATTGTATTATAATCAACTTGTTTTTATTATTAGTTGTTAGCCGCCCTGAGCCCAGTCTTGGCTGTGGAGGGCGGGGTATAAATAAAAATTTATTATTATTATTATTATTATTATTATTATTATTATTGGTGAATTTCTCAAGAAACTTCAGGATAGATGTGGATTGTGGCTAAGGTGAGCTGCAGAGGATCCGAAGTTAACAGTAACACAGCCGTAAAAGCTTGTTCCAATGGTTTGCTGCTGGGATAAGATGCCAAACATTGCTGACTCTGCCAGCAGGAGAAGAGTCCCAGTGAGGTGGGGGAATCCTAAATTAGCAGCCTGATTCTGGTTACAGAACTTAAAATTCCCAGGCGAATAAATAATCCAAAAATGCTCAAGAGAGGCTGGTGAAGGGTGTGGCTGGGGAGAGGGTGTGGCTTGGAGAGACTCTCAGGGGCCGGACAAAGTGTCCCAGGGGCCAGACATTTGGCCCTCAGGCCTGAGATTCCCTAACCCTGATATAAAATAATAAGTTTGCCAGGAGTGGAGTGAAGCCAAATTCATTCTATGCCACACAGCATCACCTTCTCAGAAGCATTTGTGACATCAGATCACTGCCAGACAATAATATTTTATTGATAAGTTTGTTAACCCAGAGGCAAACACCTAAGCATCACACTTAGAAGACTCTTGCAGTCTAATCTGTTTTAGTTCCCTAATCTCCCTGCATATGTGTGTTTTATGTTTATATGTGTTTTATGTGTATTGCAAACCCAAGTTCAAAGAGAGAGAAAGAGAGATGTTGTAATCCTGCCCACCAGTAGAGTTTTCGAAGAACGGGGTTTTCCTCCCTGATTAGTAAACCACAATTACTTTGTGGTTTCATTCTGTCCGGATGTGTTTTGCACCACCGTTAGCACAACTTGACTGCAATCTAGGCAGGTGTTTTTAGGAATCTCAGGCTGCCACCGCCACACAGACTGCTTTTTGGCAGAGAGGCACAACTCTGAGAGTGTTTGAAGGCAGGCAGAGAGAATGAAGAATTACTGGATCCTCTGTGGAACCCTGGCTGTCCTTTGGGGAGCTATTCTTGGAACAGGTATGCAACATTTGTCCATTGAAAGCAACTCGGATATAATGTTTTAAGCAAAGAAAGTGCTTTTGTGCCGGGAAGAATCGTCACTATATTAATTGGCTCTAAAATTCTTACCTAGAAGGTGGTACTGTATCTAGATTGAAAATTTTAAAAGTAAAAGGGATGCTTATTTTGTCCTACTGGGCTGCTCTGAAATCAGGGTTATGGTGATCTATAATGTGCATTAGATATACTTACAATGTCAGAGCTGTGTTTTGAAATGGGGATCACCAGGTGTTCAGTAATGCTAAAGTATCCATTTTTTCTGTTTTTGGGGTTGGCTTGAGTGATGCCTCCGAACCAGAAGTTCATTGCTTTCTATAATTCTCCCCTTGTCTCCTCACTGGCCCAAATAGGACTAATTTAGCCAGCTAGCCCTGGTGTTCATCTAATGTTTATTGGGATGGATTTCCCCCCTAAATTGATTTTTGAATTCTGAATTTATTGCTATTCACGTTTTATACTGTATTTTATGCTGGTTTTTTTGTTGCATCAATTAAGTGTTTTAAATTTGTTGTTAGCCGCCCTGAACCGGGAAGGGCAGGGTATAAATAAAAATGTATTATTATTATATTATATGAATCTTAATATGTCTTGGAGTTTGCATGCATTCCTGCCAATGTCCCTACTGACTCTGCTCTAATGGTTGTAGTTGTTGTTGATAATAATAATAATAATAATAATAATAATAATGGCAGCTTCATGGTAGAAGCCACTTATTAAATTCAGAAAGTAAGATAGAATTAAGGGGTTAAGATATGGGAAAGGGAAGGAATACAGACTGACAGATAAAAGAAAAAGAATCCAGCATGGCCCCGGGGGTGACCCATAGTAATGTAGGAGGAAGAGGAAGTGTAGTGGAGAGGATTGTGGCCACTGCAGGGTTGCTACTTCTTTCTGGCAGGGCTCCTGTGCTGTTTATGCTGGACGACAGCAGTGGAGGGAGGCTGGGGCCAATAGCGACTGGGTAGGGCAAAAGGCAGAGACCCCAAGCAGTGGGTGGCAAAAGTAGTGCAGTGGCAAAGTCAAAAGTTCAGCTTCTCTTCATGACAGTCGCAGCCATGCCCCCTCACAGCAGCCCCCCCTTTTATTATAAAACCATAATTGTATAATTATGCAATAATAAAAGTTGGGGATGCATTGCAACAGTTAATGCCCTGAGGCCCAGGGGAGCTGTGTCACCAGCTGGAATAAAAAAATATTGGACCAGTGTTCTGATCCAGCGTAAATCAGCTTCATAAATTCATATATTATCAGATAGTCCAGGCTTTCCCAACCTGGTGCCCTGCAGAAGCCCTAACCAGCCCAAGCCTATAACCCAGTGATGAACCTAAGATACGTAGACCTCCGAGTCTGAAAATGCCACGTTGAAGCCTTGGGTTTCAACTTCCTCCCTAGCAGCCTAAATTTGGCTTCCAGGATCTTTCAGCTGCAAATCTCAGTATGACTCAGTAACCCACCCTTTGCATCTCATTATTACGTTGGCGTCGTTTTTTTCGGGATGTGCATGTGATAAAATAGGTGCGCCCTAAACATCTGGCAGATCGGCACCAGAGAATGTTCTCGTTTTTCTTTCTCAGTCTAAAAAACCTTGTGTTTTATGGGCAGCTTATTATGGGCTGGATGAAGATGAAGAGAAGGTCCTGGTTGATAACAAGTGCCAGTGTGTGAAGGTGACATCGAAATTTGTCCCTTCCAAAGACAACCCACAAGAGGAAGTACTGGAGAGAAACATCCGCATCATGTAAGTGGTACTTCATATAAAGTTTCTCCTTTTCCTGAGGCATATACACAACTGTCAAAGCCATAACCACCGAATGGGACGGAATAAACGCTGCATAGCCTTTCTATAATTTGGGGAGCAGGATTATCTCACTCTTCATGCAGCTTCTGTGGTGAAGATGGAAGAGCAAGCAGGACACCAATACTGTACAGCCCTCTAGGATCTCCCTCTTCCCCCACTTCAATCACTTTGTCAGTTTCACAGGTGTAGCCCAGTTAAGTCTTTTTGCAACGAAAACCATGAAAAGTCTTGTGGCGCCAACAGATTTGTGGTGGGTGAACTCCCAAGATGCCACAAGACTCTCTGGTGGTTCCTCACATCCAATCCTCCTTCGACTCTGAGAACATCCTGGAAGACCCTCTCACTACACATTCAACTACAGACATCTCCCCATTTACATGGGGGTTACATTGCTGGGTACCACACATATACATGAAATTGTGTATAGTGGGGAACACAATCTTTAAAGCCTATGAACACCCTCCTTTCTCAAGCTCCAACTCTCCACAGGCCTCAGAGGCCAGTGCAAAGGCTCCTGGAATTGCTAGCCATTTGTCAACTCTTTCCCCACCATTTTTGCAGTTTTTCCGCACCCCTTTTGCCATTTAAACATATTTATTTATTTCCTGGCACCACACTGTAATGCGTAAGTGGAGAAAAGCCTGTACTGCACTTGACCTCTGCTATCGGCAGCCATAAAACCTTTCCAATGGCTTGACCACATCATACAGATGACAAAGCTGCTGCAGAGAGAGAGAGCTCAGCCATCTGCATAGGCTCACTGATTGTTGTTGTTGTTGTTTCATTCCTGAAACCCCGGGGAGCAGCCGCCTTTGTTGTTGTTTAGTCGTGTCCAACTCTTCGTGACCCCATGGACCAGAGCACGCCAGGCACTGCAGTCTTCCACTGCCTCCCGCAGTTTGGTCAGACTCATGTTTGCGGCTTCGAGAACACTGTCCCACCATCTCATCGTCTGTCGTCCCCTTCTCCTTGTGCCCTCCATCTTTCCCAGCATCAGGGTCTTTTCCAGGGAGTCTTCTCTTCTCATGAGGTGGCCAAAGTATTGGAGCCTCAGCTTCAGGATCTGTCCTTCCAGTGAGCACTCAGGGCTGATTTCCTTTAGAATGGATAGGCTTGATCTTCTTGCAGTCCATGGGACTCTCAAGAGTCTTCTCCAGCACCATAATTCAAAAGCATCAATTCTTCAGTAATCAGCCTTCTTTATGGTCCAGCTCTCACTTCCATACATCACTACTGGGAAAACCATAGCTTTAACTATAGGAACCTTTGTTGGCAAGGTGATGTCTCTGCTTTTTAAGATGCTGTCTAGGTTTCGTCATTGCTTTTCTCCCAAGAAGCAGGTGTCTTTTAATTTCATGACTGCAGTCACCATCTGCAGTATAAGGGCTCACTGATGCGCTCACTGAGCATCAGGGCTCACTGACGTGCCTTGCCAAATCAAAATTGTGATTTGCTCCCTCAACACAGCAGAGCTTACGCTGGTGCAGTGGCAATCCCACAAAGCTGCCACAGCCCACCAGATGTGAGGACTGGCCTGAAGGAAGTGGTTCATCTTGTTTCACACACACACACACACACACACACACACACACACACTGCAGGCCGCGTTTGACAGATGTGTGGGGTTGCCTACCTGTCAATCACCTGTTGACCCATTTTCAGTAGCACAGTTTTAAAGTAAACTGTATGCAGGCAAGAATCCTGTGTGCGGTGCTTTGCAGTCCCAACGATCAGCTAATTGTCGGGACTTCAAAGCACCACATGCAGCTATGTGCAGAGAGCCATACATGGCGCTGTGCATTGGGCTTTGCCGGTCCACTGATCAGCTGTGCCTGCTAATCCTTTTTGTCCCAGCTATGCCTGTACCTGCCTCATGGCTGATATTATATATGGTGTCAGGTAGATAGCAGGTGGACATGGCTTTGCCAGAATGAACTCGCAGGTCAAACAGGGAGGCCTCGTGGGTCATATTCGGCCCAGAGCCTAGGGGTTCCCCACCACTGATCTACGGAATGGCCCAGACGAATTGGTTCATCCAGGATTTGGTCCAGAGGAACTGGTTTTGCAGGGAACTCGGGCACTAGTGACTATTAAAGCAGCAAAATTCTACGCATCAGCATGTATTTCTAAGAACCAGGTGGTTAAATCTAACTTACCACGCCAGTAGTCAGTGATCCATTCTAAAGTGAATGTGCCACAATGTGGGTAGACACTTCCTAGCCCTTTGCTGCTCTGTCAATTCCAAAAATCTTTCTGCTGGCTTGCAAACTTCAAAAGTGTTTGATTGCAACGTAATGGCAGATCTGCAATAGTAATACTGTAATAAAGAATGATTGATAGTAACCCTGGTGCTGCTCAGACTCATGTCCACCACTCGGCTTGGATAGGCGTCACTCCTCTGCCAGCCAATTGGTTTTCACAGGAGCTGGCATGCTGGCACTGTGACCCTTGCTAGTGTTTTTATCTTGCCGCAGCAACAATGGGAGAGAACTTGTCAGCCCAGAGCGTGGGTAGGCAAACTAAGGCCTGGGGGCCGGATCTGGCCCAATCGCCTTCTCAATCCAGCCCGCAGACGGTCTGGGAATCAGTGTGTTTTTACATGAGTAGAATGTGTCCTTTTATTTTAAAATGCATCTCTGGGTTATTTGTGGGGCATAGGAATTCATTCATTCCCCCCCCCCTTCAAAATACAGTCATACCTCAGATTGCGATCACTGTAGGTTGTGTGTTTTCGGGTTATGGATGCGCCGAAACCCGGAAGTACCAGAACGGGTTACTTCTGGGTTTCGGTGCTCATGCATGCACAGAAGTGCTAAATTGCGCTTTGCGCATGCGCAGGAGCGCCAAATCGCACCATGCGTGTGCGCAGACGCGGCGCTGTGGGTTGCGAACGTGCCTCCCGCACAGATCACGTTCACAATCCGAGGTTCCACTGTATACTCCGGCCCCCCACAAGGCCTAAGGGACAGTGGACCAGCCCCCTGCTGAAAAAGTTTGCTGACTTCTGGTCCAGAGCAATGACAGTTGTGTTTCCATTCCTGCATTTCATGTGGCTTGTAACTTTCTCTTCCTCTTTGCCTTCTCCAGAGTTCCCCTGATGACCAGAGAGAACATCTCTGACCCCACCTCGCCAGTGAGAACCAGATTTGTCTACAACTTCTCCAAGCTGTAAGGGCTTCCCTTGATTGCACTTATCTCAATAAGCTTAAGTAGCGCTAAAAGAGTTGAGGCCACTGTAATGTGTATTATATTGCAACAAAGGATATAACTGAGATGGCACCAACTGTGCCTTGTGCCAACTCAGCTATATTGGCTTTGGGTCATATCCAGAATGTAGCACTAAGTAGCCCTTTCCATCAGCCCTGGACACACCTCCCACACTTGCCTTGGGCAGAAAGGGCAGTATCCATCAATGCAGGATTTCCCAAACTTGGATTTCCAGCTGTTTTTCAGACTACAATTCACATCATCCCTGACCACTGGTCCTGCTAGCTAGGGATGATGGGAGTTGTAGTCCAAAAACTCCCAGCCGACTGCACTGGCTACCAATTCGTTTCTGGGTCCAATTCAAAGTGCTGGTTTTGACCTATAAAGCCTTAAACATCTCAGGAGCACAATACCTCAAGGACCGCCTCTTTCCATATGAACCTCACCTTCTGAGGCCCTCCTTCGTGTGCCTCCTCCTCAAGAGGTCCGGAGGGTGGCACCACGAGGACGGGACTTCTCTGCAGTGGCTCCCCATCTGTGGAATGCTCTCCCCAGGGAAGTTCGCCTGGTGCCTTCATTATACACCTTTAGGCGCCAGGCAAAACCATTCCTTTTTAACCAGGCCTTTGGTTGATCTGATTTACATCCTTTGCCCTTTTAAAATGTGTTTTTTTGGACAGGGGGCTATTGGATTGCTGCTTTTATTTTTATTATGTATTTTGTGGTTTTATGTCTTGATTTTATTCTGTGAACCGCCCTCGGACCCCCGGGTATAGGGCGGTATATAAATCTAATCAATCAGTCAGTCAGTCAATAAAAAACATCTGGAGACCCAAGTTTGGGGAAACCCTGAGCTAATGTGTCCCATGGGCACAAGGATTTATACTTGCACAACAGAACTTCCCCCACCTCGTAAGCATGTTCTAGAGCAGCGGTTCTCAACCTGTGGGTCCCCAGATGTTGTTGGACTACAACTCCCATCACCCCTGAGCTCTGGCCTTGCTAGCTAGGGGTGATGGGAGTTGTAGTCCAACAACATCTGGGGACCCACAGGTTGAGAAAGGCTGTTCTAGAGGGTCCCCTCTTACCTACCCTCCAAAGCAGATTTGAGCAGCGTGCATGGGCGTGTCTGCTCTGGCAGGGGTTGATGGGAGTTGTAGTCCAACAACAACTGGAAGGCAGAGCATTGGCTATTCCTCCTGTGGAATCTCTTTGTATGGATCTTGTTATGTACTGAGTTGAATAGGATCCAAAATGCAGCAGTCTGATTGCTCCTAGAACAATAGGATTCAGAATACAGCAGTCTGATTGGTCCTAGAACAATGCAGCAGTATGATTGGTCTGCAGGAGCCACCCAATCCAGCTCCAGATGGAAGTGAATCCACAACCTGATTGGCCTACAGGAGAATTCTGGAATTAGCCAATCACGTGCAGCCCATTGTGTAAATAATGTATATAAAGCAGATACTTTGGGGAAACTTCCATTCCTCCTCACCACTATGAGCTGAATAAAGGGCATGAAATCCACTCTCGACTCCGAGTATATTTCAGATCTGTTGGCTAACTTTTCTCCTCCTCTGCCACCTGTCTTCTAGCTGTGATAAATGTGCTGCAGCAGACGGCGAAGCCACGAACGACCACCCTGTGCCAGGAGAGAGCAGCATGTGCAACGACCCCGACCAGCCCTGCTACACCTACGACAGAAATAAGTGCTACACGGCCTCTTGCCTGTTCTCGAACGGTGGGAAGACTGAGGTCATCCAGACAGCCTTGACTCCCGAATCCTGCTATGTTGATTAGATCATAGAGCTGAATGCAGGGCATGGTGGGGCAGATGGACACCACCACAGAGACTTATGTCGGCTTCATAGTACCAGTTACAGCTTCCCTCAAGGGATCCTGGGAACTGTAGTTCAGTGAGGGTTCACCGTTAGGGATCCTTTGGGCTGGAGAAAATCGATACGGTTCTCACCTAAAGGCAAACTCCCCCAATTCACATTTTCCATAACGTGAACCGAAAAAAGCTCCCCTTCAGAATTTGTGTGTCTCCAAATTACACGGTGCAGTTCACCAGACAAATGACGTGTGCAGAAATGCACAGCCTGTGCTAAAATCTACATATAAATGTACCTTTTAGTGAAAAGAGCATACAAAATTATGCTCGGGAAATTGCTTTGGAGAAACTGGGTTGAAAAGAAACTGGATTAAAAGAAAACATGTACAGTTGGAGGGGAGGACTTCGCTCAGAAATCCAATTTGCTTTATGAGGATTCTTTTTTAAAAATTGCAAACTGGTGTGGAATTGTGCAGAAATGAGCTTCAGATTGCAAAAATTAGAATTGGAGAAAACAAAAATGGACACATTTGTCCATCCCTAGTGATTCCGAATGCCCCACACAGAAGTACAGGTCTCTTGGTTGAGGGAAATAGCCATATGAAGTCTGTGGTGTAGACACATACCCACATTGCCCTGCATGCTTGAAATTAAAAATATGTCTTTATTAGCGGAATGATCTCCTACTATTTCCTCCCCATAATTTCTTACAGTTTATAGAATTCCACCCCCCCCATCTGCAGCCCCTACATGTTGTCACAATAAATATTGCCTTTCATTATCTCCACAGTCATTTTATTGGGACTAAACGCTACTGGTTCCACATTGTGCGTTCGACATCTTTGACAGACATAAAGCTAGCATAATTCCTTGGAAGTTCTGGAGCTACATCAAATTACTTCTGGGGCACGGCCGGGAGGGAGTGTGATATAGTAGTTAGGCTGCTGGACTAGTGGAATTACCACATTCCCTTATTGGAGGTCAATAATAACAAGGTAATAAACCAATAAACATTTATTTTGCCTGTGCAAAGTGGCAACCCCAATGCTGAGGTCGCTACAAAGGATTCAAACTGCAATACAAGCATAGCTATAGCAATGTAAATTAATCAAAACCACCCCTTCGTTACAGCCTTAAAGCATTTTGGGGACACTAAGCAACTAGCAGTTTATACCTTTTGACATGCTCAATTAGTCCTCTTTGTTGCAGCTACACTGTTTTGCAGCATGTAAAAGTTAAAGGTAAAGGACCCCTGACAGTTAAGTCCAGTCACAGACGACTCTGCGGTTGCGGCGCTCATCTCAATTTACAGGCTGAGGGAGCTGGCGTTTGTCCACAGACAGTTTTTCTGGGTCATGTGGCCAGCATGAATAAACCATTTCTGGTGCAATGGGACACTGTGACAGAAACAGTGCATGAAAGTGCATGGAAACATCATTTACCGTCCTGCCGGGGTGGTACCTACCGTATTTTTTGCTCTATAAGACTCACTTTTTCCCTCCTAAAAAGTAAGGGGAAATGTGTGTGCGTCTTATGGAGCGAATGCAGGCTGCGCAGCTATCCCAGAAGCCAGAACGGCAAGAGGGATTGCTGCTTTCACTGCGCAGCGATCCCTCTTGCTGTTCTGGCTTCTGAGATTCAGAATATTTCTTTTCTTGTTTTCCTCCTCCAAAAACTAGGTGCGTCTTGTGGTCTGGTGCATCTTATAGAGCGAAAAATACGGTATTTACTTGCACTTCGACGTGCTTTCGAACTGCAAAGTTGGCAGGAGCTGGGACCAAGCAACGGGAGCTCACCCCGTTGCAGGGATTCGAACCGCCAACCTTCTGACCGGCAAGCCCAAGAGGCTCAGTGGTTTAGACCACAGCACCACCTGCGTCCCTTTTGCACCATGAGTTATGCATAAATGCTTAATCTGCCATTCTCTTTGAAGCTGGGAGGCCAGGATTCAAATCCCCTCTCAGCCATGAAGCTCACTTGGTGTCTTTGGAGCAGTCGTTGCTTAGCCTAACCTACCTCACAGGGTTATTGTGAGGATGAAATGAAGAAAGGGAGTACTGTGTACTCTACCTTGAGCTTGGCAGTAGTAGACCTTAGCAGTAGTTTCCTGTGGTTACCTAATCACTGTCGTTTCTGCTTTAAAATGCAAAACAGAATTGCCACTGGTTTTTCAACACTATAGCGGGACTACTGCATTTTGCCTGCATGTACAGCCTGCTGCATTTTCGCCCAAACAAGCAGGCTTGATGCAGCCATGCGGGTTGGGAAGGGTCTGTTCACCTAAAATGCACCATTTCTGGGGTCTTTTCCCCAACTCTCAATCCTTTTCATCACTTTTTAAATTTGTGCTGAAGTGCTTTTGTTATTTAAGCACTATTGTGCAATTAGTAATTCTATCTATCTATCTATCATCTATCTATCATCTATCTGTCTATCATCTATATCTATCTATCTATCTGTCTATTTATCTACGTATCATCTATCTATATCTATCTATCATCTATCTATCTATCTATCTATCTATCTATCTATCTATCTATCTATCATCTATCTATCATCTATCTATCTACCTATCTATCTATCATCTATCTATCTATCTATTCTAAAGTGTTCTGAAAGGTTTTGCTGGAAGATTTGGGGGAAGATAATAATTAAAATATTAGTAAAATGGTAGTAACCTGCCCAATAGGAGGATTCCTTTTTTAAAAAAAAGATTAATTAGTACGAAAACACTTTCATTTTAAGTGCTGTTGTGAAAACCCTCAAAACGACACCCCACATCTTCTGCCTGGTTCCTTCTTCCCTCCCCAATTCCACTGCCCCCCCTAGGACCCCTGGCTCCCTGCTATTGAACCTCAATTCCAGTCTCCCCCCTCAAAACCAGCTTGCTCACCCCCACACCTCCCTCAACCCAGCCAGGCAATCGCTCCAACCACTAGGCTGGCCTACAGTAGACCCACACTCACTTAGGCCTCCTCTTGATAAGTTCAAGCTTTTATATTAATTCCCCATTGTTGGTGCAAAATCTTCCACAGGCTCTTCACAGTTCATTCCTGGAGCGTCTCAGGGCCCCCACTCTTGGTCCAGCTTCTTCTTCTACAGCCAGCATCTGCTGCAGGAACTGGATCAAAACACACACACTTTGGTTTCTTCTTAAAAAAGGAGCTCTTCACTATTTTCTGTAGTGCGTCTTTCACACCTCTCGACTACAACTCCCATCTGGTGGGGTTGTAGCCTGAAACCTATGGAGGGCACCAGGTTACTGAAGGCCACTCCAGTGACTACAATCTAATCCTGTGTTTCTCTAACTTGAGTCCAGCTGTTGTTGGACTACAACTCCCATCACCCCTAGCTGACTAGGGGTGATGGGAGCTGTAGTCGAACAACAGCTGGGGACCCAAGTTTGAGAAACACCTGCTCTAATCCAATATGGTATCTCCTCTGCCCTTTGAAACCCTAAGAGCCATAGGTGCCGACTCCCTGGAGCTCTGAGTTCCCACAAAATTCCCCATGAAGGAGCCAGGCACCCCCAATTTCAATGCCAGGGCCATGCATGCTGCATAGCACCCACAGTCATGGGGCCAAGCTGGTACTCCTGCTAAATATAGACCAGCAAGTGCCAACGTGTTGCACCCCAGAATACAATTCCCAGCAGAGCCAGCCAGCATGGCTAATGGTCAGGGATGGTGGGAACTGGAGTCCGTCAACATCTGGAGGCCGTCCTGTTGACTACCCCTGATGTCGACAATACTGGGTTAGATGGACCAAAGGTCTGACTCATGAGGAGGCCCTCTTCCTCATAAGGAAGAGCTCTGCTGGACCAAAATCTCATCTGTTCCAACATCCTGTTCTCGCAGTAGGGAACCAGATGCTTATGAGAAGCCCTTAAGCAGGAGATGAGCACAATTTTTAAAATTATTACGTATTTTGTGTTTTTCATATTGTAGTTCAATAATAATAATAATAACAAAACTTTTTTAATATCCTGCCCTCCCTGGCCAAAGTTGGGCTCAGGGCGGCTAACATCAAGTATATACGTAACATTAGTATAAAATCAAACAATAATTAAATTACCTCCTAAAAACAGGTCAAAATCAAATTCTAATTAGAAGGCTTTCCGCAGGGTTAGGGTTGGGAACAGTAAGTCATCGGCTCAAGTGTTTACACTGATCTTATATGGGCCTGTGAGAATTCTAGGAGGCCTCTTTCATATTAGTTCTTACACAAAAAGAAAAGGGGAGTAAGGCTGAGCCCTGACCAAAGGCCTGGCGGAACAACTCCGTCTTGCAGGCCCTGCGGAAAGATGTCAAATCCCACAGGGCCCTGGTCTCTTGTGGCAGAGCTTTCCACCAGGTTGGGGCCAAGGCCGAAAAGGCCCTGGCCCTGGTTGAGGCGAGCCTAATCTCTCTGAGGCCTGGGATCTCCAAGGTGTTATTATTTGTAGACCGTAAGGTCCTCCATGGGGCATACCAGGAGAGGCGGTCCCATAGGTACGAGAGGGTCCTAGGCCCTATATGTTGTGATCCGCTCTGAGATCTATGGATGAAGGGTGGTGTACGAATTTAATGAACACAATATAAATACTGCTGTCCTGACTTGGGATTTCCAGTGACTGGTTTTCAGAAGCATTTTCTAGCCCCCAAAACAATGCCTCAGTATATAGAAAACGAGCAACCAAACTTGTTCTTGATCACTGATAATAAATGCGTGAGTTTAAGCCTTACATCTGGGATCCGGTAGCCTTTTCCTTCAAGGAATTCCTTAAAAGCGTACGTTCCATGAAGCTGCATGATCTCCATATCCTGGAAAGTCATTCCAAACCAAAGCATGTTAAGATGCACATTGAGAGAAATTTAAAGAATACCTAGCTAAATATTGTGAGATAAGATAATTAGAAAATTATTGGAAGTAATAAATAGGACTAGGAGTAGAACAAGAATATGTGGTATTTAATATTAAGGATTTGAATATTAATAAAGGTGAAGAGGTTAGTAAATGAAAGGAGTTAATATTATGAGAAATATGAATTTGGAGAACTGTTATACAGGTGATATAATGAAATTCAGTTAGAGTGGATTCGAGGAAGCCAGTCACCAATATAAAGAGATTTAGGTAGTTAACATTAATTTTCTTTTGTGTTTAGTTTATTGTAGTGTATTGTGTCTTTCTTGGTTGTGTGATGTGTTATGTTTTATTTGTGATAAATGTGGAAAATCAATAAAAAAATTGGGCAGGGGGGGAATGCACATTGAGGGACTATTTCCCCCCTCCCTTCCCTCACCCCAGCTCTTTTCTTCTTCTTCACCCCCTCTGCGTCTCTCCCTTTCCCTCTCCCCTCGACTGAGTGCGAACACACACAAATGTATTATCTGTGTTTCCAGGGCCTCCAAAAGTGGAACACTGGCCTGATGGGGCTAAGCATTCATTATGAGCAGGGCTATGCAGTCAGAGAAGGCATGATTCGCAACAGCCCCCATTAAGTTCAATGGCATTAAGTGCCTCGGATGCCAATATAAGCTAGCAAACCAGGCGCAAGGATTTTATCTTGACCTACAAAGCCCTAGGGACGCGGGTGGTGCTGTGGGTTAAACCGATCAGAAGGTCGGCGGTTCAAATCCCCGCAACGGGGTGAGCTCCCGTTGCTCGGTCCCTGCTCTTGCCAACCTAGCAGTTCAAAAGCATGTCAAAGTGCAAGTAGATAAATAGGTACCGCTCCGGCGGGAAGGTAAACGGCATTTCCATGCACTGCTCTGGTTCGCCAGAAGCGGCTTAGTTATGCTGGCCACATGACCCGGAAGCTGTACACCGGCTCCCTCGGCCAATAAAGTGAGATGAGCGCCGCAACCCCAGAGTCGTCCGCGACTGGACCTAATGGTCCCTTTACCTTTACAAAGCCCTAAACAACTTGGATCTACAGAGCACTACATAGCCATTAATCTGTTGAGGTCCTCCTGGAGTGGCTTCAGCCAACAGATGTGCAAATTAAATCCACTAGGGGGAGAGCCTTAACTGAAATTGTTAGGGATTCTGCAGGAGGGGGGTAATATGTATCTGAGCACAGATCAGACCAAGATATACTATTGAAGGCAGCTGAGATGCTGCCGCTGCCTTTGCGTTCACTTTTCTGGTCCCATTTTGCCATCATCATCATTTTTACCCACCTTTCATCCTAGGGTCCCAGTATTCATACATCTTGAGACAGCTAACTGTAGGTCCCTGGTTTGACCATGCTTATCTACATACATGATATATATAACTCAGCCTGGACACAGAAGTCCTCCTCTGAGGGCCTTCTGGTGGTTTCCTCACTGCAAGAAGCCAAGTTACAGGGAACCAGGCAGAGGGCCTTCTCGGTAGTGGCACCCTCCCTGGGGAACCCTTCAGATGTCAAGGAAATAAACCACTATCTGACTTTTAGAAGACATCTGGAGGCAGCCCTCTTCAGGGAACTTTTTAATGTTTGATGTTTTATTGTGCTTTTAATTCTGTTGGGAGCCACCCAGAGTGGCTGGGGGAACCCAGCCAGATGGGCAGGGTATAAATAATAAAATTATTATTATTATTATTATACATCCCAATGTCACTCTCTCATTGACTGCATGACTGATGCGGAGTCTTTCACTCGGAAAAAGACACACACACACACACACACACACACACACACACAAATATTTGGCAATACCTTTTCACCCAATGCCCTCTTTGAATTCCTGGAGCTTCTGTCTCTTGCTTTTGGATCTTCTAAAGGTTTCTCTTTCTTCCATGTCTTTGGGTCCAGGTACCAGGCACCATACCTGATCTTCTCAGACTTGGATTGACAAGATTCCTGAATGATAATAATAATATTATTATAATAATAATATCATCTCTAATTGCATTTTTAAAAACTGCATCTCAAACACTGGGTGCCTCCAGACCATGGGTAGGCAAACTAAGGCCCAGGGGCCAGATCCAGCCCAATCGCCTTCTAAATCCGGCCCGCGGACGGTCTGGGGATCAGCGTGTTTTCACATGAGTAGACTGTGTGCTTTTATTTAAAACTCATCTCTGGGTTATTTGTGGGGCATAGGAATTCATTCATTTTCCCCTCAAAAATATAGTCTGACTCACCACATGGTCTGAAGGACAGTGGACCGGCCCCCTGCTGAAAAAGTTTGCTGACCCCTGCGTCCAGACTGTCACTGTTAAGTTGTGGGTGAACATATCAGACGACACAGCGATTCTTCAAACAGCTCTTGTTTATTCACAGGCCAGAACAGAACTGAACTGAAGGGTTCAGCCAGCCTGCTTATATAGAGCTCCAGTACAACGTAACTGTAACAACTTTCTGTAACTATCCAATCACTGAACGTCACTTTCGATCCCTTATTTGCATATGTGGACCTGAACTATCTGCAGTATCCCCCTGCTGGCCCAGGGTGAGAACTTCAGTACATAACAGTCACCCTTTGGCAAGAGGGACTAGAGCACTTCAGTTGTATGCAACTGAAGCAGATTAAAGCACTCCTTTGCCAGAGCTTTTTGCTTTATCCCAAAGAACAGCATAGCAAGTACAAGATGACTAAACCTGGGGACCCAAGGGTTGCTTACCTTGGAATGGCTACCTTGCTGAGCATGGCTTCTCAGGCTTGTCTGGGGAGATGGCATCCCTACATACTTCCGCAACTCAGCAGGCAAATAGTTCAGCTCCTCAATGTGTATCGGGCCAGACAACGGGGGCTTGGTTTTGTAATTTGTATCAAAGAGGCTTATAATGGTGGCTTCATCAATGTCATATTTCTCTCCACCCTGGAATGGTAATTCAGTTAAAACAGGTTTATATTTATATTTATATTTATATTATTTATAAATATATTCCAACAAAAGGGATATTTATTAACTCGAGTATATTTTCGCTATTCACAATTGCAGATTAGCCTTGGTAAATATCCCTTGATAAAAAAATCATTTATTTTTAATCTTTATTTTAGTAAACTTAAGAATCAGTTTTAGGTCTTAACAGCATGAAATCTTGCGAGGAGGGCGACTTACAAAAAGCTCGGGCTTCTAGTGATTCAGAACATAACCAATCAAGGATCAGCTGCACCTAAGGAGTTCCCTATTGATCAGCTGATTGAGACTGATAGCAAGCCCCACACTGGCTGCTTGCAGGTCCAGTTTGGATTCAGATCTATGGGGCTCATCTCACTTTACTGGCCGAAGGAGCCGGCATACAGCTTCCAGGTCATGTGGCCAGCATAACTAAGCCGCTTCTGGCAAACCAGAGCAGCGCACGGAAACGCCATTTACTTTCCCGCTGGAGCGGTACCTATTTATCTACTTGCACTTTGTGCTTTCAAACTGCTAGGTTGGCAGGAGCAGGGACCGAGCAACAGGAGCTCACCCTGTCATGGGGATTCAAACCGCCAACCTTCTGATCAGCAAGTCCTAGGCTCTGTGGTTTAGACCACAGCGCCACCCGCGTCCCAATACAAAGTTACTGATATATAAAAATCAGTATTGATTCATTTTCCTTCTGACACAGCCTCCCACTCAGCCTCTAGGTTCTTGCCAAGGTCCAAATAAACTCTTAGCTCATCCACAAAAGTCTCATGACAAGAAGAGTTTCTGGAAACGGTGGACATCACACTAATTTGAAACTCTTGACTTGTTTTCTATGGGAAGGCCCAGGGGGGATGCTGCTTCCTCAGCTGCCCACAATTGTGTCCCATTAAATGCTCTCTCCACACCCAGGTCCAGTTACAGCAGGTTTGTTGAGCTTCCCAGGGGCTCCAAAGGGTGGGAAGAGGGGGCCCCTCCACTCACATCTCTTTCCTCACCCCCATCCTCTCTTCCTCCTCCAACTGATATGACTTGATGAGCGACACCTCTCAGACTGGAGCTTAAACTGTTCTGGATTTTGCTAAAGTTGAAATGCATCAGTTCTGACAGGAAAACATGGCAGGAAATACAAATACAAACACTGCATATTCTGAGAGAAAATATAAATTTGGGAGTAATTTTAAAACCCACAGATTAATGTGAAAGTGGAATGAAAAGGTCTGAAAATAATACGGAACAGAAATGGTCAGATTCACCCATCCCCGGTACAGAATCACAACAGGAAAGAGAGGAAGCTGCCTTATACTGGGTCAGACCATAGGTCCATCTAACTCAATTCTGTCTGCACTGACCAGCAGTAGCTCTCCAGGGTTTCAGAGAGGGAGGTATTTCTCAGTGTTACCTGGAGATGTTGGGAATTTACTGTATTTTCCACTCTATAGGACGCACCCGACCATAGGACGCACCTTGTTTTAGAGGGGGAGAACAAGAAAAAAAATTCTCCCCCTCTCTGCTCAGCACCCCTTCAGCGAAGCGGCAGGAGAAACGGAGCCCCTTCCATTTATCCTCCCACTTGGCTGAAGGGGCGCTGTGCAACTCTCCCTCTGCTGAAACCAGGAGAGTCTTGCTCTCCCGGCTTCAGCAAAAGGATCCCGAAGCCTGCAGAGCGCAGCGGGACCTCCCGCTGCACTCCGGAGGCTTCAGGCGGCTATCCCTGAAGCCTGGAGAGCGAGAGGGGTCGGTGTGCACCGACCCTTCTCGCTCTCCAGGCCTCTGCGCTCCGGAGGCTTCGCGTTGCTATCACTGAAGCCAAGGAGCCTGCATTCGCTCCATAGGACGCACACACATTTCCCCTTAATTTTTGGAGGGGGAAAAGTGCGTCCTATAGAGCGAAAAATATGGTAATTTTGGACCTTCTGCAATGTATGCAATGCTCTGCCACAGTTACAGACCTTCTGGACAAGTCAGTTCTCCACATGCAACATTGAGACATTAATCTATAGCATAAAACCTACTTTTGGTCTTTCAGCAAGATTGCATGCAGGGATTATTTTGCTCACCAGAGAATCAAACCACCTGCAGAACTCCTTCGCAGCTTGTTTCACGTTCTCGCCAACGGGAGGGACATAATTCATCCTGGCCTCTCTTTCTCTTGCTGCTATTTCCGTTTTAGTGAACCACTTGTAAGGGTCCTTGCCTTTGGGGTCCTTGCTGCTGGAAGCAATTGCAGAACAAAACCATTAACGGTGCAACCCATTCCCTTGTTTGTTTGTTAAATTTTCATTATCCTTTCCTCTCAAGGAGGAAGGGCAAGGCAGGAAACACCAAAGCGGTGAAAGAATACAATTTAAAATAAAATGTATAACATCTAAAAAATATATTTAAAAGCATAAATGAGTCACATGTCCTCACAGTGTTTTAATTTAGAGAAAAGGCAAGTAAGAAGCGAGATGATAGAAATTTATTTTTTTTAAAAAAAATGCATTGCATGGAGTATACGGATAGAAAAAAGTTTTTCTCCCTCTCTCATAACACTAGAACTTGTAAAAAAAAAAAGTGTGGGGGGCTAAAAGACCCCTAGAGGGTTAAGTCCAGTCAAAGGTGACTATGGGGTTGTGGCACTCATCTCGCTTCAGGCTGAGGGAGCCGACGTTTATCCACCAACAGCTTTCCGGGTCATGTGGCCAGCATGACTAAACCGCTTCTGGTGCAATGTGACACTGTGACAAAAATGAGAGTGCACGGAAACGCCGTTTACCTTCCCGCTGCAGTGGTACCTATTTCTCTACTTGCACTGGCGTGCTTTCGAACTGCTAGGTTGGCAGGAGCTGGGACAGAGCAACGGGAGTTCACCCCGTTGCAGGGATTCAAACTGCCAACCTTCTGATCAGCAAGCCCAAGAGGCTCAGCGGTTTAGACCATAGCGCCACCCACATCCTTAGAACTAGAACTTTTTACTAGAACTTGTAAACATCCAACAAAGCTGAATGTTGGAAGATTCAAAACAGATAAAAGAAAGGACTTCTCCCCACAGCATATGGTTAAAACTATGAAACCCACTCCCACAGAAGGCAGTGATGGATTAGACAAATTCATGGAGGAGAGGGATATCAGTGGCTACTAGCCATAATAATAATAAATTCATTATAATAAATTTTTATTTATACCCTGCCCTTCCTGGTTTAAAAACCAGACTCAGGGCAGCAATCAGCGACAATAAAACATTGTTTAAAATGCGACTTAAAAACAGCATAAAACAGCATAAAATACAACATAAAATGCAGCATCAATATCAATAAAATTCAAAAATTCAGGGGGTCATGGCGGCGGGGAACCCAGTCAGTAGACATCAAATGATCACCAGGGCTAACTGGCCAAGTTGGTCCTACTAGGACCAGCAAGGAGACCAGGGAAGAATTTAAATGTGGGGTCCCAGAAAGGGTTTCTTCATAGAAGAGAAAAGGGAAAAGGGAATAGAGAATCAGGCTAATTCCTTTTTTTTAAAAAAAATAATCTTTATTGGTTTTTCAGTCACATACTCCACATACACATATTGTATCACATTCTACATTCATACTTGCTCTTTATCCATTTTGCATATTATTGTTCCTCTTCCATATTTGTCCATTTTTGTCCATAGAATATTTGTACACAAACAAATCCTTCTATTTACACAATTCTTGTCTATCTATATTCATTTGCAACTACTATTAATTACATTTGTCCTGTTATACATTTTGCTTCTTGTTATTTTTATTATCCAGTAAATTTCTTTGTATTTCATATTATGAGGTTTATTTCAGTTCTACTGGTTTCATTATTTCACCTTATCTTTCCGATATACAACCTAAATTTTTCCCATGAGAATCAGGCTAATTCAAATTGAAGGCCAGGCGGAATAGCTCTGTCTTACAGGCCCTGCAGAAGGAGATCAAGTCTATGTTTATGTTCTTCCTCCACAGTCTAAATGACCTCTCCAATACTGAATGCCTGCCTAGAAGCTTCCTCTGCTGGAGAAATGTTTCCTACCAGTTATCACAGCTATCAGTTTTCCCAGCAGTGATGTATGGAAGTGAGAGCTGGACCATAAAGAAAGCTGATTGCCAAAGAATTGATGCTTTTGAATTATGGTGCTGGAGGAGACTCTTGAGAGTCCCATGGACTGCAAGAAGATCAAACCTCTCCATTCTGAAGGAAATCAGCCCTAAGTGCTCACTGGAAGGACAGATCCTAAAGCTGAGGCTCCAATACTTTGGCCACCTCTTGAGAAGAGAAGACTCCCTGGAAAAGACCCTGATGTTGGGAAAGATGGAGGGCACAAGGAGAAGGGGACGACAGAGGACGAGATGGTTGGATAGTGTTGTCGAAGCTACCAGCATGAGTTTGACCAAACTGCGGGAGGCAGTGGAAGACAGGAGTGCCTGGCGTGTTCTGGTCCATGGGGTCACGAAGAGTCGGACACGACTAAACGACTAAACAACAACAACAAAATCACAGCTGGAGGGAGCAATGCTTCTGAAGACCAGTTGCTGGAAACCAAAGTAGGGGGTAGAGTCCTCAGATCCTTCTTGAGGATTTCTCACAGGCATCTTGTTGGTCATTGTGAGAAGAGGAAGCTGAAGTAGATGGACCAGTGACCTGATCTAGCAGGCTCTTCTTCTCAGAGGCTACCTGTTATGTACTGAGTTGAATAGGATCCAAACTGCAGCAGTCTGATTGGTCCTAGAACAATAGGATCCAAAATGCAGCAGTCTGATTGGTCCTAGAACAATAGGATTCAGAATGCAGCAGTCTGACTGGTCCTAAAACAATGCAGCAGTATGATTGGTCGGCAGGAGCCACCCAATCCAGCTCCAGATAGAAGTGAATCTACAACCTGATTGGCCTACAGGAGAATTCCAGAATTAGCCAATCACGTGCAGCCCATTGTGTAAATAATGTATATAAAGCAGATACTTTGAGGGGACTTCCATTCCCTCCTCACCACTATGAGCTGAATAAAGAGCATGAAATCCACTCTCGACTCTGAGTATATTTCACTACCGTTTTCTCTTTCTCCAAAGGCTCTGCAAGCACTGGACCCACTGAACTCCACAAGGTGGCATTCAAGAGCCAGGCAGTGCATCTGTGGTTCAGGTTTTACACTGGCCTTCAGACAGACTGAACCAACCTTAAGCACGGCAAAATTACACGCTGCAGCAAATCTATGTGGAAAATGTATGTCCTTGTGCTATAAAGCAGGGTGACAGAGGGCAACTTCAAGGGGGCAGAGGAACCTTCCCTGCACCTCACTGCCCATCTCCCCACAAGTGCTTTGCCCCTGGTGTTTTTCTCTTAATATGGTTCTGAGACCAGAAGTAATCCTTGACAGGAGAAAATACATTTGGGGTGAAACAATTTCAGGGGAAGTCAGGCAGGGGAACGTGAACAGAAACATCTGGAGATGCCTTCTACCATGTCGGACCACTGGTCCATATAGCTCCATATTGTCTGCCACATTATGGTTGTCCGTAAAGTAGAACAAAAATAAGCCAGAACATTTATCGTAGAAAAAGTTGTGGGGATTTCAGCAGGAAGTTGTGGGGTGTGCAGTTACTGGAAATGGACCACCCCTAAAACTTGGCACATGCCCCTATGAGGAAAAAAATAGACAAGACCTGTGCTGGGCCCAGGGGTAACCCGTGAAACGCAGTCCAGGACGGGTCCAGAATCAGGAGATTCCGCTAGGAGTCAGTCCAACAGGGCCAAGGCAGGACACGAGGCAGGAAACCAGGCAAGGACAGGGGCAGAATCTAGCATACAACAATGTTGCTCCCGCAACCTGGGGCAGGGTCCGACAGCCTTTTATCTTTGTCAGGGTAGCGGCTGGTCCTGATCCCCCGGTGACTCACCTCCCTGTTTCGCCCGAAGGCGAGCACTCCTCTGGCGAGTAAGGTCTCTCCTTCTCTCAGACCTCAGTTTCTGCAGCTCAGGAGATGTCAGTGGGTTACTAGACCCAGGGGCCGCCTCACCCTCCCCTGACCAAGCCAGTAGTGGAGCAGCTGTAAGTGATGGCCCAGCTGAAGGTAACGAGGTAATCCCCGCATCTGGAGCCAGGGCAGGCTCAGGCCCCTGACTCGGCCCAGCTGGTGCTTGTTGCAGGGGAACCTGTGCAGACTGGGACTCTTCAGGATCAGGCCCCAGACTTGGTTCAGATGATGCCTGAGGCAAAGGATCCGCTGCAGACTGAGTCTCCTCTGGTTCCGAGTCTGAGCCCAAGTCCCAGGCCATCACATGGCCTAACCGTGTAAACTGCTTCATAGTTCCCAGCAGTCCCTCAGGGTCTTGTTCCAGGTGTTGGGTGTGCAACAGAGACAGAGCTGACTATCACTTAATATGGCAAAGTTTCAGGTTTTCTTGCTTTCATTTGAGCAAGATGGGAAGCAGATGGATCTTGTCAGTGTAAGGAGAGTGCAACTGTTGAATAATAATAGGGTATGTGGGGGGTTTTGTGTTCAGATTAGTTTTGAGTAGAGTACATGTGAATGGTTTTGGTGATTGTGTTATTATTATATGTGCGCTTTTGGGTAATATTTGATTATCCAGATGATACGTATATTGTAATTATGTTCCTTTTTCATAATTGTATCTTGATGCTTTGTGTACAATTTGAATTTGTGGCTCTTATTTATGTTACTTATGTACATTGTTTTCAGATATCTTTGTTGCTTAATCATGTTTCTTATAGCGCAACTATAGGAGGAGGACAACAAAGAGTATTGTATTGTTCTGTATTGTATGTGGAATTTGTACATATTTTTTCATTGGGATGTGTAAACTGCTTAGAGATTTCTCTTGAAATATGAAGTGGTATACAAGATAGATAGATAGGTAGGTAGGAAGTGGAATCACATAGCAACTTGAGCACAAATCATCATGATATTTAGAGGAGCCCATAGTCTGTCAAGTATCACAGGACCCTTGTTTTTTGCTGTCCACATTATTAGGTGCTGCAGCTATGGGATAACAAACCTCTTTTAACCAACAAGCTTAAGTCTAATTAATGCATGAAGGAGTTAATACCATAGAGCAAGCTGTTCTGCCAGGCTTTATTCACCTTAGGAGGGACTAAGCAATCAAGCCTTTGCTTCCCTTCAGTCAGCCTGAGGAGCTCAGCATGTGAAGGGACTAAGCTGGTTCCTCCAGCTTAGCTACATGGCTCTCACAAGCCACTCTTGACTTCCTATCCAATAATTTAGGAACTTTCACCACTGTAACTAAGCAAAGTTTTGCTGCCTATGCAGCTTTCCCTGAATGTTTTAAGGAAAAGCATTTGAAACTAATATTGGAAGAAGTTGTAAGTAAACAAATTTTAACCTACCTAACATGTGGTTTTTTTTCTATGCTAGGGGAAGAGGGAAGTTTTGGAACTCACAAGGACATATTTTAAAGGACTAACAGGCTATATTTCCCCACTTTACTTTGCCACTTATTTCATGATTTTAATTCTCTGCTGGGGTTCTCCTTTGGTGTGAGAACCTGGATCTTGGCGTTCCGGGAATTCTGGTTTATATATGGTACCTATATTTTCCTTACCACCACCATCATCATTATTTCAGTACCTTCATCCTTTCAGAAGCAACCCATCATGCTCTTTTTCTGTGTGATCCCTGACACTCACCAGCCAATGAGCATGGCCCCTGATTGCTTCTTTCTTTTGTCCTCCAACTGAGACGGAACTGCAGAGGGAACTGGGTACTCCTGTGTAATGTCAGCATCAGCAACAACATCTTCATTCATCGGAAGCATCTCTGGGTCCAAGATGCTTAGAACTTCCTTGAAGAGCTAAGAATAAAACAAGCCAGAAATAATACCTCAGTGTAAATGGAACAAGAGTTTGGCTTCCTTGGACAACATTTGAGCCAGCCCTCGTTGAGGTATCAGTTGCTGGCTTTTATTTTACTTTTATTTATTTAAAAGGATTCATATACGCCTTAAAATTTGGGGGGGAAAGTCTGTGATGCATTACATTCATCTTTGTTTATTTGCACAAAATTTGCACACAGGTTGTAGGATGTTGCTGTTTATTGGGCATTGCCATTCATCGTTATGTGAGACGGGATGTACCTGCCCAACCCAATATTTTTCCCAGTTGGCACCCCTGGGGGACAACTCTTTTTAAAAATTAAGGATAAATTTTTAATCATAGGAAATGTGGAGATCACCATAGGAAATATTTTATAGAAGTTCACCACCAATGCAGGGATGGATGATGAAGGCAGTATGAACCTTACCAGAGTAAGTGGTCCAAGCATGACACTATTATGATGAGTCATGAGAATGAGTCATCAATGCTAGATCACCCTCTCCTGGGACAGATGAGAACAGCAAGCCTGGAGTGTGACCTCCTACATGCATTGGACCAAGGACGTGTGGGGACAGTCCCAGGGATGCTGGGAACCACGATATGGAAATTAATGCATAGCAATGTTTTCTGCTTGATGAACGGGATGTTTCATTTTTGTACCTAGTAAGACAATTTGAATGCATTTATCAGTTATTTGACCTTTAAAGGAGTTCACAGATCAGTTTCATTCAATTCTGGGGGACCGATGTCAGAATATACTTCACCATTAAGAAATTGTGAATTAAAAACTTGTTTAAAAGAAACCTTCCCACTTACCAGCCATAATATGTGCATCAACCTCTGCTCTCCATTGCTCAGATTTTTATGCTACTAAGGCCCAGAATTTAACTGTATCGCTCCCAACTGCAGCTTGTTCCAGTTCTTGGCAAAGTTGTTTGCAACGATGCACATTTTTACTTTTAGCAAATGTTTGTATTTCCTTCCTTGTTGCGCCATTTCTATTACCCATATTTCATTTCCCAATTGTCTAGTCTGCCTTGCTAATCTATTTAGCTCTTGTTTCTTTTTCCTACATTCCTCATCATGTCGGAGCCAGCCGTTACAAATGGCGCAGTTTAGCATAAAATAAAGACACAGAGAGCCAGCAATATTTTCAGGATGGTATGAGCAGCTCCTTTCGAACTTCCCTCTCCTCCGGTAGCTTTTTTATTATCCTTTGTCTCTCTCCAGCCGCATGGCCGTTTGCCAATGTCTCACGTTACCTCATCCGGTCATGGCTTTAACCCACCCACAAACCATATAAGGTCATCACTGCCCAGAGGAAACACAACTCCATTTAAGGTCAATACATTCCAATACATTGTAAAGCTCAGAGTGCTGGTCAGCCGAGGTCAGGGGGCACCCTGCAATATTACAAGCCTTTGCCGTGGCTTTATGACTCCCACATCATCAGGAATCCCTCAGCTGGGAAGGGAGGCTTCCCGTTGCCTGACTTTGCCTGACTGAGAGATCCCTCCCCCCTCCTGCTTGCACGCAAGCTCTGATAGGCAGCTGAAGCCTCCCTTCACAGCTGAGAGATCCCTGCCCCGCTCCTGCTTGCACGCAAGTAGGAGTTGGGAGGCTGCTCCGATAGGCAGCATGAAGCTTCCCTTCACAGCTTAGTTGCTGGGGTCAGGGAAGGTGGAGGCAGCCCGGAAGCTGCATCTTAGAGCCCCCGCACCACCATCATATGGGGACTTCCGAGCAGCTCCTGAAGCCAGCCAGAGCCAACTGCTCCGGGCTGCTGAGACTTCCGCTGCTGCGTTTCCCAGGGACATTAGATGAAATCCAGGGACATTCCGGGGATGGAATTTGTCCAGGGACTTATTCGCAAATCCAGGGACTGTCCCTGGGAAACGGGGACATCTGGTAACCCTATCTCAGGAGGAAGGGATTTTGTGCCTCTGGTGATATATATACCACCTTAGCTGGCTTGGGGTGACGGGGACATCTTTTGCAATTCTGCCTCAGGTTGTATATTAGAGGAATCAGCAGAGAACATGTGGATGTCATGAGACATTTGCACTAAATGCTGTTGAATTTTCATGAGGATATTTTGTTTAATTCACGAACTGATACGGAAATGTGGAAAACTGAAGACTGGAAAAATGAGAAACTGAGAGAAACCAAAAGTGACAGACTCTCCCATCCCTATCTAATGTAAGATCCAGCCACCAGCATGGTGTATAAATTTTGGTCTTTGGTCTTTAAAGAAATAGAATCAATTTGCAGTATGAAAATTGTACAATCCCCTCTCTTAGTTCTGCTGGGGAATATAGATGAATCAAATCAGCAATTATGCAACAGGGGGTGCCTAATCTTTCTTCTAGGCACTGCGGGCCTTATAATTGCCAAACATTGATATTCTGCCGTGGGACTGTCATTAGACTCTTGGTATATGCAATGGTCATTTGGATATTGTGAGTACAGTGGTACCTCGGGTTAAGTACTTAATTCGTTCCGGAGGTCCGTACTTAACCTGAAACTGTTCTTAACCTGAAGCATCACTTTAGCTAATGGGGCCTCCAGCTGCTGCCGCGCCGCCGGAGCCCGATTTCTGTTCTCATCCTGAAGCAAAGTTCTTAACCTGAAGCACTATTTCTGGGTTAGCGGAGTCTGTAACCTGAAGCATACGTAACCTGAAGCGTATGTAACCTGAGGTACCACTGTATTATGTTTTTAAAAAGGAAATTTAAGGGATTTTCCAAGGAAATGGCAAACCTTGATTAGATGAGGGTTGGAATACAGGCTTGCATCTTGATGCCAACAACATTCTACAGTTGCTGCTGCCGGTGGGGAAATATCTGCATCTGTGAGCAGGACCACAAGAAAATCCCATTTGGAAACAGCCAAAACTTCTTTCTACAAACAAGCGTAGATGTAAGGAAACTTCTCAGAAATGCATTAGAAATAATGGAGCTCATTGTGAGCTTGGCATATGATCCTTATAAACAAAATTCAGGAAAATGCATGGGAATAATGATGGCCTTTCAGTTTGGACCACAAACTGCCAAGCGAGTGATGGCTTCAGTTTCGGGTTGGCTTCAGTCTATTATGAGCATGGTTCTTTGATGCCCCTTGCAACATCAGTAAAAGTCCCCTGCAGTAAGAACCCTGTTCCTCAACCATATTTGTGAGGTGTGAGAGCCCGAAAAGGGAAGTTCCTCTCATTTGTATTTTACAGAGAATCCCCTGTTGGTATCGGGTGAGAGATATAGCAAACGATGTCGGTGGTGCACAGCAGATTATTCCTTTCACTAACTCCCCTTCAGTGGTGAAATCTCAGTGGTAAAGCAACTTGCTTTGCATGCAAATTGTGATTAGATGTTTTCTCATTCGCTGGCCTGTGCCCCTTTGGGTGGAAGGAGGGAATATAACTTTATAATATCATCATCCAAATCAAATACCAGCAAATTTAAGCTGTGCAATTAAATGTGACCTGTAGCTCTTGCAAACAATCCCACTTCCCCAAAGGACTAGACTGTTTGCAAGAAGGAAAGTGATAGAAAAAGGCAATGGAAAGTATGGATAGTGCCTGCTTCAACACAATGTCATTTAAGTTGCCCACAAACTGATCAGGATGCATGCTCAATAAACAAGTGAGCTGGAAACAGCCTGTGTCACAATTAGGGACAGGCAAATCTGTCAAGTTGATTTTCTTTCAGTTTCTTATTTTTCCAATCTTCTCCACATTTCCACATCTGTCTGCAATTTTTTAAAAAGAGTCCTCATTAATATTTGTCAGCAGCTTGCTTTAAATTTCTCCTAATGTATACAATTTTCTATATGACTTTGCCTAATACTGTATAATGCCTTTTTGCATGCCGTTTTAATTAATAGACCCACTTTTATGCATGCATTTAGTACAGTGGTACCTCAGGTTAAGAACTTAATTTGTTCTGCAGGTCTGTTCTTAACCTGAAACTGTTCTTAACCTGAGGTACTACTTTAGCTAATGGGGCCTCCCACTGCCGCAGCGCGATTTCTGTTCTCCTCATGAAGCAAAGTTCTTAACCTGAGGTACTATTTCTGGGTTAGCGGAGTCTGTAACCTGAAGCGTCTGTAACCCGAAGTACCACTGTACATGCATTTTTCTACACATTGCTTGTTCAGAAAACTGCCTTTAAAAATTAAGAGAATGGTAGTTTTACCATGTGTTGTGTGAATATCAAAGTGGGTTTCATTTCATGTGTTGCTGCAGGAAGTGTGCATTAGGTAGATTTGCCTTTCTATGTGACCTGAACCAAAATCCTCCCTCATTCTTCCCAATGTTTAGTGGGAATCTCCTTTCTTGTAACTTGAAGCTATTGGTTCAAGGCCTAACCAGGAGAAAAAAAGTTTCCTCCATCTTCCATGTGACAGCCCTTGAGATATTTGAAGATGGCTATCATATCTTCATATGACAACCCTTTAGATTTGTTTCAGCATCAGCTGAAATAATTTTTGCACAAATGCTGAACCTTACCTCTGGGGGAATGCTTTCTTCTAGATGAGGGTAGAGGGCTAAGGGGTGCTGGCTAAGGCAATACTCAATCTGAGCAATGTAGGCCCTTCTGGCTTGCAGATTTGGGCTGATTTTGGAGGTCTTCGTCTGGGGCTTGGTCAGCATTCTTTTGGCCCTCGGTTGCATTTTGCCTGGGTCCTCAGGTTTACTAGGGAGAATAATAGGGGTGAGCTCCTTTGGGCGTTGGATGACAATGTTGTCACAAGGAGGAGGGAAACCGTCCCTGAAATCGTCCAAGCCATTTTTCAGGAAACGCCAGCGCTGGCCGTTTAAGGAATCCAAAAGCCCGGATTTGTTAAGGGAACGCTTTTGAAAGCATTTAAAGGGCATTTTCTCCTTGCATCTGGAAAACAACAACACTATGTTTAATAATAATAATAATAATAAATACATACATGGTTCCAACCACCAAACTTGCAGGATCAAACTGAAGTTTGTAGATTATATTTACAATGTAAAAAAATGGAATTTACCACACAACCCCAGGCCATATTCCTATGGGGCTTAGACCGGGTATGTTTTCTTAGAACTACAACTGTTCTTAGCTAAAATTGCAATTAGAAGAATACATACCAGCAGGTGAAAGTAGCAAAATTCCACACAAAATCTGGCACCTAAGACGTGTGCAAATATTGCAACATTGGGTGGCTGGCTTCAGAGTTTTCACAAAGCAGCAAATCTTTGCCTCCCGGTAGAAAGGAGACAACTGAGCGCCGTTAAGCATGTGCCCTTGGTGTGTTTGGGCCCGGTTGTTGTGGCAACCGAACTCTGCAGCGCTGGTTCATTCACAGCAGCAAATTTTCTACAGGCAGGGACGAAGAGGATTTACCCGCCTTTTATGCTGTAAGGAGGTAACCTGAGAACACCAGCAGAGGAAACCTTGAAGATCTCGATCCACTCACAGCATGCTAGGGCAGGTTGGGAAACCTTCCTCAGACTGAGGGCCACATTCCCTCACGGGCAGCATTGCAGGGGCCGCAAACCATTGGTGTGTGTGGCAAACACAGATGTGGGGGGGCCAGACAGGCACTGCTCTCCATCCTAGCAAGCAAGTGTAATAAACAAAAATCTGCCCTTATTCCCTTATGTTGGATACAAGAGCCCTTATAGAGTCCTTTGTAGGTTCTCCATCGGCCGGAGAAAATAAGAGAGGCCAACCAGAGAATATTGAGAAGCAAAGCAGCTCGTAAGCCTGATCTGTATTGAAACTGTTGCAACAGGGTGCTCCCCTCACACGTAGGAAAGGAGGAGGACAAAGGTGTGCCTGCCCTTATATAAACATTTTAAATTCCCTGCCCTGGAGCTCAAGACCACCCCTCCATACATCATACCTACATCACAGAAAGGGCGGTCTACAACAGAAATCTGAGTGCGTTGTTTATCTCCTGTCTAGCAGGTTACCTGTTAATGGTTACTTGATTGGATACCCTGGGGAGCCTGGCCAGTCTTCTGTAATGACAAAGACTTAGTTCCTGAGCCAGGTCACAGGCTCGCCCTTTTCATACACAGACATACCCTTAAGACAGGATTTTGTGAAGGAAAAGACAATGGGGAGGCTTTTCCATTTTCCTTCGACCTTGCAGAGAAATATTTGAGGTCAATTTGGGAGGGACAAAATGGTTTCGGGGCTTTTTCTGTGGGGTTTCAGACATGTGGTTTATATATGCAGTTATGAACCTTTATCATATATATATATATAACCTTAAACTTTTTGTTTCACAAGACATTGTCAGAGTTCAAGGATGCATATCAGCCACGTAAAATGAGGAGAGGAGGACCCAGAGCAGGGAGAGTCAGAGAGAGATAGGGGCCTCACGTTCTCCATTTCTGCACTAAAGGAACATAAGGCTTGGAGGGTGTGTTACAATAATTCCTTAGGTCCTAAATATAGAATAAATGTCCATAAATGTACAAGGCAAACATGAGTATATAAACCACATGTCTGAAATAGGAGAGCAATCCTGAAGCCATTTTGACTCTCCCAAATTGACCTCAAATATTTCTCTGCAAGGAGGAAGGAAATGAGAAAAGCTTTCCAGTTGTCTTTGGACTGTAGAGGCCTACATCTCCCTGCAAATACAGTCTGGAAAGTATCTGTTAAGCTGAGCAAACTATCAATAGGTGTAAGAGATTCAGGAACTACCATCTCATGGCCAGGCTACCCAGAAAATGCAATCAAGTAAGGCATGATCAGGTATCCTGGCAGACAGGAGAAAAGCAACACTCTCAAATTTCTGCTGGGGACTGCCTCCTTCTGTGATGTATGTATGCTGTTTCGGGGGGTGGTCTTGGGGTACAAGGTGGGCAATTTCAAAAGTCTTTATAGGGGCTTGCGCACCATCATTCTGGGTCTCTCCTACCTCCTTGCAAGGAGGGGAGGGAGCCCTGTTGAAAAATAAAGATCTGCCTTGCTTTCTATGGATCTTGCCTCCATCCATTCATCTCTGACCAGTTCTTATGCTTCCAGTTGCTTCAAACTGTGCAATATTTAATATCTGCAACAGAGGTCGGTTCCACACGATAGCAGAATCAGGCCTTTAGCATGCTGGTACCTTTCCTGTGGAACTCCATCCCACCGTATATCAGAGGGGCACCTTCCCTATTGTCTTTCCAGCACTTGCTAAAGGTATTCCCCTTTCAACAAGCTTTCTAAATTGAGATCTTTATCCCAGCAGGGATCTGTCTTGGATTTGAATTGCTTTTATGTCTAAGCCATGGTTGGTTTAAACATAGACAGATAGCTACAGGTAGTATTTGAGAGTTTTTTAAATTGCTTTCATGCATGCAGTTAACTGTTTTTATACAGTGGTTAAGTACTTAATTCATTCCGGAGGTCCGTTCTTAACCTGAAACTGTTTTTAACCTGAAGCAACACTTTAGCTAATGGGACCTCCCACTGCTGCCGCGCCGCCGGAGCACGATTTCTGTTCTCATCCTGAAGCAAAGTTCTTAACCTGAAGCACTATTTCTGGGTTAGCAGAGTCTGTAACCTGAAGAGTATATAACCCGAAGCGTATGTAACCTGAGGTACCACTGTATACGTAACTGCTTTATACAGTCATACCTCGGGTTACAGATGCTTCGGGTTGCGCAATTTCAGGTTGCGCACTGTGCCGAACCCAGAAGTATCGGAATGGGTTACTTCCGGGTTTCGGCACTTGCGCATGCACAGAAGCGCCAAATCGTGACCCGCATGTGCGCAGACGTGCAGGTTGCGGGTTGCGAACGCTGCAGGTTGCAAATGTGCCTCCAGCACAGATCATGTTCGCAACCCGAGTGTCCACTGTATATGGTTTGTATTCTATTGTAAACCACTTTGGGGGGCCTCGTGGGAAAAGATTCATAAATGAAAATAACCTATAATTTGAGATGGGAACAGCCTACTGCAGAGGCTACTGAAAGTGGTAACGAATTAACGTGATGAAAAATTGGGTTTTGAATGGCATCATCTGGAAAGGCCCTGCAGCCCTGGCTTCTAATAACACCACTGTTTAGCAGAACACACAGGCTGTTGGGAAAGTCCCGTCCCCCACGCCAGCGGTCCCAGAGGCCAGCTGATACTGAAATTCACAGCTAACCACAAGGGTCACTGCCTACCACACAAATGCACTTCGATATGCAACACCAGCTCATGGAAATAGCCAGATAAGGAAGTGGAAGTGTTTGCAAACTCTGGAGGAAAAACAACTGTGATGTATCAGTCGGTCCTGAGAGGGATTTCTGCTGCTCTGTTACATAATGTCTCTCTTTTCCCCATTATACGAGGGGGTCAGTGAGCCGGCAGTGGAATTTAGCCAAAGCAGCTGCAGGAAGTTCTAATCTGGACCTGGCTGCTCCACGCACATAACTTTTTTCCCTCAGGAAAATAAAACGTCTTGTGAGAGGGGCTATTTTGGCTAAGGAGCTATGTGCATCCAAGAGAGAGAGGAGAATCTCTTCCTGCCATCCAAATGTCAGCTTGTTTTTCCCTTTGTTTATTCACTTCCCACCCGTCATCAGGTTTCTGGCACAGCTCGCAAAAGGGAACATTTAAAAATTCAATAAAGCAAATTAAAAAAATAGACGTTTTTATTACACAGGTGCAGACCTGATACAAGTAAATAAAACACCGAAACCTCGAATCTCTAACACACACTCAGACCCTCCAAGCGCCCCTATTTTCCAGGTACAGTCCAGGATTTACAGAAGCCGTCCCAATTTCTGAACTGATCCTGGAATGCCCTGCTTTTCCTTAAAGGTAATCGTAAAGGGACCCCTGACCATTAGGTCCAGTCATGGCCGACTCTGGGGTTGTGGCGCTGATCTCGCTTTATTGGCCAAGGGAGCCGGCGTACAGCTTCTGGGTCATGTGGCCAGCATGACTAAGCCGCTTCTGGCGAACCAGAGCAGCGCACGGAAACTCCATTTACCTTCCCGCCGGAGTGGTACCTATTTATCTACTTGCACTTTGACATGCTTTCAAACTGCTAGGTTGGCAGGAGCAGGGACCAAGCAACGGGAGCTCACCCCGTCACAGAGATTCGAACCGCCGACCTTCTGATTGGCAAGTCCTAGGCTCTGTGGTTTAACCCACAGTGCCACCCGCATCCCTGCTTTTCCTTAGTACGTTCCTATTTTCATCAGAGAAATGTTGGTAGGAATTGGAGTTATGCGACCCCAGTGCCAAGAAGATAAGTGATTACAGAACCTTTAGAAGACATCTGAAGGCAACCCTGTATAGAGAAGCTTTAAAAACATGTTTAATGTTTTTATATATGTTATATATGCTGTCAAGAGTGGTTGGGGCAAATCAGTCAGATGGGCGGGGTATAAATGATAAAATTATTCTAATTATGGAATAGGATGTCCCTATTTTCACCGGAGAAATGTTGGAGGGTATGCACACCTACGGCCTGAGGTGAAACATGGTGCCCACATCTAAAGACAACATGTGCTGCTGACATAAACTAAGGACAGGAACCAGCCAAGATACAATAAAAATTTGCAAAATTGCTTTACAGGTCCTTGGAGCAGAAAAGAAAAATTTAGCATCAGTTTCTGTTAATGTTTGGTCTGTGTCAGCCAATGAGGCGAATGACCATACAGAATGGAAATAAAAGCATTTAAACACTGCAGCATATAAAAGTGTCGTATAATAGCAGTTAGTACAAAATTAAGATTTAGCACCAAGAAGTGTAAAAGCAATGTATAGAGGACCTGGGGGAGGTGGGGGTTAGTGTTTTCCTGACACAGAAACTTCACCAGGCAAAGCTCAGTGGAAGGAGGAGCCCATAGATGTGGTGCCAGCACTGAGCAGACCCTTTCTCTGTAGCATAGCAGTAAGCTTACACTGAAGAGTTTAAGAGTACAGTGGTACCTTGGTTCTCAAACGGCTTAGTTGTCGAACAAATCGGCTCCCAAACGCCACAAACTTGGAAGTAAGTGTTCTGCTTTGTGAACATTTTTTGGAAGCCAAATGTCCGACGCAGCTTCCGCTTGAGTGCAGAAATCTCCTGCAGCCAATCGGAAGTTGCAACTTGGTTTTTGAACCATTTCAGGAGTCGAATGGACTCCTGGAACGAGTTCAAGAACCAAAGTACCACTGTACAGGCCAGCAGAGACAGCCATTTTATCCAAGACTGTAGCTTCCCATAAACACTTGCAGATGCTGCAAGTGTCCCTATTTTCCAAGGACATCCCTGATTTAGAGAAGCCATCCCGGTTTCTGATTTCATCCCGGAATGTCCCACTTTTCCTTAGGATGTCCCTATTTTCATTGGAGGAATGTTGGAGGGTATGGAGTTATCCAACCCCCAAGCCAACTGAAGGCAATCCTGTGTAGGGAAGTTATTTTAAAATGCAGTACATGACATGAAATTTACTTTGCCAAAAATGTGTATATCAGGCAAAAGTACCGTATTTTTCGCCCCGTAAGACGCACCTGACCATAAGACACACCTAGTTTTTAAAGGAGGAAAACACACACAAAAATATTCTGAATCAAATGTTGTGCAGTGGTACCTCGGGTTAAGTACTTAATATGTTCCAGAGGTGCGTTCTTAACCTGAAACTGTTCTTAACCTGAAGCACCACTTTAGCTAACGGGGCCTCCCGCTGCTGCTGTGCTGCTGCCGCCGCACAATTTCTGTTCTCATCCTGAAGCAAAGTTCTTAACCCAAGGTACTATTTCTGGGTTAGTGGAGTCTGTAACCTGAAGTGTATGTAACCCGCTGTATAGGGAAGTTGTTTTAATGTTTAATGTTTCATTTTGCTTTTATATATGTTGGAAGCTGCCCAGAGTGGCTGGGGAGACCCAGTAAGATGTGTTGGGTATAAATATTAAAATTATCATTATGGAATGGGACGTCCCCATTTTCATCAGAGAAATGTTGGAAGGTATGTACTTGGGCATTAAAATCCCTACCTTATGGGGGGGGGGGATTCAAGACTCAGCTCATGTGTAAATTGACTCTAAGGCTGCAATCCTATCCCAGGATTTGTTTGGGGGGTAATTCCTTCCCCGTTGAAAGAGAAAAATCCCTACATTTAAAAGCTGCTCCTGTTATGTTTTCCTGGGTGCTGAAACATATGTGCAAGAAGTTGCATAAGACACAGACTGAAAATCTAAGAACAGGAAGATGCAATTCCTCTGGGTGCATTTTGTTCTTATTAATGCCTTTTCTGGCCAAATTTGAAAATGAGGTCGCTGGAAAGAGGAATCAGCCCTCTCGTTTTGTGTGTAGGCGTATCCTGAAATTCCTACGCCTCCTTCCTACCCCCAGCTTTTTAAAATCCAGCTTCCGCCTCTGCTGCAACGACAACCTGCTTTCGCAAGGACTCGGACTTCCTTGTTCCAAAAGCAGTTGTTCCATGGAAGCGATGACATAATCTGGCAAATCTGGATTACCCAGATTGCAAAGAAGAACAGAAGTTACGGGCTGCGTACAATACTAAGCTAATACTAATAAATATCTGATAGATAGATAGATGATAGATAGAGGATAGATATAGATAATTTACGGTCGGAGACCAGCTTATAAAACACACTTGGGGGTACAATCCCAGAAGGAAAACAAACATTTAAAACCATGTACAACAATAAATTTAAAATTTATAAGTGCGATAAGCATATAGACACTTAAAACTTTAAGATAAGCTACCGCAGAGAGATGTCCCAGAGTCAACCGTGGAAACAAGTTTGGGGATTTTCTTAACAAACTATTTTGGGTTGGGGGATGGTCTGCGCCTACAGATATGTACGCAGAATCTGGCAATCATCCGGGTTGTCTTATGATCTTTGACTAACAGGAAAAGGTCAAATTTTTAACTATCTGATAACTAATCTGATTAATATCTAATAACCACCACTGTTTTGATTCCTCCTAGTCCACCTGCCTGCCTTCTGGTCCTGCAATAAGTAACCAAACAAACAAACCCCTGTGTTGCAAAGAGAACGTCAGCAATGTCTAGGCAACACAATGACCGTATACATACGTAATAGACAATCGTTATAGAATTCCTTCAAACCATAACAAGTACAAAATGAAATCTTTAGTCTCAAAGTCTCTGAAAATCTTTAAATGAAGTGAGGTACCAAACTTTGTATGATGAAAGACAAGCTGTGAAGCTTTGTGTATTCAGTAAATATGATGTCCAACACTGAACAGTGATTCCGGATACTGACTACTTCATAAACCCATCTTATTTCGAATGAATGTTTTACATGAGCACTGTTCCACAGCATTTGATATTTTCATTTACATACATTCATTCGAAATAAGATGGGTTTATGAAGCAATTCCATATCCTCCCACCACGCTGACGAAGAATTCTACAAAACAGTAGTCAATATCCGGAATACAGTAAACTCCTTTCTTTTTACATGAATAAACAGAAAGTAGCTGAAATGTTGAAATGCTGTTTATTTATCAGACGGTAAACAGCACTCAAGACCTTTTATTGATGACATGAAGACTAGTTGTAATAACGAGTTTTTATTTGATGTGATTATTCTCCCTCTTTGCAGTTACTTTACTAGGTATTTTGCAGATTCCTGTCTTCATTTATATTTTTTACATACTTGCTATAGAATTATAATAATGAAAACTTGCTGGGGGGAAACTCTATGAAGTAGCTAAATTAATATTGCTTCTCTGGCCAGAATATTTATAGAACACCCTTCAAAAAAAAATTCTCAGCCCACTTTACAGTTAAAATTCTAACCAAGTATTAGAAAGGCAGTAGTGATATATGAACAAGAATCAGCAAGAGAAAATGGATGAATGAAGGAGAAGCAACACAAAAAAGGTAAATCAACAACTACATTAGTATTTAGAGGATAAAAAGCAGGAAAGGTATAGAGCTAAGTGCTTGATTTACTTCAGGAAATAAATAAATAAATAAATAATAATAATAATAATAATAATAATAATTTATTTATTATTTATACCCTACCCATCTGGCTGGGTTTCCCCAGCCACTCTGGGCGGCTTCCAACAGAATATTAAAATACAATAGTCTATTAAACATTAAAAGCTTCCCTAAACAGGGCTGCCTTCAGATGTCTTCTAAAAGTCTGGTAGTTGTTTTTCTCTTTGACATCTTAATTATTATTGAGAAAATGGAGAGCAAAAAGTAAACATGGGAAGAAGTATGGAGCTAAAAGTGATGGCTTTCAAGGAAAATTTGTCTGGAATGGTTAAAAACACACACCCACACACCATTCCATTATTCCACTGGCACCTTTCTGGCAGTTAGGAGATGGGAAATGATTTATTTGAAATTACAGTGGCGTGGGAAAGGAAAGTGAAAGGAGCAGGAATTTCCCCAGGGGATGTCAGAAGTGGGTGAAGCTAGCCAATAAATACTGGCCTCAAAGCTCTCTGACTCCACCACACAGCACACTTCCTCCTCTCACAGCAGCCGCAGCAGGAGCAAGAGCAGCAAAGATGATCCAGAAGTCCTGCCTTGTAATCCTGATACTTGTCCTTTGCACAGCTCTCATACAAGGTAATATTCTTTTGCCTTCTTTTCTTCTGTATGATATTACATTAACTTCGCCTCCTTTTCTTCCATATAACATTGCATTAATTGCATCTTCTCTGCTTCCACATTTTGCAATGCAATCATAATGTGGTAATAACGTTGACTAACGAGGAAAGCTCATAGAACAATAGAGCAACAAAGTAATGATAATGGGTGGTATTCAACTATTTTTTTTACCATTGCAATTAATGGACCTGACTTAGTCGAGTTTATCGATTACAGTGGGCCAGTTTGGAGTAGGTAAATATCATACAATGCTGTCAAGCAGGGAAATTGGATAGTACAGTGGTACCTCAGGTTACATACGCTTCAGGTTACAGACTCCGCTAACCCCGAAATAGTGCTTCAGGTTAAGAACTTTTCTTCAGGATGAGAACAGAAATCGGGCTCCGGCGGCGCGGCGGCAGCGGGAGGCCCCATTAGCTAAAGTGGTGTTTCAGGTTAAGAACAGTTTCAGGTTAAGAACGGACCTCCGGAACGAATTAAGTACTTAACCCGAGGTACCACTGTAAATATAATTAAATCAATAGAAAACAAAGGGGTTTTTTGGGGGGGAGCAATGGGGGGAACGCAGGTGGCGAGTGGGACGCGGGTGGCGCTGTGGGTAAAACCTCAGCGCCTAGGACTTGCCGATCACATGGTCGGCGGTTCGAATCCCCGCGGCGGGGTGCGCTCCCGTCGTTCGGTCCCAGCGCCTGCCAACCTAGCAGTTCGAAAGCACCCCCAGGTGCAAGTAGATAAATAGGGACTGCTTACCAGTGGGAAGGTAAACGGCGTTCCGTGTGCTGCGCTGGCTCACCAGATGCAGCTTATCACGCTGGCCACGTGACCCAGAAGTGTCTGCGGACAGCGCTGGCTCCTGGCCTATAGAGTGAGGTGAGCGCACAACCCTAGAATCTGGCAAGACTGGCCCGTACGGGCAGGGGTACCTTTACCTTTTAATGTCATCTCCCCCCTCCTCCCAAAGAAAATCTCCAAGCGTTAAAAAGATTGTGGCTTACCACTTTCCCATTCGTTGCTCTGTCTGAAACACCCCGCTGAAGAGGTTTCGAAGGAAAGCCTCCCCTCTCACATCACACCCGCAACCCTGTAAAGTTATATTACGACTGAGCGTACCCGAATGTGTAACTCAAGGGTGACATTCTTCTGTTGCAGGAATGCCAACTACCAGCAGAGGGCGTTGCCTCTGTCGAACAAAAGGAATGATGCTGAGCTCTGTCCCTATTCAACGCGTTGCTGAAGTTGAATTTCACCGGCCCAGCAGCAGCTGTGATCAGGAGGAACTGGTGTAAGTAGTGGATGCTGGTTCTACTCTAGAAGCATTAACATTTGTGTTAAGTTTCCTACTCGGGGTCAATGCTATTTTGCTACTCAATGCAATACAAGTAACTATATAAAACCCTAAGGAAGTTGTGTTGATCTAGAAGGGCAGGGCAAATGCCTTTATTTTGGAGCAGTCCAACTGCCACGGAAGGATAATAATAGTAGTCCTGTTTCTAATTTGCCCTCAATTGCTTCTTTGCAGAGTCACTTTCAAGAGAAACGAGCGCAAGAGGTGCCTGAACATTAATTTGGAGCAAGGCCGTCGTATAAAGGAAGTAAGTGAGACCAGAATAAGTACAGTGGGTTGGGATGAGACAAGATAACGGGGTGGCTGTGTTGGTGGGCTCCCGATACCTCATCCACTCTGGCCACAGATAAGCGTCTTGTACTCACCAGGTATTTTTCTTTGCTTCCCTTACAGGCAATTATGAAGAAGAGGAAATGAAGATTGTTAGAGACTGAGAGAGGAGAAGGCAGAGAAAATATACCGTATTTTTTGCACCATAACACTCACTTTTTTCCTCCTAGAAAGTAAGGGGAAATGTCTGTGCGTGTTATGGAGCGAATGCCTACGGGTGGTGGTGGGGATCTGCTGCAGTCGTGAGCAGAGGATCCATGGTTCCCCTTCCTTCCCTCCTCTGTGGCTTGCTTTGAAACAGCAAAGCGGGAGAAGAGCCGCTGAGTGGGGAGGAGAGAGGGACAGAGAGCCTGCTTGCTTTAAAGGAGCAAAGCGGGAGAGGAAAGGAGCCTTCTCCGCTTATACCCCTCTTCTGCATTATTAACAGCATCCTTCTCCACCCACCCCACGCGTGTGCCTTGTCCCTTGAGTGCTTTTCCTTCCCTCCCCACTTAAAACGTGGTTACAAAGCACGGATCTACATGGATCCTCAGGATTTTTGCACTGGGTCACCCCAAATTCACCATCAGATCACATAGCATGTCCATGGCTACAGCTTGCACCAAAAAAATCACACACCCACTGTTGCCTGGGGCCGCAGCATGAACCACAAAAATCATACATCCGCTGTTTTGTTTAGAATATTTTTTTTCTTGTTTTCCTCCTCTAAAAACGATGTGCTTGTTATGGTCGGGTGTGTGTTATAGAGCGAAAAATACGGTAATTGGGCATCTGGTTACTGAGGTAGAGAAGTCATGAGGTTCAAGCTTCTTTTGGACAAAGACATCAACCATTTCTCCTTCAGGAAGACCTCCTGACAACCTTCTAAAAGACTGACTTTCTGTGGACCACACAGTTTGAAAACTCCCTGACCTAAGTGTTTAATTGGCAGGATTCAGTCTAGTATAAAGCTGCCGGAATTTGAAAAGGAGCTTTTCCCATTTAGTTTCTTTCCCTCAACTTTCAGGTCCAATAATTATGTGTTACCACGGGAAGAAACAAAAAAAACTGAGAAAGCTAGAGGACAAATACCGTAATTTCATATTGTAAAGCCCTGAATAGCTAAAAAAATCTATGTGAGTGGAAGACATTTGGTACTCATTGCTTCATTGTTAAACTTAAAAGAATAATGTTTTCTTGCTATCTTGTTGTTGTATTCTGCTCCTTGCCGGGTCTTGAATACAGGCTTGGCACCTGTACATTTGTAAATAAAAATATTTTTGTTTTGTAACAAATCAGCCAGTGTGTGTTTGTCCATTCGTTCTCTCTCTCCTCGAAAGTAAACCTACAGGAGCTGCCATTCAGCTCCCAAATCAAACTTCAGCAACACAAATAACATTCACACTGAAGGAGGTGAGGACAGGTGACCCCACCTAGGCCCGAAGTCACCCCCCCAACTAGGCCTCAAAACTGTCCAAAATTCCCTTTCTCTCTTCTAAAAATCCACAGCTAAAGTTTTCCTCACAAGATGCATAGGCAAAATGCTATTCTTTTATCAGTATGAGAGAGCTTCAAAAAGGCTAATGAATAGGCTCTGTCATTGCCAAGAATACTCAGGCCTGGGAACTGACTCTTCTCTCATTCGGTTGTAACACATCTTGAACACGCTGAGCGCAAGGCTCGTCGACCCCCATTGGCTTCTGACCCCTTTCCTGGGAAGGGCGCCAAGAGTCCAAAAGAGTCCCAAGACAGGAGCTTTCTGTTCATGCTCAGGGGAACTCATGAGGCAGGACTCTTGAGGAGGAGGAGAAAGGGGAGGGAACTGGAGGGAATATATGCTCTGTGCAAATGGCTGTGAACTTGTGCTTGTTTTATGAATCTATCACACTTGCTCCTTCTACCAGCCGGATGGTAGAAAAAGGCTACAACACCATGTACAGTGGTACCTTGGGTTACATACACTTCAGGTTACAGACGCTTCAGGTTACAGACTCTGCTAACCCAGAAATAGTACCTCGGGTTAAGAACTTTGCTTCAGGATGAGAACAGAAATCGTGCAGCAGCGGCGCAGCAGCAGCAGGAGGCCCCATTAGCTAAAGTGGTGCTTCAGGTTGAGAACAGTTTCAGGTTAAGAACGGACCTCCAGAACAAATTAAGTACTTAACCCGAGGTACCACTGTATTTAAAACACATGGATTCCCCCAAAGAATGCTGGGAGTTGTGGCTTGCTAAAGGTCTTGGGAACTGTAACTTTGTGGAGGTAAACTACAGTTATCAGGATACTTTGTGCTTTAAATGACGTGGATTTGTGACATCAAATTCCCTACAAACACAGGAATGGGGATATTGTGTGGGGGAGAGAGAGGGAAGGACTCATTTCCTTCGTGTTTCAGACAAAATACAGTTTATGTCCCAGAAACCCACATGCCTCTAATTCCCACTTCCGTGCATACTTGGCTGGAAAGCCCATCTACTAAGATGATATGCTTTGAACTGCAAGGCACGTGTCTTTAATTGCAATTACTAAGCAATAAAGTAGGCCCTGGTATTCAGGAAGGTTAGCACCATATAACCTGACTGATATATATACATATAGGGCCATCATGGTGTTATGGCTGGGCTTAGGGTAGAGATAGCCAGATGCAAACCTTCAAACCAGGAAGTTCACTTAAGCTTCTTTCTCTCTCTCTCAGCCATGTTTGAGCTTCCTAGAGGAATGTGTTACGCAAATTACGGGGGTGGGGGGCACATCTTTAAAGTTAAATGTTACACATATTATGCCTGAATGTATCCTTTCAACTTGACAGCTCAGAGAAGTTACCTAGCTTTAAAAAATAATATAAAATCATCTCCTTTGCCAGTTTTCTCCATTCCAAAGCTATTTTCCCCTTGAAAAAGGACTCCGGGAAGTGTCCAGAGGTGACAATTGCTGGGCTCATTGTTAGCCAAATCTCATCACCTGACTTGCCTCAGGCTCCAGACGTGCAAAGGAAGTTCTATTGTACTTTTGGGTGGTGGGAACTTAAGACATATTTGTCTATGCTAATCTTATATCTGAGTCTTGCCCTGCCATGTCTGCCTATGCTAATCTTGTACCAAGGACTTCTCTGGACATGTTTGCCAAGGTTAACCCCTCCCCTTTTGTGACATGTCAGTGATGTACCTACCATTGATGTAGCAATGATGTAGTACAAACTGTATTCTAGGATAGGGTGGGAAAGTTTTAAAAGTCTTTGTCACCCCATCCTCGGGGTTCAAATTTGCTCTTTGAACCTATTGTGCAATAAACTTTGGTCTACAGCTATTTGCTCCGGTTGGTGGCTGGACTCCTTCCTTTATTCTGCAGGGACCCGCGGGCTCTGCCCGACGAGCTGGGTGACTGAGCAGCCTCACACCTAGATTTTTCCGTAACAAATATGAAAAATAGGCCTTTCGGATCAAAGCAGCATCCTGCTTTGCCAGAGAGATGCCCCCAGAAAGCCCACAAGCTATCTCTGTCCCAATATTCAAGGCCATTCTGCCTCTGGAAATGGTGCTTCTGCTTTGCAATTATAGCCAATAGCCATTGACAGAACTAGAACCACATTGAGACCTGCGGCCCTTTGGGTGCTGCTGGAGTCTGGACTACAACTCCCATCATCCCCGACCCTTGTCCAAGTTGGTTGTGCCTGGTGGGAGATGCAGTCCCACGATGTCAGGCATGCCGCAGATTTACCCACCTATGATCGGAATCCTCCATGAATTTGTCAAGGATGTGGGCCTTGACAGAGGAGCAACATAACTGGACATCGCATGCCCTGTTGGTGGGCAAAATACACTTAAAGTCTCCCTATCTTAGAGGATGGGCTGTAGCTCAGTTGGAGAACATCTGACTTGCATGCAAAAGGTCCCTCTTTCAACCCCCATAATAATAATAATAATAATAATAATAATAATAATAATAATAATTTATCCCCAGCCACTCTGGGCGGCTCCCAAACGAATATTAAAAACACAATACAGCATTAAACATTAAAAACCTCCCTAAACAGGGCTGCCTTCAGATGTCTTTTAAAAGTAAAATAGTTGCTCCAGGGGTCAGCAAAGTTTTTCAGCAGGGGGCTGGTCCACTGTCCCTCAGACCTTGGGGGGGGGGCGGACTATATTCTGGGGGGGGGGGAAATGAACTAATTCCTATGCCCCACAAATAACCCTGAGATGCATTTTAAATAAAAGCACAGATTCTACTCATGTAAAAACACCAGGCAGGCCCCACAAATAACCCAGAGATGCATTTTAAATAAAAGGACACATTCTACTCATGTAAAAACATGCTGACTCCCGGACCGTCCGCGGGCCGGATTTAGAAGGCGAGTGGGCCGGATCCGGCCCCCGGGCCTTAGTTTGCCTACACATGCTCTACTAGGTAGTGCTGGTAATGTCAGTTGCCTGAAACCATGAAGAGCTGCTGCCCGCCAGTGTAGACAATACCGAGGTAAATGGACCAATGTTCGGCTCAGTATAAGGCAGCTTTCTGTGTTCCAATATTCCTACCTCTTCCCTCCCTCCCTCCCCCACCCAATTTTATCATCCAGTTCTTCCCCACCTGGCAAGGTGAGCAAGACTCCAGGTGACTTGCACAGCAGCTGAGGGAAGGGAGTGGATATCGGAGTGATGTTTGAGTGGTTGGGTGCAGAGGAGTGGAGGGAGGAGTCATCCAAGGGGAAACCCCCCCAGAAGAAGACTCAGTTTGTGGTCAGAGGGCAAAGAAGTGAAGGAAGGTGAGGACAGGTGCCCCACCTAGGCCCGAAGTCACCCCCCCCAAAGCAGGCTCAAAGCTTCTCAAAGCTTTTCAAAATCATTTTCTCAGCAGCTAAAAGGCATTAGCTAAGCATCAGAAACATTTCGCTCTGCTGTAACAAAGGTCGCTTCTCAGGCTAGTTGACCCTGCCAAATAGTACATTCAACTTGCAACTTTTCTTTTGAGTGTCTGTTGACTCCCATCTCCCTTTCCCAGGCGTAATATTTTTCCCACCTGAGGGCAAAGCCTCATAAGGCTACAGAAGGACCAGACTGGGAGGTATTGGAAGCTGAAGAGGCAACGGGGTTTAGTGAGGAGGAGGAGTCTGGGACAGGGAGCAGTTCAGACTCTGAGGCTGGAGAGGAGGCTGGAGAGGAATGGGGGCCAGAAGGGCAGGCTGTGGAAGAAGCCAGGGAATCTTCCCCCTCCTGCTACGACCAGCTCCCCTCCCCCCTGGTCTCCCAGAACACGCAGAAAAATGAAGAGGGCGGAGGAAGGAGAGAGAAGGCTCCCAAAAACTCAGTGGAAAGTAGTGGGGGAAGCATTGGAGCAAGCTGGGAGCAGCCTTGTGTGCTTCTGCTGCCAGAGGCAGCTGCTTCACCCAGCCTCAGCTGTGGGCCGGCTCCACAATCAATGTGACGGTTGGGAAGGCTGAACCAATCTGGTGAATGAGGGCCAGTCCCATCACACAGCAGAGTGAAGCAACCTGCACAGTTTCATCATGGCAGGAGCCGTCCTATTTTCTCGTTGTCATTCTGCTTTACTGCAGATCAGCTGGATTGCATAAGTGCAATGGATGGGTTTGGGGAACTGGGATCCTTTCCCAGAAATTGAGTCACTTCCAGCTGCAGGCCAAAAGTTGACCTCTTGCACTATACATCTGCCATTGTACTTGTTTCCTTTTCCTCCAAAAACTCTGATTTCTCCTACAAAGCCAAGTTTCACTTTCAGTGTCATGAAAGTGCAGGCGAAGAATCTTTATTTTGCTGCTTCCTGAGTTTGAAAAGGGGAAGGAGAACAGAAAAGCATGGAATTAGCTCAACTTCTGCCTGGGGCAGAATCACTTTTACTATGATGTTGACACGCATTGCAATTTTGGGGTTGATTTCTCTACAACATCCTTCTCCAACGTGGTGCCCTCTATTGTTGATTCAGTGTGTGCAGCAGCTGCGGAAAACAACAAATTTCGTGCTAAGGACCATTAGGAAATTGTCAATCTCATAATGCCATTAACAGAAATCTTTGGCATACTCCTCAATTGTCCCAATTTGAGTGGGACAGACAGGGCCCTCTTAAGCATATTCGGCGCCGTGGTACAAAGATTCCTCCCCGCCACCCCGTTTCCCACAGTTGTCTTGTGCCACGACGTCCCACCTCCTATTATATACTGCGTTTTAAAGCCCTTATGTCAGCCCAACACAATCTCAGCAGCCAGCTCCTTCCACACAACTGGTTTCATCTCAACGCTCATAGATATTAAAATACGGAGGAATTATGCATCCCCGGGGAGGTGCTGAATCAATGGAGGCTGGCCGCTCTCACCATGGGCAACTGTGGGTAGATCAAGGCACTCTGCACATGCTTAAAAGAACAAAATGGTCTGCAGCTCATGAAAGCTTATGCCTCACTAAAAACCCGTACCCGTCTTTAAAGGACTTTTTGTTGGTGTTTGTTTTTAACCACTAACTGCATGGAGAGCACGCTCTTGAGTCCATCTTCACCGCCCGAAATCTGAATGAATGCCTCCTCCACCTTTTTCCTCGACGGAAGGGGCGGGGGGCGGATTTCTCGGTGAGAACGTTGCCCCTCCCGCCCGTCCCCTGCGCTGGGCAGCTCGAGACTGGCTTGCCATGTGGGCAAAATGTCTACAGGTGTCAAAACAATATTCTAAGTGGAATTGGCTCTTTTGGGAGGTGGTGGGCTCTCGCCTCGTTGGAAGTTTTTAAGCAGAGGTTGGATGGACACCTGTCATGAGTGCTGAAGTCGAGGTTCCTGCACTGCAGGGGGCTGGACTAGATGGTTTCTGGGGTTCCCTCCCAACTCTACGATTCTAGATTCTAGCAATAAGATTGGCAGCCAGCAACGTACGAAAGAAACCAGGAAAGAACCGTAAACTAAACAAAAGGAGTCAATGACTGAAAGCAACCCCCCTCCCCCGCAAAAGCCAATAGACCAAAAGAGTTTTGCAGCACAGAACGTCTGACACCGCCTCCATCCTTGAATCTCCAATAAGCGGTCGAGTTCGTAGGTTTTTGAGCCTAAGCAGCGGCCGTAGCCACGTGATCCAAGATGGCGGCGCCCAGTGGCCGTGGCACGCGGCTCTTCCGGTAAGGTCGGAGGCAGCAGCCGGCAGAGTCCGCGTCGCTCCGCAGCCATGGCCGGCCGCAACAACAACAAGCTGCCCGTCAACCTGCCTCAGCTGCAGAACCTGATCAAGCGGGACCCGCCTTCGTATACCGAGGAGGTGAGGCCTAGGGGTCACATAATTCCCATTCCCTGCGCCTTTGGAACTCCCTGCCTCTTGAGATCAGGCAGGCGCCTTCGCTGTGCTCTTTGCGGCGCTGGCTAAAAAAAAAAAGCATCATTGTTTAGACGAGCCCACCCAGGTGCTTAGAAAGCTGCGGCGATTTTGATCTGTTTTAGGAATTTAACTTTTGCATGCTTTTAAAGTAAGGGTTGAGAGCTTTTCTCGATTTCATTGACTTCATCCCCGGAGGCGCACTCCATAGGCTCCCTAGGCAGACGGATGCCAATACCAAATTGTTTTTACCATTTTGGGTACGTGCTTTGAGGTCTTTAAAAAAACAAAACATCTCAAATGCAGGTGTTTAAAGCATTTACGTGAAATAAGCTGCGAGGGAAGTAAATCCTTTTTGTCTGTGTTTCAGTTTCTTCAGCAGTATCGCCATTACCAGTCCAATGTGGAGATATTCAAACTGCAGCCAGCAAAGCCCAGTAAAGATTTGGCTGAACTAGTGATGTTCTTGGCACAGGTAAAATGGCAGAATCTATGTGTGGTATGGGAAGTTCTGCTGGGATTTGTTTAGGTCGCTCTCAGTTCCCTTGCAGCCTTAACCACTATTACGGACAGGAGGAAATGGAACTGGTAGCGAAGACCTTATTTACTGATGATGTGTTGGCTCTAAAATAAAAAGAGAGAGAGCAATCGCTTTGATGTTCCTCTGTCTGTAATAAGCTTATTGCTTGACCCTTGCTCTGATTTATTTTACATTTATTTATAAAATTTGTATGCCACCCTTCAGCCATAGATTACAAGGAAGTTCACAACATAAAAGTAAAAGATAAAAAACACAAAATACACCATAAAAAGAAGAACTCCCTCTGTGGGATGCCCTCCCACCAGATGTCAAAGAGAACCATAACTCCCAGACTTTTAGAAGACAGCCCATTTTAGGGAAGCTTTTAATGTTTGGACTACTGTATTTTAATATTTGGTTGGAAGCCGCCCAGATTGGCTGGGGAAACCCAGCCAGATGGGTGGGGTATAAATAATATTATTTATTATTATAACAAAAACAAGCCAATAACCCCCTTCTCCTACAAACACGTTTAAAAGAGCATAGGATGAAAATCAGCCAAGGCCTGGTGGAAAAGGAACATTTTCACCCAGCACCTAAAGCCCAACCTATCTGGAGAGAGCATTCCACAAATGGGGAGCCACTGCAGAAAAGGCCCTGTTCTTGTATTGCCACCCTCCGGATGGTTGACCTAATTCACTCAGAAGGTTATCATGAGGGTAAATGAAAGATGCGTTGCCACAAACTCCTTGGAGGAAGAGTGCTAACAGATACGATGAATCTAATGCAGGAATAGGAGACCAGATGCTGTGGAACTCTCAGCTCCCATCAGCCCCTGCCAGCATGCCCAGTGGTCAGAGAATATATCCAACATCTTGTGGATCAAAGGCTCTCCATTCTTCCTCTGAGATCTGTTGTGTCATCAGCATTGCTTTTTATGGGTTGCTTTCTTCTTTACGTGTACCTTGAGGGGTCCTGTGGCCCTCCAGTTGTTCAACAACGTCTGGCTCCCATCACCCCTGACCATTGGCTGTGCTGACTTGGACTGATGGGAGTTGGAGTCCATAGGAGCCAACTCCAGGGGGCTGGAGTTTATAATACAGTGGTACCTTGGGACGCAGGTGGCGCTATAGGTTAAACCACAGAGCCTAGGACTTGCCGATCAGAAGGTCGGCGGTTCGAATCCCTGCGACGGGGTGAGCTCCCGTTGCTTGGTCCCTGCTCCTGCCAACCTAGCAGTTTGAAAGCACGTCAAAGTGCAAGTAGATAAATAGGTACCACTCCGGCGGGAAGGTAAATGCCGTTTCCGTGCGCTGCTCTGGTTCGCCAGAAGCGGCTTAGTCATGCTGGCCACATGACCCAGAAGCTGTACGCTGGCTCCCTCGGCCAGTAAAGCTAGATGAGCACCGCAACCCCAGAGTCTGCCACGACTGGACCTAATGGTCAGGGGTCCCTTTACCTTTACCTTTGTTCTCAAACGCCTTGGAACCCAAACATGCAAACCCGGAAGTAAGTGTTCCAGTTTGCGAACTTTTTTCGGAAGTCGAACATGGTCTGTTTTGAGTGTTACACTTCCGATTTGAGAGCCACACTTCCGTTTGGAGTTTTACACTGAGGTCTGTCTGTTTTTGCAATTTATTTTGCGTTTTTGTGGCTCTTTCTTTGTGTGTGTGACTGTGTGGAACCCAGTTCAGCTACTGATTGATTTTGTGACTGCCGTACATTGTTTATTGCTTTCATTTTATGGATCAATGGTCTCGTTAGATAGCAAAATCCATGTTAAATTGCCTGTTTTGGGGATTGTTATTAAAAGTCTGGAATGGATTAATCCATTTTGCATTACTTTCTATGGGAAAGCGTGCTTTGGTTATGGAACAGACTTCCGGAACAGATTAAGTTTGAGAACCAAGGTACCAATGTATAATATAATTGTGGGACCAGGCACCCACAAACTCAATGAGAAAAGGCGGCAGCGGTGCTGTGTCCGAGAGAGAAGCAGTTCAACTCTGCCTTCCGTACCCAGCCAGCGAGGCACCCTTTTCCAGTGGGTAGGGGCCTCTCTGCCTCTGAGTCCTTCCTCATGGAAAAGGGTGCCTCACTGACTGCTGAGAGGAGGGGGAAGTGGAGCCGCTGCAATGCGGAAGTGTGACGTCACATGCGCACGCCTGCACATAGTGCACCCACAATTCTGATGGAAACATGGCACCCCGTTGGGAGTCCAGCAGTATCTGGAGGGACACATACAGGCTTTCCACTTTATGTCAAGCTTCTCTACTTTCTGTGCAGGTTGGCCACTGCTATCCTGAGTACCTGGCAGACTTTCCACAGCAGCTGAAGGAACTGCTGTCCTACAATCACACAGTCTTGGATGCAGATCTTCGAATGGTGACTCTGATGTTAAAATACTAATACTTCCTCATCTGGGGCAGGGAATTCTGTAGGGCATGACACCTGCAATTTGGGAAGAAGTTCTTCTTTTCCAGTACCAAGGGGTTGCAGTGGTACAATGCATTTCAATTCTTTCTCCATGTTTTTTTCTCTGCATCTGCATGACAAAATTTACATTTTGCTCCAAACTCATAGAATCCATGCCAGTGCACATGTTTGGGGGGTGTTCAACTGAAGGTCATGTGTATGTGGGTTCAGTTGAAAAGGGAGACTTGATACATTGGGGTTTAGAAGCTGGAAGAAATGGCAATGTCGGTATGTTTTATTATTGTTCTTACTATGCTGTGGCTTCCCTTAAGGAAACCTCTACAAAGAAATCACTGAATCAAAAATCTCAGCACATTTGTCAATATAACATTTTTGTTAAAACCTGGTTAAGGATTGCCAGTTGTCATTCTCAACTGTGTGAAAGCTCAGCTCCCAGAAATGGCCAGTTTTGCAAGTTGAACAGAGTATACGAATTTCATTTGCAATACATGTAGATTTTGCATAATATTGCGATTCCCAGCGGACAAGCAAAGACATATGGAGAGTGTTCAAGTTCTGCTCAGTGATCACTAGCAGTCCTGTTGAGCAGGCATGTGAGAACTTGTCACACACGCATTTTCAAGCTTATCACTATGAACATAAGGACTAGAAACTTCCTTTAAAAATAAATTGAAAGATGATAAACTCAGACTGCTGAATTGTTGAGCACCAGACTCGATGTTTGTACGTATATCATAAAAGCAGTTTTTGTGGCGTATAAAAAAAAAATTAAAAATCCTGATAACTGGTAACCGGTAACTTCTTTCCCTATTTGCAGACATTTTGCAAAGCTCTAATCCTGCTGAGAAACAAGAACCTTATCAACCCCACAAGCTTGCTGGAACTTTTCTTTGAGCTCCTCCGTTGCCACGATAAATTTTTACGAAAAGTGAGTAGCAAAGTTACTGTCCCTGTCGGTCTTTTCTTGTTTGTTCATAATATGCAGTTTTAAAATAATGGACTGTAGGCGCACTTGTACCTTGCCTACATGACTTGGGACCCCTTCTTAAGAGGGTGAATTCCCTGCTGTGAAATGTCATTCCTCCCATTAGCCAGGGGCATGTTTGTTGCATTTACCCTTATATGTGGGATTTGAGGTGGGGGATAACTGCAGTCTGCAGAACATCCCTGTCCCGTCCCCCCATCGCTTATTCTCCAGGAGGGTTTGATGGAAGTGTTCCAACACAAACAAATCACAAAGGCTGATGAGGGTCCACTGCCAGTCCTTGCTAAGAGAATTACTCTAGAAGGGGAAGCAGAAACCATAGCTGGAGAGACAGGAAGGATGGACAGAAGAAGAAGAAGAAGAAGAAGAAGAAGAAGAAGAAGAAGAAGAAGAAGAAAAGTTTGGATTTGCTATCCCGCTTTATCACTACCCAAAGGAGTCTCAAAGCGGCTAACAATTTCCTTTCCCTTCCTCCCCCACAACAAACACTCTGTGAGGTGAGTGAGGCTGAGAGACTTCAAAGAAGTGTGACTAAGCCCAAGGTCACCCAGCAGCTGCATGTGGAGGAGCGGAGACACGAACCCGGTTCACCAGATTACGAGTCTACTGCTCTTAACCACTACACTACTCTGGACAGAAGAGCTAGAGTAGAGGAGGGGAACCTGGGGGCCAAATGAGAACCTCCAAATCTCTCTACCTGGCCCTTGGGACTCTCCCTAGTCCACATCCCTAACTCACCCTGCTCTGTGTTCTCCTTGAGTACTTTGGCTCGACTGAAATGGGACCTTGAACAGTGAAGATCCCTCTTCAATATGCAAACCTCTTCTTTTTGTGTGGCTGGAATGTAGCCCATGCTACGCAGATAAAAGTCTTACCCATTGCTCTTCTCACTTGTGCTCACTCACTGCTGGCATGGAGCCCCCAGAAGGTTGCCAACGAAGGAATGTGGCTCTCTGAGTGAAAAGTGTTCCCCATCCTGGGCTAGATGCTGCTACTGGGCAGGTCTTTGCAAGAGCAACCTTTGTCCAGCAGTGGCCAGAGTACCGGGCAAAGCCCTGAGAGCCCTGGGTTAAAATCACAGCTCTGCCACAAAGGTCAGTGGAGCCTAGTCAACCCACCACACATACTTGCCCATCTATCTCTGTGCTCTAGATTATTTTCTTTGAAGGAGCTCTGGGTATTTCCAGCACTTTGTTCCCGCTGTTGCTGAACATTCTTGTTTTTGGCAGACGCTGTACACCCACATTGTGACGGATATCAAGAACATCAACGCAAAACACAAAAACAACAAGCTGAACACGGTAGGTTGTGGCTTCTGCTTCGAATTCCGGTTTGTGCGGGACAGAATTCTTTCTTGCGAAACCTTTCCCCCTCTTCCCCCCCCCTCTCTCTCTCCCCAGACCCTTCAGAACTTTATGTACACTATGCTGCAAGACAGCAATCCAACAGCAGCCAAGATCTCGCTGGATGTGATGATAGAGCTATACAGAAGGAACATCTGGTAAGTGGCTGACATGGGAAATAATCCTGTGAGGAACTGCAAGAAAAGATAAAACGTGATGTGCCCAAGTTGCCATTGTTCCTTATTCCAGAGTGTGAACACTTTATTTATTTCTCCAGGAATGATGCCAAGACTGTGAATGTCATCACCACAGCTTGCTTTTCCAAAGTCACAAAGGTAAGAAACTATTTTAGCTTTATTTTGTTTTGTACAAATTCTAGCAGGGTAACCACATTGTGTTTTAATGGGATTGTTTTATCATGCGTTTTAGTTACAGTGCATTTTAATTTACAGTTTATTGCACAACCGATCCAGTGGAACAGGCTTCCTCAACCTCGGCCCTCCAGATGTTTTGAGACTACAGTTCCCATCGTCCCTGACCACTGGTCCTGCTAGCTAGGGATCATGGGAGTTGTAGGCCAAAAACACCTGGAGGCCCGAGGTTGAGGAAGCCTGCAGCGGAACCTCGGCTTTCTAACGTAATCCGTTCCAGAAATCGGTTCGACTTCCGAAACGTTCGAAAACTGAGGATCAAAGTGTTGGTTATTTTGCAGATTAGTTGTGCTGCAGAAGGTGTGCTGGGGAGACCACAAATTCAAGAAACGCAAAAGTAACTTTTGCTAGGTTTTAGTAACAAAAACTCCTTTTACACGAAATTACATTATATCAGTAAGTATGACCCATCCACCAGGGTACTGAGAGAGCTACATGCTGCTCTTTACATACTATACCCAGCAGCTTAATTAACATAATTTAACAGCATCTGCTAGTCTGCTTCATAGCTGTAAAACTAGGTCATGTTATTTGCTCTGGCCCTTAAACACATACACATTTTGTGAAACAATAATGAAACCCAAAATTTAAAGAAACCATTCAACACAAAGGGCTGTCAGCCAGTTCAGTGGAGAAAATTGAGAAATGCAACTTGGAAGCCATTCGACTTCTGAGGTGCGTTCGAAAATGGAAGCATTCACTTCCGGGTTTTCGGCATTCAGCTTCTGAGACTTTCGGCAGTCGAGATGTTAGAAAACCGAGGCTTGAGTGTAACCAATTCCACAACATGGTTAAACCCCTTAGGGCTTATTCTGGCTTTAAGTGGCGTATAATAAATAAGTTACAGTAAATAATTATTAGTCTGTTGCAGCAAAACCAGCAGCAGATTTTTGTGGCACCTTTCTAGGCATAGGGTTGTATAAACTGAGGGTAGGGAACCTTCTTCAGCCCACGGACCACGTTTCCTTCTGGGCAGCCACCTTGGACCCAGTTGTGGCCAGGCAAAAGCAGACAGAGCAATGAATACTAGAAGAAGAAGAAGAAGAAGAAGAGTTTGGATTTGATATCCCGCCTTTCACTCCCTTTAAGGAGTCTCAAAGCGGCTAACATTCTCCTTTCCCTTCCTCCCCCACAACAAACACTCTGTGAGGTGAGTGGGGCTGAGAGACTTCAGAGAAGTGTGACTGGCCCAAGGTCACCCAGCAGCTGCATGTGGAGGAGCGGGGAATCGAACCCAGTTCCCCAGATTACGAGACTACCGCTCTTAACCACTACACCACACTGGCTCTCAATTTACCTTTGTACAGTAGGCTGGTTTCTATACACATTTGCACATCCTACTCTTATCTCGGACGAGCAAGAGGCATTATCAGAATTCAAGTACACATCCCATCCGGGCAGCGACGTTCAGTGACGGTGTGAAGCAGGGAGAGTAAAGGGCATGGCCTGAGTTGTATTCCAAGTTCACTTAGAGAGACTTGGAGAACTGTATTTGGTCCCCAGAACCAAGGCTGGTTTAGCGCTCCAAGAATGAGCCTAGTCTCCACCCAGACTCATGTGCCAGAAACTGGCTGTAAAAATAACCGTTTTCTCCTTCTTGTGCGCTTCTCTCCCCAATCTACGCATCTCGCGGCTATTCAGATACTAGTTGCTGGCTTGAAATTTTTCCTTGGAAAGGATGAAGATGAGAAAAGAGGCAGTGATTCAGAATCAGAGGTTAGTGCATCTGGGGCGATGACTTTGTGCTAGTTCCTCATGGAGGAGGTAAAAGCGATGCCAGGAATGTGCCACAGGTATAAATGCCTGGACAGTATTCTTTTAGAACTTATTTTCCGATTGCTTCTCTGTTTAAGAAACAAAAGAACTCTGGGGGCAGGGGACCCAGGAATTAAGGAGAAGGTTTTTCTTTCTGACATATGGAGGGGGCTAGGTTTTTTTTTTTAATCCAGACTTTTCTTCCTGACTGAAACCCTCCATATGCTATATTAAATTATTATTATTATTATTATTATTATTATTATTATTATATTCTTGCAACGATTAAAGGAGTAAAAAACATTCTGCTGACGTTGACAATAACAATATTCCAGTGATCCTAACTTAAATGCGTAGGGTATGTCTAAAAGATATGGATGCTCATAATCTATACATTCAAATGTAGAAAGCGCAGTGAACTCTTCAGGGCAATGAATTATGATTATGATTATGAATGATTATGGGTGTTTTGTATAATTTAAATTCCATTGACTTTGATGTTGCACTGCTGTGCAAGTTAAGGGCTCCATGATGGAAGAAAGGTGCACAAAATTATTTCATTTTGTTTGTGCCCTGTGCTGAAAAGCCCCCTAGAGTGGTTTACATTCAATTAAAAGCAAGACAGTCCCTGTTTGCAGGCTTATAATCAAAACAAAAAACCAGAAACACAGCATGCAAGGGCAAAGGGACAGAGCGGGAAGAGGGGCCGGGAGCAAACTCAGGCACCAATTCTTAAGTAGTAGTTCTTAAAATGATGAGCTGGCATATAAACAGCTCTGGGCCGGAGGTGCCTGATGGAGCTGCTTTTTCAGCAGAGCTTGATGGAGTGAGCCTTGCTCCCCATCTCTTCCACTGAGGCAGCCTGATGGAATGGTTTTAACCTTTAAAGCCCTATACGGCCTAGGACCCTCGTACCTACAGGACCACCTCTCCTGGTATGTCCCATGGAGGACCTTATGGTCTTCAAACAAAAACATCTTGGAGGTCCCGGGCCACAGGGAGCTTAGGCTGGCCTCAACCAGAGCCAGGGCTTTTTCAGCTGTGGTTCCAATCTGGTGGAACGCTCTGTCACAAGAGACTAGGGCCCTGCGGGATTTGACATCTTTCCGCAGGGCCTGCAAATCAGAGCTGTTCCACCAGGCCTTTGGCCAAGGGACAGTCTGACCCCCTCCTCATAGAACTCCAGCCCAATGGTTGCCATTAATTTGATTCAGAATTGATTTTAGAATGTATTTCAATTAATAGATTGCGATTTTATGTAAACTGTGTTACTTTTACTGTTGTTAGCCGCTCTGAGCCTGGCTTCGGTTGGGGAGGGCAGGATATAATTTTTTTAAAAATATTATTATTATTATTCCGGGTGACAGACAGAATTACTTTACAGTTCAGCAGGATATGACTACATGCTTTCCCCAGTGCAAGGCTTTGTTTTGAGAGTTAAACCACTCTTCCATCTCTGATATTCCTTCCCAAGGACGATGGCCCCACAGCAAGGGACTTAATGGTGCGATACTCCACGGGAAGGAAGACCACCAAGAACAAGAAGAAGCTGGAGAAAGCGATGCAAGTCTTAAAGGTGAGCAGCGAGAGGCAGAGCGGTCCAGCAAGTCGATGCTTGGAAGTTTGCCAGAGTGACCTGGGCTCAAATCCCCACTCAGCTTTGAAGCTCATTAGATAGATAACGATTAAAAATTTATTATTTGTAACCCGCCTATCTGACTGGTTGCCCCAGCCACTCTGGGCGGATTCCAACAAATATAAAAGCATAATGAAACATTGAACATTAAAACATCCCTATACAGGTCTGCCTTCAGGTGTCTATATATACGTATAGTTATTTACCATCAGAAGGTTGCCGGTGAGCTCCCATTGTTTGGCTCCAGCTCCTGCCAACATAGCAGTTCGAAAGCACGTGAAAGTGCAAGTAGATAAATAGGTACCACTCCGGCCGGAAGGTAAACGGCGTTTCTGTGTGCTGCTCTGGTTTGCCAGAAGTGACTTAGTCATGCTGGCCACATGACCCGGAAGTTGTCTGCGGACAAACACCGGCTCCCTCAGCCTATAAAGCGAGATGAGTGCCACAACCCCAGAGTCGTCTGCAACTGGACCTAACAGTCAGGGGTACCTTTACTTTTAAGTTCTCATTTCCTGCTGAACGTGGCTCTCTCCTGTTTCCCCCCGTCACACAGAAACACAAGAAGAAGCGGAAGCCAGAGGTGTTCAACTTCTCAGCGATTCACTTAATCCACGACCCACAAGGCAAGTTCTTGACAGATGCGCTCTTTGCCGAGGATGATATTGAAGCAGAATAGGAAAAGTGGAGAACCTAAAGGGTTTTAGGTGCTGGGTGTGGTGGACTACGGCTCTACCGTTGGGTCGGTGGGACACTTGACCTGGAAGACATTGTTATTCCAGCTAAAACCAATGGGTACCCTGACTCCTGCACCGTGACAGAACTGCCCCCAAGGGGGAGCAGAATTTCCCTGTAGCTCCTCAGCAAAAAATGCCCCTATTGGACAGGTTTTTTTCATTCTCAGAGAAGCATGGATGGAAGCTGTGTAGGGAGGAGGAGCCCCTGAATTGCAAAAAGTCCTGTTGATTTTGTGGTTGCTCCTCACAGCCAGCGGCCGTACATTTTTAGATTAGCGGAAGATGGAGATCTGAGACAATCACTCACTTAAAAAGCCCTGCAGTGATAACCACAGGATGCTTTGTGACTTAAGGATTTCTTTTCTGAGCTTTCTTCTCCTCTAACTCTTCCCCCCTCCCCTCTTCCTTGGTTCCCTTTTTACTTTTTTAGACTTCTCAGAGAAACTATTGAAGCAGCTGGAAACTTCAAAGGAGAGGTTTGAAGTGAAAATGATGCTTATGGATCTGATTTCTAGGCTCGTTGGAATCCATGAGGTAGGAAGAAATCTGTAGGCTTAATAAGTTTTCGGCACATGTAGAAAAGCTGTCAGATATTTGGGACGGGGGTACACACTTCTTCAAGATAAGGGAGCTGTTAAGAGTATTTAAGAGTACAAAAATTATTTTAATCTTCTACATACTTCTAATATCTTTATAAAAATCTTTTTTACTGATCATTTTCATGTTCTGAACAGCTTTGATATTCTAAAAGCTTTTTGGTAGAGTCAAGTGGTGTGTAAATTTTGTTAGATGAATACATAAAATATCAGGCATTCTCTGTACTGTATATACAACCACATTTCTTAAAAGTGTGTGCATGTTTTCTTTTATGAATATTCACATATGAAAACGTTACGGATGCTTTCATGATGTGATTATGAATAGCGCTTTTTGAACATTTATAACCCCATTCTTTATCCAAAAAGGATGACATTGGAGGCATGGCACGTGAGGAAAAAAGGAATGGGAGGGAGGAGGAAAACAGCAGGCTCACGGACAAGTTCTTAAAGTTACAACTGATGTCAGTGGCCCTGCTGGCTGTCTTGCCTTTGATAAAGAGTAGTTCTTTCTTATAAAAACCAGATTTGGTCCCTCTCCCCGCCACACCTACCCTGAGCTGCATCTGGGAATTGTAACTCTTTGAGGGGGGAATAGGTGGTCTCCTAACAACTCTCAGCACCCTTCACAAACTACAACTCCCAGAATTCCTTGGGGGAAGCCATGGCTACTTAAAGTGGCATCAAAGTGCTTTACCTGTATGGCGTAATTGCAATCTAAGGACACCATTACACTGTGTTGAGCAACCAAAGATTGCTTTTTGCACCATTTATCTTCCCTTTGCTGGGCTGGGCTGGTGCTGTAGCTCCAACATTCTTGAAATCTACTGATGCCATTGTAGCTGCTGGCTTTGCCCCAAGTCCCTCTTCCAATGGCGCACCCTCCGTTCCCCAGAGATCTGGGGATTTAGTAGTTCACCCGGGGTGAGAAATGAAGGTGCCCATTTGACATCTTGTGGGTGCTCTGTGTCTCCCCAGCTTTTCCTCTTCAACTACTACCCTTTCCTGCAACGATTCCTGCAGCCACACCAGAGAGGTAAGTGGTCACACAGGTGGCACTGTGGTCTCTGAGCCTCTTGGGCTTGCTGATCAGAAGGTCAGCGGTTCGAATCCCCGCAACGGAGTGAGCTCTTGTTGTTCTGTCCCAGCTCCTGCCAACCTAGCAGTTTGAAAGCACGCCAGTGCAAGTAGATAAATAGGTACCGCTCCAGCGGGAAGGTAAACAGCGTTTCCATGTGCTCTGGTTTCTGTCACGGTGTCCCATTGCACCAGAAGCAGTTTAGTCCCGCTGGCCACATGACCCAGAAAGCTGTCTGTGAACAAACACCGGCTCCCTCGGCCAGAAAGCGAGATGAGCGCCACAACCCCATAGTCGCCTTTGACTGGACTTAACCATCCGGGGGTCTTTTACCTTTACCATCTGCAGCAATGGCAAGATTCTGTCTTGCACCATGTCAGACCAATACTGTCTATTGTAGACAGTACTGTGCGGTTCTAAAGCACGTCAAAGCGCAAGTAGATAAATAGGTACTCCTCTGGCGGGAAGGTAAATGCCGTTTCCGTGCGCTGCTCTGGTTCACCAGAAGCGGCTTAGTCATGCTGGCTACATGACCCGGAAGCTGTATGCCGGCTGCCTCGGCCAATAAAGCGAGATGAGCACCGCAACCCCAGAGTTGTCCGCAACTGGACCTAATGGTCAGGGGTCCCTTTACTGAGATGGTCATAATAACCTTGGCTTTGTGTAGGCAGCTTCCTTTGCTCCTAATATCCCCTCCGGTTTGGAGGCTACCCTAATTTGAAAATGTATCTGTATTTCCCCCATCTCTACAACAGCCTTTTTCTCTTTCGTTTTCCCCTTCTAGAAGTTACCAAAATTCTCCTCTTTGCTGCACAGTCCTCCCATCAACTTGTCCCGCCTGAGGTGTGTAATTCATTTATTCGCTCATTTATTTATTACATTTTGCCTTTCCAAGAAGCTCAAGGGAGTGTATGTGGTTCTCCCCCCTCTCTACTTTCTCCTCACAACAAGCCTGTGAGGTAGGTCATCCTGAGAGAGACAGTAACTAGCTCATGTCGAGCTTCGTGACTGAGTTAGCATTTGAACTGGGGTCTCCCAGGTCTTCGTCAGACACGCTTTCCAAATCACATGGATCTTTCCAAGGGCTGGGAAAAGGCAAAGGGAAGCAACTCCTGAGCCTTCAGGCTTTCAGTGGCCATGTTGAGATGGGTATCTCTCCAAGCCACAGTTTAGTGTGGCAAGATCCAGCCACAGCGAGCCTTGGGCTCACACGCTTCCCTCTCTGCCACACCTCTTTCCTCCTTCGTCGTAGCTGCGGCGTGAAGTTAGCAAGCTTTTGCTTGTACAGCTAGCCATTTTCATCCAGTCTGGCAAACTGTTGTTAATAATCTTTGTCTTTTATATATATATATTAGTTTTCAATTACAATAACCCAATAATAACCTCGTTCTAATAATGCCAATTTTTAATACAATTAATAATACCAATCACTGAGATGCCAAATTATACAATTTAGGTGGGCTCCCCTCATGCTAGAATTGATGGTTTGATGATTTACTTCATTTCTGCCTTCTAAAGTCTTATAAATTACGATTACGCTTCAGTCAGAATAACAATCCCTTATATCGCAACTGCAGTTTTAACGACTTCCATTCGTATTGACACATTAAATGATGTGTCCTTAAAGGGAGTGAAAGGCGGGATATCAAATCCAAAACTCTTCTTCTTAATTGGCTTTGGCTGAAACCTGCCAAATTCAAAGCAGCTCATTCTCATTACCCTTTGGTTGCATCCACAACCAGCCCTATCTGGAAGACGCCTTCTACACAATAAATAACTGGGTACTCCAAGTGCAAATGGCCTCGTGTGACAATTGCCCATGGATGTGTTTACTTTGATAGAAGAGTTTGGATTTGATACCCCGCTTTATCACTACCCTAGGGAGTCTCAAAGCGGCTAACATTCTCCTTTCCCTTCCTCCCCCACAACAAACACTCTGTGAGGTGAGTGGGGCTGAGAGACTTCAGAGAAGTGTGACTAGCCCAAGGTCACCCAGCAGCTGCATATGGAGGAGCGGGGAAGCGAACCTGGTTCCCCAGATTACGAGACTACCGCTCTTAACCACTACACCACACTGGCTTTCCATATTGTGTAGACACCTGCAACGCTGCTACTGACCCTTTTCAAAGTGTTTTGAGTGTGCCCTATGTGTTTCTTGCAAACTTGCAGGCAAGGACGGTGGTTGCCTTTGACCTGTTTTTGTCTCCTGCGTGGAAGTAACTTTTCTAGTGTGAAGTGGCCCAGAGCTAAAGGGAAGATGCTCTGTTTAAGCTTTTAAAGTGTATTTGTACTCTTGCGTGTATGTTCCTGGGTGATGATGAATGCAGTTAAAACAGCAGCATCGGCAAATCTGGATCTGTCTTACCTCTTTGCTTTCTTTATCGCCAGATTGTCCAGTCAGTGCTGATGACAATAGCCAACAACTTTGTCACGGAAAAAAACTCCGCGGAAGTGATGACCGTCGGGTAAGTAAAACTCTAAAGCTCAGGGACGTCTGAGCTTGGATATGCGTGAATATGGGTGGGAAGTGGTTAGACAAGGGTTTCCCAAACTTGGGTCTCCAGCTGTTTTGGACTACAACTCCCATCATCCCTTGCTAGCAGGACCAGTGGTCAGGGATGATGAGAATTGTAGTCCCCAAAGAGCCGGAGACCCGAGTTGGGGAAACCCTGGGTTAGACTGAGCGGAAGTGCTTCTATTTCCTGTTAGGAATGTTCGTTTTGATTCTCAGTTTTCATCTTGTACTACAACTACCACTGAATAGCAATTTGCCATTACTCAGCAAATTAAACAATGAAAAATAAGTGGATTTTCCTATGCAAGTTGCAGATTCCAGCTTTTTCTAGAGCAGATTTTTGGTTGCTTCCACACTTTTCAAGCGTACCATAATTTTACCATGGTTTGATATTTTTAAATGTCTTTAATTTTTCCAGGATTAATGCTATTAAAGAGATATCTGCTAGATGCCCTCTGGCCATGACAGAAGACTTGCTGCAAGACCTGGCGCAGTACAGATCACATAAAAACAAGAGTAAGTTTGCTACTTTACATGGGCACGTTTTTGACTTAAGGACATATTTGGGTTTCTCTCCCTGTTGGTTCATGAGGACTAGGAACCTATTAAGTCTACATTGTGTTCTGTCCCAGGTGCCGGCTGCTTATTCAAAGAGTTGCTGGGTTTCTTTGATTCCATTTACTCCATGAATATTTTATTTGGCTATGATATTTTAGTTCATTTTTATTTTATCGAGAGTTCAGGTGCCCTTTTCATTTGTTTATGTGAAAAATGGAAAGCAACTTCCAGGAGAAAAGCTAGTTTAATTGAGAAATGTGCTTTATAGTCAGTCTGAACCCTGCCCTGAGAACATCTTCGATTCAGTCCCATTTTTCTCTGCAGATGTAATGATGTCGGCAAGAACGTTGATACATTTGTTCCGGTCGCTCAATCCAAAGATGCTGCAGAAAAAATTCCGGGTAAAGCATGCCTTGAGTTTTCAATGCTAGTGCGATAACTGGTTTGTTAAACACTTGATAAAGTGCATCTCTGGAATATTATCTTCCTCGTGGCTGAATGAAATAGTAGGATGTGGTTGTATGTTGTTTTGGACATTTTAGGGAAAGGGATTGTTCTGCCACCTGCAGATTCTGTCTGCTTTCATGGAGTGCAAGGCAGAGAGCTTTCCCTGGAAAACGGGAGACTTGAAATGATTCTTGCATAGTTTTGCCCCTAGCAACAGGTTTTCTCCCAGCAACAGGTCTTCCCTAGCAACAGGGTTTCCTTGGTGACCGACTTCTTTATTAGACATGCTCTGAAGGAGAGAAGTGTGGCTGTTACTGTGCCCAGGTGACTGAAGAACAGCGAGGAGAAGTGATTCTCTATACTTAATTTTACTTAATTTTTCCTTAGACCAGTACAATTGTACCTTAGAAGTCAAACGGAATCTGTTCCAGAAGTCCGTTCGACTTCCAAAGCATTTGAAAACCAAATTGCGGCTTCTGATTGGCTGCAGGAAGCTCCTGCAGCCAATCGGAAGCCTCGTTGGACGTTCGGGTTCCAAAAGAACGTTCGCAAACTGGAACAATCACTTCTGGGTTTGCGGCGTCCGGGGGCCAAAAAGTCCGAGTTCCAGGGCGTTCAGGATCCAAGGTACAACTGTAGCTGTTTAAGTTGTAGTGTTAATTCTTCAATAAATACATTAAGCAGAGCTGGAATGGGTGAGGTGTTTATTCCCACATGGGAATTCACTGACAGATGACGTGAGAAAGAAGATTCTGGGTGACTCTGCTGACTTAAAAAGGAAACCCTGTACTGACAGGAGCCTCACTCAACAGAACACACAAAGCCGTCCAAGTCTGTGACCGTCACTACACCTTGTGCATTACAATATTTTGTCTCAAATGATTCCTGTGCAGTTTGTAGCCAGAATGTGTTGCTCCTTTTAAAACATGAACGCTTGTATTGCTCTTAGGGTAAACCAACAGAAGCCACGTCGGAGGCCAAAATCCACGAATACGGGGCGTTGGATGCCAAAGACTACATTCCAGGAGCTGAAGTCCTAGAACTTGAGAATAAGGGAGGAGATGGGGATCAGGAAGGAGGTTAGTTTTGCTTTTGCATTTCTGGAGGTCACCCACTGCTCTGGGCCTGCGGGCACATTTGCAAACTGGTGTGGGCGTCACACGTACCACATGGCCTATTCTGGCTGGCTTCTTTCAAGTCAAACTTTAGTAGGGGGAAGAGAGACCCTGTGGGTGCCAGGAAAGGTCTCTGCAGGTGCCATGTTGCTGTTAGAGAGAGAGCAAGCCAGCTTAGTGCATTTCAGGATAGATTTCCTGAACTTCTGCAAGTACGTTCGCAAACAGGAAATGCTTAGTTGTCTATGTCTGATGTTTACATTTGCTGCCAGTGCTGATAGATAACTGAGGCTGTCTTGTTCAAGGCATTATGTGGTTGGGAGTGTCTGGATGGATGGAAGTACAGTGGTATCTCGGGTTAAGTACTTAATTCGTTCCGGAGGTCCGTTCTTAACCTGAAACTGTTCTAACCTGAAGCACCACTTTAGCTAATGGGGCCTCCCGCTGCTGCTGTGCCACCAGAGCACAATTTCTGTTCTCAACCTGAAGCAAAGTTCTTAACCTGAAGCGCTATTTCTGGGTTAGCAGAGTCTGTAACCTGAAGCGTATGTAACCCGAGGTACCACTGTAGTTTTATACCTGTCTTTCCACCCTCCATGAGAGCCTCTCTGGGATATAACTGGGTCCTCGCAGGTGAGAGATGGGAGAGGGGTATTACATAGTTAATGCCTGCAGACTATCTCGCCAGAGTGGTGCATGCTCTGATTATCTCCCGCTTGGACTACTTCAATGCGCTCTACGTGGGGCTACCTTTGAAGGTGACCCGGAAACTGCCATTAATCCAGAATGCGACAGCTAGACTGGTGACTGGGAGTGGCCGCCGGGACCACATAACACCGGTCCTGAGAGATCTGCATTGGCTCCCAGTACGTTTCCGAGCACAATTCAAAGTGTTGGTGCTGACCTTTAAAGCCCTAAACGGCCTCGGTCCGGTATACCTGAAGGAGCATCTTCACCTCCATTGTTCAGCCTGGACATTGAGGTCCAGCGCCGAGGGCCTTCTGGCAGTTCCCTCATTGCGAGAAGTAAGGTTACAGGGAACTGGACAGAAGGCCTTCTCGGTAGTGGCGCCCGCCCTGTGGAACGCCCTCCCACCAGATGTGAAGGAAATAAGTAGTTATCTTTAAAAGACATCTGAAGGCAGCCCCGTTTAGGGAAGTTTAAAATATTTAATTCTGTATTGTTTTTAACACTCGATTGGAAGCTGCCCAGAGTGGCTGGGGAAACTCAGCCAGATGGGCAGGGTATAAATAATAAACTATTATTATTATTATTATTATTGGAGGTGGGGAGGGTACCTTACATGTGTGTGCTTGGCTGTGATCATCTGTGTGTGACTCTTACAATTAGGGCTGGGTGATTTCTAGCTTCCAACATCTTTTCCCCTCCATTGCAGATGGCTGGGAGACTGCCAGTTCCGCTGAGGAGGAAGATGACGAGGATGGAGAATGGGTTGACGTGCATCATTCCTCCGATGAGGAACAGCAAAAGCTAGTGAGTTGCTGCTGCTGCTTCTGCTGCTGCTGCATTTTAGCAAAAACATCTTTAAAATTTACGCACGGAGTTGCTTGCTGGGTGCATTTGCACAACAGCATTTCATCAAGAAGCTAGGAAGTGTTGGTGGTGAAACTGACTTAAATCCACACGCCTGTGTTGCTGAGGCTAGTGTGCTTGACCTGTACCCTGGAAACACGGACACGGCGGGGCCTCTGCGGTCCAGATTCTGAGCCCTGGCAGAGCCTGGTGTACAAATGCATAACTGCCACAGGGTGGAGTCACTTAGCAGTAAAACACCATACTCAGATTTCGTGTGCACTTTTGCTTTAAAGGCAGAACAAATCGAAAGCATGCCTGTGGAAGAGCGGAAGGCCAAGGCGACGGCTGTCAGCAGCAGCAGACTCCTCACCCAGGAGGAGTTCCAGAAAATCCGCCTTGCCCAGCTTAGCAAGGAACTGAAGTCTGCGCCTGGCAAGGCAGCAAAGAGGAAAAACATTGAAATAGAGAATGAGGAGGAGTCCAGGTAAATTATTTATTATTATTATTATTAATTGAATTTATATACCGCCCTGTACCTGGGGGGTCTCAGGGTGGTTCACAGAATAAAATCAAGATAAAGGTAAAGGGACCCCTGACCATTAGGTCCAGTCGTGACCGACTCTGGGGTTGCGGCACTTATCTCGCTTTATTGGCCGAGGGAGCCGGCGTACAGCTTCCGGGTCATGTGGCCAGCATGACTAAGCCGCTTCTGGCGAACCAGAGCAGTGCACGGAAACGCCGTTTACCTTCCCGCCGGAGCGGTACCTATTTATCTACTTGCACTTTTGGCGTGCTTTCGAACTGCTAGGTTGGCAGGAGCAGGGACTGAGCAACGGGAGCTCACCCCATCACAGGGTTTTGAACCGCTGACCCTCTGATCGGCAAGTCTTAGGCTCTGTGGTTTAACCCACAGCGCCACCCGCGTCCGAAATCAAGATATAAAACCACAAAATACATAACAATAACAACAACTCAATAGCCCCTCACCCACAAAAAAGAGCCACATTTTAAAAGGGCATATGATATCAATCAGATCAACCAAAGGCCTGGTTAAAAAGGAACGTTTCTGCCTGGCGCCTAAAGGTGTGTAATGAAGGCGCCAGGTGAACTTCCCCGGGGAGAGCATTCCACAGACGGGGAGCCACTGCAAAGAAGGCCCTTTCTCTTGTTGCCACCCTCCGGACCTCTCAAGGAGGAGGCGCACGAAGGAGGGCCTCAGAAGATGATTTCAGGGTCCGGGTAGGTTCATATGGGAAGAGGTGGTCCTTGAGATATTGTGGTCCTGAGCCATTTAGCTTTTATAGGTCAAAACCAGCACTTTGAATTGGGCCTGGGATTTAATTGGTAGCCAGTGCATGGAACTTGTGTACGAAGTTCCTATGATTTGCTCCAGCCCCTATAGTTTGTGCAGTGTCAGTGAAACAGTCATGGCTCTTCTAAAGGGGGGAGGGGGGAATAGTTGACGCATGAGGCCATATTATTGCATTTGCTCTTTTCAGGGGAGAGCTACTTTCGCTCAGGGACATTGAGCATCTTCACAAGAAACCCAAGTCGGATAAAGAGACGCGGCTGGCCACAGCAATGGTGAGGCGTTCTGTCCAAACGGTTTGGTTTATGCTTGAAATGATGGCCAGCCAACGTAGCTGAATGTTGGGAGATTTCAGACACCAGAAAGCACTTCGCACAGCCTATAGTTGAACTCTGGAGCTCACTCCCAATAGATGGCGGGGGGGGGGGGGGCTAGGAATGGCCACCAATTTGGGTGCCTTCAAAAGAGGTTTGTGACAAATTCACGGGGAGTAAGTAGCTGCTAGAGAAAAATGGCTGTTTGAAAACTCAGTTGCTGGGAATCACAAATGAGGAGACGGTTGTTGCTCTCAGGCAACCCTGCTTAAGGGCTTCACATGTGCTTGGCCACTGTGAGGACAGGATCTCGCAGGATCAACTATGAGAGCTGGACTGAGTGGGCTTTTGGCTGATCCAGTAAGACTTTTTGTGTTCAGGAAGATGAGATTTTTAGATGCTGGGAGAGTGAGGCTTCAGGGTCCATGCCAGTCCCATAATGAGCAAGACAGTATTCTGCAAAGCAGCAGAATTGGGGGAAAGAGGAAGTGTTACACAACTCTAATCAAGTGTCATAACTGTGTTGATTGCTAAATTTAACATCTCTTTCTCAGAAGCTCCGAACTGCCTGGCTGCAAAAAAATAAAATTATTCTTAGCCCTAAACACACGGAAGTCCACGGGTGTATCAAACGGTCTGTCTTTCCAGTGTTGCTCATGTCTAGCTTCTCAGTCCCATTTCTAACTGATTTCTGTTTCCTCTTCACAACTGGAAGAAGCTCTCAAGTTCTGCCACTGAAGTCACATAACGGTGGCCTTGCCAAACGTTAACCCCCACCTAAAGCTATGCCTATTCTAGCAACCTTGAATTGTTTTTATGATGGTGCATTGGCTACAAAGTGTTATTTTACATATATTTTAAAACAAGTAAGAGAACAGTTTGTGTGTGAGTTTTAGCATTTTTTTCCCTTTCCTCCCCCTTTCGCTTTTAGGCAGGCAAGACGGGCAGGAAAGAATTTGTGAAGAAGAAATCTAAGCTGAACCCTTTTGCCAGCTCCACCAACAAAGAGAAGAAGAAGCAGAAGAATTTCATGATGATGCGATACAGCAACAATGTCCGGTCGAAAAACAAGCGCTCGTTCAGGGAGAAGCAGGCAAGTTCCTCGCAGCTTTTTCTCCCCTTGAAAGCTTCTCACGCCTGTGAAAAGATCTGGCCAAAGACCCAAAAGGAGGGATTTCCCCAGTTAGAAGTGGCAATTTACCACATGGGTGAAATTGCTTTCTTTGCTATATAGTTAAGTTGTTCAACTTCATATTTCAACAAGGTGCAAAAGGCCTCTTTGGGCACTACTTACTAAAAAATCACAAAATACAATTCTGTGATTTTTAAGTAAGTAGTGCCCAAAGAGGCCTTTTGTACCTTGTTGGAAGGTACCATGAGGGTCATCTAGTCCAAGCCCCTGCAATGCAGGAATCTTTTACCCAATGTGGGGTTCGAACCCACAACCCTGAGGTTAAGAGTCTCGTGCTCCAACAACTGAGCTGCCGAGTGTGTGGAAGGGAACAGCAGGGCTACACCACTACCTTCACCCTAACAATATGTGGCTGTTCCCAACCCTGCCCATGCACAGATGCCTGGAACCAGCATATTCCTCTCTGTCTTAAGCTTCCCAAATCCTGGAATCATGCACAGTCAGGGCTCCAGAACCCAGAGAGAAACCTCCATGTGCAAAGATAGATGCTTAACTACTTCCCTCCCTCAGATGGGACCAAGAGGAGCAACACGTCGTCAAAATAGGGTGCAGTTCTCTTCTGTACCTGCTTCACACGATGTATTCTGTGCAGGGGGCGGAGGTCAGGTTTCCAAATGGCATGTCTGGAAAATGAGGGGGTTTCCCCCCCCTTTTAAAAATATTTTGTGGTACCACCTCTTGCAAACAAGCTAAGGGATTTTAATAGGTAAAGGGACCCCTAACAGTTACGTCCAGTCGCAAACGACTCTGGGGTTGTGGCGCTCATCTCGCTTCAAAGGCCAAGGGAGCCGGCGTTTGTCCGCAGACAGTTTTTCCAGGTCATGTGGCCAGCATGACTAAGCCGCTTCTGATGAAACCAGAGCAGTGCACAGAAATGCCATTACCTTCCCGCCGGAGTGGCACCTATTAATCTACTTGCACTTTTTGGTGTGCTTTCAAACTTCTAGGTTGGCAGGAGCTGGGACGGAGCAGCAGGAGCTCACCCCGTTGCAGGGATTCGAACCGCCAACCTTGATTGGCAAGCCCAAGGCTCAGTGGTTTAGACCACAGCGCCACCCGCAAGGGATTTACTGGAAACCAATAATTGCAATGGCTATGTAAGAGGAGTACCTTGTCCTGAAGAGAAGGCTGGAAACGGTTTCTAGTTAATTGCAACGGCAGTGATGCTTTCTCGAATCTTCTGCCATGAAAACAGGAGAACTGTGTCTCATCAACAGGCTGCAAGGAGCACAGATGCAGCAGGGGTGCCTGTTTTCATGGTGAAGGTGGTGCGGTCTCTGCAGTGATGAATGGGTCAACCTCACTAGTTCTCAGCACCCCTTAGAACCTGTGCTTACCCCAACTTCATTTTCACCTTTTCCACATTTCTAAATACGAGCCTCTGTCCCTCGTGTCTGGATAGAGATAACCGAGAAAAGGAAGTGGGTGGTGAAATGACAGAAGCTGGGATTTCCAGGGCATCAGGCAGAGATTTCCCGTTTGGCAAAGTCACGTTTTGGGGAAGCCCCTTTCAGAAGCAGCTGCGGTTAGGAAATAGTGTCAGCGTGGGGGAATCCCCTGATGTCAGCAATCAGGGAATCTTAAAGGAGAAACACTGTCTGAAGCATGCACCGCCCTTTTCCTTTAAATGAAGAACATCTGATGCTGCAAAGTGTGCTTTTGAGAAGTCCTTTAAGGCAGCCCTTGTGCTGCTCCCATTTCGATTACGATTACGATACGATTGCAATATCTTTATTGTCATTGTCCCTTGCAGAACAATGAAATTGGAAAACTAGATAAAACTACCACAAAACTACATAAAACTACATAAAAACTACATAAAACTACATAAAACTTTCAAAAACCCATAAAAACTCTAAAACCCCATTTTAAAATACACTATACTATAGAGACCCCTTATGCTGCGTTTAGAACCAGAATTGCATTTGCGTAGAAACTGTTTCTCAGGCAGCTAGTCCTGGCCTTTTCAGGCTGAAACAGGAGTGCAGGGCTGTCTTACAGCCTTCTGAATTCTCCCTGCATTCCCCAGATAAGCTTTGGAGACTTGCAAAGCCACCCACTTAATAGATGGGCGGGCCACACCTGTTAATTGTGTGACATTATGATGTTGAGCAATTGGCAGGTAGGTAGCCCTGCCCATCTGCCAAATTTGGCTGCAGGGCTGATTCCGGGAAAGGTGTGCCGCATGGAGAAAGGTTCCCCATGCCTGGCTTAGGTGATGGAGTTGTAAGTATTACCCAAGTATTGCATGCTGATGTGTATCTTTCTGATTTTGCAGCTGGCATTACGAGAGGCACTCTTGAAGCAGAGGAAAAGGCTGGTGAAATAACTGGCATGATGCCAGGACCCGGAAATAAAACCGACTTATGACTGGAGTGTTAACTAATTGTACTGAATGAACCAGCTCCAACAAAGACATCTCGTACCTGCAATTAACTTCATTTTGCCTGAACTGTTAAATTATGTTTACCACCTTTGGAGCAAGCCAGTATATCAAACCTACTTCAAACCGTGCTTTAACATCCTGACTTGTTCAGAACCACAGTTCCCTATTTTAGACAAAACGGAGGACTGTAGCTAATTATAGTTAACTCCTGGCTTCCTGGCTTGGTTGTTCCTTCCACGAAGGATGGGGCAAAGGGGCTGTTCATTCATAGCTTTTTAAGCAAAGAGGTGATCATCCAAACCTGGCCATTGGTTGTGGTGGTGAGAGCTAGGTATAATACCTGAAAGGTGTTTCGACCTGGGATGCAAAGATGAAACATAACTTAAAATATATTTCCAAGTGGTGGCAGATTAAAGACTAATTATGGCTGCTTCCAGACGACTTGCGTGTTTGAGCATTCATTCTGCCTTGTTTGCAGAGAGGTTACACTAAGTTGAGTTGAGCAGTTGTCACTTTTGCTCATCAGACTTTTGCAGTATGGAAAAAGATTGTTTCAGGGGTGGGCACATTGTGGCAAGGGTGCCTAATCGACTTTAACTGCACAACCTAAAACCGCCAGTATGCTGGTCAATTCCACCTGCAAAATAATGAGTCTAGAAGCACTGCTTATTCATGAAAGAACAATTACTTGGGTCTTAGCCCTACATGCTCAGAGGAGCAAACCCTGTGGGCAGCAATGGGATTGATTTAGGAATAAATCTGTATCTGAGCAGAAATTTGTAAATGTTTTACATAGATGGAAGGATGTAACTTCTGTATTCCTGTAAAATATATTTTAGATCGTTCCCATGGGTACTTGCTAAGAATGTTATTCTGAATACAGTGGTTGTTGTGTCCGACTCTTCGTGACCCCATGGACCAAAGCACGCCAGGCACTTCTGTCTTCCACTGCCTCCCACAGTTTGGTCAAACTCATGCTGGTAGCTTCAAGAACACTGTCCAACCATCTCATCCTCTGTCGTCCCCTTCTCCTTGTGCCCTCCATCTTTCCCAACATCAGGGTCTTTTCCAGGGAGTCTTCTCTTCACACGTGGTGGCCAAAGTATTGAGGTCTCAGCTTCACAATCTGTCCTTCCAGTGAGCAAGTACAGTGGTACCTCGGGTTAAGTACTTAATTTGTTCCGGAGGTCCGTTCTTAACCTGAAACTGTTCTTAACCTGAAGCACCACTTTAGCTAATGGGGCCTCCTGCTGCTGCCGCGCTGCCGGAGCACAATTTCTGTTCTCATTCTGAAGCAAAGTTCTTAACCTGAGGTACTATTTCTGGATTAGCGGCGTCTGTAACCTGAAGCGTATGTAACCTGAAGCATATGTAACCAGAGTACAGTGGTACCTTGGTGGTACAGTGGTACCTTGGTTCTCAAACTTAATCCGTTCTGGAAGTGCATTCCAAAACCAAAGTGTTCCAAAACCAAGGTGTGCTTTACCATAGAAAGTAATGAAGAATGGATTAATCTCTTCCAGACTTTTAAAAACAATCCCTTAAACAGCAATTTAACATGAACTTTACTGTTTAACGAGACCATTGATCCATAAAGTGAAAGCAATAAACAATGTATTGCAGTCCCACAATCAGTCAGTAGCTGAACTGGGTTCCACACAGTCACAGTCACAAAAACAAAAAAAAGCCACAAAAACAAAAAATAATAGCAATCATAGCAAAAACAGGCAGACCTCAGCATAACATTCAAAACCAAAGCGTGGCACTCAAAACGGAAGCATAACACTCAAAACGGAGCATGTTTGGCTTCCAAAAAAAGTTCACAAACCAGAACACTTACTTCCGGGTTTGCAATATTTGGGTTACAAGTTGTTTCAGTACCAAGGTGTTTGAGAACCAAGGTACCAGTGTATTGTAAAATTAAGGCGACTAACTTGGCTGAGTCTCATTGGACAACATTTCATGTTTGTGTGTGTCATGACACTACTGCCCTTCCTAGGGTAGGCAGCAGGGATGGATAACCCCTTTTCAGGCCGAGGGCCACACTGCCTTATGGAAAACTGCAATCTGGGGGCCGCATTATGCTAATGGGTGGGCCCAGGGACACAGGGAGGTGGAGCAACAGGTGCCACAATTGCCTTGGTAGGATGACCAACCACACAAAAGACTGAGGTTTCTACACCCAGCTCTCCCCATCCGTCCTGGCAATGCAAAAGACGATATCATAGCTCAAGGACACATTCCAGTTAGGCAAGAGCTCTCAGTGGTAAGCAGTGTTGCCTAGGGGGAGGCTGAGAAGCTGCACTTGATCCCTACAGTATTGTCCCACTAATACACGTCACATAAGAATGTTGTGGGCGTCCGTCTGTCTCGAGAGACAACAGACTACACTTTTGGGGGTGAAGCCTCTTTCCACCTGCCTTGCCCCACCCCCTGGCCCTGGGACTCCTCATTAGGAAGCTGGTCCTGGATGAAGAACTGAGGGGAGAGACTCCATCAGGCAAGGCCTCCTTCCACCTGCCTTGCCCCACCCTCCAGTCTCTGCTTCTCAATTTGTATTGTATTATTTTATGTACTGTGGCTTGCCGTTTTTTTATTGATTATAGTTTAGAAATTATTTATTGTAACTGTTGAATGGATTTCTGTTTAATTTTTACCCGGAGGGTAATCTGGTCCAACCCTCATCATGGCGGCACCCAGTGGCGTAGCGTGGGTTGTCAGCACCCGGGGCAAGGCAAGTAATTTGCGCCCCCTAATCCGTGGATTTTAGTAGGGGCAGAGAGCTGCGAGTGCGAGCGCGCACCCCCCACGCTACGCCACTGGCGGCACCACCTGTCGGGTTCCTGCCAGCTCAGCAGCTATTAAATCATCTTCAGTCTTAACAGTGAGTCCGTAAGTGACTGTGGAGGCCAATTCTGGATCCACACCTCCTTCCACACTGGGGACATAGGTTTCCAGGCAGGAGTTGATCACGGTGAGGGTTTGCCAGACATGCCTTCCTCTTAGCAACTTTCTCGCTTTCGTCCTGAGTTCAAGCATCTTCAAAGCCCACGACACCTTTGGTAAAGGCTGTTCTCCAACGGGAGCACTCCCAATTGTCAGTATTTATACTTCATTTTTAAATATTTGCCTTGAGAGAGCCTTTGAACCTCTTTTGTTGGCCACCATCCTTTTTTAACTTCGGAATAGAAGAGTTGCTTTGGAAGACGACAATCAGGCATCCAAACAACATGACCAATCGCAGGGGGAGGTGAAAGGAAAGGGGGGGGGGAGTGTTTCTATTTTTGGCCCTGCAATAAGCCCTGATGCGCGCCCAGCGGCGCACCGCCTTTCGTTTGCACTCCCTCCCTCCGCGCCGCCTTTCCTCCCCATATCCGGGCTCCTAGCTTGAGCTCCTACGTTTGCTTTTGGGTTGCTGCCATGGAGCGGCGGCTGCCTCTGCTGCCCAGGCTTGCCTGGAGCTCCTTCTGCCTCCTGCTGTTGCTGAGGCTGCTGTGCAGGGGCGCTGCTGCCCCCCACATCTCCGGGGCTGCTGTTGCTGCGCCCTTGCTGTGCAATGTCAGCTTGGACAGCGCGCCCGAGGAGCGATGGAAGCCGGTCCTGCGCCACTTCGATCCGGAGTTCCTGCGATCTGCTTTCTACCAGCTCATCGAGTGAGTCCGCACTGGAGATGCTGCTGTGGGAATTTTCCCACTTGGAGTGGGAGAAAAGGGATTGGTGGTGGCCACATCAGCGCTTCGAAATTATAATTACTGTTATTTTTATTTTTAAACGGATATGGATATCTTTTCCATCATCTCCAAACAACTTTCTGCAAGTGCTTTCTGCAAGCCTGTTTGAGTAGCTGTTTCCTATTTTGTTTGGCTGCAAATTATTCCTCTTATTATAAACTTCTTTCTACTCCTCCTGCAGATAAAAACAAGTGCCGCTAAAAGACCAAGCCTGTCTGAGTAGTCGTTTCCTTTTTTTGTTTGGCTGTAAATTATTCCTCTTATTATAAACTTATTTCTGCTCCTCCTGCAGATAAAAACAAGCTAAAAGCATGGGAAACGCAGTCATTTAAAAAACAATGAAACATTGATAAAATCTTAATTAGGGGTTCACGCTTTCATTACACAAGAAGAGGCAGCTTTTAACACCTGCATTTTTTTGCGGGGGTGTGCCTCCTGTTCCCCGCCCTTTTCTCCTTAATTGAGTTAAAGGCGCAGCACGTTATATAAAGCCAGAGTTTCTGCCAATAGAATCTGTGTATAAAAGCTCTGTATATGCAACTTGACATTTAATAAATAGTTTGAAAACTTAAAAAGGAGGAGGAAGAAGCCTTCATTTTGCTAACCAGGTGACAATTTGAACCCTGGTCTCCCAGGTCTAGTGCAACACACTGATCTCACTTGCTCTCTCAGAGGCACCTTGCTTCTCAATGTGAGCTGCTATTTTTCCTTGGGTTCCCGTGGGTTTGGGTCTCAACGGTTCCGTTCGAAAGCAAAGCAGGTCTTCTTGCTCACAATTGTCTCAAATCCTGACTGCCATCGTTCTGCATCCAGAGGTGGTTCTCCTGTCGCTCAGCTGCAGCCCCTCTGAAGCCAATGACACCTATTTATTGCTGTGTTTTCTTTGTTTTTCAGCGAAGTGGTTCCCAAGTGGGTTCATGCGATTATCCGGCCTCTGGCGGAAGAATTAGAATCCTTTGCCCCTCAGCCGTTTGCCGGCGAGATCCGGGGACTCTGCCAAGCCCTGGGGCTAAATGTTGGGGATGGCTTGCTCATCAATTTGGCCTACGAATCTACTGCGTAAGTGTCCTTGATGTTGGTAAGGAAGAGCTCATTGGTGCAAGCGATTTCTTGTACAGTATTTTTTTTAAAAAAAGGGACGCAGGTGGCGCTGTGGGTTAAACCACAGAGCCTAGGACTTGCCAATCTGAAGGTCAGCGGTTCGAATCCCCGCGACGGGGTGAGCTCCCGTTGCTCGGTCCCTGCTCCTGCCCACCTAGCAGTTCAAAAGCACGTCAAAGTGCAAGTAGATAAATAGGTACCACTCCGGCGGGAAGGTAAACGGCATTTCCGTGCGCTGCTCTGGTTCACTAGAAGCGGCATAGTCATGATGGCCACATGACCTGGAAAAACTGCAGACAAACACCGGCTCCCCTGGCCAATAAAGCAAGATGAGTGCCGCAACCCCAGAGTCGGTCACGACTGGACCTAATGGTCAGGGGTCCCTTTACCTTTACCTATTTTTAAAAATACTGCCTCCACAATGTACATTTAAAGAACACCCCTCTCCAAGAATCCTGGGAACCAGAAGTTTTCCCCTTACAGAGCTACTTTTCCTTTCACCTTTAACAAATTGCAGTTCCCGAGATTCTTTGCTGGAGGCTGTGTGCTTTAAATGCATCATCATCAACCTTTTTTATTTGTATGCCGCCTCTCCACAGTTAAAAAACAATGCTCAAGGCGGCTGACAGCATAACAAGATTTACATAATTACAAAAGTCATCAACAATAAATAAACCACATCAAAAAAATACACAACCAAATGGGAAACAATTTCCACATAAATCGAAATCTAAAACCAAGAATACAGCATTAAGATCACAGTTTAAAATGACATACCGTAGGTAGAAAATAACAGCAATTTAAACCAAAAACGAATCAAAATGGAGCCCTGTCTGCCTAGTGGCGGTGGCAGCAGCAGTCCTTTATAGAGCCCATCAGGCCCCGCCCTGGGCCAGGTGGTGAGTGGCAGGATTGGGGCCCTCAGGCGCTGAGCAGGGATGAAAGCATCTCCCTTTGATCTTCAACTTTTGGCAGCCATGCCCTCAGGCTGCCTGATCTATTCCACCCCAGCTGCTTGTTATAAGAACTATAACTGGTACCCAGGTTTGCTTCCCCCCCTCCTCCCCCCCTTTCCCTTGCATTAGAATAAGTAGTACCTTTGGTGGGGGTCACACCGTGCTCCACGGGTGCCAACCTCCTCCCTCCTCAGTCCTTTTTCCTTATGTGTCATGTATTTTAGGAAGCAAGCCTGCAGGCAAGGACTCACTTTTTAAATCTGTTCTCTGCAAGCTGCTCTGAGAGCTTTTCCGGTTAAAAGAGCAGAGTAATAATAATAATAATAATATAAATAATAATAATTTATTATTTATACCCCGCAAATCTGGCTGGGCTTCCCCAGCCACTCTGGGCAGCTTCCAACAAAATATTAAAATACCGTAATACATCAAACATTAAAAGTTTCCCTAAACAGAGCTACCTTCAGATGTCTTCTGAATGTCAGGTAGTTGTTTTTCTCTCTGACATCTGATGGGAGGGCGTTCCACAGGGCGAGCGCCACCACCGAGAAGGCCCTCTGCCTGGTTCCCTGTAACTTGGCTTCTCGCAGTGAGGGAACCGCCAGAAGGCCCTCGGTGCCAGACCTCAGTGTCCAGGCAGAACGATGGGGGTGGAGATGCTCCTTCAGGTATACTGGACCGAGGCCGTTTAGGGCTTTAAAAATCAGCACCAACACTTTGAATTGTGCTCGGAAACGTACTGGGAGCCAATGTAGGTCTTTCAAGACCAGTGTTATGTGGTCTCGGCAGCCGCAATTTGCCGAGGCAAATTGACCCAGCTATACTAGGGGCGATGTTGGGCTTGGCTACTCAGAAGTAAGCCCACTGTGTTCAAGGGAGCTTACTTCCAGGTGACTGCACAACATTGCATCTTAAGTAATTAGCATTTTTATATGTTATCATAACAGCTCCGATATAGGTGTACGCAGTTCTTGTGTAAAACAGACTTCACCATTCATTCCAACAGAGGGGGAGTGTTACACATTTAGGTGTGCCTTAAACTACTCCATCCATTTAAGTGAATGGGGGAGACCTTGCTGGGGGCGGGGTTCAAGCACTCACAAGAGCTGTTGCTATCACAGCAATCTGTGCCCCCCAAAAGGGAAGGATGTCCATTTGATCAGTGTTGCTTATTTTCTAGATGAAATATCAGGGGAAACACATAATTTTTGTGTGGATATAGAACCATAGAATTATAGAATTGTAGGAACTTGGAAGGGACTTCCAGAGTCATCTAGTCTCGCCCCTTGCAATGCAGGAATCTTTTGCCCAACGTGGGGCTCGAACCCACGACCTTAGATTGACGTTCTCATGCTCTACCAACTGAGCTATCCCAGATGTGGAGTGTCCCTTTTCACCCCACAATCTTTTATTGTCCCACAGATTCTGCACCAGTATCATCGCTCAGGATAACAATGGGAACATATACCATGGCCGGAATATGGATTATGCTTTTGGAGATATTTTACGCAAGACAACCATTGATGTGGAGTTCATAAAGAATGGGCAGGTACAAAGAGCTTTTGGTGGTGATGACCAAGAGAAGGATAGAAAACCTGCAGGACGAGTGTGCGTTTTGCATTTCAGAATCTGTCCTATCCAGGATTCTGAAACGGCATCCATCATATTTTACAGGGGCAGGGGCAGGATTTAGGCACCTGACTGCCTGTAACAGGAATGGGGGTCCTCCAGTGCTGTGTACACCCAGCCCAATTAAATCACATGACTACTTCCAAAGAATTATGGGAACTGTAGTTTGCAAAGGGCGCTGAGAACTATAGCTGGGGGGACTACAGTTCCCAGGATTTGAGTGTGTGTGCTTTAAATGTGTGTTGTGTACACAACTGATGTGTCATTAGTCTGCAATTCACATAAGCCCCAGTTGCTGTGGCCAAAGGCCGGAGTGTTAGCTTGAAGTCTAGCGAGAAAACATTTGTTGAACATTTCCTCATTCTCTTTGTGTTAGTAAATCAGAAGCCTTGAATTTTAAGCTTCTCCCTTAATCCTATTCAAGCATTTTATTGTCAGTATGCCTTTCAACCGATGTGCAGCGACTGGGCTCAATAACTGGTTCTGCCCCGACTGGGCTAGGCGACTGGAGCACTTTCAGAGACCTTCCAATCCTGGAAAACAGGTCCCAGTGCACTGGACTCACAACTGTGCATTGTGAGCACCAGACTCATGAAGAATATAAATAACGCAGAAGCTAGCTGTGAAGCATAACTCCTTTTATTTCTAATTGCTACTACAAACTAAAGAACTACTGGCTTGCATGACGGTTACAGCTGCCACTCAGCCATTTAGACACTACGTAGATAAGACTCTCTCCACACACAGAGTCAGTCAGGAGTGGAAGAGTAGAAGAGCAGTTTCTGCCCCCTCCTTTCTCAAAACAACAGATCAGGAGATTCTTGCAATGGGAGGGATGAAAATATCAACATTTATGAATTAGGCCTTTATTTAAATGTGGGACCCTGTGTTTTAATTTAACAACACCTCTGACTTTACCTTGTTTTGCAATGTGCTATGCGTTAAACCACAGAGCCTAGGACTTGCCAATCAGAAGGTCGGCGGTTCGAATCCATGTGACGGGGTGAGCTCCTGTCACTCGGTCGCTGCTTCTGCCAACCTAGCAGTTCGAAAGCACGCCAGTGCAAGTAGATAAATAGGTACCGCTCCAGCAGGAAGGTAAACGGTGTTTCCGTGCGCTGCTCTGGTTCGCCAGAAGCGGCTTAGTCATGCTGGCCGCATGACCCGGAAGCTGTACGCTGGCTCCCTCGGCCAATAAAGCGAGATGAGTGCCGCAACCCCAGAGTTGGACACGACTGGACCTAATGGTCAGGGGTCCCTTTACCTTTACCTATGCGTTAAAAGCAGTTAACTGCAGGCTGTTCTCCGTCTTCGGATTTTCAGGTAAAGTTCAGAGGTACGACATTTCTCGGTTACGTAGGTTTATGGACAGGACAAAGTCCACACAAGTTTACAGTTTCTGGAGACGAGAGAGGTAAGCAAAGCTCATTCTTTCTCAACAGGGCAGGGTATAATCTACAGTCAGAATGAATTACAAAAATATGTGCGGTTGCCAATGTCTTGTTCAGTTCGTATCATGTGTCTTATTGTACTTTTGTTGGCTTTTTGTGTTTCGGATCTATTTTCCTAACCCCTGCTCCGTTCCGGAGCACGGTGGTCAAAAACATGCGATCAAGAATGCATTCATTCAAAAGAGAAAAACATAATTTAAATCACAAATCTGTATTTTAAATATTGCTTTTCTTCATCCCAGCCTTTTGGGGTGGGAGCAATTAAGCACTAAAACAGCAAGAGGAAATCACTCATGTTTGTGAATGTTGATTCTTATGGAGTGTCCCCCCCCCCCTTTCATTTTTATAGATTCTGGCGCGTGGTGGGAAAATGCCATTGCTGCTTTCATAAATCGAAATTCTCCAGTCAGCTGGCTGGTCAGGACTGTAAGTAGCCACAGTTTTGTCCTTTGTAGACTCAGTGCTCACTTTCTGAAAATCAGAAATTTTGAATTAGTCCATGCTTTTCTTACAAAATTGCACTGGTAAATTGTTATGGAAAGCAGTTCAAGAGGTGGTACATGTACAGAAATGTTATGCATTTAGTTTATCACTCTTATTTGTTAAGAGATTTTCTGTGCTTCCTGTGACAGGGTGCCTTTTCTGTGACTCAAAATGACAGATATCTGCATTGCCTTGTTTCGGATTCTTTCATGGAACAGTAGCAGCCAAGATAGTGCTCTCTAAATTTATTATTACTGTTCTTTTATTTTGATTCATTACCTGCACTTCACCCTAAGGTCCCAGGGCAGGTCACAACAATTTGAAATACAACGTTAAAAAGCATTTTAAAAAGATTACCATCACCAGAATAGTGTGGGTCCATAAAAAATAGACATCTCAAGTGTCAAATGCACAGGCATGAGTCTTCAGCGTACAACAAAAACTGTATAATTAAGGTGCCAGATTCCTCTTAAGGCAGTGTTGCTTAAATTTTGGTCTCCACCTGCTGTTGGACTACAACTCCCATTATCCCCAGTTATCAGGACCAGTGGTCAGGGATGATGGGAGTTGTAGTCTTAGGGGCTTTCGCAGAGAATGCCCTCTCCTGGTCCACTACCACCTTGAGCTTCTGAAATGCCCACTCTGTAAGGAAGGAGGCAGTCTTTCAGATATTTGTTGGACTACAACTCCCATCATGCCTTGCGGCTGATGGGAATTGGAAAGTGACAACATCCAGAGGGCAGCCCCACATTGGCTACCTTGCCCTAGAGCAGTGGTGGCCAAATTTGGCCCTCCAGCTGTTTTGGGACTACAATTCCCATCATCCCTGACCACTGGTCCTGTTAGCTAGGGGTGATGGGAGTTGTAGTCCAAAAAACAGCTGGAGGGCCAAGTTTGGCCACCACTGCCCTAGAGCATCCTTGCACATTTTGTCAGCCATAGGCTAATCTGGCACATCTCAACTTGTGGATCTTGTTGGCTTGATGTAGGATGAGTTAAAGCAGAGGGTGTAAAAGGGAGAGAATATTCAAACTTTGACAATACTCAGGTTTTTGTGATGAGAACACAAACCTGGTGTAGCAACAATAAAATTGTTTCAGATGTCACGGCGTTCAGAAGTCCGTTTTCCCCAGCACAGATGACTACAAACATTGTATGTTTTGTTGAATTAATGTCTTGCAAATTGGTAGGTGTTCCAATTAAAAAACATGGTTTTGAGGCCTGAGGTGAGCAAGGGTCATTTGTCATTTTCACTTTTGCGTGACAGCTCTGCGCCTGGTGATTATCAGGTTAGCTCTGCAAATAGAAGGACTAGAAACTTGCTTCCTTAAAATGGGAATTCAGGTTTTCAGGACACGGATAAGCGGCAATTCGGTTACTTCTGGAGCCTTGGGAGTAATGCACAGTGTGATAAATGTTTGCAGGTTTGCCAGTTCCAGACCCAAAGAGGGGCTTCTGTGACTTCTCCCAACTCTACAGCCATGCGATGGGAAAAGCTGTGCCTTCTATGCAACCCTTAAAGGCACAGGAGCCCCCTCATGGTGTGGACCTCCCAGTCCAAAATGCCCACTCCCTTTCTGTTTTGCTGCAGGTTTTGAGCGACGCTGAAGACTTTGAAGCTGCTGCTCTCATGCTGTCCAAGACACCAATTATAGCTGACGTCTACTACATCATTGGGGGCACCAGTCCCAGGGAGGGGGCAGTGATTACGAGAAGGAGAAGCGGTCCAGTAGATATTTGGCCCTTGGATCCTCTGACCGGAGGGTAAGCGTGAAATTTTGCAACCCTGGGTTTTGCAGGTGGGGGAGGAAAAAAACAAGCTGTGAATTTGTAGGTGGAAGGAGTATCAGTGTCCCTTGGTAGTTTTTGAGCAGGGCAAGAGGACACAGCTGTTTGGAGTAGCCAGAAGGGATATTTGTGCCTGGGACGGGGGATAGAAACTAGGAAACTAGTGAAAGCGACAGGAAGAGTAAGAAGCCAACCAAAACAAAAAGCCTAGAAGGATTGGAGAATCTTTAAAGAATATTTAGAAAACGATGGAATAAAAGGAAACTTCTTGGCAGAGTTAGACTTATCCCTGTATTGTATAAATATAAGTTTGTAGGGAGGTAAAAAGAAATGATATAAGAAATATGTAACTGTGCAGTATAACGTAATGGATAGACAAAGCACAGTGAGATTAATTGAAAGTCAGTTTTAAATTTCTTTTCTATAAATTTTATAATTGTGTTCAATACCAGGAGTATATCTGATGATATTATATTAATCTTATATCTTATAGTGTGGTGGTTTGTTTGATTTTTCTGTTATTTGTTTGTTTGTTTGATTGATTGTATGTTTGTTTACTTGTATGTACATCTGTTTTTCATAAATGTATTTATTTTAAATTAATAAAGATATATTTTTAAAAAGAAAAAAAAGAAACTAGGATTCTGCACAGAAACAAAATATACATTCATTGCTCCCCCATATTTGCCCGTAGCCCCACTCAACAGCACCATATGGCCCTCCGAAGGTTGCCTGGGAGGGACTGTGGCCTTGGGCTGAACAAGGTCTCCCATACTTGGGCTAGCTTGACATGATATGAGCAGCCATTTGTGCATAAAATCAGGGTGCGTCTAGTTTTTCCTAACCATGTTACAGATCTGAAAATCTTTCGGAAGAAACTAATTTCCCCCGTTTAAAAAATAAGTACTTTATTTGTATAATGTGTGCAAAAATAATGCAATGATTAATGTTTTAACCATGTGTTTTATGTAGGTGGTACCGGGTGGAGACAAACTACGATCACTGGACAACCCCTCCTCCTTTTGATGATCGAAGGTTTGTGTGAAGATGATGTTCTCCTAAAGAAAAATGAAAAGCAAAAGTACATACATGCTTTCTTATACCTCCACTGTTAGAGGCAATATGCAGTTCCTTTCAGTTCTGTCTCTCCTTCACCAATCAGTGCTGAAATCAGGCCTGGAGCCAGACCAAAATGGGTCGAGATCAGGGATGGAGAGCCTCTGGCCCTCCAGGTGTTGATGAACTACAACTCCCATCAGCCCCAGCAAACACGGCTAGGGATTATGGGAGTTGAAGTTCAGCAACATCTGGAGGGCCAAAGTTCCCCATATTCAGTTTTATCCAGGCACAGTTGAAAGTGGTTGACCACCACTATCTCAATCGCCTTGCCCAAGAATGAGACATCTGCCACCAAGTTTTGGTTCTCCAGTACCTCAAGGTTCAGGGTGTATGTCTTGAAATTCAGCGTCAACTCCTGCCTGCTCTCATGGAGGGGGACCCACCTGGTTGGTTCTTCCTGGGTTGTTTAATAATAATAATAATAATAATAATAATAATAATAATTTATTATTTGTACCCCGCCCATCTGGCTGGGCTTCCCCAGCCACTCTGGGTGGCTTCCAACAAAGACTAAAAATACATTAAAATGTCACACATTAAAAACTTCCCTAAAGAGGGCTGCCTTCAGATGTCTTCTAAATGTCAGGTAGTTGTTTATCTCTTTGACATCTGATGGGAGGGCGTTCCACAGGGTGGGCGCCACTACCGAGAAGGCTCTCTTCCTGGTTCCCTGTAGCTTTGCTTCTCACAGTGAGGGAACTGCCAGAAGGCCCTCGCCGCTGGACCTCAGTGTCCGGGCAGAACGATGGGGGTGGAGACGCTCCTTCAGATATACTGGGCCGAGGCCATTTAGGGCTTTAAACGTCAACACCAACACTTTGAATTGTGCTTGGAAATGTATTGGGAGCCAATGTAGATCTTTCAAGACCGGTTTTATGTGGTCCCGGCAGCCACTCCCAGTCACCAGTCTAGCTGCCGCATTCTGGATTACTTGTAATATCCGGGTCACCTTCAAAGGTAGCCCCACATGGAGTGCATTGCAGTAGTCCAAGCGGGAGATAACTAGAGCATGCACCACTCTGGCGAGACAGTCTGCGGGCAGATAGGATCTCAGCCTGCATACCAGATGGAGCTGGTAGACAGCTGCCCTGGGTACAAAATTGACCTGTGCCTCTATGGACAGCTGTGAGTCCAAAATGACTCCCAGGCTGTGCACCTGGTCCTTCAGGGGCACAGTTACCCCATTCAGGACCAGGGAGTCTTCCACACCCGCCTGCCTCCTTTCCCCCCAAAACAGTACTTCTGTCTTGTCAGGATTCAACCTCAATCCATTAGCCACCATCCATCCTCTTAGCCATGACAAGCAAGAGTCGAGAGCATGTGGTACACAACAACTGAGACGGAGCTCAGAAAAAAAGACTACATGTTGCTCAGCTTTCTGTTCTGGTAATTTTTACATGCACAAACAGAATCCCATATGGGGCGAAACCCCCCCCACCTCTGACCTCCAGTATGAAATAGTCTTCTGCACCGCGATTCTTCCCAGTTTTGATTCATCCACTAACATTTAATTTTTACTCTGCAGAACCCACGCCATGAAGGCGATGAATGCCACCGGACAGAAAAATATTAATCTCGAGTCTCTCTACAAAGTAAGTTTTCCGTTTTACATCATGCCCATTAAAAAAAACAAAAATAATAAAGCCTTTTACTGTTCCTTTTATGCTAGAATAGTTTTCTGGTGGGATTTCTCGAGGGTTGCCAAATTTGCAAACAAGCAAACCTGTTGTGGGTGACGCACACGCAACTAAGCGCACACTACAACAGATTGTATTGGCTACAATATTGTGCTGCTTTCAAGCCTAATTTCAATGAGGGGGAGAGTCTGAAGATGCCAGTGATGGCCTCTGTGGGCACCTGTACAAAAAAGCCTCAATTTCTGCACTCCAGAATGGACTTTCCTCTGCCCTGAGTCTTGTCGGGGAGAAAGGCAGGGTATAAATAAATAAATTTAATAATACATGAAGCATCATCCATCAGTTGCTTCAGATGTCTTATTAAGGCTTTCCCTGACCCAGAAGATTGGACCCTATTATTACTAGAATTCAGTTTCTGTCTGTTTCTATAGTACTGTTTTTATCATACTGTGTTTTGTTTTTTCCCTTTTTATGCTGTATTTTTGTGTACTGGCACTTAGACATTTCAGCCATTTAGAACTGCTTTTTAGTAAATGGACCCCTTCCATTTTGTTGTTTTCCAGGTGCTATCCGTACAGCCAGTCTTAAACAAGTAAGTTGGCATTTCATAGAATCATAGAATTGGAAGGGATCTCGCGAGTCATCTAGTCCAATCCCTACGAATCTCATGCTCTACCAGCTGAGCTTTGCAGATTTCCAAGAATTCCGTAATTAAAGAAATAACGCCTGGGTTTCCTTCTCCCTCTCCTCCAACCCCATCCTTTTTCCTTGTGTGTCGTGTCTTAAGCTGGTCTTAACACTGACATTTATAAGTCTTTTTTTGTGGGGAAGGGAGCCTGTTTTGGACTGAAAAGTGGGATCAAGATGCTTCTAATAAACCTGGAACCCAGTGCAATAAAAGGGCCCCTCTAAATCTGACCTCTGTTTTATTCAAGTTAATGTTTGAGTTAGAATCTTAGGTATAACATGACTCAGTTCCTTTCATATCCTTTGCCAGGCTCACAGTTTATACCACTGTAATGAGCGCTGCAGCACCCAGCAAGTATATGACATGCATCAGAAACTTGGAATGAAAATGAGTAAGTTACCATATTTTATGCAAATTGCCTTTGGGATTGCCATCCAAATACCCAGTAGCTCTGGCTTGTCATTAGGGATGTAAGGAGGCATCATTCATTATCTGAACGTGTATTCCGAACATACAGTACTGTTTTCATTCTGCTGCAAATCGCCTTCTGCCAAAACCTATGATATTTGTCTTGCTGTCCACTTGTGGTGAAATGACATATGTCGTGTAGTTTTACATAGTCTGTGTAATTAATTACATAACTCACGTTGGCATTATGTTATAAAGGTAAAGGTAAAGGGACCCCTGACCATTAGGTCCAGTCGTGGCCGACTCTAGGATTGCGGCATTCATCTCGCTTTACTGGCTGAGGGAGCCGGTGTACAGCTTCCGGGTCATGTGGCCAGCATGACTAAGCCGCTTCTGGCGAACCAGAGCAGCGCACGGAAACGGCATTTACCTTCCCGCCGGAGTGGTACCTATTTATCTACTTGCACTTTGACCTGCTTTCGAACTGCTAGGTTGGCAGGAGCAGGGACCGAGCAACGGGAGCTCACCCCGTCGCGGGGATTCGAACCACTGACCTTCTGATCAGCAAGTCCTAGGCTCTGTGGTTTAACCCACAGCGCCACCCGCGTCCCTATTATGTTATCCCACTCCATAAATTTAAATGCGAAGGAAAACCAATGCGGGTTTTCCATGATCAACTGCATATCATTTGTGGTCTGAATGCAACAGGGAACACCAATTGCATTTGCTGGATTGATTTATGTTATCCGTGTGGGACGAGTAAGTGAACACCAGCAATTTCTGCTCCCGTTTCTGTTTTCCTTGGAATTCTCTGATGTTCCTACTTGCAGTTCCTGACATCTAACTTGCAGCCACAACTAGGTGCATCTTATTACAGAACTGCCCTCTATCTTTTTTATATTTATATATAGTTTTTATTTACTTTCCATTTAACAATATACATTCCCATCATCATTATCCACTTTACCTCCCTGGCTCTTTAGAGCCTATCGACTTCCTCCCCTCCCACCTCAGGGCTTTCAAAATTAACTATTATATCATTGCATTTTGTACGTTTTTGAATTCTAATTACACTCGTTACAAAATGGCTGAAAATATAAATGAATATAGAAAGGTAGAAAACTTCTCCTTACAAGTCTTCAGATAACCCTGCTAGTGATGTTAATTGCTTACAATTATCTTTTAGATATCGTGTAAATTTACTCCAGTCCTTTTGGAATACCTGATTGTGCTGGTTTTGAGAATTGCCCACTATTGGGAAGTTTTCACTGTTAGACATTTTGCTGTATTTTTATTATGTTCGAAGCTGCCTAGAATGGCTTATGCAACCCAGTCAAGATGGGTAGGGTATAATAATAAATAATAACTATATTATTATTATTATTATTATTATTATTATTATTATTGCAGTTTGTTAAAGGTGCATGTCAACATACACTAATTTTAGTTTCCCCTTTTTTTTGTCTCCATGCAGATCATGGAGGGATTTGGAAAAATTGGCTTCCCCTAGAACCCACACTGAGATTTCTGCTCCCCTGGATAAGCAGTTCAGTACATTAATGGGGAAATTTACCATCCTGTTCTTTTACAAAGAACAACAGACCACAGTGGAAATTCACTAAATGTGGGTGACTGCCTAGAACTTGAAATAATCCCACCTATACAGGAATGCAACTAAGGGTGAAGCATAATCATCTGAATATGATTTCCAATGGATGATGCTTTGAAGGCAGATGATGCAGGAACCTTGAGGAAATTAAGCATGTCTGAGTCTGGTGGGTGCCTGGGATGGCAGAATACCTGGTAACCCTACTGATGATTCCTTGATTTCCACAGAAGAACAGCAGGATGGAAGCGCATCAAATTGTGGCAGAGTATGCACAGCTGTGGCCAATTCCAGAGAATGATGGGCTTGAATAGGCATCCCCAATCTGTGGCCCTCCAGATGTTTTGGACTACAATTCCCATCATCCCTGACCACTGGTCCTGTTAGCTAGGGATCATGGGAGTTGTAGGCCAAAACATCTGGAGGGCCGAAGGTTGGGGGTGCCTGGGCTTGAGCATTCGCTGGGCTCCCTACATAGCCAAAAGGCCCACTGCCCCCAAAACCCTGCTAGTTTGCACATGGCACTTGAGAAAGATAGAGACTGCACAATATAATTCTCATTTTGCACACACATAATCATTGTAGGCTAAGGGAGCCTGTTGAAGATGCTCTGTCTTTTAGGTGCTAGCACTGGATATAGTAATGCCCTGGTTCTGGTAAACAGAAGATGAAGTTTAAATATTTTAATGTTTGAAATCTTCAGTCTTCAGACAGGACTGAAAAGTTAATGGGTTTTTTTTATCGTCGCTCTTGAAATAAAATGATTGTTCTGCTGTTGATCTTTGATGATAGGACTGTAAATAAATTGATTTATAAAGCAGCGGTGGTTGGTTGATTTCCCCCCTGTGTTATATCTTCTACTTCCCATACTGCAGCAAAAAGATACCTGTGAATTTGAGCCAGAGGCATGTAGTCCAGTGGTACGAAAAGCGAGTACAGCCTCTTCTTCATTTCTGGGAGCAACAGTTCAAGGAGGTTCTCTGGAGAGCCAGTGTGGTGTAGTGGTTAAGAGCGGTAGACTCATAATCTGGTGAACCGGGTTTGATTCCCCGCTCCTCCACATGTAGCTGCTGGGTGACCTTGGGCTAGTCACTCTTCTCTGAAGAGTTTGTTGTGGGGCAGGAAGGGAAAGGAGAATGTTAGCTGCTTTGAGACTCCTTCAGGTAGTGATAAAGCGGGATATCAAATCCAAACTCCTCTTCTTCTTGACAAAAGGCCCCTTTTACACTTGTGTTGCAGCAGCTCTTGAAAAGCAAGTTGGCTTCTGTGATCAGGGGAGAGTCCCCTTAGTCACCTAAACACTATTGGCTTGATATGGGAACATTAGGCTGTTGGGCGAACTCTTCCAGGTTACTCTGGTTTGCATATAGAATCATAGAATATTAGAGCTGGAAGGGACCCAAGGATTTAGTCCAACCCTCTGCAATGCAGGAGTCTCAGCAAAAGCATCCATGGCAGATAGCCACCCAACCTCTGCTTAGAAGCCACCAAGAGTCCACCACCTCCTAAGGGTGGTACCGCAACTGGAACAACTCTTGCTGCCAGAAAGTTATTCCTGATGTTTCGTCGGAATCTCCTTTCTTGTAACTTGAAGCCATTGTATGCACATTTCAGACCTTAGATCTGTTAGAAGGTGCAGAAGGGAACAACTGTGGCCCTGAAGGACCAGGTATGCAGCCTGGGGGTCATTTTGGACTTGCAGCTGTCCATGGAGGCGCAGGTCAGTTCTGTGTCCAGGGCAGCTGTTTACCAGCTCTATCTGGTACGCAGGCTGAGACCCTACCTGCCCACAGACTGTCTCGCCAGAGTGGTGCATGCTCTAGTTATCTCCTGCTTGGACTACTGCAATGCGCTCTACGTAGGGCTACCTTTGAAGGTGACCCAGAAACTACAACTAATCCAGAATGCAGCAGCTAGACTGGTGACTGGGAGCAGCCGTCGAGACCACTGGTCTTGAAAGATCTACATTGGCTCCCGGTACGTTTCCAAGCACAATTTAAAGTGTTGGTGCTGACCTTTAAAGCCCTAAACGGCCCCGGCCCAGTATACCTGAAGGAGTATCTCCACCCCCATCGTTCTGCCCGGACACTGAGGTCCAGCGCCAAGGGCCTTATGGCGGTTCCCTCACTGCGAGAAGTGAAGCTACAGGGAACCAGGCAGAGGGCCTTCTTGGTAGTGGCACCTGCCCTGTGGAACGCCCTCCCACCAGATTTCAAAGAGAAAAACAGCTACCAGACTTTTAGAAGACATCTGAAGGCAGCCCTGTTTAGGGAAGCTTTTAATGTCTGATGTATTTTAATATTTTGTTGGAAGCCGCCCAGAGTGGCTGGGGTATAAATAATAAATTATTATATTATTATTTATTTCAGTTTTATTTACTGTATAAGATTTCTTTCCCTTCACCAGAAGGTCAGAGGTGGGTTTGCCACAACCATAGAACGTATGCAATTACAAGAACAGATAAAGGTGTTGAAAGGATGGTGAAAGGTAAAATGATTCCCAATGAACCAGAACAGCTTGAGTCGGGTCGGCAAACTACGGCTGCTGCTTGTCAACAACGCCAGTGAGCGGGTGCCGCCAAGACGTGCTCCTGAGCGCGTGCAGAGTGCGTTCCTCCTCCAGGTCCGGAGGCAGCTGTGGGACCGGCTTGCAGGGTATTTATATTTTTCAAAATATAGTCCGGCCCCCCACAAGGTCTGAGGGACAGTGGACCGGCCCCCTGATGAAAAAGTTTGCTGACTCCTGGCTTAAGTTCAGCAGAAGAGACACACAAAACAAAATACATTATATTATTATTATTATTATTATTTTATTTTCATTTCACTTTTAATTTGTATTCTGCCTTTCTATATTACTATGCAGGAGGCACTTTACAAGCTGGAGAAACAACAAAATAGGCAGCAAAGTTCACACAACTAATAACAATCCGACGCAATACAGAAAAGTCATAATAACTTTAAAATAAACGACTTAAATAAAGCAATATTCAATAATCCATTAGAATATAATAGTAAACAGTAAAATTAAATAGCAATAAACAGTTTACACTTAAAAATTACAATGAAGAATTACTATACTGCAATCAATAAAAATAACGGCAATCACAATGCATAAAATCATAGAAATGCCACAAAAATATCTGCCATTTTCAGATATTGCCCCAATGTTGGAATTTCCCCCATGTGCCAGTATTGCCACTTTAACTCCCTAACTGAATAGCAGGGGGGCCAACTTGAAGAAAATATTGAGGAGGCAAGCCCCACCCCACATAATCGATCACATGACATGGTGCACACACGCAATTTGAATGGCAATGCCCATCCACTGGGGGTGGGGCAGCCCATCAAATATTTTATGGGAGGGGAGGCGAAGAGTTGGGTCCTGTGTTGAATAGTAACAGATAAACCTTGCCCTCCGCTGCTTTCCTGCCTTTCAATGCAAGGTCCTCCTGCCTTTGAGCCGCCAACCATGCCGTGGAAAGCTTCACCTGTTGAATTACTGCCTGCCCACCACCATGCCGTGGAAAACTTCACCTGTTGAATTACTGCCTGCCTACCACCAACCATGCCGTGGAAAGCTTCACCGGTTGAATTACTGCCTGCCCACCCCGCAGCTGTTAAAGCGGGTGGGAGTGCAAAAACCCCAAAGCGGTTTAAAATGTGCCGACTCTAAAGAGGTGTGGGATATAGCTATTAATGATGATAAATTAAAACGTGCCATTAAGGAATACGCAGGAGAAATGATTTTGAGGAGCTGTGGAAGGTGTTTGTAGAATCCCTACTGCTAAAACGGAAAGGGGTCAAACTGTCGCAACAGGTGTTGAAGTTTTGGGAGGTTAGATAAATTACAACGGAATGGTCTCGGTGGTGCGGCGCACATTTTTATTCATGATTATTACTTTGTCAAAATTAAAAATGGGGGACACACACACAAAAATGTGCAGAGTATTAGCCAAGCCGTGCTTTCTCACCACACTCTGATATCAGAAAACGCGTTTGTATATCCACTTATGCAATCAACATTACAAAGCGGCGCCCCTCGTTGCGGTTAGAGCACTATGTCTCCTCGGGCTCCGCCCCCGGTCGCCTCCCCTAATCTTAAACTCGCCTCCCACGCGCAGCCCGGGCTTCTTTGAAGAGCCGCTTTTGCTCGCGCGCATCAATGGAGCGAGGGCTGCGCCCACGGGGCGGGTTTGCGCGTCTCCCCTTCGCCCTCCCGCTCCTGCTGCTGTGCGGTGGGGCTGCTGCCCCCCAGGGGTCGGCGAGGCCCGAGGTGCCCGCGCCCTTGCTTTGCAATGTCAGCTTGGACAGCCCGCCCGAGGAGCGCTGGCTGCCGGTCCTGCGGCTCCACTTCGACCCGGCGCTCCTCCGAGAAGCTTTCGTGCAGCTCATCGAGTGAGTGCAAACCGGGAGGGGGATTTGGGTCGGGGTGTCATTCTCTCCGCTGCTTTTTCCTTCCTTGTAATCCTGGTTCATATGAACTTCGGAAAGAGGGTGGCCGGATCCAGCTCTGGGCTTGACCTTGCACTCACTATTGGTCTCCACTCAATCCTAGACCATGGGTAAGCAAACTAAGGCCTGGGGGCCGGATCCGGCCCAATCGCCTTCTAAATCCGGCCCGCGATGGGTCCAGGAATCAGCGTGTTTTTACATAAGCAGAATGTGTGCTTTTATTTAAAATGCATCTCTGGGTTATTTGTGGGGCATAGGAATTCATTCATTTTCAATTTTTTTTTCCAAAATATGGTCCGGCCCCCCACAAGGTTTGTGGGACAGTGGACCGGCCCCCTGCTGAAAAAGTTTGCTGACCCCTGGACTAGAGCCCCGTCTTCGGCGGATACCCTCACCTGCAGGGCCAGATTTAGGTTTGACGAGTCCCTAAGCCAGTGGTGTCCAAACATTTTTCAAAGAGGGCCAGATTTGATGAAGTGAAGGGCCGTGAGGGCCAAACAAAGGGCCAACCAAAGTTGTGCTTTTTTAGGATTGAAATTGTTGAGCTATTTTTTAGGGTTGAAGTTGTTAAGGTCTTTTTTAGGATCTTACCCCAGGAAATAAACTGCTGGATATTAGGCCCCTGAAACAGACTTTGGACATCCCTGCCCTAAAACTACTGAAGGTAATGGGGCCCTTTCTATGTCCAGCAGTCCTTTGTCAACAACAAATTGTTGCTGTTTTTTTGTGTTGAATAAATACTATATGGTAATTTATGGACCAAATAGGTATCTAAAGCCATTTGCACATGCAGAATGTAGGCACCCTATATATAGAAATGAGCAAACCTGTGATATTTTAGGGAGCAGGCTAGCAGGTGGGGCCCATTACTTACATCACAGGAGCCTACACAACACAAAACACTATTGCTGTATGTAGGTTTTATTTTATTTGTTTTTTATCTTATACAGTGGTACCTCGGGTTAAGTACTTAATTCGTTCCGGAGATCCGTTCTTAACCTGAAACTGTTCTTAACCTGAAGCACCACTTTAGCTAATGGGGACTCCCGCTGCTGCCACCGCGCCGCCGGTGCACGATTTCTGTTCTCACCCTGAAGCAAAGTTCTTAACCCGAGGTAGTATTTCTGGGTCAGCGGAGTCTGTAACCTGACACGTCTGTAACCTGAAGCGTATGTAACCCGAGGTACCACTGTATTTTGGAAATGTACATCCAGGTTTTTTTCCCTTTAATTTTTTTGGGGGGCCCCAAGAGAGTGGGGCCCAGTGGATGCTCTGGTTGCAAACATGCCTCCCACACGGATCACGTTTGCGACCCACAGCGCCGCGTCTACACATGCACGGGTTGCGATTCGGCGCTTCTGCAAGCGCTGATACCCGAAAGTAACCCATTCCGGTACTTCCGGGTTTCAGCGTGTCTGTAACCCGAAAACGCGCAACCTGAACCATCTGTAACCCGAGGTATGACTGTATTCCGCAGCCAGGTGGCCCCCGTTGGGTTCTACCACCCAGAGTAGGAGAAAACAAGCTTGTTCCATCTCCCATGCGGCAGCCCTCTAGATACAGTCGTGCCCCGCAAGACGGAAAACCCGCCAGACGAAAGGGTTTTCCGTTTTGGAGGTGCTTCGCAAAACGAATTTCCTATGGGCTTGCTTCGCAAGACGAAAATGTCTTGCGAGTTCCTGCGGGATGTTTTTCCTTCCCCCTTTTCCCAAGCCGCTAGCCGCTTATCAGCTGATCCGCTAAGCCGCTTAACAGCTGATCGCTAAGCCGCTTATCAGCTGATCCGCTAAGCCGCTTAACAGCTGATCCGTTAAGCCACTAAGCCGCTTATCAGCTAAGCCGCTAAGCCGCTTATCAGCTGATCCGCTAAGCCCGCTAAACTGCTAATAGCGCTAATCCGCTAAACCGCTAATGGGCTTGCTTCGCAAGACGAAAAAACCGCAAGATGAAGAGACTCGCGGAACGGATTCTTTTCGTCTTGCGAGGCACCACTGTACTTGATGTACTGCTTTCTTGTCTTGCATTGCAGCAAAGTGGTTCCCAAGTGGGTTCATGCGATTATCCGGCCTCTGGCGGAAGAAATAGAATCCTTTGTGCCTCAGCCGTTTGCAGGCGAGATCCGGGGACTCTGCCAAGCCCTGGGGCTGAACGTTGGGGATGGCTTGCTCCTTAACTTGGCCTACGAAATTACCACGTAAGTGTTCTTGATATTGGTGAAGAAGAGCCCGCTGGTGCAAGGAATCCTTCCTTGTTTGTTTTATCCGTCAATGAAAGATGAATGAAAACATTAGTACAATCATCTGTTGTGTGGGGAGAAGTGGGGTTTTCCCTGTCTGTGCAAACTTAAAAACACACTTGCTCAGATTTCTTTTTAATTTAAATTTAAATCTTTACAAGCTCTGCAGCCACTGTTCTCAGTGCGCCTTTCAAGTGAGGAAATAAGATTTTTTAAAAAGAAATATATTAATGCACAATACATAAAAGGGTATCATATCAGAGCAGAATAAAATACCAACATTAAAATACCAACACCTCAAATGCATGGGAGTGCTCTTTTGCGTCAGTGATTGATGCTGGCCGCCATTTTGAATCAATATGGCAAACGGAAACATCACATTAGTGTGACTTTCTCTGTTTCTTTAGCATCACTTCAGCTGCTTCTCGAGATATTGGCACCAGTCTCTGCATGACGGTTCCCAAAGTGGAGGTGGCAGTCTTTGTTGATGTTTGGATGCCAGGGGCCATTTTGAATCAAGATGGCGGACCAAAATGTGGCTTTGGCATGACTTCACCTGGTTTTTTTTTGGCGTGGCGGGTCCAAGCTCATAAAATTGCACTATCCATTTGAAGGTCTCAATATTTTTTGGTTGCAAAAAATATTTGGGCAGAATTAAACACTCCCAGCTACTTGTGTGCACATATGTAGGTAGGTAGGTAGGTAAATATTGTACTTTGACAAACCTTCAAGTTATAATGACAATTATAATACAACTCTCTGGTTTTGGGCCCCATTTCTGTTGGCACTCACCATTTGAGTTCTCTGTTAGAGGGAGCGATCTTCCTAGAAGTCCGTAGCCAAAGAATTGGCTGGCCACACCAAATCAGTGTGTGAAATTGAGCTTCCCCCTCTTGGGAACCCCTCCTTGGTTCAGTCTCTCATCATTGTTTGCCCTCTGTCGTGCTTGTTTTCTAGACGAAGCGTCAGGGAAAACATGTTCTTTTTGTGAGTGTTTGTGAGTGTCCTCTTTTTCTACGCCACTGTCTTGTTTTTTTCCATATAATTTTTTTATTAGTTTTTTAGCATATCATTTTCAAAAGTAATTAAACATACTTTTACATCTTATTCAATTTTTTGACTTCCATCAATCCTGTCTGAAAATTTTCCAATCTAATCTCTTCACTCTTGTTTTCTTATCCCACAGATATTGCACCAGTATCATCGCTCAGGACACTAACGGGAGCATTTATCATGGCCGGAATCTGGATGCACCCTTTCTCGACATTTTTCAGAAGACAACCATAAATGTGGACTTTTTAAAGAATGGGCAGGTATAGAAAGCTCTTGGCAGCAGTGAAGTATCACTGCGAGAAGCACAGGGAGCATGCATTTTTGCCAAGTTGCTTTTTAGATTCTCTATTATCCAGGATTCTGCAATAGTGTCAGTCATATTTTCCACAGGGGGAGGTGAGGTGTGAGATTTAGACACCTGACTGCCTAGGGCAGAAATGGGGGCGCCTTCCACTTCTGCATATGCTTGGCACATTTAAAGTGCATGACATCCCCAAAAGGATTCTGGGAACTGTAGTTTGCTAAGGGTGCTGGGAATTGTAGCTGTGTGAGGGGGTAAACTGCAGTTCAAAGAGCTCTTGGGGTGTGTTCTAAATGTGAAGCATGTTTGCAGCCCAGGTATAGTTGAGCTGCAATTCCCATAAGCCACAAACACTGTGGCCCAATGATCAAGGTTTTAGCAAAGTCAAATAATGCAGGCGACCTCTAGAGAGATAATAATGTTTTTGGAGCTTTCCCCTCATTGTTTTTTTGCATTAGTAAATGAGAGAGATTGAATTTTAACCTTTTCTTCCTAAACCCTGAGCTAAAGCATTTTAAGTATTAGAGCCTCAGTTTACATTCAAATAAAGGTCTCTGTTTTCTTGAAGTTAAATTACTTACATACCTGATCATGTTTTGGGGTGTGCTTTGCATTAAAAGCAGTTATGGTTAACTACAGTCCATTCTGTGTCCTTTTTATTTTTAGGTAAAATTCAGAGGCACTACATTTTTCGGTTACGTTGGTATATGGACAGGACAAAGTCCATATAAGTTTACATTTTCTGGAGACGCAAGAGGTAAGCAGATTTCATTCTTCCTGAACAGAAGAATCACATTTCTGCCACATCCTACAGAAAAATGTCAGCTCTGCTTTGATTCCCTCCCCGCTTCCATTCTGGAGCATAATGTAGATTTAAAAAAAAAAAAGATTTAAAAGAATGTTAAAGAGAGAAAATCATAATTAAAACCAGAAAATTACAGTAAAACATAGCGCAACATCCATGATACATATCGGTACGGCCACATTTGGAAAATAGTACACTTCATACACAGTGCGGGTGGCGCTGTGGGTTAAACCACTGTGCCGCTTGGGCTTGCCGATCGAAAGGTCGGCGGTTCGAATCCCCGTGATGGGGTGAGCTCCCATTGTTCGGTCCCAGCTCCTGCCAACCTAGCAGTTTGAAAGTACACAGTGCAAGTAGATAAATAGGTACCGCTCCAGCGGGAAGGTAAATGGTGTATCCGTGCACTGCTCTGGTTTTGCCAGAAGCGGCTTAGTCATGCTGGCCACATGACCCGGAAACACTGTCTGCAGAAGTGGACAAATGCCGGCTCCCTCGGCCTGTAAAGCGAGATGAGCGCCGCATCCCCAGAGTCGTTCGCGACAGGACTTAATTGTCAGGGGTCCCTTTACCTTCACCCTTTTACACTTCATAAGCCAAAACACCTGGACAGATGGGAACCTCTTTAGCTTTCTTTTTTGGAAATAGTAACTGGGGGGAAAGACGAGACTTTGCCTGGGAGTTCCATAAATGGGGAGCCACCGCTAAGGAGGCCCTGATAGATAGCTCCCACCCCCAGGAATGAAGATCAAGGCTTGCAGACAAAAAATGGGCAGTTCTGTTGCATTCTGAACAATATGGGCAATGCATTATACGGTATACAGTCGTTCCTCGGCTCCCGAATGCCTTGGTAGTCGAATGATCTGACTCCTGAACCAGCGAGTGTTCTGGTTTTTGATTTTTTTTGGAATCTGAACATCCAATGGGGCTTCTACAGTTTCTGATTGGAAGTCAAATGTTTCCGTTCGACTTCCGAGGTACGACTGTACTTGGGTAATGTATATAGTACATTGCAATAACAAAAATAATGGGCCTGGGCCTGGTCCTCCCACAGCGGGCAGGATAACAGTGCTGTAATGTACCAGGAGGAGGAGGAGGAGGGGCAAAGCCCGCAACTTGCGCAGTGACCAGTGACTTGAGCACCAGTTGGGCTCTGCTGGCAAGTTTGCACTACGCTGACCTTGCCACTCCCTTACTCCTCCTCCCTATCAATATGCCCCCATAACGCAGGTGGAGGGAGGTCAGGTAAGCACTGCCACTCTGTCTATGGTCTGTTCTGTGATTTTATTTTGCTTTGAAGAAATGCTTTTTATATTCATTCTGGCCATTTGGGATGGGAGCTCTTAAGCACTGAAGCAATAGGAGGAAACGGCCTATGTTTGTGACGGCTGATTCTCACGAGGCGTTTCTCTTCCCCTTACACGCTCTTATAGATCGTAGCGCATGGTGGGAGACTGCAATTGCCACTTTCCTGAATCGAAATTCTCCGACCAGCTGGCTGGCCAGGACTGTAAGTAGCCAAAGTTTTGCTCTTTTCAGATTTGTTGCTCACTAACCACCAAGTTGCTGAAAATCCAAGTGTTAATTAATCTTTCCTCTCTCTTTTTACGATTGAACAGATAACGTTGCTTTGTAAAATAGTTCTAGGGGTGGTGAAGGTTCAGAAATGTTATAATTTGTGTAGCGCAGAAAAAGAATGGTCCCTGCCCAGTACATCTAAGAATTTGCAAGGGTGGTTTTTTTGGGTGGAGGGGGCTATTACAAATGGGAAAAATGTGCATTTAGTTTATTTCTCTTATTTATTAAGATATTTTCCGTGCTTCCTGTGACAGATGGTTTCGTTTTGGGTTTTTTCCGAGAGCAGGAGAAGCCAGCATGGTGCCCTCCAAATCTATTATTATTATTATTATTTTATTATGATTTAATCTTAATTTATTTATTTATACCCCACCTTTTTCCTTGACAGGGACTTAAGGCATCTTTCTTTATTACCTGTCCTTCACCTTGAGGCCCCAGGGGAGGTCCCAACACTTTAAAATGCAACATTTAAAACAGTTTAAAAGAAACCACAATTGCAAGAATAGAGGGTGGGGTCCTTAAAAATATGCGTTTCAAGACCAACAACACTCGGTTTTCTTGATAGAACTCAAACCATTGCAGCAAAAGTAAATTTCTTTCAGATGTCATGACATTCAGCTTTGAAGTCACTTTTCATCAGCACAGATCTTAAACAACAATCTTTGCATCCTCTGTTGAAACCTGTTTCAGGCTGCTAAATGTGCCAGTTAAAAACAAACATCATTCTGAGGCTTGTTTTGCTTGCCAGCTGTTTCAGGCGCTCTCCCCTTGGTGCTTTTCAGCTTAGCTCTGCAAACTCTCCTTCCTTGGAGGCTTTTAAGCAGATATCGGATGCCCACCTGTCAAGGATGCTTTAGCTGAGATTCCTGCATTGCACAGAGGTCTCTTCTATGTTTCTATGAAATATGAGGACTAGAAGGTTGCTTCCTTAAAATGGGAATTCAGGTTTTCAGGATTCTGATAAGCAGCAACTTGGTTACTTCTGGAGCCTTGGGGGTAATGCACAGTGTGATAAATGTTTGCAGGTTTGCCGGCTCCAGACCCAAAGTGGGGCTTCTGTGACTTCTCCCAACTCTACAGCCGATGGGAAAAGCTGTACCGTTTATGCAACCCTTAAAGGCACAGGAGCCCCCTCATGGTGTGGACCTCCCAGTCCATGAAATATACTCGGAGTCAAGAGTGGATTTCATGCTCTTTATTCAGCTCATAGTAGAGAGGAATGGAAGTTTCCCCAAAATATCTGCTTTATATACATTATTTATACAGTGGGCCGCACGTGATTGTCTAATTCCTGGATTCTCCTGTAGGCCAATCAGGTTGCGGATTCACTTCCACCTGGAGCTGGATTGGGTGGTTCCTGTGGACCAATCAGACTGCTGCATTCTGAATCCTATTGTTCTAGGACCAATCAGACTGCTGCATTTGGATCCTATTCAACTCAGTACATAACAGTCCAAAATGCCCACTCTTGTTTCTGCTTTGCTGCAGGTTTTGAGCGAAGCTGAGGACTTTGAGGCTGCTGCTCTCATGCTGTCCAAGACACCGATTATAGCAAACGTCTACTTCATCATTGGGGGCACGAAGCCGGGGGAAGGGGCAGTCATTACGAGAAGGAGAAGCGGTCCAGTCGATATTTGGCCCTTGGATCCTCTGACTGGAGGGTAAGCATGAAATTTTGTAACCCTGGGTTTTGTAGGAAACAAGTTATGGATTTGTAGATGGAGGGGTATAATTGCCCCTTGGTGTCTTATGAGCAGGGCAGAGTGTTGGGAAATAAATAACTGGGGAGCACCAGTAATTGTGAAGTGCTCCCCCCATGTGTGGGGAATCACAGAGAAAAAACGGCTGACTGCCTGAATTAAAAAAGTGTATGGGGCCTGATTCACTCTTTAGCCAAAATAGCCCCCAGCAGAGTTTAAAACACAAATCTATGCAGTATTTGCAAAGCACGGGGAATATAGATTGTTACATCTTTAAATGTCCCAGTATGAATGAACTTTATTACGGTCACAGACCAGGATAAAACAAACAAACAAACAAACAAAAACAAAAACAAAACCATATGATAATGAGAGTGGAGGCTAGCATCTGCCTAACATCAATCTACAAATGGCTGACATTGAATCTGCTCCCCCGCGGGATAGCCCCATTGATCCTCTGCGACCAATTCCAGTCAGGCTGGCAGACTGCAGTCCTGAACACCCTCCGGAAACTGGGTTTTGCCCCTCAAGCCCTTCTAAGTCTGGGCTTGGGCCCGGCAAAAGCTACAGTCAGGCAAAGAATATTAGACACCGAGAGACAACAGGACTGCGCAAGGTGCCCCGACTATAAAATTGGAGAAATCGAGAGAGATATAGCCGCACCGGCAGCATATCTCTTCTTTCTCGTATCTAGAAATGCAAGAAGGGCCTTTACACTCACCAGAAGCTCGGCTCTTCCCTCGCCGGTCCTGGATGGAGCCTTTAGAAAAGTCCCCTATGCTCAGAGACTTTGCACCTGTCCATTGGGAGAGATAGGAAGCCCAGAACACTTGTTCTTTAGATGTCCCTTTTATGAAGAGGCACGTAGTAAGATCATTGATCCCCTACTGGTGAGGCTCTGCGACCTCCCGCAAAAGCAAAAATTTTACCTTTTGCTGTTAGGCAAAGATCAGAAGATGACCTGGATGGTCGCCAGATTCTGTGTACAATGTCGCAGTATTAAGCACTTACAATTCTTCCCCCTCCTCTATCCCTCTCGGAGTGAATAGACTACAACCTTTAGTAGGTTAAAATGTTTTACTTACAGTAACCACAGCTCTCATCATGAATACAGCAGAAACAACACAGGTATTCTGGGTAACAAAATACAAAAAGCACCTTCACGTATTGTGGTAATCAACTTAAGTTTTGCTCAGAGAACACCCGCTGAAATTAATGGACCTCCCTGGATCTTGTTCCTTAATTTTAGTGGCTTGAACCAATGAATGTTCTAGACCTTACAGATAGTAGGTCTGAAAAGCTTTTTGAGGGAACTAATCCACCCCTTAAAAAAAAAAGTAAGTACCTTATACCCATATGGCAAAAGGATACAGTGATAAAGTTTTAATGTTCATTTTATGTAGGTGGTACCGGATAGAGACAAACTATGATCACTGGACCACCCCTCCTCCTCTAGATCATCGAAGGTATGTTTTGCTGGGTGGTAAACTGTGTCAAGATGATCTTATTTTAAAGAAGAAAAAGAACTGTACATGCATACTTTGTTATACTTCCACAGTTGGAATAACTCCCTTTTGCGCATAGGTAGGGTTGTCAGGCTGAGTCAATCAAAACTGATCTCACAAAGCGAGACTGCATGTTGCTCAGTCTGCTGTTCTTTTATTATTTTATTTTTGCATGGTCAATGAGAATCGCAAAGCACTCGGACGCCTCTTACCTGCGGTATGAAATGGTCTTCTGCGCCACGAGATTTGCCAGCTGCGACTTATCCGCTAACATTTTATTGTTACTCTGCAGAACCCAAGCCGTGAAAGCACTGAATGCCACCGGACAGAAAAATATTAATCTCGAGTCTCTCTACAAAGTAAGTCTTCGGTTTTACATCCTGCCCGTTTTATAAACAAAACAAAACTCGCTTTTATTGAGGTATTTACGCTAGGATAGTTCTCTGTTGGGTTTTTTCAAGGTTTGCCACATTTGCAAACGAGAACCTTTTGGGGGTAACACACACACACACACACACACACACCAGAGCGTATTGTATTGGCTGCAATGCAGTGCTTCTTTCATGCCTAATTTCAGTTAAGGGGTTGAGCGATTACCTCTTGGGGTGCCTTTGCAAATGTCAGGCTTCAGGGAACCGGCTTCGGCCCCCGGGGCAGTAGATAAGCAGAACAAAGGAAAAGGAGTGTTCTTACCTGTTAGAAACTTTAATAATCACAGCGAGAGAACAAAGAACCCACCTCCTAGAAATGGCGGTGCTCCCAATTATGGATCACACCTCCTTCTGTCCCTATTAGTCTATGCCACTCCTATGTCTTGTAATCTGAGCTTGTACCCTCTGTGCTTTCTGTGCTGACACTTTCTGAGCTGTCAATAACTTGGAGACAAGGGGTGTGTGTATGTGAATGCTTCCCAGAGACGGTGAATCTGTTAACCCTCTCTCTTCCAGTGTTTCTTCTCTTAGCTGTTCCCCATCCAGCATTTCCCAGCTTCTGCTTTCTGAACTATGCCCCTCTGCAAACCACTGTTCCAAATCTACACTGTCCTCCTGCTCCTGGGAAAATTCAAGATCTAGGGGAGGGGGAGGCTCCCACCATTCCTCCTCAGCGCACCCCTCCTCAACACAGTCCCTGACACATACAGGTGCCATTGCCCCTGTACTCAGGAAGGCCCTTCCTTTTGGCATAAATGAACTACCATCCATCAGTTGCTTTGTGTGTCTTGTAAAGGCCTTTCTTTTTGCCCAGGCTTTCCATGGCCCACAAGATTGGACACTGTTATTACAGGAAAACCCTTCATTTATGAGCTACCGTGTATAAGCACAACACACTGAACCCAGAAGTGACCCAAGAGCTTTAAAAAAGAGGCAGGATGGGACAGGGTGCTTGCAGGCTTTTTCTTTTTCTTCAAAATTTTTTATTAGTTTTCCAATAAATTTTTTAAACAAACAAACAAATACACAAACAAAAACATAAATCTCAGCCTTTTTAAACCAATCTTAGTAACATTGTTAACTGACTTCCCTGTATCCCCCTCGTTGAATTTCAGTGTATATCATTTTAACTGTTTTCCAAAACCAATGTTCTTATAAAATTAACTTAATCACTTAACATCTTTCTTTCTTCCAAATTTGGCATTAAACATATTAGTTAATCACATTACATATTTAAATCCTAAGCCTATCTGATATTTGCAAGCTTTCCAATTAAGTTAACATATTTAACTACCGTAAATAGTCTTTAAATTTCGTCCATTCCTCCTGGTACTTCTCCTCCTCCTTCCTGTCAGGTCAGCTAGCTCTGAAAAATCAATCATCTTCATCTGCCAATCTTCCACTGTTGGTATTTCTTGTGTTGCTTGCAGGCTTTTTCAACTGTGTTTCAAATATACGTGATTTCACTGGTGCACGTGGTGCCTCAAAACGTAACCCCCTTCAACGTTTTAAAAGGTTCAGCTGTTTAGAAATGCTTCTAAATACATAAATAAATGGACTCCTTTCATTTCATTTTGTTTTTTCCCAGGTATTATCAGTCTATCCAGTCTTAAATGAGTAAGTTTTGTTTGTGTTCTTTCTGTAATAGGTTTGGATTCCACCCTGCCCGCCTTCCTTTAGGCCTCGGATGGGGAACCTCTGCCCCCACCAAATGTTGTTGGACTACAAATCCCATCAGCCCTTGCAAGCATGGCTGATGGCTAGGGGTTATGGGAGTTGTAGTTCAGCAACACCTGGAGGCTGGCCTATGGCAGGACTAGCTGACATGGCGCCCTCCAGGTGTTGCTGGACTACAACTCCCATGAGCCCCCAACCAGCGTGATGATGGGAGCTGCAATCCAGCAGCATTTCAAGGGCACCAAGCCAGATGAGGTTGTATGATGGAGTCCCTTTTAATTCCTGGGATCTAGCAAGGATCCAGCTGCTGAATTAGCCAGGCAAGGGCCATTAGGGTCCCTTAAGTATGGGTCATTAAGGTAACAAATGGCTCTGTGCCAGAGGAAATGGCTCTGTGCCAGAGGACAAATAGGTGGGGGCCCCTCTCTTGCCTTGCTGGTAGTTCGAAGGACAAAAGCCAGAGTGGAATGTGTGCTCTAGAAGCAGGCTGTAGCTGGGCAGCGGAGAGGCAGAGCCATGCCTGATTTCTGCTGGATCCAAGACTGTGGCTATGGCAGAAGTAAGACCCTTTTGGGGCATTAATACAGTGGTTAAGAACTTAATTCGTTCTGGAGGCCTGTTCTTAACCTGAAACTGTTCTTAACCTGAAGCACCACTTTAGCTAATGGGGCCTCCTGCCGCCGCCACCGCACCGCCACTGCACAATTTCTGTTCTCATCCTGAAGCAAAGTTCTTAACCTGAGGCACTATTTTTGGGTTAGTGGAGTCTGTAACCTGAAGAGTCTATAACCTGAAGTGTATGTAACCCGAGGTACCACTGTACTGTGAGCCTCTCCGTCATAAGTTGCACAGCCTCTGCTGTCCCTCGTTCCAAGGAAACCGAACGCTGGGTAAGCGCCTGGAACACCTGGAATCTCACAGTGCTCAGAGATTGGGGTGCCGTTCAACAGTATATACCAGGGATGCCCAACAGATCGATCGCGGTCGACTGGTTGATCCCCGGAAGGTTTTGGTAGATTGTGGTCGATCGCGGGCTCCGGTGGAAAAAGAGCATCTTTGACCTGAACCCCCCAAAACGGGACTTTCCTCCCTAAAGAAAGCTCAACAATTTTGACCTGAAACACCCCCCCCCAAAAAAAGGGGTAGATCACTGCCAGTTTTTTGTTCTGTGAGTAGATCTCTTGGGATTTGGACGTCCCTGGTATATACCATGACTCAATTCGTTTCCTATTCTTTACCAGGGGAACAGTTTACACCACCGTAATGAGTGCTGCAACCCCTGGCAATTACATGACACGGATCAGGAACTTGGTGTGAAAACGTGTAAGTTCTGATATTTAATGCAGATTATCATTTGGAATAGAAGTTCGGACACCCATCCAAATACCCGGCACTTCCAGCTTGCAATTAGGGGTGTAAGAAGGTGTCAGTTTTCGTCCCACCTTGCATTCGTCACGTGCAATACTGTTTACATTTTGCAGCAGTTCTTCTGCCAAAGCCCACAGGATCTGTCTTGCTGTCCGCTGTGGCAAAACTACATCATTTGCTTAATTATGTTATTGCACCCCATCCATTTCAGTGCCAAGAAAACACAATGCAAATTAAGCGGGTGGGACGTAACTAATTACATATCATTTGCACACTGAAAGCCAACGACACCAGAAAATTCTGATTATATTCGCTGGATGGATTTTAGTTCCAGACATGGAGCAAATAAGCAGCCAATGGCAATCTTTGCTCCCATTTCTGTTTTTTAGAGGAATTCTTCAACATTCCTGCTTGCAATTCCTGGCATTTAACTGCTTTGTGCTGGCCAGAATTCTTGGTATTCAAAGTCTCTCATTTTCTTATTTTCCTGGAAATGCAAGCTTATTTTATGCCCCCAGTAGTAGTGACCTGCCCCAACTGGAAAAGGAAAGAAAGGGAAAACTCTTGTCTGACTGCCTGTTTATCCATCAGGCTCTGCCTGTTAAGAGAACCTCGTCATGATACTGTGGGTTGATGAACGCTGAATTAAAAACCTCTGAATGAGCCGCCCTCTTTGAGATCAGACCTTCTTTGATATCAGCTTCAGCAATGCAGGAAGCTATATCTGCAGGGGAAAACCCAGGAATTTTGTGGCTGTCCAATGTGCCCTGCTAGAGAGAAGTGGCTACTCAGTTTGATGTTGGGATATCCACCATGGCAAATGTGGTCCTGGAGTTTTGGTTTGCTATCAGACATCTGCTACCGAGCCAGTTTGTGAAGCTGGTGTGGGGAATGTTCAGGGTGGCAGCAGAGGATATATTGTTAATTAATATCCTTCTTAACTTGTGCTAGCAAGTTCCTTTACTTAGCAGAGTTACATTCCCCTTTTTACATGCACAGCAGATAGCTGGTTGCAGGCTCGTGTTAACCTCTCACTATTATACAATTCAGTCTGTCTCAGATTGAATTTATGCTCCTGGTAAGTTTCCTTGAATCACTCTTAAAAGAATAAAGGCACCACAATCTTATTCAAAGTCAATAAAAGAGGTTTCTCACATCAGTTCACAGTTGGATTCCTGAAGGCAGACTTAGTAATAATTATTATTATTATTATTATTATTATTATTATTTATTTATACCCTGCCCATCTGGCTGGGTTTCCCCAGCCACTCTGGGCGGCTTCCTACAAAGATTAAAATACAGTGGTCTGTTAAACATTAAAAGCTTCCCTAAACAGGGCTGCCTTCAGATGTCTTCTAAAAGTCTGGTGGTTGTTTTTCTCTTTGACATCTTGTGGGAGGGCGTTCCACAGAGCTGGTGCCACTACCAAGAAGGCCCTCTGCCTGGTTCCCTGTAACTTGGCTTCTTGCAGTGAGGGAACTGCCAGAAGGCCCTTGGCGCTGGACCAAATATGTACATGTGGATCTACCCCATATGGGGGAATAATCCCAGTGCTTCTGCTAGCTGAGAGCTAGCAGAGCAGTCCTAACTAAAAGCTGGTCAAACGAAGAAGGAAGTCAAAAAGAAGGGAAGGGTGCTGTGTGACTTGACCTTTTGTTACCTGGACAGGTTAGGTTACACCCACCTTCTATCCCATGCAGAAGGAAGGATGTTGCAGCCAATAGGAACAGGAAGTTTCAACTGGCTGGACCAAACATTCGCTTGCATGTCTTCTCTAGCATTACAAGGAATGTTGTACTTTTTTTAAATATATATATATATATTATTAAGGATTTTCTTGTTTTACAGAAGTGTAGTGCCTCGTTGTTGTTTTTTTCATGTAACATTTTTACAAATCCGTTTCATTTGTTGAGGCATTAGGGGGAGAAAAAGAAAAAGAAAAAAGAAAGGGGGGGTGGAGAGAGGGAAGATGGATAGGGGTGGGGTCGGGTGGCGGTGTTTCTATTATGTTTAATGTATGTAGAGTTTGGTGTCAGCGTTGCTTGTGTTGTTCACTTGTGTTCCTTTGTTGGTGAGAGAGGTTGGGGTTGGCCTAGGGTGTGATTGTTTGCTTGTGATTGGCTGTGGTGATCTTTGTTTTCGTGTGTGAGTGAGGTGGGTGGGTGTTTTGGATCAGGTTAGCCATATTGATTTGTATGCTGTTGGTGGATTATTGTCATTGTCCTGTTGGGCTGTGTATGTGATAAATGGGAGCCATACCGGGCGAAGGCGTCTTCTTCTGTTTGTCCCCGTGTCAGTTTCAGTTTATTAGTTAATTTTTCTAGTAGGGCTGTTTCCCATACTATTTGGTACCATTGGTCCATGCTTACTCCTGACAGGTCTCTCCAGTGTCTGGTTATGGTGTTTCTGGCTGCTGAGAGCAAGGAATGTTGTACTTGATTGCTTCTCATGGATCACATCTCACAGCTGGGAGACAACCTACCAAAAGTTGCAGCTCATTACAGAATTGCCATGTGTTACAGGTGCATGTCGGCTTAACAGTAGCAGGGCACTGATTTTAGTTTTCTTTCTTTTTTTATTCTGGTCTTTGTGCAGGGGCTTCCCCCACTGCATCGGTGTGGTAGATGCTATCCCAGGACAAATCAGATCAACACGCCAATAGGAAAAGCTATCATTCCGTTCCCATTACAAGGAACAGACCACAGTGTAAACGTTTTATCAGTCTGGAAGTTAGCAGGAGTGGCGAAAACCGCGATGCCTTCATTTCTGCAAACTGCACCTTGCCATGAAATGGATGTTGGGTATTTGTGCCTGGAAACCCTGCTGTACTAATTCACGGCAAACACATACCTCGCAGAAGAAGGGGTTGATGGAATCATAGAGTGCGCCCCCCCCAATGCTATTCAGCCACGGTTTTAATAGATGCACGATTTGGTTGCTTTAAGGGATGCTGATGTTGTCTCAAATGCAAACTCCCAGTTGCTGAAGATAACGTGTCTGCTGTAATAACAGCCTGTGTTGTCCTGTACAATATTTGTGAGTTAAAGGGTCACTCACTGGGTGCAGTTGACTGTATAGAACCTGGAATCATTCCTCCCTCATATACAGAGGAGCGCTGACCATACAGAAACAGAACTGCGGCAGAGTGGAGCATTATTAGTTCCGTCTTCGTATGATTTTCAGCAGGTGATGCTTTGAAGGCACAAAAATGCAGAGACCCTGCTGAAACTTCAGAGAATTAAAGGACTGAGCATTGCTGGGGCCCCTAAGTAGCCAAAGATGCACTGCCCCCCAAACTGTTTTTTTTCACTTTGCATGGGACACTTTAGAAAGATGTTGTGGAAGAAAATTAGCATTTTGCACATCTCCTTCTTTTAAGGAGACTCACTGAGGATACCCCAGCAGCCCCCACCTCCCAGTGTATAAAGCCATTAATAATGCACTGAATTTACACCCAAAATAAGACCAAAAACATTTCAGCTTACTAGTGCCTTTTTTCTGCTCTTGCAAAATGATTGGTAAGCTGAAGTTGATGAATTGATGAATTAATTTTATTGCTCCCCCCCCCCCCGAAATAAAATGTTTTGTTGTTGATCTATGAGGACAGAACTGAAATAAATGGATTTTTAAAGTGGTGGTGGTTTTCTTCCCCCCACCCTCCCTCTTATCTCGCCTACTTCTCATCCTGTATCAAAGACTCTGTGGTTTCTGAGCCAGAGCCAGCCTTGTAATACTGCAGCATAAAAAGCCAAAGCGGTATAATTGCATCTTTCACGCATTTAACTTGCGCAATTTCAACCACATGCAGTTGGAGGCAGGCTGGTTGAAATTGCACAAGTCAAATCCAAGCACGGTGGAGAACTTAAAAGCATCTTTTCATGCCAGGTATGATTGGTTACTCCGCATGGAAAGAGCTTTTAAGCCTTTCCTCTCACATGAAGGTGAGACCCACCCAGTACGCCAGCTGTAGAGTACAAGGGTTCAATATCTCCCCTCATCCGCTAGACGTAGGGTGACACCAAGGGCTCGGGTATATGTGATTTTTGTGTGTGCGTATAATACAGTGGTACCTCGGGTTAAGAACTTAATTCGTTTTGGAGGTCCGTTCTTAACCTGAAACTGTTCTTAACCTGAGGTACCACTTTAGCTGATGGGGCTCCCGCTGCCGCCGCACAATTTCTGTTCTCATCCTGAAGTAAAGTTCTTAACCTGAGGTACTACTTCCGAGTTAGCGGAGTCTGTAACTTGAAGCGTTTGTAACCTGAGGTACCACTGTACTTGGAATCCCTGCCTTATTTAAGATCATACTGTATAGCACATCCATTTCTGGGAACTGCAAAGGAGGACATTGACAAAATACTCACACTTACAAAGTAGTAGCTTTTGAACAAGTTGTTTCTTTGTGTGGTTCCCAGTCCCCCTCCACAATGCGGCAAATTAAGAATGTTTGTAAGGTAAAAAGGTAAAGGACCCCTGGTTAAGTCCAGTCAAAGGCGACTATGGGGTTGTGGAGCTCATCTCGCTTTCAGGCCGAGGGAGCTGGCGTTTGTCCACAGACATGTGGCCAGCAGGACTAAACTGCTGCTGGTGCAACAAGACACCGTGATGGAAACCAGAGTGCATGGAAATGCCGTTTACCTTCCTGCCACAGTAGTACCTATTTATCTACTTGCACTGGCGTGTTTTCGAACTGCTAGGTTGGCAGGAGCTGGGACAGAGCAATGGGAGCTCACCCCGTCGTGGGGATGCGAACCGCCAACCTTCTGATTGCCAAGCCCAAGAGGCTCAGTGGTTTAGACCACAGCGCCACCCTGTGGATGTCATAAAATTGTAGAGTTGGAAGGGACCATGATAGTCATCTAGTCCAGCCCCCTGCAATGCATGAATTTTTCACCCAACATTGGACTTGAACCCACAGCTCACTTGGTGATCTAAGTGCTATTTGAAAGGGTGGGAAGCTGGCTTGAAACAGGAACATGAGGTTAAGGGATACATCTTGCGAGTTATTCTTGCTTGTATATATGTGCACATTTCAAGTACAGTGGTACCTCGGGTTAAGTACTTAATTCGTTCCGGAGGTCCGTTCTTAACCTGAAATTGTACTTAACCTGAAGCACCACTTTAGCTAATGGGGCCTCCCACTGCCGCCACGCCACCACTGCGCAATTTCTGTTCTCATCCTGAAGCAAAGTTCTTAACCTGAAGCACTATTTCTGGGTTAGCGGAGTCTGTAACCTGAAGCGTATGTAACCTGAGGTACCACTGTATTGGATCTGTCAGAACGTGGCAAATCATTTTTCATTTTTTAGCTGGATGGCAAAAATATCTGCTCCCTTCTGCTTGGTTTTTCTTACTCACTAGAATGCAAAAGTGTTCAGTATTGAGAAGCGATTATCTAACCATTTTGTTCCCATTGCAACACATTTACCTGTAGTTCACCAAATGATACAGTGACCAGGCTTGCTGTCTCTCATCCCATGCTGTCTTAACTGGGCGACTGTTTTTTTAGAACTTCATATCTTATATTTTAAAAATGATGTGAATTCTGTGCTTCTAAGGTAAAGTGCAACAGACATGGACATACTTTCTCGCCCCCCACAAATACACACACACTCCAGAATCCTTGCCTGTGAAATTGTGTTTTGAAGTCAACAACAAACATGTTGCCAGGGGCTTTAATAGGATCAAGATCTCACCCGAAGTGTCGCTACCTGCTTACCAACACGCTCTGCTTTAAACCCCAAAAGGGTTAAGGGAGCTTTGCATTGACCCAGTTTATACTCACTAGCGTTAAACAAGTGCCTAATGAGGTAAACAGTGCAGAAATTGAAGGCATCCATGCAAATGGGCTGGAAGCAAATTCTAGACAAGCAAAACAAAGTATTCATCCTAAATACCTTTCTAGTGTGGAATTTTACCACTGCAGCTGGATGCATCCGTCCATTTTGGTTCTCAAAGTTTATTTTTCCAATCTTAAACTTGAGCTTGTCATTTTTCTGCGACGATTTGCAGACCATGAAAATTTGTCAGCGTTGTAATGCAAAATTTCTCCCAATAAACAGCTTTTTGTATGCAGTTTTGCCTAACAAAACATTTTTGCAAGCGATTTCCCCAAAGATAATGAATTACTGTGTGTTATTTTCACTGTTACATGCATTTTTGCACACGCTTTCCCAAGTACGCATTTATTGACTAGAGAGATGCATTGCAAAACTGTACAAATTTTGAGGGATGGCTGTGTTTTGATTTGCGTATTGTTTTGGAAAGTGAGAATTTAGTAAGTTCGCCTTTAAATGCAAACTGATTGGATTTCTCCCCCCGTGTCTTAAGTACCACAAGATGTAGCAATGGATAATGTCTTAGCTAACTCATCAAAAAGGACTAGATAAACCCATTGAAAATAAAGGCATTGCAGCCTGCGGCTCATAAGTACAGGCAACTCTGTTTGCGCAGGGGTTGTGTTTTGGGTAATTGTGTGCGTCAGCAGTCAGGCATAAACCCGTGTTGTCCATTGTGCCCTGTTCCGTCCCTGTTCTGCCCTCTTCCGGGGTCAAAAGTGCTGTTAATGTTGTAATAAACAAAAATCTGCCCTTATTCCCTTATGGGGGACACAAGAGCCCTTACAGAGTCCTTTGTAGGTTCTCCATCGGTCAGAGAAAATAACAGGCCAACCAGAGAATATTGAGAAGTCAAGCAGCTCATAAGCCTGATCTTTATTGAACTGTTGCAACAGGGTGCTCCCCTCACAGGCAGGAAAGGAGGAGTTTAGTTCAGCAACATCTTGAAGGCCAATGACAGAGGGTTTTTCAAAAACAGAAGGAGCGTCCAGAGGTGTGCATGATCAGGTCCTCAGACGAGAAAGGGCAATGGACTATATCCTTTGTTCCTAATCCTCCTGCAAGTAATCCTAATCCATTTCAGTTTGCTGTCTTTCCTTGTCACGTGGGAAGGCTCTTAAGACCTCTTAGAGCAACATTGAGTAAATAAACCAAACACTTCACATACAGGGGGCAAAAAAAAGGGGGGAATTTGCCCTTTCTCCCTACGGCAACTTTATCTAGAAGAGAATGCTCATCTTGTTAAACCTCCGGAGATCGTTTATTCAGTCTGGAGTGTAGAAAGCTGTCTTGGAAGCACTTGAGAATTAACAGCTGTCTTATAAATGCATACAGCTAGCAGGAAAAACCAACCTCCGAAATCAAGTAGACATCCCATCAAGGCTTCAAAGGCAGAAGAAGCCCTCTCTATAGCAGGCATCGGGATTAAGGTATGGTTTTCCCCTCCTCTTAATTGTCATGAATTTCTATTTACGTACAGGCATATTGACCAAAACATCTCCTCTTCAGCCTATATGTAAGAAGATCACTCAGAAGTCAGTCATGAATTTATGACTGGTGATTTATCATGGTGATTTGTTAGATTTCATGCTCTCTGTTCACCATAAGATCCCAGGGCAGGTTATGTAAGAATACGGTATAAAAATCAGTTAAAACAATTTACAATCAGAAGAATAGGGTGGGTCCTAAACTTATATACCTTAGGTGTCAAACGTCTGGCAAAGAGGTGTATCTCCGGACCCTCCTAGTATCCCTATTTTCCAGGGACAGTCCCAGATTTACAGAAGCCTTCCCAGTTTCTGCTTTGATTCCAAAATGTCCCGTTTACCCTTAGGATGTCCCCGTTTTCATCAGAGAAATGTTGGAGGGTATGGTAGGATGTCCAATTTTTCGTCGGAGAAATGTTGAAGGGTATGCAATACCTAGAATTCTTTGAGGGAAAGAATGTAATTCAAATGTGCCCTAAAGGAATACTGCACATGCAGTTTGAAACTCTGGCAGTTTGAAAGTAACGTCACAGCAGTTCAACCAACGATGGAGGAAGAGAAGACAAATTTGTCAATTTCTCGTTTTTCCAATCTTAAATTCGGTTCTCTGTATTTCTTCATCAGCCTGCAATATTTTTTTTGAAGTTCTCACAAACATTCCTAAGCATTTTAGTACAAATTTCTCCTGATATGCACATTTTTGTATACCATTTCTCCGAACACAAATTTTTCAAGACAATTTCCCCTCATGCGATGCATTTTTATGTCGTTGTCATTAATATATTCATTCTTATGCACACTGCACCCCAGTGCAGCCATTTTTGTCCACATTACCGAGTCAACAGCATCTCAAAATCCAGAGATGTGCAAATTCCAAAGTATGGGCTGTGCTCTGGTTTGTGGATTGTTTCAGAAAGTGCAAATTAGGTCAATTCATCTTAATGGGAGTGAATCAAATTTCCTCCCCATCCCTAGAGGAGAGCAATCGCTCACAGGTTGGGGACTACTGGCATGTAGCTTTTGTACATTTAAGATACTGTGTTTAATTGCAATCCAATAGGTGTGTTGCTCAAAGATTATGGGATGTGGTAGTTCTACACACAGCACCTTTGTGTCCAAGACAAACAGAGGTAAGTTATTTATTTCCTTTCTGAAACATTTTCAGTGTTGTTTTCTGATGTCCTTTCTGAGTAAACATCCATATGTTCCTCCTTTCTCACTAGGCCATGAATTGCCAGATGCTTCACATCCTGGTAAGTTAACGTTCTATAATCTCTCCAGTAGGAAATTGGGTGGCCCTGTGAAATTTGACAACGCACAGACAAGGCAGGCATTTAGTCATATTCAGGGGGGGACACTGGCCATGCAGAAATGGATTACTTTGTAGATCTGAGTGGCTCATATGGTGTTCTCCAGATGTTGCTAAACTACAACTCCCTGACTTTGGCTATTGGGAGATGTAGTTCAAAAAGCATCTGCAGAGCTACAGGTTAGCCACCCCTGTTGTTGACAGTCAAGTCCTGCTTCTCCTTTACTTCCTATAAATTAAAATTGTCGTTGATGCAAAATACATTTTACTGATGGTCAACAATCTAAGCACACACATTATTATACATCATTTCATATCTAATAATGATGCTATATAGATGTTGACACAACTTGGTTATTCAGTATTCTGTATTCAGAAACGTTTAATTGAGCATTCTGCATGCTGCTGTTTTATTTTTTCCAATTATATATTTTTAAGTTTCAACATTTTTAACATAATGCAGTGAAAACACAATTTCGTCTTTTATTTTTGTCGACTTCCCACCCAGTTTTCCATCGAGTTGCTGTTTCTCCCTTTCTGCTACACCCTATGTTCTTTCCATCAAATCATAAACACAGTATTATTTACAGTCATACCTTGGTTTTCGAACAGCTTAGTTCTCAAATGTTTTGGCTCCCCAACGCCGCAAACCCAGAAGTGAGAGTTCTGGTTTGTGAACTATTTTTGGAAGCTAAACATCCAATGGGGTTTCTGCAATTTCCGATTGGCTGCAGGAGCTTCTTGCAGCCAATAAGAAGCCACGCTTTGGTTTCCGAACGTTTTGGAAGTCAAACAGACTTCCGGAACAGATTCTGTTCAACTTCCGAGGTACGACTGTACTTTTATTCTCGTTTTATTTAACTATGCATCTCGTATGTAATAAATAATTTATTTATATTTATAAAAAGAAATCTAAACAAGGTCTATGGAAGAACAGCATGTCAGAAAGTCTGAGTGAAGGGAAAAACCAATGAAGGAGCATGTGAAGAATGTTCATTCTCCTGTGGAAAGCATGGAAGGAAAGAAGTTCTTCCCTGCCCACTATTGTTGATCTTAGCTGGGGTTGGTGGAAACCGGAGTCCAGCAATATCAGGAGAGCCACTGGCTCCCCATCTCTTTTGAAAGCGCAAACCCTCACTATATGTCAGGCTTCGAGGAAGCGGCTTCCTCCCTCCCATTGGATAAGCAGAACAAAGCAAAAATAGTTTCTCGTCATTTAAAGAGTTTTTAATGATCATAGCGAAAGAACAAAAAGTCCATCTCACAGTAAAGGTGCTCCCAATTAAGGTTTCCACCCACTTTCTCCGTAGTCACCCCTGTCTCTTCCGCGCCTTGCAACCTGATCTTGCAACCACCGTGCTTTTTGTGTAGCCACCTTACATAGCTGTCAACGTTTCCCTTTTTTAAAATTCCCTTATTCTGAATAGGATTCCTCGCAAGAAAAGGGAAACGTTGACAGCTATGCCACCTTATCTGCTCTATGTGACCTTGGACTGATAGACTTGGCAATCTCCAGTGAGAGAGAGTCTGTTCTGTCTCTTCCAGTTCTTCTTCGCTTTGCTGTTCATCCCCCCAGTTCTTCCCAACTTCTGTCTTCAGAACTATGCCCCTCTGCAAACCACTGTTCCAAATCTATACTGCTCCCCTGCTCCTGGGCAGCTTCAGAAGGGGAAGGCTCCCACCATTCCTCATCAGAGCAGTCCTCCTCAGCCTGGTCTCTGACATTATATGACAATTCCACTGAATTTTCTCTGGCAGGAGAGAAGCTTCAGTTTGGAACTTTACTCCTGCTGAAGGTTCTAGCCAATGAGGTCAGGACTTGTTCTTCCTGCTTTGCATCCGATTTTCCCATTGGATGGTTTCAGACAATGAACCCGTCCAGCTCAAAATGGGTTGATTGGCTTGTTTTGGAAGCCAGGAAAAGCCCTAGAACACACTAGCATTCTGGATGAATCAGTCGTACAGTTGGGAGGGATGAACAAGAAAAAAAGTGCCAAGAATTTGGCTGAAGAAAATAAACCATCCTTTAAGCTCTTCCCTTTTTCGGGTGAGTGCCAGTCCCGATTTTCCAGGGACACTCCCAAAATTGCAAAAGCCATCCTGGCTTCTGATTTGACCCTGGAATGTCCCTATTTCCCCTGCAAGTGCTATTGGTGTGTGTTTAAGGGATTTTCTTAGTATGGTGGAATGTGTGTGTGCTATGTCCCACACATACAGTGTGAGCCTGTGTGGAGCCAGTGTGGTGTAGTGGTTAAGAGCGGTAGACTCGTAATCTGGTGAACCGGGTTCGCTTCCCCACTCCTCCACATGCAGCTGCTTAGGCTAGTCACACTTCTCTGAAGTCTCTCAGCCCCACTCACCTCACAGAGTGTTTGTTGTGGGGGAGGAAGGGAAAGGAGATTGTGAGCCGCTTTGAGACTCCTTAAAAGGTAAAGGGACCCCTGAACATTAGGTCCAGTCGTGACCGACTCTGGGGTTGCGGCGCTTATCTCACTTTATTGGCCGAGGGAGCCGGCGTACAGCTTCCGGGTCATGTGGCTAGCATGACCAAGCCACTTCTGGCGAACCAGAGCAGCGCACGGAAATGCCGTTTGCCTTCCCGCCGGAGCGGTACCTATTTATCTACTTGCACTTGGCCATTCTTTCGAACTGCTAGGTTGGAGCAGGGACCGAGCAACGGGAGCTCACCCCATCGCAGGGATTCGAACCGCCGACCTTCTGATTGGCAAGTCCTAGGCTCTGTGGTTTAACCCACAGCGCCACCCGCATCCCTTGAGACTCCTTAGGGTAGTGATAAAGCGGGATATCAAATCCAAATTCTTCTATTGGTGTGGAGGTGGTGGCAGCAGTCGCCCGTCTTCTGATAGGAACTGCTCGGGGGGCGGGGAATACGGAGGTCAGTTGGTGGGGAGTCAGAAATGTCCCCATTTCCACCTGAGAAATGTTGGGAGGGCATGGAGTGCTAGGAAGAATGGAAAACACAAGACTGTTGAACATGACGTGCAAATATGTTTATGTGCTGCTGCTTCCTGCACCTAGGGGAGCCAAACAGGTTGCACTCCCCTAGATCTGCCTTTGTTGGGGGGTAGAGGGCTTTGGGGTGTGTCAGATATTGCCCTCATTTGGGCGAGGGGAGAGGGAAGGAGACCAAACCAATGGCGGGAGCTGTTTAACAGTTGAACGGACTACTTCAGAAGGAGGTGGGCTCTACTTCTTTGGGGTTTTATAAACAGAGGTTGGCTAGCCAGAGATTTCTGATTGCTGAATTGTGGTCCCTTGTGGCCCTACAATTCTATGAACAGCAAGAATATCTCCTACCAGATCTTAATTTCTTCAAAGGGTTCCCTCTCCCATTTCTCATACCACACCGGTGGCGTAGGGTGGGTTGCCAGTGTCCGGGGCCGTTCTACCCATCTGAAAAGCTCCTAATGTTTCTTCCCTTCTCCAAAGAGCTTCTTGGACAATCAGAAAGGACAGGGTTGTGAGCTGCCTGCCATTTTACTTACCCACAATGCCACAGTGGTGCGCTGCTATGGCACAATGTGGGCTATTTAAAATGGCGGGCTGCTTCCTAGGCCCAATCCCTACTACCAGTTAAGTCGATGGCTGAAGAAATGGATGGGTGGCAGTGCCAAACTTCTGTGTCATGTGGACTCTGCCATGATACCTGGCCCCAACAGCTGCCCAAGGTTGCTGGCTGCTGATGTCAGCTGTTTGATGGGCTTCATGTTTCTGTACTCCAAAAAGCAAAAGGCTATATCACACATCTCTCTTTTTGTATCTCAGCCTTCAGAGGAGCTATCCTGATCCAAACCTGGTATCGACGCTATGTGGCCCGGCTTGAAATGCGCCGAAGATGCACATGGCGCATATTTCAGTCCATAGAGTATGCGGGAGAGCTGGATCATCTCAAGGTATGATGGCAAAGGAGGAAGGCAGAGGGGAAATTCTTCCTTCTGCCTGTTCTAGTTTTGCTGTTGGTAGCGGTAAAAGGAATTTAGCGCTCAGAATTAGTCTCCTGATTCTCATCTGTCCCCAACACAGCCCAGAATTTGCTGGAAGTACAACAGCAGGGAGCATTCGGTTTGGAACCTAAGGGTTAATTCTGTTCATAATTAGTAGGTGGGGTGGGGTGGAGGTGTTGCCTAGCAACCAACCAAGATGGCATGATCCATGCTGAGGTAACTCGTGCTGATTGGCTGGTTAGTTCTAAGGGAGTTTTCCTCTTGTACGCAGAACTGAATATTTTTCTGATATGTTCAAGGCCCAAAGTAAGAGAGACAAAATCTTTCCCCACTCAAATTATATACTGTTTTGGTTCAGTTGTCCACAGTCAAGTGTTATAAGGGTTTATTTTCTCCCTGGTCTCCATCTGTGTTGCTAACAGAATTCAGTGATCCAAATGCACTCTAAACCCTCTGCCTAAGTACTTTCATGCAAGCATAACTCAATCCAACAGTGCTCTCATTCAGTCTTTGCTATCCTCGTTTTGACCTGCAACTCCCATATGTATATGTAGGCATGTATGAGGGCCTTTATCAGTAAGAGCATGGTTGAGGACCTTGAAATATTGGATCTTCCTCCATTATAGAGCCCTATCCCCTAATTCTCTACTTTACGATCTTTTAAGTGATAGTGCAATCTACAATCTATCATTGATTTGTAGGAGAAAACTGGATTCGATAGGGCTCACTCTAATTGATTTTGAAACCTCTGATCCCAAAGACATATGGGAAATTATCAGGAAGACTCTTACAGAAAAAAGTGTTCTCGCCATGCTTGAGGCTGCAAAGCACAGCACTTGCTCTCCTATCCACTTAAATCTCCCTTTGTGTAGAGATTTCCAAAAGGGATACATGACAAATCTGAAGAAACATGAATCGTGTAGGCTGTTTATGTTGGCCAGATTCAACATGTTTCCCTCGGTGGTAGTGAGAGGAAGATACTTAGCTATCCCAGAATCAGAGCGTCTCTGCAAATGCAGAAAACAGAAACCCGATACTCTAGAGCATATATTCTTTTCCTGTGATTTTGGTAGTTCTGCCAGAAAACAATTATTTGAGGCCCTAAAAGTTAATAGACAGATTTTTACTCAACCAACTGTTCAGGACCTGCTGGCGGACAGCGATGATCAAACCACTATAATAGTGGCTGAATTTTTAAGTGCTGTCCATGAAGAAAGAATGGGCCATGATAAAGAGACTTAGTGGTTTTTAATGGTAGGTGATGTTGCTGTGTTGTTGTATTATATTATCTATGTACATCGATTTATTTCTTGGAGTTAAGAATAGGACTGGGATAAATTGTGTTCGCTGAGCCCGTATTTTATACAGTCTGTATATGATGTTTGTTTGTTACTGTGTGGTGTGCTATGCCTAATAAAGGATTTAAAAGTAAAGTATGAGGGACAGAGGGGGCAGAAAACTCCAAACCCAAACAGCCCACTGAGCATCCTCAGAGTGTGTGCTGGAAGGAGAAGCACTGCACACTCCAAAATTACATGGCATGTGCCAGCTTTGCACATCCTCTGAATCACATGCAGCCCTGTGTGGCACAGTGACCTAGTGTGAGTTGGGGGGCACAGGGTTGATTGCCCTAGGCACAAAATCAATTAGGGGCACAAAATTTCTTTCCTTTTCTTTTTTTTGAAATCAATTTTATTTGATTTTTCCAAATGCAAATTAGTTACAGTGCCAAATACATATCCATAAAATGAGATTTCTCTGAATCTCGCAACTTCCCCCCATCCCCTCCGTGGGTCCTATTGTCAACATTTCCAACTGCATATTATTTCATAGTCTGTGTTTTGTATCCATCCATGTTGTCCTTAATATTTGTTACATTACAAGTGGGATTAAAATCCTGCTAATGTTTTCATGCCGTGAATTTCAATTTCTTATCTCTGTGGCTGCGTTCTCCTGGGTGACGTGGACACCGACAGGCAGCCGAGTGCGAATGTGTACTCTGTCTGTTTCTCTCCCTTCCATCCCAGCCTCTCCACACGGCCCCAGGCTCTGGCAATCCATGCTACGTCACTGGTGTGGCATGAGAAATGGGAGAGGGAACAGAATGGGAGGGAGAGGCTATGGCAGGGGAAGAGAGTACAAAGATGGCTTAATGATAGAAGTTGACAGCATTCTTCTTGTCTTCCGCAGCTCAACCATTTCTTTGACTACCTTATGACCTACTTCACGCCAAGCAACAACAAAGACAGTAAGCTCAAAAATGGGGAAATACAGTTTGTATTATATATTACTCTCTCTCTTGTCAGGGCAACTAAATTTTGTGACCTTGTATGCGTTTCGCAAACCGATCAAATGTGGAAATGTTGGTACAGTGTACCTCGGTTCTCAAACATCTCTGTTGATGAACGTTTCGGAATACGAATGCTGAAAACCTGGAAGTAAGTGCTTCTGTTTCCGAACTCGCCTCGGAAATTGAACGGCTTCCGCTGCGTGTTTGTCAATTTTCTCAGTTGAATTTGCAGACAGCCCTTTGCACCTTGGTTTTCAAACGTTTCAGAACTCGAACAGTCTTCCGGAAATGATGATGTTCAAGAACTTAAGGTACCACTGTACCTACAAATCCTGGATAAATAGCTCTGGAGCAGGGGTCAGCAAACTTTTTCAGCAGGGGGCCATTCCCCTGTCCCTCAAACCTTGTGGGGGGCTGGACTATATTCTGAAGGGGGGGAGAACGAATTCCTATGCCCCACAAATAACCCAGAGACACATTTTAAATAAAAGCACACATTCTACTCATGTAAAAACACCAGGCAGGCCCCACAAATAACTCAGAGATGCACTTTAAATAAAAGGACACATTCTACTCATGTAAAAACATGCTGATTCCCAGACCATCCGCAGGCTGGATTTAGAAGGCAATTGGGCCGGATCCGGCCCCTGGGCCTTAGTTTGCCTACCCATGCTCTGGAGTGTACAATCCAGATTTATATTTTGGAAAACTGCACCTTTAAGAACCGTTGGGTTTAACCAAATTGGACACAATGTTGAAGAGCAAGTTTTTATGTCTGTGTTTGGATACCATCACATCAAGATGGTTGACTGAACCCTTCCAAATGGCACTGACTTGAACCACGGGCTCTGATTGGTTGGTTTCTTAGGATTCTTGAGCCAATACAAGGCCAACTAACTTGTAGCTAACTGAACAGCACTCAGGTGTGTTAATTTTCATGAAGTGCTCACCTCTTTAACTGTCAGCAGGTGGCCTTTAGAATTGTTTCATTGCCTTCAGACTATTCTGATGCTTTCAATTGGTGTTGGCATTTGGTTTGTTTGTTTGTTTGTCTCTATTATAATTGTGTCTTTTTGGCTTTGGCGTGGTTTTAATTTCTCTGGCTTTTACGCGATACTCGTAAGATGCCTTTGAGGCTGCATGTGAGAAAGGGGTTGGGGAAAAAGGTCATCTAAGAAACCGAGTTGCTTATTTTGCATCATAGAATGTTAAGAGTTGGAAGGGACCCACGTTTCCACGTGGAAATAACTAAATTAATGGTTATTATTACCCTGAGTAGTACTGAGTTTTAAAAAAAAAGAGGAATGCAAATGGGTAAAATTGATGGTAATTACAGCCAGACACGTTATAGTGAGTAATTGGAAAAATGCAGAAGAGCTAGGGGTGAACCAATGGAGGGAAAAACTGAATAATATTATAATATTAGAATACCTAACTGTGAAGATACATAGAATGAAAGGGTTTAAGGTCAGTGAGAAAGAGGAGGATTGGTTTGAGATGATATTGAATTATTTGAGTAGGTTTGAACAATTTGGGGCAATTAAAATGTTAAAAGTTAAATAAACCTTGTGGAAGGAGGAGTGTTACGGTATATAGAAGTGTACGTATGGTTAATTTGAATATGTTATTATTGAATATTATTGAATATGTAGATTATTGAATATGTAGATTATTGAATATTGTATGCCCAATGTATCAGCCGCCTGGGGGGTTTCACTGTTTGTGTTTTGGTGGTTGGTAAAAATAAAATAAAATTAAAAAGAGTTGGAAGGGACCCCACGGGTCATCTAGTCCAACCCCCTGCAATGCAGGAATCTCAGCTAAAACTTAACGCTGCTGCTGCTGCTGGCCATGTAGAGAAGCAAAGAGCCACATTCTAGCAGCCAACCGTCTTGGTTTTCATTCCACCCTAGGAGATTTCCTTAACCGCATATTGTCAGAACCTGAAATCATCTTTGACCCCAAGCTCGAAAAACCCATTGAAACCTTTGAATCCGTTGTGGTGCCAGACACCTATGTGGGGCCTCGCCTTTCCTTCCCACTCGTGCCTGAGGATGCCACTAACTTACTGGAAGCATACCAACACGAGCAAGTAAGTATCTTCACAGTAGCCGTCTACTTTTACCTCAGTTTTGGCTTGCAGAAGCTCCTGCTAGGTAAAGAAGGAAACTGAAGGGGAATTTCTGTAGCTCAGTGATACACAGCATTTGTGAGGTCCAGGCTGGGAAGGACTCATCTCCTTAAATCCCTGGAGAACCACTGCCAATCATTGTATGCCTGGGATGAGAAATTTGTGGTCTGCCAGATATTGTTGGACTACAACTTGTTCATGTTCCTTCTGGGATCGTTTGTCCACCTTTGGTCCTATGCTGTAAACGTACTTCTTTACCTTGGCCTTTGACACCTGAGCAGGTGCCGTAACTAACCCTAACTTTGCCTGGCGCAAACCATAGGTTGCTATTTGTATAAACCAGGGGTCAGCAAACTTTTTCAGCGGGGGGCTGGTCCCCTGTCCCTCAGACCTGGTCGGGGGCCGGACTATATTTTGGAAAATAATAATAATAAACGAATTCCTATGCCCCACAAATAACCCAGAGATGCATTTTAAATAAAAGCACACATTCTACTCATATAAAAACACCAGGCAGGCCCAGCAAATAATCCAGAGATGCATTTTTAATAAAAGCACACATTCTACTCATGTAAAAACACGCTGATTCCTGGACCGTCCGTGGGCTGGATTTAGAAGGCGATGGGGCTGGATCCGGCCCTGGGGCCTTAGTTTGCCTACCCATGGTAGAAACAATAAGCAACCCAACCCCAAAATGCTTTGCTGATTTGGCTTCCCAGTATTTTACACCACAGCCAGTTAGCCGGCAACAGGGCCATGTGGCTGATGGCTCTCAGACCCCGGCCTTAGCAATAGCTGTGGGAATAAACTGTTCTGGAAAGCATGCGTTGGTTTAGAGAAGGGACATCACTTTCTCTGCCTTTACTGAGGATGTTGTCAACACACTCTGTCTGTGTGAAGTCATGGCTATTTGGAGAAAGACCGACTTTTGCCCTGGGAGCATCTTGGTACCCATAGGTGTCCAAAACAGGAGCAGTGAGTTTAGGGGTTTCTGCTGGAGCATTAAAGCTGCACCTGCTCCTAGGCTAAACTTTGATGTTTGCAAATGAATACAAATGCTGCGAAAAGCCATAGGACACCAAATCTGACTAAAGTTCTCCACCCCAGAAATCTCCCACCACTTGGAAAATTGGGGCATGCATAATGTCGTGTTGTTGTTTTACATTGTGAACTGCCTAGTTTCTGTAGAAATGCAGGGTATAAATTAGCGCAAGTAAACAGTTAATTGCTTCCTAATTGCTTCCCCCTGAAGGATCCTGGGAATTGTAGTTTGAGAGGCGAGCCAACGCTCTCCTCGATGGCTTTCTGTAATTTCCTCACTTTCTCCCAGTAGCATCTTCACGCTTACTATGTCCTAAGACTCTTGAGTGAGACTGAAAAGCATCTTGCCCAGCTTCCAAACATCACCTGCATCTCCACCTGCTACAGTGAGGAGATCACTGTATGTGGTAAGTGCTGTTGTTTACCAGCGCTGCTGAGGTACGTGCCTCAAGCACCGCCTCAGCCCATGTGATCTAATCCAGACCCTGTGCTCATTATTTGAGGCGCTTCTTCATATGCCAGCTCCATGAGAGGTACGGAGGGTGGCAACACAAGAAGAGGCCTTTTCTGTGGTGGCTCCCCACTTGTAGAATGCTCTCCCCAGGGAGATTCGCCTGGTGCCATAATGATATATTTTCAGGCACTGGGCTAAAAGTTTTCACTCTCTCCAGGCCTTTTGCCTTTAACTACCTGTGGCTTTTTAGAAATGGCTGGGATGTTTTTAATGTCTTGTTACGAGTTTGTAGGTGCTAGAATTTAATTAAGGCTTGTGGCATCAGAAGCCAATTAGGATAATCTAGTCTCCTGTGTGAGGTGATGGCTGGACCCATGGGTGTATTTGACCTGTGTATTTCCAAACCCTCTGAAATGAGCATGTGTGGAAAGCTAATTTTGTTAGGCAAGCTTCCTAAACTGTGTATTAGGCACCTCTAAAGCCTAGGAAATCAGCTTGTATTAAAAGCCAATTAACTCAGCCTAATTTCCTTGGCGGTGTTATCCTGTGGGGGTATCGATCCATTAGCACAGCAATGGCTCAAAGGAAACTCTGTGAGGTGACAATCTGTCCTAAATCTTCCAACATACAAACACATTGGAGATAAGAGGAACTGGTGTGTAACTGAAACAGATCTGGAGAAGGGAGACAGGTGAGGGAGACAGGTTGGGCATCTACAACAGAGTGCGCTTTGCTAGGATACTAGTACCTGCCCTTTCCCCACTCTTAACATGAAAGAGCAGTGTGCCTCTAAGAACGTACAAAGTGCATTTTCTTCCAAATATTAATGACCAACTGTAGTCTACCTTTCTTCCACATTTAAACATAAAGAGCAGGGCTAATGAACATCGCTTCCATTCAGATAATTTCCAACATCTGTCTTTAGAAACCAGGCACTGCCCCTTCCACCTTTCTTAACAAACTGTATAACTTGTTTTCCATGGGAAAGTAATGCGATTGAAGAAACCCTGGTAGAGCAGAAACAACTCTTGCTGTTCCAGAAAGGAAACCTATGATGGTGTCGTGGACTGGTTAGACTCAGAGGAATGGTGGGAGGAACCAGCTGGGGAATCCCCAAGGGAAGAAGGCGCAGAACCAGGAGAGGCATGATAAGGGCAGAGGAGAGATTGACTATGTGAAGGGGCACAGTCCCCGATTGCTTGGGGGGAAACCTGGAGAGGAGGAGGCTTAGGCAGCTGTGGGGAGTCAGGGACCACCTATCTCAGCAACTGCTTCATGGGGGCGAGACCTGCCAGAGACAAGTCGCTGCGCTGATAAGGCCCGACACTCCTGTGCAGATGGTGTTTTTTCTAATAAAGAGTTAACTCCAGCTTGCTCAGTGCGATTTACTGCTGGCTCGCTTCTGGCAGATGGTGCCAGGCAGACCTTCATGGGGAGAAAAGCCACAGTTCCCTGGGAAATATAACCTTGCTCAGGGCGATTTACTGCTGGCTCGCTTCTGGCAGATGGTGCCAGGCAGACCTTCATGGGGAGAAAAGCTACAGTTCCCTGGGAAATATAACCACAGTTCCCAGGTCCAGTGGTATGGTCCGAAAGCACATGGCACCACCAGCTTGCTGAAGCTAAGCAGGTTTGGGGCTGGTCAGTGCAGGGAAGGGGGACGACCTGCGAACTACCGAATAACACGTTGGGTTTCACAGCAGAAGGAATGTGGGCTATAGAGCGTGAGAGGGGGGTGGGAATGTGAATAAACCATCACCATGAATGGAATACACTGCTTGATGTGAAATGCTTATAACTTTAAACCACAAAGCCGACTTTTTGCCCCTTTCATTTATTAGGAGATTTGCACGGGCAGCTGAGTGACTTATTCCTCATTTTCTACAAGGTACGTAAAGAATACGCCTTCGCATTACATGTACAGCCGCGTGCCAAAATGCAACATATATATTTTTTTGGAATCATTTTTATTTGATTTTACATATATAAATTTATAACAATCCAAACGCAAATCCATGTATAGAAGTTACTCTGAATCCAAGACAGGGAAAAATTGGTTTTTAATACGTAAAAATTTAATGTTATAATATATCAAGATTAAAGATCAGGATTAAAAAGGAGGGAAAGGAATTGCTGGACTAACAAATTGAATTGGAATACAAAAGAGGGAGGTATGAGGAGGTCCGGGAAACAAGTAAATGTAAAAGAAGTGATGAAAAGATGGAACTATTTTTAACTGTTTTTTCTTTTTTGTATTTTGTATTTTGTATTTTTATTGTTAATTTTCTGATTAATGTAATCTTTTTCTTTTGAAATTTTAATAAATATCTTTAAAAAAAAAAAAAGAATCTCGAGACTTCGCCCCCATCCCCTCCACGGGTCCTATTGTCAACATTTACAACTGCATATTATTCCATAATCTATATTTTGTATCCATCCATATTATCCTTCGTATTTGTTACATTACAAGTGGGATTAAAATCCTGCTAATGTTTTCATCTGCTTACAGTGGTCTCTTAAATAAATTATAAATTTCCCCCACTCTTTTTTTAAAAAAATTGTTCTCTTGGTTCTTGAGCTTTCCGGTCACCTAGTACATAAACAAAAAGAAAAGAAAACCCAGCCGCAAAGAAAAAAAAGAGAAACAGAAAAACAAAAATATAAAGTCCTTTACAATCTCTATTGACTTCCTTTCTAGACTTCCTCCTCCTCCCTCTTTTGTTTCTTAATTTTTAATTTTTACAGCAAATCCTTTCTGTTTTTTTCATAACAATCTGTCATTACGTTTCCTTGTTCTATTTTCCCTCTTGTCATATAAAAACTTTAAGACTCATAACTTATATTCAATATTTACCAAATTCTTGCATCATTACCTTTTTACGAATCATTTACCAATCCTTATTTAAGCCATGTAATTTCATTCAACATCCTTCAAACATTTGTAAGCATTCCCAATATTAAAAGATAAAAAGGAAAAAATAATAAGTCAAATTCAGTCCAATCAGCTTCCAACCTCCCTCCCCTGGACCCGGATTGTCAGTCCTTTCAACCTCGATAATCCGGCTCCTTAACCTGGTTGTCTCGTGATCCGAGGCCCTCAAGTCTCTTTCTTGCCCCTTTCGCCACTCTTGTTGATGATTCCTTTCCAGTCGTGGATGCTCCAGCAAGAAAATGCTTTTGACCCTTTGCAGCAAGTCCATCCCAAACCCATTGCCCAAGCCAGACAGCAAATAATACCACTTCAAATTTCCACAAAGCTTGGAGACTTCGGCTACTCCAATCCTCTGATAGCCCATCACTAGACTCGGAAGGTCCAAATAACCATGTGGAGGGGGGTCGATCCATCCCCCCATTTCCAAATCTGACCACATTTCATCTTTCCGAATCTGGTTTGTCCTAAGTTCATTTATCAAGTTCAAAGGCTGATCTTGCCCGGTCCAAAGGTCCCTCCATCTCTGAAGCCTCCGTCACTACAGCAGGTTCATATGCTTGTATAACCTTTTAACTGAATTTCATTTGTTTGCTGCTGTGCTCTGGTAACTTCCATCATCAAGGTCGTCTCCTGACGCATCTGGTCCAGCTGGGCACTTAGTTTTGAAAAACCTTCCAGGAACAATTGTTCAAGCCTTTGTACTAGCATTGTCCTTCAAGGTCGAAGAAAATTCTTTCCCACGACAATAGTCCAATAGTCCTTCTCTTTTAATCTCACTGCGTTGAAATTTCACTAAATTCCACTAGAAGGAAATTTTTTTTTTTTTAAAGGAATAAAAGCAACAGCAACAATCTTTCTTTTTCCAGAAACACTTTATCCAAAATTCCCCTTCCAAATTCAAGAGGCAACAGTAGAATCAAAATGTTACCCTTCTTTTAACTAACTGTCGAGCTGGATAAACTTCAGAACGTCAATTCTGACAGCCCGCTCCTGGTTCAGGGCGGTGGAAAATTGCTTTATTTTAAACTCACTTCCGCAGGGTTGAAAAGTCCAAATACAACCCCCTTCTTCTCCTGCAGTCAAAGGGGGTTCTAGAAATCTTAGATGTTGAATTCTAGTTCTCTTAGAATTTAATTTTCAAGCTTTAGTATATTTTGTCTTTGCTTTCTTCACATAACAAAAGAACGGAAGGCGACTTCCTGTTTAGACCTTCCCATTCCGAGTCCCAATTAAGTTCAATTTCAAGTCCAATATTATTTGTTTATTCACCAGTCTTAAAAGTGGTTCAACTCTTCCAAGATCAGGTACTCACGGATAGATATTTTAGATGCCAAATTGTCCAGGAAAAGGCAGCGCTCTCCGATAACGGCAGTGCGGCTTTGCTGCACGGAGGAAGCAGTCGACTCACAGCACCACGCACCTCCCACTCCGGAGCCCGCTACCGGGCTCCTGTACAAGGGGAGAGAGCGCCTCGGTGCCCGCCGAGTCCCACGTCCACAGGCTTCTTCCGCCTGTGGTTTTTGAGGGTCCCCGCTGCGCCGTAGCGGCAGGACCCAAGCCTCCGTGCAGCGGGTTCCCTTCAGTCCGAAGGGAATTCCGCCATTTTCCGGAGGCGCCACCCCGGAAGTCATTGCCATTTCTTTTCTTTTTTAAAAAATAATTTTTATTGAATGATTTTATGTTACAAAAAACATTACAACCATACTACCACTAAATATAATTGAGAAATAAAAATTACAAAAATGAAGGTTTACTTCACACACCCCAGCACCCCAGGCCAGAACCAGTTAGGAAGATGCTTCCCTTAAAAAATAATAATAATAAATATTTTTTATTTATACCCCGCCCTCCCCAGCCAGAGCCGGGCTCAGGGCGGCTAACACCAGTCAAATTACAATAAAAACATAATAGGGGGGAAAATAAATTTAAAATACAGGTTAAAATACAATTTAAAATGCAGCCTCATTTTAAAAGTAGCCCATAGATCAAAACCATAAGGGGAGGAAAACTTAAGGGTCAGACTGAGTCCAAACCAACTTCCAGACAGAACAGCTCTGTCTTGCAGGGCCTGCGGAAAGATGTCAAGTCCTGCAGGGCTCTAGTCTCTTGTGAAAGAGCGTTCTACCAAGTCAGGGCCAGTACTAAAAAGGCCCTGGCCCTAGTTGAGACCAATCTAACCACCTTGCGACTTGGGACCTCCAAAATGTTGTCATTTGTGGACCGCAAGGTCCTCCGCAGGGCATACCAGGAGAGGCGGTCCCATAGGTATGTGGGTCCTAGGCCACAAAAGAGTGTATCTGCCCCCTGACCTATCTGCCTGGGTAGGATTGCTCTGCCTGTGTTGTTGGGTAAAGGTGTCAGGTTGTCCCCTTGCCTTTAAATTTACAGCTGGAGATCTTCTCAAAGCTTTGCAGAGTGGGAGCTGTGGAGGGTGGCTGGTAGAAACTTCCAATCATTTTGTCTCCAAATTTAGCATTTGGTAAGCATTTGGCATGTGGGTGGCGCTGTGGTCTAAACCACAGAGCCTAGGGCTTGCCGATCAGAAGGTTGGTGGTTTGAATCCCCGCGACGGGGTGAGCTCCTGTTGTTCAGTCCCAGCTCCTGCCAACCTAGCAGTTCGAAAGCATGTCAAAGTGCAAGTAGATAAATAGGTACCGCTCCAGTGGGAAGGTAAACAGTGTTTCCATGTGCTGCTCTGGTTCGCCAGAAACGGCTCAGTCATGCTGGCCACATGACCCAGAAAAACTGTCTGTGGACAAACATCAGCTCCCTTGGCCAGTAAAGCGAGATGAGCACTGCAACCCCAGAGTCGTTTGCAACTGGACTTAATTGTCAGGGGTCCTTTACTTTTACCTTTACCTACGTACTTCCTTTATGACTGTTGTTGTTTTTCCATTGCAGAATGGTATTCCCTCTCCACAAAAGTTTTATGTCTTTAATGGTGACTTTGTGGACCGAGGCAAGTGTTCCATAGAAGTCCTGATCATCCTCTTCGTCTTCCTTTTGGTTTACCCGAAGGAAGTCCACCTGAACAGAGGGAACCATGAGGACTATATGATCAACTTACGGTATGGCCCCTGAAAACACGTTTCAGGAATTAAGAAATGTATGGGTTATGTTAATGGGCATCTACTTACAAGTCCTCTCTTCTCTTGATCTCTAGCTATGGTTTCACCAAGGAGGTCACGCGCAAATATAAGGTAAGCTTGTTTGTGAACCTTAGACTCACAGACGTTCTCAAAAGTCATCTAGTCCAATCTGCACTGTCAACACAAGAAATCCACTGCTACAATCCTGCTGAGATGTAGCCATCTTAAGAACAGAGGATAGTCCTTCACCTTCTAAGAGAGGCTTCCCCACCCAATTATGCCATGTTTTAGTTTTTGCTATTTTGGTTAAAGTATCAGTTCCTTCTGGTGATTGCTTAGTTTGCAGTTTAAGGTTCCTCAACCTGTGTTGCAAATATTTATGGTATCGCCATTTGCAATTTGAATACTGCCCTCCACTGATGGGTTAATACTCTCAATGCCGCCAAAGAAACATTTATCATAACGCATCTGAGAAGGAACATTCAGAATCAATTTGTTGGATTTTGTATCACAGCTGTTTACAGCTGGACTCTTCTCTTGCAAAAGAAGATTGCGTTCTTTGTCCCTGTTCCTCTTGTTTGCCTCTTGCCAGTGTGGTGTAGTGGTTAAGAGCAGTGGACTTGTAATCTGGTGAACCGGGTTTGATTCCCCGCTCCTCCACATGCAGCTGCTGGCTGCATAGCTGTCAACTTTCAGATTTGAAAATAAGGGATCAGCAGCCTCGAAAATAAGGGATCAGCAGCCTCACCTGTCTCAGGGACAGTCTACGGGATATCTAACAATCCGGGATAGCAGTGGGAAGCAGCGGGAAACAGCGCTGGAATAAGGGAATTTCCCGCAAAAAAAGGGAAGGTTGACAGCTATGGCTGGGTGACCTTGGGCTAGTCACACTTCTCTGAAGTCTCTCAGCCCCACTCACCTCACAGAGTGTTTTTTGTGGGGGAGGAAGGGAAAGGATATTGTTAGCTGCTTTGAGACTCCTTAAGGGGAGTGAAAGGCGGGATATCAAGTCCAAACTCTTCTTCTTCTTCTCTTCTGGTTTTGATTCCCTTGTCCCTTGGACTTTTGTTGCTTAAATGAAAGGAATTTTGCTGGTTTGTGAATTTGGATATATGCCCTTCTTTGTTACATCTAAAATGAGTAACTTTTTGGTGGAGCCTTGACTTTTCCCTTAGTCAGACATATAATGGCTCAGGGCCTCAATACTTCAAGAATCACCCCTCTCCATATGAACTGACCCAGGCCCTGAGATGACTTTCTGAGGCTTTTCTTTGTGTGCCTCCTCCATGAGAGATCCAGAGGGTGGCAACACGAGAACAGGGCCTTTTCTGTAGTGGCTCCTCGATTGTGGAGTGCTCTCCTCAGGGAGGTTCACTTGGCACCTTCATTATACACCTTTAGACGCCAGGCAAAAACGTTCTTCTTTAACCAGGCCCTTGGCTGAATGATATTCTATGGCCTTTAAAATGTGTATTTTAGGGGGGTGTTGTTTTGTACTTTTATTGTGTATTCTTATGTTGTCACCCACCCTGAGAACTTTAGATGGTGTGGTATATATAATAATAATAATAATAATAATAATAATAATAATAAATAATGCTCTATCTCCCCAATGATGCCCCAGTACAAAAAAACAAGCTCAGTCTGTATTCTCACACTGTTAAATCGTCTGACACCCTGGTGAAGACTCCCATCATTTAGTAATTCTGAATATTTAGTAATCTCTGGCATTTGTTGACTCTAGGAATTAAGGGTGCTTTTGCACCCACAAACTCTGGGTCCTGGATACATATCAATATTTGTATATTATTGTATATAATTTTATATTTGTATATATGATAATAATAAATATATTATTCATTATGTAATATATCATTTTCAACGGTCATTCAACATCTTATACAATTTTTTTTAGACTTCCATCAACCACATCTGAAAATTTTCCAATTTTTTCAGTTAATTTACATTTCTTAATTTCACTATTGCTATTAATTATCTTATCTATTGACTCTCTCATCATAACCTCCCTTACAATATTTCACATATTACTCCTTACAAAACGTCTTGCAGTCCTACTAGCGTAACCAGTTGATTACGGTTGCTTTTCAAATAGTCCGCATATTTCTTCCAGTCTTCTGAGAATCTCTGGTCCCGCAGGTTTCGAATCCTTCCTGTCATCTTATCTAATTCTGCATAGTCCATTCATTTCGTCTGCCATTCTTCTTTGGCCAGTAGTTCTTCTTGTTTCCATTTCTGTGCCACGTATCAATATTTGTAGTGGGCCTTTCTCTCATTCTCCTTTACTGTTCCTGCCCTCCTTCTAGGAACACGGCAGCAAAATCCTGAAAGAGCTCAAGACGGTCTTCAGCTGCCTGCCTCTGGCCACCCTGATTGACCAGAAGGTCTTGATTGTACACGGAGGAATCTCGAATATGACTGATTTGGAGCGGCTAGCCACGGTCGACCGGCGCAAGGTACAGAGCCCTCCAGATCTTCCTCTACAGCAGCTTCTTGGCAAATAGGGGGCACTGTTGTTCTCCTCACACCTATAGGGAAGAAATAGCGGGGGCTGCCTTCTGGGGTCTCCTGACCTTTGCACCTGACCAATGTTACTCAGAGCGGCCCCCTGCCATGATTCCCACTTCAACCGTTGTTGGATAAGATGAATTTGATGCCCCACTCCTGATGTAGATCTTCATTTATGCTTTCTTCCCTGGCTGGAGGGAGGGATGACCGTTTTGTGGTTGACCTCAGGTGCCAAAATGTATTGTGCAGGACCTGCCTATGGAAACTGGTCCTTGGGTTGGGAAAGCTTCCTCATCCCTGCTCTCAACCCAGTTTTCCTTCATCTCCTCAATAGGATTTGGGTGGAGAGTTTGCATGACAAATCCCCTCTTCCCCTCCTTCTTCGACCTATCTGTGGGATGTACCGTATTTTTCGCTCCATAAGACGCACCTGACCATAAGACGCACCTAGTTTTTAGAGCAGGAAAACAAGGGGGGGGAATTCTGACTCAAATGTTGTACTAAACTATTTAAAACAGCAAAGCGGGCGGCTCCTGTCCGCTTTGCTGCTTTAAAGCGAGCCACGGTATATAATGAAGAGAATGGAAAAAGGATAGACATTCCATTACAATGTAGCTGTTTTCATTATCACTGGGAAGTCAGTATTGGCAGCAGTCATGTAAACTAAAATTTGAGCATTTTACTGTTATTCATCAAGAATGGTAATAGTCAGGGAGAGAAACCAGGACTGTGCAAATGAGAAGTGCTTGGAGTATGGAGGAACAGCAAAGAGATCAAGTGATTGCGCTCCAGTTCCTAAATCTGTGAAGTTTTCTCAAAATAGACATGGTTGTTTTGAAAGGAAGATTCAAAGAGTGGGAAATGGAGTGACTGAGCAAAGAACAGAGGAGGAAAAGCCTTCCTGCTGCTTGCAAACCTTGCCGGGGCTTCAGGGAAAAGCGGAGGCTTCTGGCAGAGCAGCGTGGCTCCTCCCCCCACCTCCAAAGAGCAGCCCAGGAGCGCAGGGCAACGCCGATTTGGCTCCAGGGACCACACATTCGCTCCATAAGACGCACAGACATTTCTCCTTACTTTTAAGGAGGAAAAAAGTGCGTCTTATGGAGCGAAAAATACGGTAATCCATTGGAGCAGTCAAGGGCAACATTCCTTGTTTGCCTAGAGTGGACACAGACGGGGGGGGTGTTGGTCCAGCCAGTTGAACTTCCTGTTACACCTGGTCTGGGGCATCCTCCCCCTGCCTGTGACCAGGTAGGTAGGCATGACCCTTGCAGACCCCATAAAAGGTCCAGTCACTCAGCCATCTCCCTCTTTTGAGGCCGTTTCTTCACATGGGCCAATCCTTGCAAGGATGTAAGCCACACTGTACCTGTAACTACAAGCTAAAGCTTCAGGGATCCAACTGTGAACTGAATGTGAGTAAACTTGTTACCCTTCTAAAAGAAGACTGTTTTGTCTTTATTCTTATTAGGAGGGAATCAAAGGGGTCTTACCAGGAATATACTTCAATCTAGGCAACCCAGATTGGATTGCTTAAGTAAAGAGATTCAAGCGAATCTACCAACTAGCTTCCTGCTATATATTGGGGAATGTCACTCTGCTGCTGACTCACAGGCGTGAGTTAGGAAGGATACTATTAAATCAATATATCCTCTCCTAGTACGATTTTTACTATATCTTTATTGTCATTGTCCCATATAGAACAATGAAATTGAAAATCTACATAAGACATTCAAAAACCCCTAACAACTCTGAAACCCCATTTTAAAATACATTATACTATAGAGACTCCTTATGCTGCGTTTAGAACCAGTATTGCATCTGCGTAGAAACTGTTTCTACAACATTCCCACGTTATCATCAGCCTCCACAGTGAATCTGGGGGGGGGGGCGTGGGGGGGTGTGATGAAGCAAACCCACCCCTCTCTCTGGCCCTAACCAGAGAGCCAGTGTGGTGTAGTGGTTAAGAGTGGTAGACTCGTAATCTGGTGAACCAGGTTCGCTTCCCCGCTCCTCCACATGCAGCTGCTGGGTGACCTTGGGCTAGTCACGCTTCTCTGAAATCTCTCAGCCCCACTCACCTCAGAGTGTTTGTTGTGGGAAAGGAAGGGAAAGGAGAATGTTAGCCGCTTTGAGACTCCTTTGGGTAGTGATGAAGCGGGATATCAAATCCAAACTCCTCTTCTTCTCTTCTAACCCCATCACCTTGTCTTGAGTGCGGCTTGAAGCCCATTAACTTGACCTGGGTGATCCGAAAACCAGATGAAATTTTTGTTCGGGGGGTGGGACAGGATAGCACCAGTCTCAAAGTTCTGTATTCGGAATATCTGACTCCCTGCCTTGCTTTTCTTAGCTTCTCTCTGTATTGACCCAGAAGAGAAAACAGTCAAGAGTTTGGGGCGTCCATGAATCGAAAGCATCCCGATGTGGCAAGAGCAGTTTATCAAGCAGGTCTCAGCTGCCCCACTCAAGTGTCCAGGAAGAGCTCCGGTCCTGCCGCAGGATGGCGGGAATGTCACTTACCTCTGTGGATACCAGATCCGACGACTCATCAATCCTTGAAGACGAGGACGTTCAGCAGGTGGGTTGATTCGGAGAATGAACGAAGCGCAAACAAACAAACAAACAAACAAACAAACCAACCCTGATGAATCTTCATGAGTTTTATTATTTAATTATTTAATGATTAAATAATAATTATTTAATGATTATTTAATTGCAAAGTGTGAATTCTAGACTGGTAAAATGAGAAACAGAGGGCAGATCCATCCATCCCTCGTTGTCTAGGGCTACAGGTTCCTCAGCGATGAATTCAAACTTCTCCAGGATTTCAGCACTCTGGTTTCATTTTTTCGGGTTTTTTACGCGCCAAAACCCAGAAGTACCAGAATGGGTTACTTCCAGGTTTCGGCAGTCACGCATGTGCAGAAGCTCTAAATCACGCTTTGCGTGTACGCAGAAGCGCTGAATCGCAACCTTCACGTGTGCAGACGCGGTGCTGTGGGTTGTGAACATGGATCACGTTCGCAACCCGAGCGTCCACTGTATGTATATAATTTTTTTATTTGATTTTCAAAAAGGAAAGGAAAAGAAAAAAAAAGAAAAATTCCTAAATTTATGGATATACAGATAATTCCTAAATTATCTGTAGTTTCTATCACATTACAAGAGTATTTAAAATCCTGCTAATGCTTTAACCTGTTTGCAATGATTTTATATACATTATAAACATTTCCCATCCTTTTAAAAATTTCTTGTCGTCTTGATTCCTGAGCCTCCCAGTTAATTTTGCCATTTCGGATAGTCCATCAACTTGATCTGCCAATCTTCTTTGGTTGGGGTTGTCTCTTCCTTCCATCTCTGGGCTGGCAGAATCTGGATGGCTGTTGTAGCATACATGGATCTTTTGGAATCTTGGTACCTATAATTCCTACTAAAAAAAGCTTCTGTTGTGTTTTTTTAACAAAAGTTAATTTAAACATTTTGTTTCATTTTTTTAATCCTTTATTGAAATTCATAGATATCATACAGTATCTTAAATCCACACATACAAATAAAATAAAATAAATAACCTTACATAAATTTACAGTTAAATATTAAATTACTCTTTCCACATATTTTCTAAATAAACTAAGATAAAGTAAAATAAAATAGACTTCCCATTGTTTCCCAATGTAATTAACATTTGTAGTATTGAATGTACTTATACAGTGGTACCTTGGGTTACAAACGCTTCAGGTTACAGACGCTTCAGGTTACAGACTCTGCTAACCCAAAAATAGTACCTCGGGTTAAGAACTTCAGGATGAGAACAGAAATCGCGCCGCCGCCGCGGCACAGTGGCAGCAGGAGGCCCCATTAGCTAAAGTGCTACCTCAGGTTAAGAACAGTTTGAGGTTAAGAACGGACCTCCAGAACAAATTAAATTCTTAACCCGAGGTACCACTGTAATTATTACTTTACTCTTAATATATTTTCTAATACTTTCTTACAACCTGTTGTACCATTTCCCCTTATTTCTTCATATTTACTTTACACAACGGTCATTCGAACGCTGCCATACATGTTATATCACTGTTACATTTTTGTAAATATCTCTTGAACACATCCCATTTTTGAATAAATGATTGTTTAGTATTACTCCTCAGTTTATCTGTCAATAGAGCCATTTCTGCGTAATCTAATTTTTTATTTCATTTTATATCATTTCCCAGAATTTTTAAACTATATTACAGTTCCACCACATATGATAAAAGGTACCCTCTTTTTCTTTCCATTTCCAGCATGTATTGGTACTTGTTTTATACATTTTTGCTAGTTCTGCTGGGGTTAAGTACCACCGATACATCATTTTCATATAGTTTTCTTTCCGTGAAGATCAGCACTCTGGTTTCCAAAGCTGCTGCTGATCTGTGTCTGCGCCAAAGTGGTGCTTAAGAACTCAGCTCCCCCCTCTCCATTTTCAGGTGACGGATATATTGTGGAGCGACCCCATTCCTCAAAACGGCTGCAGAGTGAATCAGGACCGAGGAGGGGGCTGCTACTTTGGCCCCGATGTGACGAAGGAGATTCTGGAAAAGTACAACCTGCAGTTCATCATCCGTTCCCACGAGTGCAAGCCGGAAGGTTATGAGTTCTGCCACGACCGAAAGGTAGCTCAGTAGAGCATCAATCAAGGCTCTGGGCAGAGCTGGGAGTGGGAGGATATGTCTTGATATACAGTATTTCTCGCTCCATAAGACACACCTGACCATAAGACGCACCTAGTTTTTAGAGGGGGAATGCAAGGGGAAAAAATTCTTTAAAGGAGCGCTGAGCAGAGCCCGTATGCATCCCAGGCTCTGTTCAGCGCTCCCTTTTACAAGCCGCGTGGAGCGTGTGTGCGGCGCTTGCAGGCTTTTCCCTGACGGGCTGCCCTTCTCCCTCCTCGGGGAAAAGCCCGCACACATGCTCCGCGCAGCTCTTTAAAGGGAGTGCGGCTCTTGGGGGCTTTTCCGGGAGGGGCTGCCCTCTATGAGGCTGCCCTCTGTCCCTTCCCCCACCTCCTGGAAAAGCCAGCAAGAGCCATGCGCTCTTTAAAGAGCCACGCCTAGCGTGTGTGCAGCTCTTGGGGGCTTTTCCGCGAGGAGGGACAAGGGACTGATGGGCTGCCCTTCTCCCTCCTCGGGAAAAAGCCCCCAAGAGCCGCACACATGCTCCACGCGGCTCTTTAAAGGGAGCGCTGAGCAGAGCCTCCCGTCTGCATTCGCTCCATAAGACGCACACACATTTCCCCTTACTTTTTAGGAGGGGAAAAGTGCGTCTTATGGAGCGAAAAATACGGTCTTTCCTGATTGCATTTCCTCATGCAGGGTGAAGCAGGGGTGCATGCATGCATCTTGCAGGAGTCCTCAGTCGCACATTCACATTACTTTAGCCAGTTGCAATAGTGGGAGTTATAGGGGGAAATGAGAGGTGGTGTGGAGGGCGGAGTAGTGCAAATGAACTGGCAGGGGCACCAGATTGGCTCTGCCAGTGTGTTTGCACTGTGCCAAGCTTGCGGGCCCTCCTCCCCTTCCTGTCTGCCTCCACAGTAAGCAGCGGCAATGTGACTGACCGGAAGAAGCGTTTAATGGATATTTGGCATATGTTCAGGTCTAATTTAATATCTGGCAGAAAATGGAGGTAGAAAAATTAATATGAATGGGAAATCCTGCTATCGGACAAAAGGAGAATGCGGCATTTAATGATAACACAGTGGAACCTCGGTTTTCGAACGTAATCTGTTCCAGAAGACCCGTTCGACTTCCAAAACGTTCGAAAACTGAGGATCAAGGGGCTGGCTGCAAAGTCAATGGGGGGAAAATGAGAAACGCACATCGGAAGCCAAGGTTCATTCAAAAATGGAAGCTATTATTTCTGGGTTTTTGGCATTCGGGTTCTGAATTGTTCGGCTTCCGAGACGCTCAAAAACTGAGGTTCCACCATAGGTTTAAATGGAAGAGTTTCTGGGATCTTAGGCAAGGAAGAGCCTCTCAGAGGATTTTATTCTCAGTTTTGCAATGTGAGTTTTATCGTATGGTAAATGCAGTTTTCAAGGGGAAGAAAGTGTGTGGAAATGCTTTTGCAAATCTATAGGGCATATTTATGGTGAGACTGTACAGCTGGGGGGAGAAGGGAGCTGACCGTAAAGTAATATGTGCTTCTTAACGATTTGAAATTGCCGGTTTGTTTCTGTTTACTTGCTTAGGTAATCACTGTATTTTCCGCTTCAAACTACTATGCAGTTGGCAGTAACAGGGGTGCCTACCTCAAACTGGGGCCTGACCTGATCCCTCACATCATCCAGTATCAAGCCAGCAAGGATGCACATAAACTGACAATGACTCAAAGGCAAGCATCTTCCTCTTCCTCTTCATCTCTTCCCCTCTCTATCAGTTAGGCCATTGGAGAAAGAAATCCTTTGTATGGCCCTATCTTGCCCCATTAGCTTTTATTTATATGCTTGTTTATATCTGCCCCTTCCTGCAGATACACCATTTAGAAACGAAAGCAAAGCGAAAACATTCTAAAAAAGATGACAAGATTCTAAAAACAATTACAGTTTAAAAACATACTTCCATCCAATGGCCTCAAGGTTGCCAGGAACTGTATTCTTCAGCTACTAGGAACACTTTCGGTTTCCTCCTGAAAGTTAATACTGATGGAGAGAGGAGCCACTCACTAGCAGGGGAGGGCATTCCACAAGAGGGGAGCCACCACTGACAAGGCCCTGTCATGGGTCAGAGCTAACTGAGCAGACCCAACTACAGTGGTGCCTCGCAAGACGAAATTAATTCGTTCCGCGAGTTTTTTCGTCTAGCGAATTTTTCGTCTTGCGAAGCACGAAATCCCATAGGAATGCATTGAAATTCAATTAATGCGTTCCTATGGTCAAAAAAAGTCCAATCAAAGCCAAATTCGGTACAACAAGAGTTTATTAACTGCTCTTTAAAGTCACACATACTTTAAAGAGCATATCAAAAATTGAAGGAACAATAAATTAAGTTTCTAAACATGACAGGAAAACATTTAAAAATCAAAAAGGGTACATTACATTTTCTAAGACTCTGGGGACCACTCAAGAAGGTTCCTCTTCCACTCTTTGCTTCTTGCTGAGGAACCTGTCCATGGTCTGCTGCTTCATCCGCCGCTTCAGCAGCTCCCTGAGAGGCGACATGACCGTCGTATCAAAAATGTTCGCTTGGTCATGTGCCACGTGCTTGTCAGGGTGGTGCCGCTCTGCAAAAGCCTGCACCTCATTCCACTTCTGGCAAATGTCCCTCAGTTCTTTGGAGGACCGCCGCTCCTCAGTCGCTTCCTCCTCTTCCAGCGAGGCCTGCTCCTGCGCAACCTCTGACTGCAGTGCAACCAGCTCCTGGGTGGTCAGCTCGTCGTCGTGCTCCTCCACCAGCTCGCAAACGTCCTCCTCTGTGACCTCCCGGCCCAAGGTCCTCCCTAAGGCAACAATGTCCTGCACCACTGTCGACTCTGGTGCATCAGAGTCACTTGGTGCCACACAGTCCGGCTGCACAGGCTGCGCCAAGCGCAATTCAAATTCCTCTGGCTGATCCCCTTCCAGGCCGTGGTGATCATCTTCAAGCAGGTGACGATGTCGAAGTGGTCCTTCCAGAATTCCCGCAGGGTGATGGTGGTGCAATCAGTCACCTCAAGCATCGCCTGAAAAGCTCCTTGGTGTAGAGTTTCTTGAAATTGGCGATGACCTGCTGATCCATCGGCTGGAGCAGTGGCGTGGTGTTAGGCGGCAGGAACATGATGTTGATGAAGCTGAACTCCTCCAACAAGTCCACCTCAAGGCCTTTAGGATGAGCAGGAGCATTGTCCATCAGAAGCAAAGCCTTCAGCGGCAGGTCATTGTCCAGCAGGTACTGTTTGACAGCAGGGCCAAAGGCAAGATTGACCCAGTCCACAAACAGCACACGTGTGACCCAAGCCTTGCTGTTGGATCGCCACATGACACTCAGCCGCTCCTTGTCGACCTTGTGTTTCTTGAAGGCCCGTGGGTTCTCCGAGTGGTACACCAGCAGGGGCTTGATCTTCAGGTCGCCGCTTGCGTTGGCACAGAAGAGCAGGGTCAGACGGTCCTTCATGGGCTTGTGGCCAGGCAACTTGGCCTCCTCCTGAGTGATGAAAGTCCTTTTGGGCATCCTCTTCCAAAACAGCCCGGTCTCGTCGCAGTTGAAGACCTGCTGTGGAACGTAGCCCTCCGTCTTCACAACCTCCAGGAACTCCAAGGCAAAGTCTTCAGCCGCAGGAACATCAGAACTGGCAGCCTCTCCATGCCTGACCACGCTGTGGATTCCGGATCTTGCCTTGAACCGGTCAAACCAGCCTCTGCTTGCCTTGAAGACTTCTGGCTCGGCCGAGGTTCCTGGCTGTTCCCGGATGAGGTCTGCGTGCAAGGCCTTGGCCTTCTCACAAATCACGGCCTCAGTCACTGTGTCCCCTGCACGCTGCTTCTCTTCTATCCAGATGAGGAGCAACTTCTCGACCTCCTCCAGAACAGCTGGGCGGTTCTTCACGATCCTGGTGACTCCCTTGGCTGCATCAGTCGCAAGGATCTTCTCCTCATCTTCAGGATGGTCCCGATGGTCGATGGGTTCCTGCCGTACTCCCTGGCGAGGTCCGTCACACGCATTCCACCGTCGTGCTTCCGGATGATCTCCTTCTTCATCTCCAGCGTCACCTTCTCCTTCTTCCTCTCGCCGGCCTCCGCAGCAGCAGCAGTCTTCTTGGGTCCCATGGCAGCACAGCTGTTACCTTTGTAAACCTCAGAAAAAGAAAAAAAATCAGCAATTCAAACCCACAACCAAGTCCTTGAATTCCAAACACCCAACCCAAAATCCAAAACCCCAAAAACGTTTTAAAAGTTTAACTTACGAAATGGCTGCAAATCACCAAAGTCTTCAAAATCCTCAAATGGCTGCAAAAGAAATTTTGGGAAAGCTTTAAAAATCACCAAAGTCTTCAAAAACCTCAACTGTTCCCCCAGCCCCTCCCCAACTGTTGCAAACCCTCCCCAACTGTTGCAAACCCCTCCTCAACTGTTCCCCAGCCACCCAGCACACAGAAATTCAAAACCCAGAAACTTTTTGAAAAAAACAACATGGCCCAATGGTTACAGAAAACCATAAAAATTCAAAAAAGCACACAAGCTCCCAGATTCCTGCAAACCCCTCCTCAACTGTTCCCCCAGCCACCCAGCACACAGAAATTCAAAACCCAGAAACTTTTTCAAAAAAAACAACATGGCCCAATGGTTACAGAAAACCTTAAAATTTCAAAAAAGCACACAAGCTCCCAGATTCCTGCAAACCCCTCCTCAACTGTTCCCCCAGCCACCCAGCACACAGAAATTCAAAACCCAGAAACTTTTTCAAAAAAAAAACAACATGGCCCAATGGTTACAGAAAACCATAAAAATTCAAAAAAAAGCACACAAGCTCCCAGATTCCTGCAAACACCTCCCCAGCTGTTCCCCCAGCCACCCAGCACACAGAAATTTAAAACCCAGAAAATTTTTCAAAAACAACAACATGGCCCAATGGTTACAGAAAACCATAAAAATTCAAAAAAGCACACAAGCTCCCAGATTCCTGCAAACCCCTCATCAACTGTTTCCCCCAGCCACCCAGCACACAGAAATTTAAAACCCAGAAACTTTTTTCCAAAAAAAACAACATGGCCCAATGGTCACAAAAATCATAAAAATTCAAAAAAGCACACAAGCTCCCAGATTCTTGCAAACACCTCCCCAGCTGTTCCCCCATCCACCCAGCACACAGAAATTTAAAACCCAGAAACTTTTTTCAAGAAAACAACATGGCCCAATGGTCACAAAAATCATAAAAATTCAAAAAAGCACACAAGCTCCCAGATTCTTGCAAACACCTCCCCAGCTGTTCCCCCATCCACCCAGCACACAGAAATTCAAAATTCAAACCCAGATTTTTTTTTTCAAAAAAAAATAAACATGGCCCAATGGTCACAGAAAATCATAAAAATGCAGAAAAAACCACACAAGCTCCCAGATTCTTGCAAACCTCTCCCCAACACCAAGTCCTTGAATTCTAAACACCCCAACCCAAAATCCCAAAAACCCCAAAAAAGTTTTAAAAGTTCAACTTACCAAACAGCTGTAGAAGAAGTTTTGGAAAAGCTTCAAAAATCCAGCAAACTCTTTAAAAAGCTCAGAAAGGCCACCACACCGCGTGCAATGTGTTGCTCCTCGAGGTCAAGTCGCAACTGCACCTCTTCAAGCAATGCACCCTGGGTTTTAACGGTTTTACGAACAAGGAAACAAACTTGCAAGACGTTTTCGTCTTGCGAAGCAAGCCCATAGGGACATTCGTCTTGCGAAGCAACTCGAAAACGAAAAAACCTTTCGTCTTGCGAGTTTTTCGTTTTGCGAGGCGTTCGTCTTGCGGGGCACCACTGTAGTGGGTGATAGTGACTTATACCAGGTGTGGCGAAGTTGGCCCTCCATGTGTTGCTGAACTACAACTCCCATCAGCCCTAGCAAGCATGGTCAATGGTCAAGGGATAATGGGCATTGTTCAGCAACAACTGGAGGACCAAAGCTTCCCCATGCCCTGATTTAGACAAAACCCTATGCAGGTTTGGGATCCAGTTAAGAATGCATAAATTTCTGTTCCCATCTGTACTTGTTAGTTTCTGTTGTTTCCATGCATCTGCAGTTCATCTTCTGCCACATAACTACATTGCTCATATCACTGACCACTATTTAACTTAAGTTACATATCTAGTCACGTAACTTAAGGTCGCGCTGTGGTCTAAACCACAGAGCCCAGGGCTTGCCGATCGGAAGGTTGGCAGTTCAAATCCCTGCGATGGGGGTGAGCTCCGATTGCTCAGTCCCTGCTCCTGCCTGCCTAGCAGTTCGAAAGCATGTCAAGTGCAAGTAGATAAATAGGTACCGCTCCGGCGGGAAGGTAAACAGCGTTTCCATGCACTTCTCTGGTTCGCCAGAAGCAGCTTAGTCATACTGGCCACATGACCTGGAAGCTGTCTGCGGACAAACGCTGGCTCCCTTGGCCTACAGAGCGAGATGAGCGCGCAATCCCAGAGTCGTCCGCGACTGGACTAACGGTCAGGGGTACCTTTACCTTTACTTTTTAAAAGTCATTTTAGTATAAAGGAAATATCAAAACAATATTTAAAAGGTCATAAATTAGGTATTATTTCCTTTCTGTGGTCCTTTCACCCAAAGCCCAGAAGGGCTCTCTGTTTCTCAGATGGGGCAGAGACGTTTGTGTGTGTTTTGTATTTTCATCCCTCGTGTATGATGTTACATGGCAGAAATGCTTATCTACTCTCCTCAGGATCAGCCGGGTGGAGGAATCAGCGTATCAGGTTTTAAGGGAGCGATTGTTTGCTCACAGGTCAGAGCTTGCCTCCGCCTTCAGGCAATGTGATCAGGATTCAGGTAAGGTGAAGGGTAAACACCTAATATATAAGGGTATTTAGAAGGAATATGAGGAATTTATTTATAAGGAATGTAAGTACCTGACAAAAAGGAGAGATTTCTGGCAGTGCAAGCTCCCTGCTGGATATAAGAAAACGAGGTTTGCCCTATGGATGCCCTGCAAGAGAAATGCTCCCCCCAAAACTGAACTTGTCATCGCAGGCTCTGCGAACCATTGGCAATTCTGCATGTGCAGACAATGAATTTTGCTGTGTTTGTGAACCCAGGATACGTCGACCATTGGTAGTGAAACAGTAGCAGGGGCGCCACAGGTAAATCAGGAAAGGGATGGAAAGACCTCCATGCTTGGCTATGACACAGCCAGGCGTCCACTTCTGTCTGCCATCCCCACACTGACTGCCCTATTTGGGTGCTTCCAGATGAGCATTCAACCACATCTACACCATACTGTTATGAGTTTTGGGGTGCCAGACCCCCCCCACAACACTAAATCCCTGGGTCCAGTAGGGGTGAGAATTTAATCAATTCTTGAAGTCGTACTCGGTGCCAGACAGATTTAGTGTGTGTTAAAAGGTAAGACAGAGCAGCTTATTGTGTTCAGGAGATCGCCTAAGAGATGGGCCATTGAAAAAGGGGGAAAAGAAAAGGCGATGAGCCATTAAGGGAAATAAAGGAGGGAAGAGGAGTGGAGTTCTAAGTGTTGCTTATGGATTAAACCTTATTCTCTGCACTTTTGGAGTTCACTTTTTTATTTCTGCATGGTTGCTGCCTTCCCCCTTTCTGCTTCTGATCTATGGTCCTAAATAATCCACACTGTATTTGTAGAAGAGACTCTTTCCCTCGTGTCGCTCTTCTCATCACCCCCAAAGTGATTTGGGAAGGAGGACGGAGTCATTTCCTGTGTGTTGGCTTTAGGCCTGAGTGTTACATTCCCTGGTGAGCAAACCTTTCCTGGAGGGCTGCATATTGGTGGGTGGGGTCAGAGGCAAAACCAGGAATGTAACTCTGCACAGTCAGCTAATTCCAGTTACACAAAAGCAATCTTTCTAGGTTCATGCCTACGGCAATTTTGGCAGCCCATTGTCCTTAAATCACCTTGTGGCTTCCCTTTCCGGGCAGGAATGATCACACTAAATGACTGGGCAAAGGTGGTGGAGTCCGTTCTCAATCTAGGGCTGCCCTGGAGGATGCTGAGACCACACCTTGTTTCCAGCGCTGTCAACGGGATGCTGGATTACAATTTGTGGCTCAAAGACCTTGTGACGGAGCAGTGGTCAGCCTCTCAAGAGGTAACATGGACTTTGTAGTACATTGGTAAATCCGAAGTGGAATGCTGCCTCCAGTGGTTATGGGCTGGAACTGAGATTTCACCCTTTAGCTTGTTCCGACGTTTCCTGTAGCAGCAAATGAACTAAGGGGATGTGATCAATGATAGCGCTAGCTCCTATGGGAATAATATTGTTCCTAGGTTCGGTTGGTTGGGGGTGGCAATTTGACAGGAGGGGGGCAATGGAGCCAGAATGACCACAAATATTCTTAAATATTCAGGAGCTAAGTTGCCAGGCACATCTTTCATTAGGGAGGTTTCTGATGAAATGGCCAGTGGATGTGTTTTGAATTACTTATTATTATTTATAAAAGAATATTCATGTAGTGGTATGCCATGGGGAGGGGGAATCAAAGCTGTTTACAGCAATAAAACATTAAAACAGGCTAGCCATTTTTGTGTTTTGTTTATCTGTGAGATTGTTAAGCCGTAGTCTTGTTTTTTTCAGCGCATTCAATCAAGTTTGCTGGAAAACATTTACCGAAACTTATCCAACCTGGAGACTCTCTTCAATATTATAGACAGTGACCATTCAGGTAAGTGCATGAATAATTCCCTATTGTTTTTAGTTCAGAATTTTAGATAGCCCAGTGTTGAAAAAGGAATAAATATCACATAGGAGGGGCAATAGAGGCCCCACTTTTTATATTAAAACCCCCCTGAAAGGAGTAATCAGAGAGGAGCACTACATAAAAAATGGAGGGGGAGTCCCTTAGATGGTTGTATGGGGTCTTGCACACCTCCTTCCAGCAACTCCTGCAGCAAAGCTGATACCAAATGTACAGTGGTACCTCGGGTTAAGTACTTAATTCGTTCCGGAGGTCTGTACTTAACCTGAAACTGTTCTTAACCTGAAGCACCACTTTAGCTAATGGGGCCTCCTGCTGCTGCCGCGCCACCGGAGCACAATTTCGGTTCTCATCCTGAAGCAAAGTTCTTAACCTGAAGCACTATTTCTGGGTTAGCGGAGTCTGTAACCTGAAGCGTATGTAACCTGAAGCATATGTAACCCGAGGTACCACTGTAAAGGTAAAGGACCCCTGGATGGTTAAGTCCAGTCAAAGGCGAATATGGGGTGCAGCGCTCATCTCGCTTTTAGACTGAGGGAGCTGGCGTTTGTCCACTGACATCTTTATAAGTCATGTGGCCAGCATTACTAAACCACCTATGGTGCAACGGAACACCATGACAGAAACCAGAGCAGCGCACGGAAACACCGTTTACCTTCCCACCACAGTGGTGCCTATTTATCTACTTGCACTGGCGTGCTTTCGAACTGCTAGGTTGGCAGGAGCTGGGGCAGAGCAACAGGAGCTCACCCCATCGCGGGGATTCGAACTGCCGACCTTCTGATTGGCAAGCCCAAGAGGCTCAGTGGTTTAGACCACAGCACCACCCATATTGCTCTGCTTTCCTTTGGATCACATCAATGAGTTCCCTGGGCAACCTGAGACCTCCATACACACTGCGGTTTGAGGTGCACTCCTTTGCCTCTCGAGACAACAGAAGCCAACGGCAACAACAAAAAGATATCCCGTAAATAATGTGCACACACATAGCTGGTAAATCGTGTTCTGTCCTTTTGCAATTGGTGAATTGAAAGACTGGTGGCAGCGAGTGCAGTTTCTCCTAACATTTCTGAAGTTTGCTGTCATCGAACTGTTACAAGGCCTGGGGTTCCATTGTGAGGGCGAGACAGCAGTCAAGATTATGTCAAGGTTATGTTCTTAGATCTGCCAGAAGATGGCGGCCATGGACTTGAGACAGCTTTAAGAGGACTTTGGACATTTACCTGTAGTTACTAGCCATGTTTTAGGGGCAAGGAGGCAGGGTCTGTTGTCTTCATGCTTGTTCCCAGAGACATCTGGCGAACAGGATGCTGAAATTCCCGTTCCAGAACAGTAGGAGGGAAATAGAGGGTTCTGCTGTGAATAATGAGAATTTGTGAGTTTGAATTATCTGCTATGCATCTGAGAGATGCAGCAGGCTACAAATCAGAGGTGGGGGAACCAATGATCTTCTGGATGTTTCTAAACTGTGACTCTAAGCATCCCTTTGCCACTGGCCATGCTGGCTGGGGCTTGGGGTCCAACCCCACCTGTAGGGTCACAGGTGAGCCACCACTGCTACATTTATTCCCCCGCTATTTGAGCAAATAAAATGCTTTTCCTCCACCACCTTCAGGGTACATTTCTCACGACGAGTTCCGCCAGACCTTCAAATTGTTCAGTGCCCATATGAATATTGAAATCTCAGACCAGGACGTGACGAACCTGGTCAACAGCATCGATTTCAACAAAGATGGAAACATAGATTTCAACGAGTTCATCGAGGCCTTCCGCATTGTCCGACAGTCTTCCTCGGATGACATTAGCAGCTGGAATCCCCGTGTCACGGACGCCACCAACCCACAGACAGCATCTTTGTAGTGGCTTCTCAACCCAGGCTCATCTTTCAACCTAAGAACATGCCTCACAACTAAGTGGTAAGACAGTTCCTAGCAACGGCCTCACAACTGATACAGCCATTTTCAGATTTCTTCCGTTGAGCGAGAGGGGAAAACAGGACATCTGCATCCCCGTTCCATCCCAACGACGGCATCTAATATTAGGGAATTGCTGTAGCTTTTTTTTTTTTTTGCTTTTTTAAAAGCCATCGGTGAGTCAGTCTTAGCCTGTATTTGTTTTCTCCAGCCCAGCTTTAAAATGGATTGAATAAATGTTTATCACCCTGTGTCTCCCTTGACCCTGACCTCTCTAGGCAGCTTCCAATCCCCACTCGGCTATGAAGCATGGCCTCTCGGCCTGGCCGGGTTGTTGTGGGGTTTCTTCAGAACTGTGTTATTCCTATGCAGACTCATTTTTTGACTATTTTGTAGTCCTTATAGGCCACCCTGACAGTTCTTCAAGGCAGGCAGCTGTGTTAAAGGACTGTTTTGTTCCCTTGTCAAATAGGCTTATGTTAGAAAGACCTGTTGTGAATACACTGGGAGTTTGCCAGATCTTGCCACTTTGGCCCAAAGCGCCACGACTCTAGCATGGGCAAGAAGCCAGGATAAATTTGGCTCTGTAGCTTCCTCACTTCTCTGGGCCTGATACCCCCGAGTTGCCTTGCTTGCTCCGCTGTCCTGCCCCCGCCGTGCTGTTGCCCTTGTTTGCTCACCTCCTGCATACGCTTCAATTTATATTTCTTTTTAGAACATTTGCACAGGACAGCCATGCATTCCGCAAAGTACTTGGCATCATGATTCTCCCACAATGCCTCTGGACTCTTGGAAGGGGCAGGGAATCTTGCAGATACTGCAGCAGGTCCTTGCTGGTGTTGACCCCCACAGCTGCCGCATCTAAAGTGATTTTTTAAAAGGCATACCTAAATTGTTAACCCTTGTTTACAGAAATGCATTTGCACAGGAGGCGGAGTACTAGCAGCTGGATGGATGTGTTGCTGTTTTTATTAAATCGCAACAGCTTCTCCTGCTGCAATCATTACTTGCAGTTTTTGCCAATTGTTTCTCCCCGCTCCAGGCATCTCATCCACTGCTATTTTTGAGGAGGGCTTTGTAGCAGCACTGCCCCCAGACCAGAGTCACGAAGCAAACTCTTGGCTTCGTTTCAGTGTCGGGTCACATGGGAAAAGTATACTTACTTTCAGCTCGGGGCTGTAGTTCAGTTTTGATCTTCAGCACATAGAAAGTATATAAGCAAAATGAGAGCTATAGCTTAAACACAGAGAATTGTAGCGGTGATGTTAATGCAAGAGGAGGGATGCCCTGCTGAGGAATCAACAATAGAAAAATCACACTGTTGAAATGCTGCTCAGGAAGAAATTGCATCCACTGCACGAATTTGCAAACCTTGTTTTCCATTACAAACAGCATACAGCAAGATAACAAGGGTAAATATTTGATTTTATTACCTCTTAGAAAGAAGGTTTTGCATATTCTGTTGAATTAAAATGATATAAAAATATAGGCTTTAGATACCAATAGTTTTTTATGTTTTTAAACACCTTTATCCAGTGCTTCTTTTCCATCACCTGTCTCAAAGAAGCACATCAGACACCCAGTTTCCCCCCTGTAACGTAGAAGGTTCAAAGCTTTATTTTGAAGTTTGTTTAAACAGATTGGACAATGTCTTATGGGCACATAAACAACCAGCAGTTATTTTGGGGTGTGTTTGCTGTAAGCAATAACATTGTATTTCCTCTCAAGATGTTAACACGGAAGGTGTCTTCATAAACCTAACCCACACAGTCGATATTGCCAAAATTGCAGGCTTAGATCACAAAGCAGCTTCTGAAGTGTCTAAAGTCTGTTCTTGAAACCAACTGCACCATTAGGAAACCGAACCACTTGATGGCCAAATTGGGGAAAGGACACCAATACCATTGGAATCCTCTCGCCCCATACTAAGATGTATATATATATATATATATATATATATATATATATATATATATAAATAAAACCCGCCTAGTGAGTTTTGGTCATGGAGAGGAAATTACAGCTTCCATAAGCCTCTGGACAACGGAAGGGTGTCCATCAACTGAACACCCCTCCTCTGATAGGTATGCTCTCATTTAATCCATGTTCTATGAGCTTGATATCTTCCAGGTCATCTTTTACGATGCTGATCAGGTGGCTGAGTCCTTCTTGTTGCTGTTTCAGATGCTAAAAGAAAGGGAAGGGGGGAGAGAATAGCCACGTAAACACTCCGCTTTGACCTTCCCAAGCCTAGCCTGTGAATTTCCTGGCAACGGTCAGCCCTTCTGTTTGTAAAATGCTAGGCATCGGTCCTCAACTGAGAGATCACAACTGCTCCAATCTTTCCCCTGTGTGTTTACATGAGAGACATGGGTTACTCAGCAGAAAGTCACATGCTGATACCTCCCCTTTCATACACATTAACACTGGAATCCAGACCCAGCGTTAGGTCACAGCTCTTCTTGCCTTATTCAGCTTACTATGTTTCGGTGTGTTGTTTTTTAAATGCAACTTTCTAGCCCTTACGTTTCGGAAGACAACCTTGGAAACATGTAAGCGTTGCCTGGTGGCAAATGGCCAAAAATTAGGGTTGACCAGGGCTTGCAGCAGAGTCCGTTCCCCAGGTTTTCTATGCTATCAAGCACAAATTTCACTGGCCACCCCGCTCCCTCACCTCATGCAACAGAAACATCCAATTCTTTGAGAATGGAAATACTGGAAGCACAAAATATGCATCCGGGACTTTCTCATGTTATTGTGACGAAGGAATTTGCATTCCTGCCGGTTGTTACCTGTTTAATTTCCCGCAAGAGGTCTGCATCGATGTAGTACCTCTCTTCCGATCTCACAGCTCCAAAATGGTTCTGCATTCTGATCTGGGACATCAACTCATTCAGCCGGCCCTGGAAGAAATAAAGGAAGAAACGCTGAATTTAGGGCAGAAAGCAGTTTCTTTTCCCCTGCCCTGTGGGACAAGTGGCAGAGATTTATAAGCAGATCCAGTCCTGAGAACAGGGGTAGGCAACCTAAGGCCCATGGGCTGCTCCCAAATCACCCGCTCGGCGAGCCCCCGTGCGCTTCACTAAGTGGCACAGGGATTCGCTTCCGCGACGCCATAAATTGCGTCTACGCAGACACCAGAAATCACGCACGCAATCTGGCCCACGGAGGAATCTCTGCTGGAGTGAACTGGCCCAGGCGAGGTAAACCTTGCCAACCCCTGCCTTAGTATCTCCAACAAGCAAGTATCTCAAGGCATCTCATGATGTGGCACCCTGCTGACTTGACTCAGTAACCTCTCACTAAGGCTGCTTTATTGAAAGGAAGCATCAGTGATCAGGTTGGGAGGCCTGTGAAAATATACCACTTACAGATTTTACCAGATTAGTTTGAAGGAGCTCGATGCATTTCAAAGACACTGTCATAGTATGATTTTTCAAAGAGGAACTCTAAAATGCATCTAAACCTGAACAAACAGCATGGCATAGGTCCAAGGCGGACACAGCCTTCCACATTAGCATAAAAGAACTTGGGAGATGTAAGACAGGCATGAAATGCAAGTGCACAGAAGGAGCAACTGCAAAGCACCAGGCAGTTTACTGCACAGTTCTGTGTTTGGTATGCAAGGTTATGCGTCCTGAGTTGCTGACCTTGAACTGCGTGGGAGCATTGAGCTCACACTGGATCGTATCCAACTGTACGCGAAGCTGCTCCTCATCGGCTTGGATGGCATAGCCGCTTTTCCTCTGGATCTCTTGCTTGATTAACACCTTCGTGAAGAAATTAAGATGCTTTAGAAGGCTATCCCTTACCCCCCCCCCAAAAAAAAGAGATTATCCTTTTTTGGGCAGCACAGCTGAATGTAGAGCACCTGGTCTGTTTTTCCCAAGGTGCCTTGGGGATGCAAAATATGCCTGGAAATGGGAAGGCCATCCTCAGACACACCTGAGGTCAATAAGGCCGCTCAAGGGAGTGGACAGGTGCAGAGTGTCTTTGCACAGAGCCACAAGAGGGCCTTATTGGTAGTGGCGCCCACCCTGTGGAACACCCTGCCATCAGATGTCAAGGAGTTAAGACATTTGAAGGCAGCCCTGTACAGAGAAGTTTTTTTAATGTCTGATATCTTACTGTGTTTCAGTATTTTGTTGGAATAATATTAATAATAATAATAATAATATTACTAATTTATTTATACCCCGCCCATCTGGCTGGGTTTCCCCAGCCACTCTGGGCAGCTTCCAACAAAATATTAAAATACAATACTCTATTAATCATTAAAAGCTTCCCTAAACAGGGCTGCCTTCAGATGTCTTCTAAAAGTCTGGTAGTTTGTTTTTCTCTCTGACATCTTGTGGGAGGGCGTTCCACAGGGCGGGTGCCACTACCGAGAAGGCCCTCTGCCTGGTTCCCTGTAGCTTTGCTTCTCGCAGTGAGGGAACCGCCAGAAGGCCCTCGGCACTGGACCTCAGTGTCCAGGCAGAATGATGGGGGTGGAGACGCTCCTTCAGGTGGGCAGGGTACAAATAATAAAATTATTATTATTATAAGATACACATGGAGGTTTACAGAGTAACAGAAGTAAAAAAAAGAAAGAGGAGCTTATAAACCCATTTTCTCCCTAGTTGTGTAATATATTTTTTAAGGTACAACTGAAAGTTAAGAGACCGTAAAATAAACATGTCCAATGTACACTATTCCATCCCATAAAACAACCATGTACCCTATCAACTGTTGTTTTTTAATTATAAAAGGGGGGGGGGAGGGAGTGGGGGGGAATGAGAAAGCAGAACCTAGAAAGGCAAGGGGCAGTGTGTGGCTAAACTGGGATCAAGACCCAAAGTTTCTTTGATCTCCTATCCAAACATCAGTTTGAATGGCTTTAAGAGGAGAATGAAGATCTGTCTACTGGTGGCTGATTAGCCAGGACAGCAATAGGGAACCTCAGTCTTCTAAGGTAGCAGAGAGGTCTGGGAGAAAACACAAGGTCAGGGAGAGCACTCTTGCCTTTATGGCCTGGGCTTATGGACTTCCCAGAAGCACCGGGGTGGCCCCAGATGGAATCAGGATGCAGGTATAGAGGGACCTGGGATCCTTTATTTATGGTCTTATCCATCTTCCCCCACACTGCAGATGGGAGGACTGAGGCAGAGACAACAGGGGCTTGCCTCAGGACCACCTTAGACAACCCTGGTTGAATTGAGACTTGACCTGAATATTTCCTGACCTTCATCTCATGTTCTTTGCTACTGCACTTTACCTACATTCTTAATCACCACCCATTTTTACCACAGGGACAAGCAACAGCCTACCTGCAATGTTCTGTGCGAAAGATCCATTAGCTTCCGCTTGTACTGAGCTATTTTGGCCATCGTTGTAGTCTGGTTTTTCTGAAGCTCACTTATGTCTTCTGATATTATCTACAGACAGGGAGAGATTGGGTCAACTGTTTAAAGAGAATGCACAGGTTGTGAACTATCAGTCTAGTTTTACACCTGAGTGTCCCTTCATGTGTCAAAAGCCTTTTAAATCCTTTGCAGATGCAGCCCACAACCAGCTACAGAATTATGAAGCTGGGTGGGTCTACAGTGACTGCTCTAAAAATCCCCTGAAAATCAAAAACACACGCTTCAAAAATCACAACAAGCCAACTGCAGAGAGAAAAAATGGATGCAATGTACCATTAGCAGAAATGCTTTGGGGCGGGGAACACTTTAATAGAACTCAAAGATTAAAACAGATTTGATACCATTGAAGTTAGTCCTGCAAGTAAAGAGGTATTACTGATTTAGCCACTAGACAGATTTAAGACTAAACACAGGAAGCTGCCTTATTGCAACTCAAACAGTTATATTGTCTGCACTTACAAGGAGTGATTCAGACAGTTTTTGCCAACACTACTTTGAGATGTTAATGAGTGAACCTGGGACCTTCTGCGGATAAAATGTACTATAGTGAGCTATGTCCCTCCTCTAAATTAGGGAGGTTAGACTGAAATCCCAATTTTTTTTTAGAAGAACCTTCATGCATGCGACAACAGTGGATAGAATTTTCATAGCAAAAAATTGGAAAGGACAAGTGATACCCACCAAATTAGACTCGCAGGTGAAGATGATCGAATATACAGAAGTAGCCAAAATGACGGGAAGTTTAAGAGATGATTCAAAACAGAGATTAAATAAAGAATGGAATCTCTTTAGAGAGTATATAAAACAGTACTGTAAAAATGTAAATGCTTTGACGGGTCTGGACTGAATCTTGCAAGACAAGAGAGGACCAAATAATAAAGTAATTTTAAATGTTTAGAAAGAGGAAATATAAAAGTGTGAAGTAGAAAATGAAGTTTAGATAACACAAGGGGGTGAATGGAAGTCAAGAGAGTGTGATGTTGTTTGTTGTGTTTGGTTTGGTTTTGGTTTTGTAAAATGTATGTATTGTTCTAATAAAGCTATAAATTAGAAAAAAAAATAAAACAGGGATGTAAGACTTCACTTTGAGCATCTCAAGTGTAGCTCCTAGTGAAAGTGAAGAGACTGGGTTGATTTGTGCCCCTGGAACACACAAGCAGCAGAAGCTCAGTGGAAATATTGTAAAACATGCTATGCATCTTGACTCCTCAAGTTTGGCATCTTCCACGCTCTTTACAACGGACTTGGAAATTGCTAACCCCAGCCTAGGTGGAGCAAGCTACCAATCCCTGGCCCTGAGAGTCCGGAGTACTTTATGGTATTAAGTTTCTGGCACCTGGAACACAGGATTTACAAAGCAAAAGGCAACTAGACTCTTAGAGCATCCATTGTCAGCCACAAATAATCACAACAGCGGTATTCAGAAGCTGGTGCTCACATCTAATCTGGTTTGATGCTGCTTTGTCATTTGGTCTTGGACTTTCAGCCTCCTCAGCAGTTCTTTGAAACCAACCATCGGCACTGGAATCAGCCTAGAGAAGTAAGAGCATTGACGTGGTAGAAATTAGGCAACACATAGAAATGATTAGGCTATAGGAGCAAACAAGGCACTCTAACTAGGGAGTCAGGAGGCCTCACCATCCCTTTAAGGGGAAAGGATGGTGGTTTTTGTCTCTGGTAAATTACCATGAATCTGGTTCAAACACATGCACACACACCCTTGATTGTGCTAACTCTGTTGCCAGCAGCTGGAAGTCTTAACAGATTCCACTGAAGATTGTTGGGTTTGACGTCCCAACAAGCTCTTAAGAGTACATATGAGGGATAGCATGCCTGAATATGCACCAACATCTAAAACTTTCTTCAACCTGCAAATTTAGTATAGCTTCTCCCCAATGTGGTAGTAACAAAGCAAGATTTTAACATAGGAACACACTCAAGCATGCATTTCCCCACATGCATTCTTGTGATGGTTCAGTCTTGCATGCACCTCCTAATTGAAAGCCATGTAGATTTCAGTGTGGCGTTATGACTATTTTCCAGCTATTGCTTTTGGGAGCTTGGGTGCTCATTTTGCCCATCCCTTCTCAGAAAGACACATACCGTATTTTTCGCTCCATAGGACGCACTTTTTCCCCTCCAAAAATGAAGGGGAAATGTGTGTGCGTCCTATGCAGCGAAACCAGGCTTTCGCTGAAGCCTGGAGTGCGAGCGGCCTCGGTGCGCACCGCCCCCGCTCGCTCTCCAGGCTTCAGGATTCTATCCGCACGCCTTGCTAGCCCGGTTGGAGGTCCCGCGGGCTCACAAGGCTTGCAGGCAGCAGCCTGCAGCCCCGGCGAGTGTCCGCAGCCTTGCGCGCCCGGCAGGAGGTCCCGCCGAGCGCGCGAGGCTTGGGGCAGCAGCCTGTCGCCCGAAGCATGGGGAGCCCTCCGGAGGGCTCCCCGTGCTTCGGGCGAGTGTCTGCAAGCCTTGCGCGCCCGGTGGGAGGTCCCGCCGAGCGCGCGAGGCTTGGGGCGGTAGCCTGCAGCCCGAAGCAAGCGAGGCTTGGGGCGGCAGCCGCGGCGGGGGGGGGTTATTCATTTCCCCCCCCAAAAAAACGAGGTGCGTCCTATGGGCCGGTGCGCCCTATAGAACGAAAAATACGGTAATTCCCATTTCAAATTATCCAAGCAATGCAAAAACCACCTTGAAAACCACCAGACTTACTTTTCAGGATCTGGATTGTCAACTTTGGCCTGTTCCCAAATGATTGGATCAACTCCTGGAAAAGGAAAAACAAGGTAAGTCACTGAGGACAATATCGAGTCATTGAACCTCAGCCATTGTTTAATAGGATCAGTTGGCGGTAAGATTTATCTTGCTAAAAACACCCAGATTTAACACATGTATAACTCATAGCCCCCCTCCCCCCCCAAAAAACAGGTGAACTACATTTCAGAAGTGACAATTTTAACACACTTCAGATATTTTCTTCATATCCCATTTCCAATTAATTCAGTCAATTTTTCTCTTGTGAGAACCCACCCCTAAAGAAGCATTAATTACTGCTGCAAGTACCTCTTTCTGTTTCTGTCCTGATGTTTTGTCTCATGAGGGAAAAGAAAAAAAACCAACCCACCACTGATCTACTGCACAATGAGTGAGTTAGAAGATTATTTACTTGTCCTTTAGGTCTCTTTCCAGATTGTATCTACAAGCCAAGTCCAATTAAAATACATCCCATATCTAAAGCAAACCCCTTAAATGGCTGGCCAAACACTTATTTTTAAAGAACATGACAATTCTTTCAGCTTGTATTACAGCAGGACATGCTCCTCCATCATCTAACCTCGGCCCTCCAGATGTTTCGAGACTACAATTCCCATCATCCCTGACCACTGGTCCTGCTAGCTAGGAATCATGGGAGTTGTAGGCCAAAAACATCTGGAGGGCCAAGGTTGAGGAAGCCTGATCTAACCAAAGCACTTGGCTGCAGTACAGATTACCTGCAGGAGGACTCTGTAGCAGCTGCTTGACCTGCGCTGGAGAAAGCTCTGTCCTGGCCATGATGAGGGTGACTCCAAGCTGCTGCAGCTGGTTTTTGACATTTGCTTGTTCAAAGTGTGCATACAGAGTGGTAGATGGGACTCGCCTGGAAGTCCCATTTGGAGATCGCTCAACAACATAGATGACTACTTCAGTCCTAAAAGAGCCAATACAAACACTTATATTTTACACATTTTAAAAGAATTTACTGTTGTTACACTCAAGGTTGATCTCAAAAAACCAAATGTATTCATAGCATCATAGAATTGCAAGGGACCCTGAGGATCATCTGGTCCAACCCCCCTGCAATGCAGGGACATGTAGCTGTCCCATATGGGGATTGAACCTGCAACCTTCCCCTTATCAGCACCATGCTCTAACCAACTGAGATGGTCTGGCCAGCTTCCTCCAATTATTATCTGCCTGGCTGGGCTCTTCATCCGATGTATGTATGGAGCCTTGCTATGGCATCAATTTCCACCCACCAGCAACTTGGATGGGATACTCTGTACATGGCCTCTGGGGTGCCTTCACCTGCTCCTGAGAGGGATGTCTTCCAGATAAGAGGAAGCACCTCTGCCCAACCTGGCACAGAGAGGAGCAAAGGAGGCGAGGTGAAATGGGTCTGCCTACACCTGTTAGCCATCCCTGCATCAAGCATGTTACTCTCCTTGGGCATGAAGAGGCCTTTTCTTGCCAGGAAGGGACACACATGCACCATGCAATTTACTTACTGATCATCTGGCATGGTCTTCACACCTTCCACGTTGACTGTGAGAGTCTGGTTTGAACCTAAGATTTTGTGCACAGATTCCACAAGCTGCTGCTGCTGGCTTCGAATTTCTGCTTCCTTCTTGTTGAAGACCAGTGCTACCAAGCCATCTTCATCCTTGTTGTTGGACATGCAGCTATAGCCAACAGCCTGTGAAAGGACAGCAGCCTTTTCAGCCAACAAAAAGATACCCAAACTTTTTGCTGCAGCAACACAAAGACATGAAAGCTACGATTCCACAACTCCGTGAAATGTAGCGAAGGAAATCAACTCTAAATGTCTAGCAGCAATTAAGACTAGCTAGCCAACCAACCGTTTCCAAGAAGGTGGTCTTCAGAAAAACCAGTAATACCTTAAACCTGCAGAAGGGGTTTTCCTGCGAGAACTCCACTGGGGCAATGCTGTTGTTGAAATATCCTTTGCCTGTGCCCCAAAATGCTTGCAGCTGGTTCCACTTGGCCAAAATAGCATCTCGCTCATCTCCCAACAGTGTGGGTGCAGAAAGGGCACTTGCTGTGTTTATCAGCTGGTTAGACTGGGCAGGGGCTTGAGCAGGCTGACTGAAGAGGCTTCCTAAGGCTAAAATGAGATGGGAAGATAGATGGCAAATGAAATCCAACCACGCAAGGCTAGCCCACTATCCTCTCCTCAAAGTAGCCCCTTTGTAAAATAAGATGCTGACCAAGGGTTTACATATTTTCTGAGCTTATCGCTATTATATTTTTTGCAATTAGGCAGATATATCATCATCAAACCTTTATTGGCATCACATACAAACATTCAGAATAAATAGGCCAGTGCGATCTCGTTGCCATTTCAACAGTACAGTCATTTGCCAAAGGGAAGAAGAGGAGAGCAATCTATTTCATCTCTGTGGGTCTCCAGCAAGGGCAGGATCCTGTAGCATACTTCGGTGACAAAAAAATCAAATAGAGGAACTTAGCTACTGTCTTGGTATGCTTCTGGTCTCTCCCCTGTAATAAGAAGCGTATAACCTCTGTCTCTGGTTTCCATGTTGGAATACATAGATGGTCTAGAAATTGTTGGTGGAGATAATCATTCATTTTACATTTAAGGGCCATGTGAGCTAGAGTTTCCACCAGGTGGGCATCACACAGGCAGATCCTATCTCCTTCAGGCAGATATGTGGATGCCTGACAAAAATAATAGCTACAGCAGACGCCTGAAACACCCAACCAGAATACAGTTCATAAAGTCCACTTCTTTTGCCCATCAGGCTGTCACCCAGATGTCTGATGGGAGGGAGAAGGGAACAGAGGAAAGAAGGGGTTCCAATATGACATAAAGAGGTTAGATAAAACCCCTGGCACTATTTAGCCTTAGTGTACTTACTTGGTTGCTGCTGCTGCTGCTGGGTGCTGAAGGCTCCAAATCCCAAACCAGTTCCCAAACCTGTGCCAAGGCCGGTACCTGTCCCGAAGCCAGTGCCAAATCCAAACCCCTTGTTCTGGGTAGCACTAAACAACCCTTGAAAGAAGAAAAGCGGGACAACACAGTGTGAATAAGGTCATGCTAAGCTCCTGCAATGCTTTAACTGGAAAGACATGTGCAGTGCAATTCATGCGCTCTTACCACCAGCCCCGGTGTTGGTAGGAGCCGAGAAGCTGAACGTAGATCCAGCTGAGGTGTTTGCCGTCCCAAATCCTCCAAAGGCCCCTAGGAAACCAAAATGAACATGTCGAAAGAAGAAGAAGCCCGGCAGGCTCTTACGAGGCCACAGTTTTGACGATCACATGCCGGTAGGTTTTTTTTAGGAAGGGAGATGGTGACAAATGAATGTTGCTGAGGAAACAACTCGTATGCCTTGCCCTCGTTTAAAGCCGAAGCGATTGCAGAGAAGGGGCTAACACTAAAGTAGCTAACACGCTTTCATCTTTTGGGAAATCATATCAGATGCACATTTTTGTTGTTATTTTTTGGAAAGCCTATACTGTTACTTGAAGGAAAACACATATAAATTCTTTTTTAAAAAAACAACCTAATCAACGCAGTGCCTCTGCTTTAAACTACTCTAGAACATCAGTGCTCCTTATGTGGGCATAAATATGTCTTCTGAATTTTCCTTGCATTGTAGAAACCAGCTGCTCCCAGCACTCTTTGCATGCCTTTCTTTGTGCTAAACAGGCACAACAGAGTTGATTAAATGGCTTTGCTGGAGCTCCCAGAATAGGTTTCAATCAGAAGAAGGGTTCCAGCCTGCCATTGACACATTGGCCCTGCAACTGCTGTGCTGCCTATATGGACCCTGCTCTTCTCCTTGACCAAGCGCCAACCAGCACTGTTCCTGACTGAACTTTTTGGGTGAAAGATGCACTGGTTAAACCTGTCCTGAAGCACTCAAAACCTATACAGTCATAAAATTGGGGGATGGACCCAAAGACTAAGTTAGTTGTGCTTTAGCCCCACTGAAATCAGTGCTGCCCTCAGCTCCTTTGGATGAAAGTGCAGGATTGTAAATGTATTAAACAAAAGAATAAATAAACAGATAAATAAATAAATACTAGTGTGAAACCAAGTTTTTATAAATGCATTAGAATTTGTGATCCCTGTCTGCACTCAAAAGATTAAAGTTCAGTTATAGCTGCCATCTTAAAACAATTACAGTATTTTAGTGTAATACTAGTAACAATCGTAGCTCAGTGGTGAGCTCTTTCTCGTGTCCTTCCTTGCACAGAAATTTTCCAAGAAGAATTTTAAAACTGATTGGAAGTGTGAATGCATTTGTATGCGGTGGGTAGAGGTGCGAGAGACTCACATTGTGAAAGCCATTCAGACCAATCACAAAGCAAACAATGTCACTGGGGTGAACAAATGGTTTCTTTTAACAGCTGAGATGAGAGTTACACTATACAAATAATTGAAACTGTTGCATATTACGGTACAGAAATGATAGGACTATGGAATGATATAATTTCCTATACGAACAGCCACAAGAACTGAAGGTTAACACTAAATGAGCGCATTAGAAATACTGAATATTAGAATACTGAATATTAATGTCAGGCACATTCAGGTACAAAGATGGATCGATGCCTGGCTGTTCAAAATCAGCTAGTTGAATTATCAACTTGTTCTACAGACGGTAAATAGTTGAGAATATTTAAAAGTCAGAATCTTTTTGTCAAAACCAGCATATTTCTCAAAGACCAAAAGTTAGGATTGCTGATTTTTTTTAGCTGATCGTATAAAATTTGCTTCTCCATTAAGCCTTGATAAAAGTGTGGTGAGTTCGTGATGACTGAAATCCAATGAAGAGACGTAGGAAAGGGGGGAAACATAAATGCAGTAGGGTCCAAGAATTTGAGATACAGAAAAATACCTTTTCAAAGTTATTCAACTTTATTACCAAGGGATCATAATTTTATATCCCTGTTTGCAGAATGCACATGACAAATTTGGCCTGCTAAGACACTCTGGCTGATTTTCCTTGGGGAAAAACCATTTTAATGACTCAATCTAGATCTACATGGATTCAAGGTTAATTCACACATTACACTGTTTCATAGGCACACAGTAAACGGGAAAATTGTGAAAGGAAACTGAGAATTCAACACCCTCCCAAGCTTATAGGGCACAAACATGGTGGATGTGTACTATGGAGGCATGATTTGCCATGAATTCATCCCATGTTTGGAAAGGTTGTCTCCCCTTCACACTCTACATCACAGCAAGTAGCTAGTAGTCCCACAATGCTGTGTTCCGTATGTATTGCCTCTCACATGGATTTCCTGACTGTGCAGACTTCCTCATTTATTGAATGGAGGGACCTGATCAATCATTTCTTTAACGAACGCATAGACTGCATCCTTCTGTGAAGCTTTATGTTCCCATAAGCAACTGCTGGATCAGAGCAGTCTCTCTTTGCAGCTACTTCAGTGATAAAACAGCTTTGAAAAATTAAGCATTTCAGTCACACATTTAAGGAGTCCGATGCAAACGTTATTTTAAAAGCTACAAGAATAAAAGCAAAAGAGGTATTCTGCTTCTACTCCAGTCCTTAAACACTGAAAGAGGTCTTCAATTGATTTTAATGGAACAATGCCACATGAATGAGTTTAGACCCCAGGGGCCTGAAGCAAATTCTTGGACCCTTCCCAGCAACAATGCAATTACAAACACCACTTGTGTGCATTCTCTACCTGCACTGGCCAGACTGTTACCAAAATTGAATGGTGGAGCCGAGGTAGTAGACACACCAAAATTCCCAATATTAAAATTCACTGCAGGATTAGCAGTTAATCCAAAACCCCCAAAATTAAACCCGCTGGCAGTGGAGTTTGCTGTTTCAAGCCCACCAAATCCTGATGAGTGGGAAGCAGAAAAGAAAGCAAGGAAGTATTAGTGAGAAACAAAACATGTAAGCAGTAAAACCGTTTCTGATTAGCAAAAATGAGAAATTTCAAAGAACGCAGGAGAAGAAACATCAGTCCATAGCAAGAAAAAGTACAAGAGAGTTTCTCTGCTGTCATAGGACAAATGAAGTTTTTACTGCCAAATATTAGTTCTGCACCAAAAACATGCAAATAAAAATTCCTCCTCAGTATGAGAGCAGGGTGTTTTGAATGGTCTACGTTTTGAAGGGTTTAGAAGTAATGAGCTGAGCAGTACACTTAGGCTTAACATTTTGTAGATATGAATGACCAAGTAAAGAACCGTTAACAAACTTGATAGTGGTTCCCTTCCCCAAACTTCCATATGAGAATTACACTCTCCCCATGGCTGATTAATATGAATACTTTGCATTTAGACATGGATTTTTGTTCAAAGTGCTTCACATACATTATCACAACAGTCCATATCATCATGCAATTTGTGAATTCCCAAGTCAAACGCAGCCTGCCAGCCACATACTAGACAAACACATACTCTTCGCAGTACCAGGCAGACAACAGCAGGCTAGCACAGCACTTCTCAATTTGCTAAGTACTGTGGACCTCCTGTTTTTCAAAAGCCAAGCCACAGGACTCTACAATCCTATGTATTTCGGAGGAATTAGCACTAATTATGTTTATTTGTGGGGCTCTGCAACATGGGACTGGCAGCAGCCAGAGACCTAGTTTTGCTAATGGATGGGAACAGAAGCGTGGCAGTGGGGGAGCCACACTTTGCAGCCCGTTGGCCTCTCTCTACAATCACCCTGTGATATTAATGAATAATAAGTGCCTCTTTTGTGTGTGGGGGGGTGCTCCTTTGGGATATATATAGTTACATTTATACATAGACCCTGTGATATTAATGAATAATAATAATAAGTGCCTCTTTTGTGTGTGGGGGGGTCCTCCTTTGGGATATATATAGCTACATTTTTATACAAACCCTGTGATATTATTATTATTATTAATAATAAGTGCCTCTTTTGTGTGGGGTGGTGGTGGTTCTCCTTGGGGATATGTGTGTGTACACACACACACACACACACACACACACACTTGCACTGCAGGGGTTTGGTCTCGAAGACCCTCGAGGGTCCCTTCCTGTTCTAAAACCCTGCGCCAAGCGGACATTCAGGCATCCTTAAGGCGCATCATCATTTTGTGCTTCTTCGCGTCTTCCTTGCGCTCGCGTTCATTTGCGCGTGTTGTCGTGCTTGTCCTGACCTACGGCTGGAACAAATAAAGCTGACTTCCTCCCTCCCACCCCCTCCGAGATCGCCCTGCGCCTCCGAAGCTGCTGCTGCTGCTCCGCGATAGGCAGCCAGGGATTCAACAGGTGCTGCCCTTCCCCGCCCCCCCCCCCGCTACCTTCTCGGTTGCCAGGGCGACCAGGCCCACGCCCCTCCCACCCCAGAGCTCGCCCCCCCCGCCACTTCCCCGCACTCACCCGCAGGGTTTGGGGCGGCTGCAGCGCCGGCGGCTGGCCCGAAGTTGAAAGCCATGAGGGAACCCGAGCGGCGGCGGCGGCGGCGGCAGCACCCGCTGACCCTGGGAAGGTCCGCTCAGCGTCGTCGTCCGGGTGGAAACTGCAACCCCGACGCGGGAGGCCGCGACCAGACCATAGAGATAGGAAAAGTGTAGAGTGGAACCCAATATTAGCGGCGGCCGCGGTTTTCTAGGGACCCGCCGCTCTGCCTTTCGGCCTCCCTTAACTTCGACTCCCCTTTACGCATTTCGTGTCGAAAAATTAGAGCGGGAAACTAGCTGAAACCTGGCACCGGGCGTCCCGGTTTGAAATCGCCGTGGCGCGTCACTCTACATTTCTGCGTCTGTGGTGAAAAAAAGGTTCCGCCTCCGCCCGGAGAGCGACGCTCGAGCTGGCTTGTTGCCCCGGCAACGAGGCGCTGTGGTGACGACGACGTAAGAGGCCATCGCGGATTCCTAGACCGGCCCCTGAAGCGCCACCAATTGGGGAGCGGGCTGCGGGAAGGTAGAGGCTCCGCCTTGTGGACTGGAGGGGAAGTGCCCGATGGGATCCTGATGGGGAAAGTCGGCCGTAGGGCAACCCATGTCGGAAATGTAGATTTTTTTGGGGGGGCGGGGAGAATTTCCAACACCCCCCCCCCCCCCCAAAAAAAACCTCGACAAGTTTTCCACTTTTTGAAATATGGCAACCTGCTTTGGTGATCCTCACACCTAATGATGCGGGATACGGTGTGCAATAGGTTCAAACCCTATTCCGACTCCGACCCTAGGAGTCCTCATAAGAGATCTGTTCCTGGAGGAAGAACTGTGAGGGGAGAGACTTCGTCAGGCAAGGCCTCCTTCCACCTGCCTTGCCCCACCCTCTAGTCTCTGCTTCTCAGTTTCTATTGTATTATTCTATGCACTATGCAAGAAGATCAAACGCATCCATTCTGAAGGAAATCAGCCCTGAGTGCTCACTGGAAGGACAGATCCTGAAGCTGAGGCTCCAATACTTTGGCCACCTCATGAGAAGAGAAGACTCCCTGGAAAAGACCCTGATGTTGGGAAAGATGGAGGGCACAAGGAGAAGGGAACGACAGAGGAGGAGATGGTTGGACGGTGTTCTCGAAGCTACGAACATGAGTTTGACCAAACTGCGGGAGGCAGTGGAAGACAGGAGTGCCTGGCATGCTCTGGTCCATGGAGTCATGAAGAGTCGGACACGACTAAACGACTAAACAACAACATGCACTGTGGCTTGCCGTTGTTTTATTGATTATAGTTTAGAAATTATTTATTGTAACTGTTGAGTGGATTTCTGTTTAACTTTCATATGTTATTATTATTTAATACTATTATAATGATTGTTGAATATTACTTTTTGATGTAGGTTGCCTATTTTAAAGATATGTTTTATTATCCCCTTTTTGTATTGCATTAGATTGTTATAAAATGTACATTCTTTCTTTCTTCAGCTTGTAAACTGCCTTGAGTATTGTAAGATAGAAAGACGGTATACAAATTAAAAATGATGATGATGATGATGAAAGGAACTGCAAACTATGACTCAGTGAGGGGATTTAGGATGTGTGTTTCAGGCCTCAGCCAGTTTAGTCCTGCGCCATCCGGTCCCGTTGGTCACCTGTTAGTCCCGTTTATCACATGTTTAATTACACCACCATTGTGTTCTCCTGGAATCTGCTGCGGTGCATGCTTAGCAGTAAGGTTTGCAAAAGACACACTTGAGAATATTGCAAATGAGGTGCAGGGATCACTGGGAGGGCTTTTGTCTGTAGCAGCTGCACACTTCCCCCTCTTCAGTGCATCTAGCCAGAATTCTGTTCTCTTTGCATTGGCAGGTAAACACACATGCCTCTTTGTCCAGGAGGGATGAGGTGCACTAAGTATTGAAAATGTATTTTCTACTGCTGCTGCATGGCTATACAGTGGTACCTTAGGTTAAGAACTTACTGTAATTCATTCTGGAGGTCCGTTCTTAACCTGAAACTGTTCTTAACCTGAAGCACCACTTTAGCTAATGGGGCCTCCCGCTGCCGCCGGAGCACGATTTCTGTTCTCATCCTGAAGCAAAGTTCTTAACCCGAGGAACTATTTCTGGGTTAGTGGAGTCTGTAACCTGAAGCGAATGTAACCTGAAGCGTATGTAACCCGAGGTGCCACTGTACCTCATTGTGATTTCAGTGATTTTGTGGTCTTTTGCTTTAGCTTTTTTGCGTTTAATCTAGCCATAATACCAAGATCCTTTTCAGAGGCAAGGGAAACTGCAGAAAGTATGTTTTAGGCCATACTAATGAGAAATGACTACCCAGAACTCTGGGACAGCTAGAAAGCACACTGTGCGTACAGGGGCAGACTTCGGTCTTTCCAATTTCAATGGCGCCTCACCCGAGGCCAAAATTCAGTGCCCCTGCCTTCCATCCTGCTTAGTGGAGTACATCTTCAATGCGATACCTTACAACACTCCTAGGCTCTGTGCCCAGAGTGATGGAAATGGTCATTGCTGCCCTAAATTCGCCTCTGGCGCATAGTAGTTAAACGATGGCATTTGCTCCTACAAGAGGCAACAATGGCAATCCATTTTGATAATTTTAAGAGAGAATTAGACAAATTCATGGAGGATAAGGCTATCATCAGTAACTACTAGATGTTCTATCCTCCACTGTCAGAGGCAGCATGTCTCTGAATCCCAGTTGTGAGAATCACCCATGGGCAGAGTGTGGCTGTGTTCATTCCTGCTTATGGACTTGCCACAGGAATCTGGTCCAGCTCGTCTTAGCATTTGTCACCTGGACAACTGGCAGGTAAGAATGTATCTGCTCACCTGGCCCAAGCATATACAATGGTACCTCGAGTTAAGTACCACATTTTTCGCTCTATAAGACGCACCAGACCATAAGACGCACCTAGTTTTTGGAGGAGGAAAACAAGAAAAAATATATTCTGAATCTCAGAAGCCAGAACAACAAGGGGGATCGCTGCACAGGGAAAGCAGCGATCCCTCTTGCTGTTCTGGCTTCTGGGATAGCTGCACAGCCTGCATTCGCTCCATAAGACGCACACACATTTCCCCTTACTTTTTAGGAGGGAAAAAGTGAGTCTTATAGAGCAAAAAATACGGTACTTAATTCATTCCGGAGGTCTGTTTTTAACCTGAAACCTGTTCTTAACCTGAAGCACTACTTTAGCTAATGGGGCCTCCTGCTGCTGCCGCGCCGCCAGAACAAGATTTCTGTTCTTATCCTGAAGCAAAGTTCTTAACCTGAAGCACTATTTCTGGGTTAGCGGAGTGTGTAACCTGAAGCATATGTAACCTGAAGCGTATGTAATCTGAGGTACCACTGTAAATGGACAGGATTTCCTACTGTCTTCTCTCAGAAGCAGCAGAACTAGAAGAGGCCTGGTTGGCATTTTTTTTACACAGAAGGAGATTCACTAACTAAACAGATGTTCCTTTGGAGAAAAATATTCAGAAATGCAAGTTACAAGAATAAGGAGAAAAGGCAATGAAACAAAAAAGCCGTTTAATGTGATATTCCACATTAACATGACAACAGTTCATTGACATGACAACAGTCCACTTCGTTCATTACTAACAGGGCTGAGTGTAAAGAGTCAGTGTTAGATACCCCCCACCAAAAAAGGGCATTCTTTTTGCTTTGGAGTAACTGCCATGATTGACCTACAAAGAATTGCCCCCAATAAGAGCTGAATCTTTTCCATAGTTTGTCTCCTGATACTAGATTCCTCTTTTTTTGCATTAAAAAGCTGTCAACTGTGACATGTCCCTAGAGATTTTCTGGCTGCACCACTAAACATGTTTTAAATATGGAGAAGTATTATTGAAGAGAGATTTGATAGTAGGCTCTTTTACTGCTTCTACAGTGTGATGGTTAAGATAAACTCGTCATCAACTATTGTTGTGGCCTCGGGAAAACTTAGGTCCACATCATATATGGGCCTAATACATGTTTCCTGGCTTACACCAGTCTTATAAATATTCTGTACCTGAAGCTGTCCGAGCAATTTAAATAAGCCCTTACAAACCATTAGTTATGTCAGCGCAGCCCACAAGAGAACTTATGCTCCAGGAAATCCCAAAGCTCCTCTGTCGGAAGATGACAAGCTTCCTTGAAAGATGGCTCATCCACAGCTTCAGGAGACTGTTGGACGTTTCTTGCAGCAGAACTATTTAACAGGGAAGCAAACGGTCTCCACTACAACTAGAAAAATAAAAGTGCCTACAAATGTCACCATCGCCACCCCTCAAACCAAAAATAGGAAAGGATCCTGGAACTTTCAGTTTTGCTCTTTCACTAACTTTGCATTCACAGCAAGCAGCTGGCTCACCCTGTTGTATACATGGTTCTGCCTAAATTTAGAGGCACCGGACAGGCAACCTTTTATGAGGGCTGCTCGGTGTTTTATAAACATTGCGCAGCCCTCGCTTTAGCCACTTGTGATAGTACTGCGCACAATCTCCCTGCCTTGACCAGACACCATAAACAAGGGAGGAGAGACTGTGGCCTTGCGGAAGTTGTTGGACTCCCATCAGCACCAGCCAGCATGGCTAATAATCTGGGATCACGTTGAGTTGTAGTGAAGCAAAACCTCGAGTGCCATCTTTCCCAACTCCCACATAACATAACTTAAGCAGCCTGGGAGGCTTTGCACTGTTAGGAGGGCCTAAACACTACTCAACCCCATAATACTAAGACTGAGAGGCAGCATCAAAGGGGCAATTTCAAGAACTTGGAATTCCTTTTAAAGTATAAATGAACACTGAAAGGTGATCTGAGCCAATGACCTAGCTGTAGAGGCGCATCTATCAGAAATAATACTATACTAATACTATTCATGGTTCTAAGTTATATTTTGCTCCTTTGTACCCTCAGAAATATATACAAGCAGCCTCCCTGCTGCCTTCCAGTTGTTTTAAGCAATGCTGTGTGACCACTGCTGGAAGTGTAAACGTTCATGCTATAATTTTGTAAATGTACTGAGGGAAATAATTTGCACAAGCTTCCAAGGAAACAATTAGGGATGCACATGAATCTGCAATGCCTGCAGCCCCCATTGGCCAACCACGGGGCAGCTTCCTTCCATGAGATGACTCTCAGGTTCTAGTAATGGGAGAATCATCTCTTTCTCCTACATAGACTTGAGGTCTTTAATGAAATCAGGAGTTGGACAACACCTGGAAGGCCACTGGTGAAACCACCGCTGGAAATGGAACTGTGGACCAGATGGATCTTTCGGCTGCTCCAGAAAAGGAATTCCAGCAACATATTCTATGGTTCCTGCACCAGCACAACCAAAATAAATGAGCAACTGTTCTTAGTGAACACTATGAATGACAGAAAGTTGTGTGTCTTGACAACCACTTCAAAAATAGATGGGGAAACTGCTTTCTTACTGCAGCTTCAGGTAATAATTGCTTTTCCAATGGGAGGGGGAAATGCAATCAACGCAATAATGGGCCGTTTGGATGGGGGGGGGGAGATAGTTATACCATGTTACTTTGAAGAATCAATAAGAGATCTTTAAATATAATAATGGGGCATTTGGTCAGCAGGCAGAATGAGATTTTAGGTAATGCCAGAAGCAATGCAGATTACATAAGGAAGAAAAAGTGTACAGAACACTGGCAGGTTATGTTGCTTGCTATACCTATCTAAGCATGAGCTGGGCCTCTCAGAAGAGGCTCAGCTGGTCATTAAGTAACGTAGGTTGGTTTGACCTAGTGGTTGGAGCTACCTTCTCTCCAGCGAAGGTAGCTTGCAATCCAACTCTTCCCTTCTTCTCCAGTGTGCACACCTGTGCAAGACAACATTGCAGCTCTTTTTCCATAGGCTTCAGATTCAGGTGCCATAAACTCCCCATTAGGCGACGCAGCCCTTTCCTCTTCCAGACCTCACAATACGACTTTGTGCCTTTTTACACTCAGGGAGGCTCAAAGGTTTCTTTCTAGATAAGCAGACAGGAAGGGAGGGTTGGCACAGCTAGATGCCTCTCACTAAGAGGTCTCTTAAAATACTGCATGCTGCTAGATCTGAGAAACCGGCTTATTCGGAGATTATGTCTAAAGAAACTAGGGAAGCAATTGCAACTCCAGGCTGGGAGCAGCGGGGTTGAATCAAGCAGCAAAACCACCATTGCATACAGAGTCCTCCTGCCACCGCAGAACAGGAGGGCAATAAAAGCTGCCCATTGCTGTTACACCAACTCTAGGCTGGCTTGGCGAGAGATCAGGTCCATTGCCAATAGCTGATCCAGCTAAGGCAGCTCTCCCTGCCCATCCCAAAATGCCTGGGTTTTTTGGGAGGGCAGTGCAAGGTTGGCTGCAGCCAGCAAGGATGCTGTTGGTGGTTGCTTCTACCTGCCTGCACTTTCAGCATTTCTGCAGTGATGGAGGCTCCTGCTGGCAGAGTCGAGGGCAAAAGGACAGCATTGGCATTTCCTAGCCCCTTTGAGGTGGCATGTCAAGGGCTTGGTTTGGTCTGTAGGGAGACCTCACAGAGAATGCAAGAGGGGCGCGTCTTTGCCAGTTTTAGGCAGCCCATGGAAAAAGAGCAATCAGTGATCTTTACAGGTGTGCTGATTCAAATGCACTCCCTTAGTGTTCCTTATCAAATACTTGAGAGCCGGCTCTCGGGGAACATTTTCTATCCTCAGACCAGCTTTTAGAAAACATTTGCATGGCGGGCGGTGGGAAGACACACCAATTCACCTAAAAGACAGGTGGTGAACTGGACACATTTTTAAAATAGCCGACTGGACCAGGTATGTGTGACTCCCAAGTGGCGCTGCTAGACCGGCTCCAGGTCACTTTCACAGGTATGCATTCATGGGGAACCACCCCAAAATCAATCCAATGGATGCAGAGCAGTATGGCACAAGGGTGGGCTGTGTTAGTTCTGCAGCCATACCCGTGAAAAATGTGATGGAGGCTGGAGATCTCCCTTTGCATCGTAGGATCAAGATCATGAGCTAGCTAGACCGACAAAACATTCCCAGCTGTGCAATGTGAAAATGGACACAAGGAGGAAACTAAAATGCCTGGTATGTCAGAGAGGCTGGCAGTAAGTCAGGTTACTGAAGGACAGGATTGTACCTAGTGATTCTAATAAATAAAAACGGACCCATTGCAGCTGACACAAACTCCTATGGCCCGCCAAACAGGCAAACAAAAGGGGCCGATCCACAGACACCTACACTACTACAGTCCCATGGGAGTCAATGGGAGAACACCAGTGCAAGTGTCTATAGCCACACAGGGATATTAGAACGCTGCTTTTTGCAATCTCGGAAGACAACGGAAGTTGCCTTTGTTCCAGCTTTTTAGAAAAGGCAGCACTGCAACCTCCACTCTTCAAACAGCAGTCCACTTTTCACAAAGCAAACCCTTCCTGAATGCCGCAAAACCCGAAACAGAATGTTAACATATATTAGTGTGCAGGGGAGACGGTCGAGACTGTTGTACAGCGTAGTGGTTGCAGTTAAGAGCAGTTTGCATAGTTCAGTCATCACTAAGCTCGTTTCTGAATAGTGTTGTTCTTGTTGTTGCTGGGGAAATTGAGTCACGATGTCCGGATGAGCGGCGCTCTCTCGTCTTCGGAAGCCTGCAATTAAGACAGGTAGGAAAGACAAACACAGAACTGAAAGGTGCTATCCTGACAGGTATCAATATTGCAATCCAAGGCTGACAAAAACAGCATGCGCTTCCCTTACACTGTAGAAGTGTCTCGGTTTTATACCTGTAAAACTGTCACAGCTTCCCGCAAATAATTCTTATGGTTTAGGGTGGGTGCTGAGTATTAAGAGATCCCCAGCTCCACTCGCGGAATTACAATTTGGGGGGTGGGGGGTGGGCAGAGAATTTCACGAAATTAGTTGAAGTCTGTGTTATGTATATGCCTTAAAGGATCACACAAGCACATATATTTGGAAAATTACAGTAGGGATATGATGTATACGGCTTTTAGGGAAATGATCTTAGATATCTATCATGTCATGATCATAGGTTTTCCTTTGAAAAGTTGTGCGTCTTAATGCACATGGTACCATGTTCTAAAGACTGTACCATTTCAGACTGGAGGTGTGGTACATCTGAATGTCCAGTTATAGCAATTATCTCCCTGCTTGTGGAAAATTAGCACACCAGGGACAGGCTTTTAAATCTAGCCTCCTCCCTCATATGTCAGATTTCTACATGCGGGGAAGTTTTCATCTCCACCATCGAACTGAGAAATCTGAAAGCAAGTCAAGATCACATGACTCTCCATTAGATGAAGTGTATTGCCCTTGAATGTACCTTGGATCCAAATTATGGACAAATCTTCCAGCCTCCCCGACCAATCGACAAATTGGGAATTGTACCCTCAACATTCCTATGATAAAAACCAGCTGTTGTCGCCCCCCCTAAAAAAACTGGACACATTTTGCATACTGAAAATTCTTACATAAAAGTAAACAACTGGCAATACCCAACCCCCACTCCCCAAAACCCATCACCTTGGCCACAAGACTTGGCAACCCCTGTTCCATGCAGTCTCTTAGTTAACCCATAAGCGCAGTAGGTAAAATTGCTTCCAGGGGGAGCAGAGTGAGAAGGACAGGGAGAAGCAGGGCAGAAGTGGTTCACCTGGCGAAGCAGAATTGCTGCCGCTTTCTGTGAAAGCACTGGTGGAGCCAACCCAGGGTTTCCGCTGGTGCACCTGCACCGTGCTGACCTCCCCAATGCTTTCTGCTCTCGCTTCAGGGAGAGGAAGTGACTGCAGCTCCATCCCACCGGGTAATGCTGCCTCTAGGTTCAACTGAGAAACCGATGTCCGGCCAGCAACAGAACAACACCCCTTGCTTGTTTCCTCTCTCTCTCACTTTGGACAAAACCCACCACCGCGATGGACACCCCAAGCAAAGCCGCATGGCGCACACCAACACAGACGCAGGTTTGCTTTTGCGGTTGCAAGAACTTGCTTAGAAACGAAGCCCGCACAACAGGAGGAGTGGGGAAAAGACTCCTGGAGCACTCTGGTATCCCTCTGCCAACTTTCAAACTAGGGTGGGCTCCAAAGTACTCAACTTGGACTGGGGAGACCTGGGTTCACGTTCTCACTTAGCCCATGATGGTTGCAAGGAGACGTTGGGCCAATCAGCCTTGCATGCTCTAGTTATCGCCCGCTTGGACTACTGCAATGCGCTCTACGTGGGGCTCCCTTTGAAGGTGACCCGGAAACTACAACTAATCCAGAATGCGGCAGCTAGACTGGTGACTGGGAGTGGCCACCGGGACCATATAACACTGGTCCTGAAAGATCTACACTGGCTCCCAGGACGTTTCCAAGCACAATTCAAAGTGTTGGTGCTGACCTTCAAAGCCCTAAATGGCCTTGGCCCAGTATACCTGAAGGAGCGTCTCCACCCCCATCATTCTGCCCGGACACTGAGATCCAGTGCCGAGGGCCTTCTGGCGATTCCCTCACTGTGAGAAGCCAAGTTACAGGGAACCAGGCAGAGGGCCTTCTTGGTAGTGGCGCCCGCCCTGTGGAACGCCCTCCCATCAGATGTCAAAGAGATAAACATTTAGAAGACATTTCTAAATTGACATTTAGAAGACATCTGAAGGCAGCCCTGTTTAGGGAAGTTTTTAATGAGTGACATTTTAATGTATTTTAATCTTTGCTGGAAGCCACCCAGAGTGACTAGGGAGACCCAGCCAGATGGGCCGGGTACAAATAATAAATTATTATTATTATTATTATTATTATTAATGGGGAAGGAGGAATGAAAGAAAATGTATATAAAATTAAAAGAAGAAAACAGTAACTAGGACTGTTCCTGACTAAATAAATCTAGTTAAGGTGTTACAGGATTAGGATTATATATTATTTATTTCAGTCAATGGCCAGTAGAACAAGAAGAATTTTAGTCAGTGAATTAAATCCACACATGAGGAAAGCTGTATTTCTAGCTTAGGGAAAAGGACCACGCTCGCTTTCTTATTCAATAGGGGAACACAGCAACACAGGAAGCTGCCTCATGCAGTCAGACCAACAGTTCATCCAACTCAGGATTGTCTGCACTGACTGGCAGCTGCACCTACAGATGCTGGGGACTGGACCTGGCAAATACTCTACCACTGAGCTGGGGCCCTGACCCACAGCACACAGATGTCTGAATGGACATCACCTTAAGAAGGGCATCCCCTTCTCTCGCTTTCTCTCGCAAGCACACACATGCTCACAAGGCGACTTGACTAATCAACCAAGCAACAGTGCCATTCTAACTACGTCGACTCAGAAGTTAAGCCCCGCTGAATTCAATGGGGCTTACTCCTAGTAAGTGGGGTAAGAACTGCAGCCTAAACGTCCCAACCTTGCTTGGGCTGCAGGAGTGAGATTGCCAAGACCTTCAAGCGAGGAGTGTTGACCTTAAGGCTGGTTCACACATGCATGTGTTTGTAGTTCTCGACTCAAAAGATGTGTGCTTTAGGGTAAAATGCACTTGCACGCAGAGCGAAAAATACACATTTTGTGATAAAGTAAGTATTTAAATGTGTATACAAAGGTGGTTTTCATACTGATTTTTTTTTAAGTCAAAAAAGGGAACAAGATGGGCATTGCAAACTGCCACAGATGGGGAATATATTGACTGATCCATCCATTCCCAGTTTGAGCTGATACTGGGCTATGTGAAAAAAACTACCGTTGGCAATTAATTAGTCATGCAAATGTGCAAGTCATTACCGTCAATGAATGATGGTCATCATACATGTGCGAAACAGACCTTAAGACTTTGGAGTTCATTAGCTAACCGTTTCTCCTTAGCGAATAAGGATTGTAGCTAGGAAGGAGGATTAGGAAAGAGATATGGACTTTGCTGATCTTACCATGTGTCTCAAGACAGCTGCTGAACGTTTGCGGAAAGGTGCTTACTCTGTGTCTACTAAACCTTCGCTGCCCTAGAACCAGCATTTCGGAAGAAACAAATAAAAGGAAGACACAACAGAGAAAGGAATAAAACAAAAACACAAAATCTTTCTGGTGATTGCATGGAGAAAGTAAGTCAAAATCAAGAGGAAATTTTAAAAAAGGGAAAGGTTTTGATTTTTATGAAAATGAACAAAATAAGAGAGGTACAGAGAAAGCAAAGGGAAAGGGTCAGATCCAAGCGCTACCTTACCTCCTCCCTCGCCCGTAAGGGCTTGCAGACAAGCGCAACGAACAGAGCACCAAAAAGAATCCCTAGTGCCATGATAATATAGGGGACACTGGTCATCACCGCAGTTTCAAGAAGAACAGTCTTCAGTTTTGCCACGGATGCTTTGTCCAGCACGACACTCTGGAGGATAAAAAGGGGGCAGGGAGGAGAGAGACATAGATTCATTCTGTTATCCACACGACTCTAGTCAAATATAATTCAGATCAGCCTTTGTCGACACGCTGCCTGCCAGATGTTTCTGACTTGCTATGCTGCCTGAGTGGGGCTGATGGGAGATGTAGTCAAAAAAGTCGGGAGGGCAAGCAGACTGGGGAAGGCTGATTTAGATTGTGTCTCAAACTGGTCCTGCGGAATGAGCTCCCTGCTGAAATACAAAAGGCCTCATCTGCATGGGCATTCCGCCGGCTCTTGGAGGCAACCTTCTCATACAGACATTCCCTCGATCTGAGTCTGCTGCTTTAATCACTGCATTAATGTGTTAATGGGATGGGCTGCACTGAAACTCAAAGTGCATCACTGCTCCATCCCTCCTAGAAGGAAATTCGGCTTGAAAGGCACATTCAATTGTACCAAGTAAAATACCTTGTAATTTGTGCAGGCTTGCACTTTTTTTGTCGTGGGCATAAACATTTTATTGAGATTGCTTCGTTTTTTTTATTTTAATTACAGTGCGTTTCTAATCCATCTGTATTACACCCATGTTGCACAATTGGTTTTTTATGTTTTGTGATCCACTTAGAAGCTATCCTGGCATTAAGCGGGATGCTAATTACATAATCAGCAAGCTTCTCCTGCTTGTAAATTTGCCCCTGCAGCCTAAGGTAAATCTGTAAGCTAATACCCTGAACCCTTTCAGTGTCTTCTTTTCTCAGGACCACACCCAATATATTTTTGCTGTTGCAGGTGAGATCGAATTTTGCAGCCGTGTTCTTCCCTTCCCTGTACTGCTCTCTAATTGTATGCTGAGTAACATAACAATGACATCAGAGGAAGGTCTTCCTGGAAGTTTGATAACCCACCACCACCCTCGTAGAGCTCCACATGTAGGCAATGCAAATTCCGCACAAAGAGCACTGAATTCCGCAACCTACGCACATTGTGCAAGTAGACTAAGTCATATTTATTCTGTTTTTGGCAATCCAGGCAAGGAAGACTAATGATCTATGCACTAAAGCATGGGTAGGCAAACTAAGGCCCAGGGGCCGGATCCAGCCCAATCACCTTCTAAATCCAGCCTGCAGATGGTCCGGGAATCAGCGTGTTTTTACATGAGTAGAATGTGTCCTTTTATTAAAAATGCATCTCTGGGTTATTTGTGGGGCATAGGAATTCGTTCATTTTAATTTTTTTAAAAAAAATATGGTCCAGCCCCCCACAAGGTCTGAGGGACAGTGGACCAGCCCCCTGCTGAAAAAGTTTGCTAACCCCTTCACTAAAGCATTCTCTCCCTCTTCAAGTAAACGTTATTCTGCAGCTTCTCTAGCTTCTGAGATTTCAGAATCCACATTATTTCCCAACAATTCTCCTTGCAGTATATGGGCCCTCCCCGCCCCCCAGCTAAGTTCCACCTGTCACAACACGCTGGGTTAGCGGTAAAGCAGCAGAAGGTGTTTTGCAAAAACGCCTACCTCGTTTACGTAGAACACAGGGAGGAACATGGTTTTGATGTTGCCTGTTTGGCTAAAAGAAGGTGGAAAAGTAGTTTAAAGAACTGTTGCATACGATATAGATTGCCACTTCACTCTCAGGTACTATGAGATCAGAGACTGGCTCTCTTCACTACCCCCAACCCCAGTGGATAAAAGCTTTTGGAAACTCTGCTCCCCCAACGCGGTATCTGCCCCGTCCACTGTACTGAGTGCAAGAGGTGCGGCTAAAAATTGACAACACAATGGTACAGCACAGGTGCCTAGTCAGAAGCTCGGCTGGCAGGGCGGCACTCCCTATCCAGATGCCATAATAGGCTGTTCACCTCTCTACACATGCAATTTCTCTCCTACTCATACCACAAGCTGCTTGAAGTGGCTTAGCAAGGTCAGAGGGTGGAAAAGAGAGGAGCACGCGGACAGCAGAAAGGCAGATCTCGTCACCCCTCCCCTTGCACTTATCCCTGGCCAAACCAGCACCAGACCTTTGAAACACTATTATACCACTTTGTAAGAGTCACTTTGTAAGGGACGCGGGTGGTGCTGTGGGTTAAACCACAAAGCCTAGGACTTGCCGATCAGAAGGTTGGCGGTTTGAATCCCCGCGATGGGGTGAGCTCCCGTTGCTCGGTCCCTGCTCCTGCCAACCTAGCAGTTCGAAAGCACGTCAAAGTGCAAGTAGATAAATAGGTACTGCTCCAGCGGGAAGGTAAACAGCGTTTCCGTGCACTGCTCTGGTTCGCCAGAAGCGGCTTAGTCATGCTGGCCACATGACCTGGAAGCGGTACGCTGGTTCCCTCGTCCAATAAAGCGAGATGAGCGCTGCAACCCCAAAGTCGGCCACGACTGGACCTAATGATCAGGGGTCCCTTTACCTTTACCTTTAAGAGTCATTGCTTCCCTCCAACGAATCCTGGGGACTGCAGCTTGTTAAGGATGCTGCCAGCTGTTAGGAGACTCCTCTCCCCTCTCACAGAGCTATAATTCCCAGAGCGGTTTAGTACTCAATCCCTGTTCCCAGGGAACATCAAAATGCTAAAGCGATACAGTTTAAATAATTAAATATCCTAAAAAATCTCATTCATCTTTTCAAGTATCTACTGCACCTTTTAATTTAACGTCCTTTGTTCCCCTTCTCCTATCCTGCTTTATATACGACTCATTCTAATGGTTTTCTTACACTAAATTTTTTAAAAATTTAAAAACCCCAACAGAGTACTTACATAAAATCGGGTAGCTTTTCAACGTAAGTATTGATCTGCAGTCGCCGGGCTGCTCTGACCAGCACTCCTGTCAACTGAGGGATAAAGGAATTGTGACTCAGTAAGATTTTAGAAATTGGTTATTGACGTGCATTAGTGTGTGCAGTGTATTTATTTATTTGCATCTAAGCCTCTGCCATCATCATAAACCATCCTAAGATGGTGCCCAAAGGAGACATCCCTACGAAGCAGAGAATAGCGCTCAACCCAAGAGTCATTGACCTATCTAGCTCAGATTTACCTGCACTGATTGGCAGAGGCTCGCCAGGGCTTGACATCATCAACCAGGAGATGTTGGGAGGTTAAATCTGGGACCTTTCGCATTCAAAGGATGCGCCCTGCCGCTGAGTTATGGTGCTTCCTCGCCGTGCCACGTGGGCTGCAGCAGAAGCAATGGCTCCTGTTGCTTATGGAGGCTACGCATATGCATGTTAATTGCTTGCTGAATTTGTTAATCCTGAATACAGGCAACTCTCCATTTGCGTTCAAGGCACATGTAACCGCAAACCCGGAAGCGGCGCAAAAAGGAGCAAAAACAGCCCTAAAAGAGCTGTGAAAACGGCACAAAAATAGTGCCTAGCAATCCCTTGAGCCCTATAAGGCCTGTGGAGCGTTGGAGTTTGAGGAGGAGGAGGAGGAAGAAGAAGAAGAAGAAGAAGAAGAAGAAGAATTTATTATTTATACCCCGCCCATCTGGCTGGGTTTCCCCAGCCACTCTGGCCAGCTTCCAACAAAATATTAAAATACAGTACCAGACTTTTAGAAGACATCTGAAGGCAGTCCTGTTTAGGAAAGCTTTTAATGTTTGATGCTTTACTGTATTTTAATATTTTGTTGAAAGCCACGCAGAGTGGCTGGGGAAGCCCAGCCAGATGGGCGGGGTATAAATAATAAATTATTATTGTTGTTATTATTGTTGTTGTTGTTATTATTACAGGTCCTTCCTGAAAGCCAAACTGTAACAACTATAAGGCAGAGCGTGGTACCTACAGGGTTTATGTCCACATATGTCTCGTGCTCCTCCTGATTCGGATGCATGCCATCAATGTCCTGGACAAACTTATCATCGGATAGGTAAAAATGTGGGGGTGATAAAAATATTGGTGCACCTGTAAGAACAACAGCTGTCAGAAACTGAAGGGAGAAGGGCACATTTCCCTTTAAAAATTCCCTCCAGACATACAGCCACAGTTCTGCCTGTGTGGTGTAGTGCCTTCAACCACGAAGCTCACTGTGTGACCTTGGGCCAGCCATTACCTAACCTCCCTCCCTGTTGGGAAGATAAAATTGAAAGGGGCAAAGCCATAAACGCCACCTTCAGGTTGCTGTAGGAAAGGCAGGATATAAATTGAGTCTTGTAGTACTAAGTAAGTGTCCTGATTTTGCTCACTCTTTAAATCTCATGGACTTTACACTATTATAATTATAATCAATAGTACCACTGTTTTAACATCATGAAGATGAATTAAAAAGCCAGATAACTAATCAACCGAAGCTGCTGTAATAATAGTAAGAGCTAGCATTTATATGGAACATTTTAAGCATTCAAAGGTCTTTCCCTTCGCTCGGTGAGCCTTGCGACAGAACTATAAAACAGGCTAGTGTCATTCTCCCCCTCCTGCAGAAGCTTCCCTGACAGACCACCAAATGAATTCGAGCCAGAGGTGAGAACTGAACCAGGGACATCCCAGCGCACAAAATTCTCACTGGTGCCAAAGCAGTATTTCATAGAATTGCAGAGTTGGAAGGGACCCAAAGGTCCTCTAGTCCAACCCCCTGCAATGCAAGAATCTTTTGCCTACAGGGGGAAAGTGGTGTCAGGCTTCAGGGGCTTCCTCCCCCCGCTCCCCTTTGGCAGTAGATAAGCAGAACAAAGAGAAAGGAGTCTCTTACCAGTTAGAAATTTTAATGATCACAAAGAATCCATTCCTAGGAATGAAGGTGCTCCCAATTAAGGGTTTCCCCCCACTTCCTCCCTAGATCCCCACGCCACTACCGCGTCTTGCAACCTGATCTCGCAGCCACTGTGCTTTCTGTTCTTCTTGACCTTGGGCTGAGCGGATGAACGCTTTCCAGAGAAACTGAGTCTGTTAACTCTCTCTCCCCTAGTGCTTCTCCTCCTAGCTGTTCCCCATCCAGTATTTCCCAGCTTCTGCCTTCTGAACTATACCCCTCTGCAAACCGCTGTTCCAAATCTATACTGTCCTCCTGCTCCTGGGAAGATTCAAGATCCGGAGCAGGGGGAGACTCCCACCATTCCTCCTCAGCGCACCCCTCCTCAGCACGGTCCCTGGCAAAAAAATGCTGCACCTTGGGGTGCTCCTGTTCAGGATTCCTTCAAGCCAGTCATACCCTTTCCCAGGATACTCCACTGCATGCCCCCTGCTCTCCCAGTTTCCATTTCCTGCTCCCTCCAACTGTCAGTCGGCATTCCATACCCACCGAGGATGCACAGTCCTTGCCGGGCTATTTTGGGGGTTTCCAGGAGTCAGAGATTACATACGCACACAAAAAAACCCAAACAAATCTGCAAAATGATACTGGGAGGTGTGCAGGGTTGGCAAAGTCTGTTCTGCCCTAGCATCCCTTTTGGCTCACGTACCTTGATTGCAGGCGCTGATGTTCAGGAGCCCTGCCCCTAGGCAGTTCCCTGCCGGCACACAAAACCCGGCATTGTCTGGATTGACGGAGGCGTTTGCAAAGAGCATCTCAGGAGGCGAAAACCGGTAGGCTGAGATCCCTTCAATGGTCACGTACTTCTGAAACGTGAGGTACATGGACCTGGAAAGGACAAGAAGAGCCTGAAGCCTTCCGCCGCGGGCTTTGATCGGAAACAAAAGACGCACTGTGCGCTCTTCAGGGCTGCTGTGGTGTGAATGGAGGGCCTGTGTCACTGAAACTCCTGGGGCAAAAGCCAGGGACCCATTGAGCTGGAAACTGCTGCCCTACTCAGTGAGCCAACAAGACTACAGGTTAGAGCATCGCTTGGCAGGCAATGGATTAATGGGCTCCAGTCAGACATCACCCACCTAGGCTGGCCATTGCATCCCCTCATTAGAAAGAACGATAAAAGCTTCCTGTGCAGGGCTGAGTTGTTGCCTGGGCAGCAACACGCGTTGGCTCTGACTTTGGACTAAAGATCTGACTTCCCAGTTTGTATTCCTGGCTTCCGATTCCTCTGGTTTGTGGCATCTGGTTCCCAGCTCCTGTTTGCTGCTTCCAGCTCAGCTTCTCCACCCCGTTTTCTCTCTTCCGTCTTCCAAACACAAGCACACACACGTGGACCAAACACACACACGTGGTATGTTGGGGGCACAGCAGGGCAAGGAGCAATTTACACGTATTCCAAACAAAGTATAATCCAACGCTAGCAATGTTCACCAGCAAGTTATGGGCTTGGGATGCCCCATATATCCCACTGAAACGCACTAATTAACTTTCCTTGTGGCCTGCTTGAATCTGCTCCTTCCTAAGTGTTGTTGTGACAGTAGGAAAAGCACTACGATATGAAGACCTTCCACCATTCTTACCTACAGAAGTCTGACGAGAAAACGTAGATGGTTTCACCAGTGTCTATCAATGGGTGAAAAGTATCACCGTCGGTTCCATTTATCATGTTACAAGTTGGCGACGTCCACCAGTCTAGTGAGCTACAGAGGGAAGACATACGGAGGAGGAACAGCTTTTGAGCACGTAGAAAAATCAGTGTTTTGCAGCAGCCTCAAATAAAACAGCCTAGGGCTATTATTCCCGTCACTTCCCCATGCCCCAGATAGAACCTCATCTCTGTTTCTTCTTATCCCCTTCCATATGCAGAATAATTTCTTTGTCCTCAACTTTAAAGATCTCCACTCCCCCTTCCTTTATTTTTACTTACAGCCCAATATATTTATCTACTGATCCCTGCCTCTCAACTTGGCTCCCTCAATCTTACCACCTTAGTAAGACATCCTGTTCTTTTCAATGAGACAGCCTATTCTCCCTTACTGTGTGGAATTATTTCGTAGAGAACCGACAAAAAGCCACCTCTATTTTTTAAAAAGGCAACAAGAAGAAATACCTCTTTTTATTTTAAAAAACAACAACACGACCCCTTCACAGAGAGCCAGTGTGGTGTAGTGGTTAAGAGCGGAGGACTCGTAATCTGGTGAACCGGGTTCGCTTCCCCGCTCCTCCACATGCAGCTGCTGGGTGACCTTGGGCGAGTCATACTTCTCTGAAGTCTCTCAGCCCCACTCACCTCACAGAGTGTTTGTTGGGGGGGAGGAAGGGAAAGGAGATTGTTAGCCGCTTTGAGACTCCTTAGGGTAGTGATAAAGCGGGATATCAAATCCAAACTCTTCCACCAAGCCTTTGAAAAGTCCAGCAATCTCCAAACTGGTGTCCTTCTGTTCTCCAGACTCCATCTCCCACCATCCCCAGACAACATGGCCCATGGTGAGGGATGATGGGAGTCAGAGTCCAAGAACAACTGGAGAGCATTGGGCTTGGGGACAGCTGCTTTAATCCTTACGCCCAACTAAAACGAAGCTTCAGCACCTGTCTCTCCATGTGTGCAGATTCCTCCCATGTTAGCTCCATTTCCATTTCCCCTGTCTAAATTTAGAGCTGCCAGTTCTTGGGGGGCGAAGGCCAGCCTTTTGTTTAGTGCGGGCATTGCCAAGGCAGAGCACATGGGCGCCACAATGCTCATAAAGGGTTTCTTTAGCTGCCCTTGGGCTTTTATTTAAATAAAAAAGTAAGACTCTATCCCTCCTAGAAATAAAGTTATGGACCCAAACATGCAGGTACCCTTCTAAGTGATTTCCGTGAACTAAGCCAGTGTTTTAAGCCAATGGGTGAAGTCAGAGCTGCGACTGATTTGTTTGGACACCTGGAAACAGAAAATCTTGGGGTCCCAATTTGCTGGGGTCCCCCTCGCCTTTAATGCGTTTTACCCTGCTTCTGTTTCATTTCTGAAGCAGAAATGCAACAAGCTTAAAAGTCTTCTAGTATGGAATTACAATTCTGGGGAAAGCTTCCCCAAGACGGGGCTCCCTTTAGTGTGTCCTGCCATGATGTGTGTGTCAATCCATGATGTTGGATTGAAGTTAAGGGGTTTTTAGCTGTACAGGCTAAAAGAATATGGAAAAATTGGTTTTAATATCTAAAAATTTAATATCTAAAAATTGGTTTTAATATCTAAAATCTAAAATTTTAAGTTACATTATATCAAGATTAAAGATTAGGATTAAAAAGGAGGGAAAGGAATTGTTGGGTTAACATATTTAATTAGAATACAAAAGAGGGGGGTAAGAGGAGGTCCGAGAAACAAGTAAATGTAAAAGAAGTGAGGAAAAGATGAAATTGTTTTTAATTGTTTTTTTTCCTTATTTCCTTTGTATTTTTTCTTTTTATTGTTAATTTTTTCTTCATTAATGTGGTTTTTTTTTCCTTGTGAAATTTTAATAAATATTATTTTTTTTTAAAAAAAAGTGTGTCCTGCCATGGCGGCCGTTTTGTGATGGGCACCCACAGCACCCACTCAAAATGTGCTCCCTGGATTAGCACACTGGTGCTGCTCTGTCAAATCATCACCATCATCGCCCAAGAGCTCTTGCTCTGCACGTCCTTGCCTTTCAAAATTTGAAACGCGAATTATTAACCAGAGAGTCCAGCACTCAAATTAAAAGGAAAAGAAAGAAACATTACTCTTTCCCTCTCCATTTGACGATCTTCGTTAAGTCAAGGTAATTCTTCTCCCCGCTTAGGACAACGTACTCGCCATCATCGGACCCGTTCATCTAGAAATAAAACATGACCATTTTTGTGATTGGTGGGATGAGGGGACAGGAAAGAACCGACTGATCCTTCACCCTATTGCAGGACTTGGGAACCTTTTCAGCCCAGATTAATATGCCAATCTGAGTATCAGTGAGCTAGGTAAAGGTAAAGGTAAAGGGACCCCTGACCATTAGGTCCAGTCGTGGCCGACTCTGGGGTTGCGGTGCTCATCTCGCTTTATTGGCCGAGGGAGCCAGGATACAGCTTCCGGGTCATGTGGCCAGCAGGACTAAGCTGCTTCTGGCAAACCAGAGCAGCACACAGAAACGCTGTTTACCTTCCCGCCGGAGCGGTACCTATTTATCTACTTGCACTTTGACGTGCTTTCGAACTGCTAGGTTGGCAGGAGCAGGGACCGAGCAACAGGAGCTCACCCTGTCGCAGGGATTCGAACCACCGACCTTCTGATCGGCAAGTCCTAGGCTCTGTGGTTTAACCCACAGTGCCACCGGCGTCCCTATCAGTGAGCTAGGAAGTGCTAAATAGGTTGGTTTGCTTGCAGACGCTGGCTGAGTGAAGTTCTCCAACATCCCTGGTTCCAAAGCCTTGTGATGGGAGAGGACTGGGGCACTTCTGGCCTGTAGACTGAACTGGGCCTGCCCAGCCTCTCAATCTGGCCGGCCAGAACATTTCAGCTAAGGCACATTCAGCAGCCCTGCACCTGCCTCAGCCAAAAGGTTGCTGGATCAGCGGTTCTTGCAGAGGAGTCCCTTTCAAAGCACTGTAACAACACTTTGAAAGGGGCTTCTGAAGATGCCTGCAGGCAATAAAAGTTCATCTAACATCAGATGGATGAAGGAAGAAGGGGACAGGGAAGAGCCAGCTGCATCCAGTCGAGCCCCACGGTGTCCCCACAGAACAGCAAACCCTTCTCCCCCATTTTCTCAGCCCCCCTACTTGAGATGGCACAGACCATACGCAGTGCTCTAAACACAGATGCGTGGCAGATTTGTATATCGGAATTGCAAGCTTTGCTGCTGGTCTGAAGCAAAATCCAAGGTGAGCGAGTAGGCCTTGTTCCGTCTGACCGGCAGGTTGCAGAAGAAAATGTTTGCAAAGGCTCCAAACAACAAAGAAAACAGGCAAGACCTTGCCTTGTAAGGAACAAAGCAATCTTACCTATAAAATGCTGGCCCAAGTTATCATAGAATTGTAAAGTTGGAAGGGACTCCCAGAGTCATCTATTCCAACCCCTGCAATGCAGGAATCTTTTGCCCAATGTGGGGCTCGAACCCACAACGCAGAGATTAAGAGTCACATGCTGTACTGACTGAGCTATCCCAGACATGCCTATTCCAAACTCCATTCAGGAGGAATGTGACTTGCACCACCTTCCTCGAAGCACAGGGTTTGGAATACGTGTAAATCACTCCTTGCCCTGCTGTGCCCCCAACAGACCCCTGGATCACCCCTTGGTGGGGGGCTTATACCAGCTGACAGGGTGCTGGCTAACTTATGCTGGTGTATCTCTTGCCAGCTCTCCTAGGAAACCCCAGAATCCACCAAATCGAAAACTCTCACCCTAGCAGATCTTGGATTTGGATTAAATAATAATAATAATAATATTTTTTTATTTGTACCCCGCCCATCTGGCTGGGTTTCCCCAGCCGCTCTGGGCGGCTTCCAACAAAGATTAAAAATACATTAAAATGTCACACTTTAAAAACTTCCCTGAACAGGGCTGCCTTCAGATGTCTGCTAAATATCAGGTAGTTGTTTATTTCCTTGACATCTGATGGGAGGGTGTTCCATAGGGCGGGCGCCACTACCAAGAAGGCCCTCTGCCTGGTTCCCTGTAACTTTGCTTCTCGTAGTGAGGGAACCGCCAGAAGGCCCTCGGCGCTGGACCTCAGTGTCTGGACAGAACAATGGGGGGTGGAGACGCTCCTTCAGGTATACTGGACCGAGTCCATTTAAGGCTTTAAAGGTCAGTACCAGCACTTTGAATTGTGCTCGGAAACGTACTGGGAACCAATGTAGGTCTTTCAAGACCGGTGTTATGTGGTCTCAGTGGGTGCTCCCAGTCACCAGTCTAGCTGCCAAATTCTGGATTACTTGCAGTTTCTGGGTCACCTTCAAGGTAGCCCCATGTAGAGCTCATTGCAGTAGTCGAAGCGGGAGATAACTAGAGCAGTGTTTTTCAACCTTTTTTGGGCAAAGGCACACTTATTTCATGAAAAAAATCACGAGGCACACCACCATTAGAAAATGTTAAAACATTTAACTCTGTGCCTATATTGACTATATATAAAGTAATTCTCTTGAATAGGAATCAAATAAACACAAAGAAAGTATTTTATAATTACTTTATTATGAAATAGTAAGTAAACAGAAATATGAAAAATTATAAAATACTTTATTCAGTGCGCAACCTGGGCCTGTTTGGCTGAACACAAAGCTGATATTCTGGCTGGAATCGAACGTTGCGGACCGTTCTCTGCTCAGCGGGGATCGATCCGCTGATCCCCGCTGAGCCGGCGGATGACAGCTCCGTCTCCGCACTGTGTGCGGAGAGGGAGATGTCAGAGCCCCGCTGCTCTCTATGGGGAATCGGATGAGAGCGGACCGCCTGTCCGCTCTCATCCGATCCCATCCGATCTGATCCCCACCCAGGACGGATGGAAAATAGGGTGGACACAGTCCGGCGCCCGCCTAGTGGGCGAAAATTTGACATATTTTTTTTTAAAAAATCTTTTGAATTTTTCAGTTTTTCCCACGGCACACCAGGCAACATCTATTGTGCCGCGGAACAGTGGTTGAAAAACACTGAACTAGAGCATGCACCACTCTGGCGAGACAGTCTGCGAACAGGTAGGATTGTGCAGTCAGAACCTTACCTTTTTAAAAAAGCCGAAGTCTGGGTCAATACTGGGGCGGAATTTGTGTAGGGCACTGAGCAGCTTGTCTGTGTAGCCCCACAGCAGTTCATGGACAGTGCGTGTCGTGAACAAGTTTTCGTCAAATAATATGAGCAAGATCTCTGCAGGGAAATGCATGGGCGTTGCTGTAGCCATGTTCATTGCAACCTGATGGAGGAGGAGAAGGAAAGCATGTGAACATGTGGAGCTCACAGGGGCTAGCCAGGTGTCTGCAGGAAACCCACAAGGAGGACTCAAGCCCAAGAGAACTCTCCGTAGTTCTGACTCCCAGGAACTGGTAGAAAATGGAATGTAGAGGGGGTGTAGGGCCAGTTCCCCCATGAGGTGGGGTGAGGCAGCTGCCTCAGGTGGCCCAAGATTGGGTGCCCCCACAGGCTCCCTGCCCACCCCCATCCCACCATCTGTGGATAAGCAGCGCTGGCAGCGGTGCCACCTTCTGGCAAAATCTTGGGTCCTCTGACTTTTGGCACCGTTTTACTGGAGTCAATGTACTGCAGTAGCAGACCACCTGAGAAGAGGAACAGAGTGTTGGGCAAACCGAAATAGATGAAACTGAACTGAAAATTGGGAACTGGTTTTAATAATTGGATCTGCTATTTTTTTAAAAAAAGTATTCTGTGTCTTTTAAGAACTTCCCTCTGCAAGCTGCTTTGAATGTCTTTTATAATGAAAAACAGGGTGCACGTTTTAAAACGAGCAACATGAGCCCCCAGTTTAAATTTCATGGCAGCCATAAAACTCAAGCAGGCGGCCACAGGCAAGTCATTTTTCTCTCCGGAGCACACAGCAGCAGCAACCTAGCTCACGGAGCCATTGCAAAGAATATTATAATAATAATAATAATAATAATAATAATAATAATAATAATTTATTTATATCCCGCCCTCCCCAGCCGAAGCCGGGCTCAGAGCGGCAAACAACAGTAAAATAATACAGCATTCTAAAATCGATTCATTCTAAAATCAGTTAAAATCAAATTGATGGCAACCACTGGGCTAGAGTTCTGTGAAGAGTTACCAAAGGAGGGGGTCAGGCTGTGCCTTGGCCAAAGGCCTGGTGGAACAGCTCTGTCTTGCAGGCCCCTGCGGAAAGATGTCAAGTCCCGCAGGGCCCTAGTCTCTTGTGACAGAGCGTTCTACCAGATTGGAGCCACAGCTGAAAAAGCCCTGGCTCTGGTTGAGGCCAGCCTAACCTCTCTGTGGCCCGGGACCTCCAAGATGTTTTTGTTTGAAGACGTGTTAAACTTGTGAAATGTACTACTGAGAAATCATTAGGGTAAAACTGCACATTGAGTGCATGCATGTTTTCCCTTTTGTAGCTGATGGTAGTCCAAAAGGAAAGGGGAGGAAGAGTTAATCCATCTTTTGGAAGTGCTGAGTGCAACTCAGCTTGTACTGAAAACTGGCGGGTTTGCATGGGTAGAGAGAGTAGATAGAGAGGGGGTCCTCCATACTTCCTAGACTGTATTTCTGACTTAACCTGCACTGACCTTCTTACGATGCCAGACTGACACCCTTGGGGTGGCCGACCTCATTTCCTACTTTGTCCTTACCTTGGGAAAGGAAGCCTATTTGCATGTCTCTCCTGCATAGCTGTCAACTTACAGATTTGAAAATAAAGGACCAGCAGCCTCAAAAATAAGGATCAGCAGCCAAAATAAGGGATTTTCCAAGCACAGGTATGTTCAACTTCTGAGCCCCTCCAAGCCAAAGGCAGAAAGCCCAGCCAGCAGCCAAATGAAGCCTCAAGCGATGGTTCCCACAGCGCAGCAACCCGGCAAAGGGGATGCAGCAAGGAAAACCACTGTCACCTCTCTGCTGGGAAGCGCTGAGCAAAGGCGAGTCCCCAGGCAATGTTGCCGATTTGATCGGCACAAGGCATGCAAGCTCCACCCCCCCAGTCGTTCTTAAGACTCCTTATTGGGTGAGCAATGCAGCCAAGCAACACAGTTGGAGCCTCCCTCCTCCCTGGCCGGCAGGGAGGGAGGGAGAAGAGCTGCTTCCTTTGAAACCCGGGAAATTTAAGGGACATCATCAATAAGGGACAGCAGCGGGACACGGCGCTGGGATAAGGGGCTTTCCCGCCAAATAAGGGACGGTTGACAGCTATGCTCTCCTGCAGTGATGAAAGAGCAAGAATGCCTCTTTGTATCTCCACCTTGGCTACACAGAACTAGGATATTTTCTGTCAAGCATGTATTTCCTTTAACCAGGTTAGCTTTTTTTATTATCTTACTAAACTCAAGAGTCTCAGTGTGACTACATGCAATGGTAAAATGTGCTCCCTCCAAGCAAGGGGTCCGGTTAAGCTCAACTTCTGCTAATGCATCTAAACTCCAAATGCCATCACCATCAGCCCTATGCCAGGCATGGCTCCACAGCTCTTTTTAGGAGAGGTGAGAGATTCCCATCACCTGACATATAATGTGTACTTTGGCCTATGGAATGCCTAAATGCCTGCAGTTCTTCAATCCACCACAAGGTGGAGCCCCGGCCCATAACACCTTGAACTGCCTTCAAGTCTACAGTTCAGGAAGATCTTATTCTAAATAAGCACTCTATAAACGGCAAATAGTTGACAACCCCCTTGCTGCTGTCACAGAACGATCTGATTTTTGACAAGCAGGCCCAGCCTGTTTCAGGTGATACTTCCTCTCTGATAGGAAGCAATTTGCATCAACCAGAGAGCATCCAAATTACAAAAAGAAAGGAAGATCAGGTTAAGCTTCCATCAATTACTCCATGGGCTACCAAGTGTAGAGTCCCGGCTGCAACGAAGAAAAAAATCTCACAGGTGAAGCCTGCATGGCTAATCACTCCAGAAAAAGGATCCGTTCTTGGAAACTTTATTTTTGAGTTTTACAGATAATAGCCATGAGATTTGTGTGAGCGAGGCTGGACAAGTTTAAAGCCATCTGTCTGAGTAATTTTGCTGTAAAGGACACACAGGACTGTGATTTCACACACTTTGGGGTTAGGGAGTATGAATGCCATTTGCTTTTCATTGCATTTGTTGTGTTTTGTGATGCTTCTTGATGCTGGTAATACGCCAGATTGCAATTTTTAAAAGGGAAGAGACTACTCACCCCTCACCATCCAAGTGTAGGGTGCACAGAGGGTTTAAAACTACAGGAACCAACAGCAAGGAGTGACAGGCACCTTCTATGCAGCAGCTGTGGCTAAACTTTGCCGGTTTGCGCTGCAACTCCCATTGGCCACTGCAAGCATGAACAATGGTGAGGGATGATGGGAGATGCAGTTCAGCAACACCTGGCACAACAAAGTCCCCCCCCCCCTTGCTTTACAGGCATAAGGTTCAATCACGGGCGTCTCCAATTAAAGCAGCACGAAAGCGACAATAAAATCCTTGCAAGCTGCCCGAAAGAAACCTCACCAGTGCAGGCATGTTTATAGTCCTGATCAGATGAGCTTCCGGGTCCCCGACGGACATCTCCGGCTCGAAGAAGTAAGTCTTTGGATTCAGAGAAGACACTTTTGTGCCGTTGTCTAAAAAGTGAACATTTACGTGGAGTCTGTGTTCCCTGCAGAGAAAGAGAGAGGAGAGAAAGAGAGAGAGGAAAGTAGTATTTTAAAAATATCTCAGTTCATCCTAGTGCAGTACATCGACTCTAGTAAAACAGTGCCAGAGGCCACAGGGTACAAGATCTCGCCGGAAGTTAAATGCCTTCATGGCAGACGCTGGTGTCACTGCCAGTACTGCTTCCCCACCCTGGTCATAGCAGTGCCAGCTCAGAACCCCTAAGCCATGCCCTATGTTGCGTATGCCACACTCCCATGGCAGCCATTTTCTGACTGGCACCCACAGCGCTTTCTGAATTTTTTTAATGTGCCCACTGGTGCAAAAAGGTTGACCACGCTGCCTTAAGCTCTCTGAGAATCCACCAGTGGCACATTGGTTGTCGATTGGCTTGGCTCCTGAACAAATGGGCTCCCTAACACCGCAAACCCAGAAGTGTGTGTTCCGGTTTGTGAAGGTTTTTTGGAAACCGAACGTCCGATGTGACTTCCGATTGCCAATCGGAAGCTGCGCCTTGGTTTTCAAACAGTTCCGGGAGTCAAACGGATTAAGTTCAACAACTAAGGTACCACTGTATTACTTATACAATATTATTTCTATATCCATGAGGGCTAGAAACTTATACAGATCCCAACTCTGCAGTTAATCCTTCACCTACCAGCTCCTTTCTTACTTCTCTGAGTGGTCAAGTTGTTGTGACATTTTGACACCCTTGTGATTCCTGCTTTCACCATCATCCCTTGAATCTTGTTTTGGGACCCAAAGCACAATCTCTTTATAAACTGTCTTGGAGTAATGAATGAAGCAAAAAATACCTGTAAGTGTATGGTCCAACTTGTCTCACAATGGGAGGTTCGCCTTGAACCACTTCCAAAGGATTGGTCAAGTTGAAAAAATAGAACTGCATATAAACTGGCGGCGGAGGCTCCTCCCACATTTCAAAAAATTCTGTACCATTTTTTAACACGGCTTGCTACAAGGAAGAAGAAGAAAGGAAGAACATTATTGATATACTTCCAGGATGTGCACCGAATAAGGGAATTGATCTACATGTGCAGCAGAACCACGTGATATACTGTAGCTTTCTGTGGACTGTGCCTTGCCTGGTGGTGGTCAGAAAACACTTCAAAAAGATCCAGCAGAAATTTAGAATATTTCCCCCCTGACATTCTGATTTTCTGCATGCGGGGATTTTTCCTCCTCTGCTCCCAGGAGCTCTCCAAAATGCAATCTCCGACATGCAGCCGGAATGGTAGAGTCCAAGAACAAACCCTGCACCATTTGATTCTATGTTCTGCGTCGATGAAATTCAATATTCCAGAGGGGTAGCTGTTTTAATCTGCTGTAATGGAACAAGGAAGAGTCTTGGGGTGCTGTAAAGACTAAGCAATTTATTATAGCACAAAGTGGTCAAGTTCACTGCATCAGACGCATGAAATGTTACAGGTACACACACACGTATAGAGAAAACCCATCACAAACGGTAGGGTCAAATGACCACGAGGCGCATAAACTCCAGTCTGTAAAAAATTGATTAAAGTTTGAAATATATGAACAATAACCACATTGATCACGCACAGGAGTAACTGTGATAACAAAAGTCATTGGTTGTGGCATTACAGTGGTACCTCGGGTTAAGTACTTACCGTATTTTTCGCACCATAGGACGCACCGGCCCATAGGACGCATCAAGTTTTTTGGGGGGGAAATAAAGAAAAAAAAATTATTTCCCCCCCAGGCGCTTGTGGGGCCGGCAGCGGGGAGAAGCGCTCTTCTCCCCGCAGTCCGCCTTCAGACCAGGTCCGGGACAGCGGGAAGACGCGCTGCGTCTCCCAGCTGTCCCCGGAGCCTGCGGGCAGGCAGCGGGAGAAGCGCTCTTCTCCCCGCCGCCCGCCTTCAGATCAGGTCCGGGGACAGCAGGAAGACGCGCTGCGCCTCCCAGCTGTCCCCGGACCTTGGGGGCAGGCAGCGGGAGAAGCGCTCTTCTCCTGCCGCCCACCTTGCGACCAGGTCCGGGGACAGCGGGAAGACGCGCTGCGCCTCCCAGCTGTCCCCGGAGCTTGGGGGCAGGCAGCGGGGAGCGCTCTTCTCCTGCCGCCCACCTTGCGATCAGGTCCGGGGACAGCGGGAAGACGCGCGGTGCCTCCCCGCTGTCCCCGGAGCTTGGGGGCAGGCAGCGGGAGAAGCGCTCTTCTCCTGCCGCCCGCCTTGCGATCAGGTCCGGGACAGCGGGAAGACGCGCTGCGTCTCCCAGCTGTCCCCGGAGCTGGGGGCAGGCAGCGGGAGAAGCGCTCTTCTCCCTGCCACCCGCCCTAGCGATCAGGTCCGGGGACGGCGGGAGATGCACCGCGCCTCCCGCTGTCCCCGGAGCTTGGGGGCAGGCAGCGGGGAGAAGCGCTCTCTCCCTGCCGCCCACCCTGCGACCAGGTCCGGGGACAGCGGGAAGACGCGCTGCGCCTCCCAGCTGTCCCCGGAGCTGGGGGCAGGCAGCGGGGAGAAGCGCTCTTCTCCTGCCGCCCGCCCTGCAGATCAGGTCCGGGGACAGCGGGAGCCGCACTGCGTCTCCCCGCTGTCCCCGGAGCTTGCGGGGCCGGCGGCGGGGTCTCCCCGCCGCCAGCCTCCAAACCACTTCGGGAGACAGCGGGATGGCGGCGTTCCGCCTCCCTCTGTCCCCCGACCTTGTGGGGATGGCGCTGGGGCTCTCCTGAAGCCTGGAGAGCGAGAGGGTCGGTGCGCACCGACCCCTCTCGCTCTCCAGGCTTCAGTGAAAGCCTGCATTCGCACCATAGGACGCACACACATTTCCCCTTCATTTTTGGAGGGGAAAAAGTGTGTCCTATAGTGCGAAAAATACGGTAATTCGTTCCGGAGGTCCGTTCTTAACCTGAAACTGTTCTTAACCTGAAGCACCACTTTAGCTAATGGGGCCTCCCGCTGCCGCCGCACCGCCGGAGCACGATTTCTGTTCTCATCCTGAAGCAAAGTTCTTAACCCGAGGTAATATTTCTAGGTTAGCAGAGTCTGTAACCTGAAGCGTATGTAACCTGAGGCATATGTAACCCGAGGTACCACTGTATAGTACATTCCTAAACGCATCAGAATTGTAGGAGTTGGAAGGGACCTCAAGGGTCATCTATCTCAACACATGGTCCCCCTTCCAAGTTGAAACCATACAGGACCCTGCTTAGCTTTGCAAATGTGCTAGAGTAACTCACAGGTCAACTGAACTAGGGTTGCTGCCTTAACTGTGAAGAGTTGTTGGGTGGGAGTTGAGGCTAAAATCCTTTCAATCCTTTCTATTCCCTTCCCTGCTTTCTATCACGTGTTCTCATGTGTCCATTTGAAGACTATCGACTGCCTCTTTCTGGAAGAAGATCAATATAAATTCAATTCTTAAAGAACTGTGCAAAGAGTTAGCCAGCAGTAATGAAAATATTGATTTTACGCATGCTTTGCGGCTCTCTTCTTGTGCTAAATCCCCAAGTTGTTTCAAGGAACTCTGGGTAGTTTTTTATAACAGCGGCGGCAGCAACACCAAGCTTTTGAAGCAGACGAGGTGCAGAGATAATGACTATTCCAAGGCCACTTAATCAGCCTTGTGGTGAACAAATATTAGAACCCAGCCACTATCCCTGTAACGACCCTCAAAATGTAACTTATCACATTTGTAAGTTGTTTTTCCCACAAGGAATTCAGGGTAGCAATACAGGATGCTCTCACATTTTTTTCCTGTGAGGTAGATTAGACTGACACAACGACTGGACCAAGATTGAAATAATCACATTGGTAAGATTTAAGATCAACAGTTGAAACCTATGCATGTCCACTGTGAGTTCAGTGGGTTTTACTCCTAGGTAAGAAGGTATAGAATTGAGGGCAAAATTCTTGAATTGAATCTCTTCCCTACTGCATTTTAGACTGTACCATCATCAGGGCAGGGACCTGTCTTGTTGAGCACCTTTACACACTTAGCAATTACTCAGAAGTAATTGCTAAGTTTAGTGAGAATAAGTCCCATGTAATTGGGTTTTAGGGACGCGGGTGGTGCTGTGGGTTAAAACCACAGAGCCTAGGACTTGCCGATCAGAAGGTCGGCGGTTCGAATCCCCGCGACAGGGTGAGCTCCCGTTGCTCGGTCCCTGCTCCTGCCAACCTAGCAGTTCAAAAGCACGTCAAAGTGCAAGTAGATAAATAGGCACCGCTCCGGCGGGAAGGTAAACGGCGTTTCCGTGCGCTGCTCTGGTTCGCCAGAAGCGGCTTAGTCATGTTGGCCACATGACCCAAAAGCTGTACACCGGCTCCCTCGGCCAGTAAAGCGAGATGAGCACCACAACCCCAGAGTCGGTCATGACTGAACCTAATGGTCAGGGGTCCCTTTATCTTTAATTGGGTTTTATTTTTCCTCCCAAGCCCCATAAATAATTGGGCATGATGTATTCATAAATTAAGCACTTAAAAAACCCACAGGTTTCAGTGAGAGGTTGGTATGCAGATATCTCCACTGAAACCATTTAAACTTGAAAACAGAGGTGACTAACCTATGGTCCTCCAGAGGCTGCTGAACTTGTTGGCATCCATCTGTCTCAAGAGACAATGGAGTGAGCTTCTGGGGGTGAAGTCAAACTGCTGCATTAGCAGCACCAAAGCGACTTCTCTGGGCACAAGCCTGGGCAGTATGTGTGGAAGTCCTGGGCTGCACAGAAGACAAGACCCCACTCTTGGCCTCGCTGATGTCCAGTATACCTGAAGGAGCGTCTCCACCCCCATCGTTTAGCCCAGACACTGAGGTCCAGCACCGAGGGCCTTCTGCCAGTTCCTTCTCTGCGAGAAGCCCAAGTTACAGGGAACCAGGCAGAGGGCCTTCTCGGTAGTGGCACCCGCCCTGTGGAACGCCCTCCCACCAGATGTCAAAGAGAAAAACAACTACCAGATTTTTAGAAGACATCTGAAGGCAGCCCTGTTTAGGGAAGCTTTTAATGTTTAATAGGTTATTGTATTTTAGTGTTCTGTTGGAAGCCGCCCAGAGTGGCTGGGGAAACCCAGCCAGATGGGCGGGGTATAAATAATAAATTATTATTATTATTATTATTATTATTATTATTATTAGGCCCAAAGGAAAGCAGAGTAAGATGTTTGGCACCAGCTTGGCTGCAGGAGTTGCCGGAAGGAGACATAAAAGGCGCCATCCAACTGTCTTAGGGAATCCGCTCCAAATTTGTGTAGGGTTTACTCCAGAGCCTGTTCCTTCTCCTGAAGACGTCCCATTTTAGGATCAGAGTTTTTCTTCTCCTAGATGGCCTACCTTCCCAGGCAGACAAGCCCAATCTGCCCTTACTCCAGCACATGCAGAAACCACCTTCTTGACCATTGGATCCACTATTATAGGTCCATATATAGCAACACCCTAGTGGTCCCTGGCCCTAAGGAAGTCAGATTAGCCTCAACCAGGGCCAGGGCCTTTTCAACATTGGCTCCAGCCTGGTGGAACGCTCTGTCTCATGAGACCAGGGCCCTGCAGGATCTGATTTCTTCCCACAGGGCCTGTAAGACAGAGTTGTTCCGCCTGACCTTTGGCTTGGAATCAACTTGATCCCCTTTCCCTCTTTCCTTTCTCCTTCTGTGATGGAACTCCTACTTGGGGACTTCCCTGGCTTTTTTCTGGCCCACGTAGGACCAGTCTGGATAGTTGGCCTTGGTGAAGACTTGACGTTTTCATCCCCAAAAAAGTTTTTGAATTGAGTTTCTACTGAAATGAGGATGCATTTTAATGTTGTATTTTAATCTTGTTTTTAAGTTGTATTTTAATCAATTGTTTTTATACCTGGTGTCAGCCGCCCTGAGCCCGGTCTTGGCTGGGGAGGGCAGGGTATAAATACAATTTTATTATCATTCTTATTATTAGTTTCATCTGCTCAATTCTATCTTTGCATGCAGGGGAAGTCCCTAACACACTGAGGGTTTGAGACCCATCAGCTACCCTCACCTGGTTTAGCTGGTCAGTCAAAACTGTTTCCTGGGGTGTGGCCACTGTCACCTGCTGACGGCTTCTAGGAGCCACAGGTGAGAGCTGACCGCAGGGTGGGGACCAAAGGTGGACAAACTACCTCCGAAGGAGCATGATGTGTCCCCATCAGAGGTACTTTCCCCTCCCCTAACACCCAATATACCCTGTTGCTGAACTACAGCTCCCATAATTCCTGATCACTGGCCATATTGGCAGGGGCCCAAGGGATGGCAGAATCAAAGAGAGAAGCGGGTTGGGAAGATGAAAAGGGAGCTTAGCGGTTGCAGAAGGTGAAAGGAGGCGTTATTGGGGTTGGGTGGGGATCGCAAGTGGAGCAAGCTGTGGGGCAGACCTCCACCAGACTTTCCAAAACATTCCAATGCCATTTACTGAGCTAATTCAAAACAAGTGCAGAAACACCTAGGCTCTGCTTATCAGTGCTTCTTCAAAGATATAACCATAGAACTGTGGTGTTGGAAGGGAACCTGAGGATCGCCTATTCCAGGCATGGCCAAACTTGGCCCTCCGGATGTTTTGGGACTACAATTCCCATCATCCCTGACCACTGGTCCTGTTAGCTAGGGATGATGGGAGTTGTAGTCCCAAAACATCTGGAGGGCCAGGTGTGGCCATGCAAGGTCTAGTCCAAACCCGTGAAATGGAGGAATATAATATGCTGGAGACACCCCCCCCCCCGAATGTCAGTTATTTTGACTACAGTGGTACCTCGGGTTAAGAACTTAATTCATTCTGGAGGTCCGTTCTTAACCTGAAGCTGTTCTTAACCTGAAGCACCACTTTAGGTAATGGGGCCTCCTGCTGCCGCTGCCGCACAATTTCTGTTCTCATCCTGAAGCAAAGTTCTTAACCCGAGGTACTATTTCTGGGTTAGCGGAGTCTGTAACCTGAAGCATCTGTAACCCGAGGTACCACTGTACTATCAAATCTGGCCTTTGGCAAAACCTCTTTTTGATCTACACTGTTTGGAAGTGAATTACTCAGAAGTGGTTCCATTTGCCTTTTCCAGCGGAATTTCCCGCACTTCCTACTGCATGCCATATCAGTAGTATGGGAAGCAATCAGGTGGGCAGGTGGTTCTGGCGACCTTCATTTGTGCCTTCTTATTAGTGTCCCATGAACTACACATAGCCCAGTAATTAGAACATCTGCTCTGCATGCAGAAGGACCTTGGTTCAATCCCCCAGCATCTCCAAGTAGGACATGGAATGTCTCCTCAGAGCACTACCAATCCATATAGATGAGGGCTGGGGACATATTCCACCTGGCAGACCAGCTCTCTCTCTCTCTCTCTCTCTCACACACACACACACACACCAGCAACCCATTGGCCAACAATGACAGGCAAGAGGGACCATCTCCCTGCTCAAGTTGGCCAGGGTTGTTGTTGGTGGGCTGAGATAGTGACCATCAGAACTGAACATCAGGTGATAGGTAGAGAGTTCAATCCTGCTTCCTGCAGGTATCAGGTGTGTGCCCAGCCAATCCAGACACATCTCAACCTGCCCCCGTACCTGACATCGCAAATAACGCCAGGGCAGGTGGGTGAAGTTTGGGGGAAACGGCCTGGTAGGACCGATTTCATAGCATCATAGAACTGTAGTGCTGGAAGAGACCATAAGGACCCTCTAGTTCAACTTCCCGCAATACAGGAACCATTGTCCCAATGTGAGGCTTGAACCCACAACCCTGAGATTATGAGTCTCATGCTCTACACTGACTGAGCTGTGAAAGGTCCATGGGCGAGAGATTTTCCCATCCCTGGTATACACAATGCTGAGCAAGATGGACCACCTAGAGCACCTAGAAAGGAATGCTGTGATCACCAATAGTCAGCATGGATTTCTGAAAAATAAGTCAGACTAACCTGATCTCGTTTTTTGACAGAATTACAAGCCTGGTAGATGAAGGGAACGCAGTGGATGTAGCCTACCTTGATTTCAGCAAGGCATTTGACAAGGTGCCCCATGATATTCTTGTAAAGAAGCTGGTAAAATGCGGTCTTGACTATGCTACCACTCAGTGGATTTGTAACTGGCTGACTGACCGAACCCAAAGGGTGCTCATCAATGGTTCCTCTTCATCCTGGAGAAGAGGGACTAGTGGGGTGCCACAGGGTTCTGTCTTGGGCCCGGTCTTATTCAACATCTTTATCAACGACTTGGATGATGGACTGAAGGGCATCCTGATCAAATTTGCAGATGACACCAAACTGGGAGGGGTGGCTAACGCCCCAGAGGATAGGATCACACTTCAAAACGACCTTGACCGATTAGAGAACTGGGCCAAAACAAACAAGATGAAATGTAAAGTATTGCACTTGGGCAAAAAAAATGAGAGGCACAAATACAAGATGGGGGACACCTGGCTTGAGAGCAGTACATGTGAAAAGGATCTAGGAGTCTTGGTTGACCACAAACTTGACATGAGCCAACAGTGTGACACGGCAGCTAAAAAAGCCAATGCAATTCTGGGCTGCATCAATAGGAGTATAGCATCTAGATCAAGGGAAGTAATAGTGCCACTGTATTCTGCTCTGGTCAGACCTCACCTGGAGTACTGTGTCCAGTTCTGGGCACCACAGTTCAAGAAGGACACTGACAAACTGGAACGTGTCCAGAGGAGGGCAACCAAATGGTCAAAGGCCTGGAAACGATGCCTTATGAGGAACGGCTAAGAGAGCTGGGCATGTTTAGCCTGGAGAAGAGGAGGTTAAGGGGTGATATGATAGCCATGTTCAAATATATAAAAGGATGTCACCTAGAGGAGGGAGAAAGGTTGTTTTCTGCTGCTCCAGAGAAGCGGACACGGAGCAATGGATCCAAACTACAAGAAAGAAGATTCCACCTAAACATTAGGAAGAACTTCCTGACAGTAAGAGCTGTTCGACAGTGGAATTTGCTGCCAAGGAGTGTGGTGGAGTCTCCTTCTTTGGAGGTCTTTAAGCAGAGGCTTGACAACCATATGTCAGGAGTGCTCTGATGGTGTTTCCTGCTTGGCAGGGGGTTGGACTCGATGGCCCTTGTGGTCTCTTCCAACTCTATGATTCTATGAATTGTATGACACCAGAAGGCAGCTTCCATTATTCTCTATGTTGAAGGGTGTGTCTCAATGCAGGAGCCACTGCAACGGAGATGAAACTCTATTATGCTTAGTAGCTCATTGCAATTTTCAAATTTAGGTTTCAAGCGCACATCTTGAGATGTGCTGATTGCCAAAATCTGTGCCACAGAATCTGGGCTCGGCTGCATTTAGTGGCTTTAATGAGTTTCATTGTATAATAAAATATTCTGCAGTGCCTTGTTCTACAAGTGCTATTAAGAAACATGACCTGCAGTTCGAAACAGCTTTTTAAAAAGCCTTCCACTCCAGAAGAGGGTGGTGGCCCCTGAGTTGTGGAATTCCCTCCTTGCAAAGGTTCGTCTGGCATTCGCTGTCTAGTTTTCGTCATATACTGAAGAACCACCTTTTTATCTTGGACGTTAACAAGTGAGATAGCCAGGTAGGCAGGCATGAGACGGTCCTCAGCAAACAGTCACATCGAAGCTAATCAGTCAAACTTCCTGCTTGGAATTCTAAGGAATTCCCAAGAAAAATGATAACTTAAACATCAGTCTCTCTCCCTCCCTTCACCTTTCCTGTAACCTCTCCCACATTCAAGAAAGCCGTTTGCCATAAAGCCTGCTGTTCCATCATCCCAAGAACAACTCCCTTAACAGAAAAGGAGCAAGATACTATCTGAAAGCTTTTTACCTATTGCACCAACTACAATTCATCTCCAGTTTTGCAAATATAAAAGACAACCTCATTTCTTCTTTACTTCTGTTTTCTGCCTCACAAGGAACCTGTGTATTTTGCTAAGAGATGAGGATGAGTAGAGGATTAGATTTTAAATTCTTTTAAAAAAATACTAGAAAGTCTGCCACAATTGTTTCTTTCTCTCATCGGCCTTGGTACAATCCTGCTATCACCCAATACAGGCTAATCTACTTAAGTCTTCAAACCTCCTTCAGGTCTCCATCATGTGACTTTTCATCAGGCGTAAAAGGTTAAGGGAAATCTGCAAAACAATCAGCCTGATGGCAGGTTTTGAAGAACCTGAAAGTTTGCTTGATATTTTGTGAAATGTTAGTTGTTCCTAATAAAGCTACTGTCCTGTTGCAGATTTTGTTTTTCCGATGGACCAAGATGCCTTTTTCTGTTTGCATTCCAGAAGGCTCAGAGAGGCTGCTTCAGAAAAAACAAAGGCCTCTTTTTCTCATCGGACAGAGCAGGAAACAGCAAACAAGTCCGTGCAGATAGCAGCAGAAGTCTGCGAGGGTGGGAGAGGTTACAAATAGGCTCTTCCTCAGCTGACGAATGAACCTGGCACATAAAAGGATGCATTAGATGCACGGCTTGATTTTGCACAAAGCAGGGACACATGAAACCCAAGTAAGGGTGATGGGCAAAAAAGATAAGCAGCAGAGAACCCAGTCTTGCAGTAAGAGGAACGTGTTTGACCAGGTTGGGTTTTGACATTGCTCGCCCACATAAACCACACCTTCACAACGGAACAGCACTGCTAACTTGGAGGCAGTGCCAAAGTAGGTCTAAACTGCATGTGAGGGCCTCAGAAATCACATGCAGATAAAGTAGATGCCCCTTTGAAGACTCCTCCAGTGGCAGAGCACCTCCTTTGCATGCAGAAGGTCCCAAAAGCACTCCCTGGAAGGGCTGGGAGAGACATCTGTCTGAAACTCTGGACACAGCAGCAGCCAGCCAGCAAGTAGACAGTATTGAGCTAGCTCAGGGGTCGGCAACCTAAGGCCCATGGGGATTGTTTAACCGGCCCATGGACCCCTGCCGCCTGCTTGGTGGGCTCTCGTGCGCCGCGCTAAACCGGCGCAGAGCAGAGCGGGGACCGCCTTCCACAGCGCTGGCCAGCTTCCCATTGGCTGCAGGAAGCTCCTGCAGCCAATTCGAAGCTGTGCGCGCCTCCTTTGCACCGGAAACAGTGTTTGCGCATGAGTGCATGCGTGCGCACACACTCCGAACCACCACGGCGTCTGCAGGACCGTGAACCAGCCCAAGCCACAATAACTTTGCCGACCCCTGAGCTAGCTGGATCAGGGGTCTGACTCTGTATAAGTGCTTATATATACAAACACACACACACACACACACACACACACACAGTGGTACCTCAGGTTGCATACGCTTCAGGTTACAGACTCCGCTAACCCAGAAATAGTACCTCGGGTTAAGAACTTTGCTTCAGGATGAGAACAGAAATCGTGTGGCGGCGGCGCAGAGGCAGCGAGAGGCCCCATTACCTAAAGTGGTGCTTCAGGTTAAGAGCAGTTTCAGGTTAAGAACGGACCTCCGGAACGAATTAAGTACCGTATTTTTCGCTCCATTGGACGCACCCGACCATAGGGCGCATCTAGTTTTTAGAGGAGGAAAACAAGGAAAAAATATTCTGAATCAAATGTTGTATAAACTACTGTATTTAATAAACAACCGGTATATCAGAATCACATTACAGCCATGTAAAGTGAACAGCAGTCAACAATGGCATTAAGAACCATCATCACTGTCATTAACAAATGAAGAGAGACTTTAAGGTTTGAGTACTCTTCTAGTCTTCTGTGAACCCCAAGAACTCATCACTGCTAAAGTCAGAATTTATGAAGCTCAGTTGCTCACAGTCACTGACATCACTTTCTTCGCTATCTTCATGTAAAATACCATCTTCGTATCCATCCAAAGCATTGCTAATGCCACATTTTTCCTCTCAATCCTCTTCCTCCCCTCTCTCAGCGAACAGCCTGCCAGCTGCTCGCAAACATTCCCTTTACTTGAATTACAGTCAAGAAACAGCCAAGCAGAGCTTCTCAGCGGCAGGCTTGGGAGGCTTTCCTTTCCCCCACTTTTTCTCCCCCCCCCAAACAGAACAGCCCCCTTTTCCAGCCTCCTCCTCTCCATCCCTTTCACCCAAACTCCTCAGGTGACGTCTACAATTTCTCCCCTTCGCTGCTCCCTCTCCTTTGCCCTCTACCATGACTCTCCACTCACGGCAACCTATGGTACCTCATCTCCCTTCACCCAGCTTCTTGGTCCCCCTCCTCTCCATCCTCTTCCTCCCCTCTCTCAGTGAACAGCCTGCCCGATGCTCCAAATCTTGAGGGGAAGGGCAGGCTGTTGGCAGAGCAGCACCCCCCACCCCCATTCAGCAGCCCAGGAGTGTGGGGCATGGGCGCACAGCCTGGCTCCACCACCACTACCAAAGACCAGTCCAAGAGTGTGCCGCACTCCGGCAATTTGGCTCCAGGGACCACACATTCGCTCCATAGGACGCACAGACATTTCCCCTTACTTTTTAAGAGTAAAAAAGTGCGTCCAATGGTGCGAAAAATACGGTACTTAACCTGAGGTACCACTGTATATGAGTTTCTAACACTGCTACAAAGATACAGTTTTTGCCCATTATCTCTGTGGCATATTTGCTGATTCTGTGGGATCGGATCCTGTGTCATGGTGCTCATGTGACAAAAGGGTCACATGTCTAGGTTACACCCCACCCCCGACATGGCTCCTGTTGAGGCAGCTGCATCACAGCTGCACTTGAGAATGCAAGAAGAGCTATTCTGAATCAGACCAAAGGCCTGTGTGGTCAAAAGGTCCCAGTTCCTCTTTGTGCATCTGGGAAACCCACAAGCAGTACTTGAGAGTAGTAGCCTTCATCTGCCATTGTTTTCCAGCAGTGTTAGAAGCTCAAGATGCTAAATGGCTCCTAAACCAAGGTTATCGTCGCCAACATGGAATATCTAGTTGCTCTTTGGGGACAGATCGGCTCTAGAGTCTTATTTTTCAAATAATGGACTGACTGTGATTGACTCTCAGCTGGTTCAGGTGACAACCCTGAGCTAGATTAAGAGCTTTGAGAACTTAAAGATGAAAAGTCGCTCGATCCAGGGATAGTCCATGTATCTATCAGCCTGATCTGACCTCTTTTTCTTAATGGTGACTGCTCCTGCTCAGGCTACACAGGAAAAGCATTTTGGTTCCAGAAACTCATTCCCATTATTCAGGGCCCTAAGGAAGTCTGATTATCCTCCACCAGGGCCAGGGACTTCTCAGTGATAGCTCCGACCTGGTGGAATGCTCTGTCCCATGAGACCAGGGCCCTGCAGGATTTAACTTCCTTCCGCAGGGCCTGTAAGACACAGCTATTCTGCCTGGCTTTCAATTTGAACTTAGCCTGATCTTTTATTCCCCTTCCTTCCTTCCTTCCTTCCCTCCCCTTTTTATGAAGATTACCCGCCCTGGGATCCCACAGCTAATTCTCCCCTGGTCTCCTCGCTGGCCCAAGTAGGACTAATTTAGCCAGCTAGCCCTGGTGATCATCTAATGTTTATTTAATGGATTTTCCTCCTAAATTGATTGTTGAATTCTGAATTTATTGTTATTCACGTTTTATACTTTATTTTATGCTGTTTTTTGTTGCATCAATTAAATGTTTTAAATTTGTTGTTAGCTGCCCTGAGCCCAGTTTTCTGAACCAGGAAGGGCAGGGTATAAATAAAAATTTATTATTATTATTATTTATTATGGAACCTGAGACGGTGTTTGCTGTTTCAGAAGGTCTCCCATCCAAACACTGACCAGACTCAGACCTGCTTAGCTTCAGTAAGTCAGTGGCCTCATGTTCCTTTGGATCATACCCTGGGACAAAAGATTTGATTTATTACATTTCTACGCCGCTTTCCATTCTAATGAATCCCAAAGTAGCTTGCAAACAATGAACAACGGTAACATGGTGGAACAGAATGGAACATCACAGACACATAGAATAATGCATAGCTCAGTGGGTGGAGCACGGGACTCTTAATTTTTGCTTTCTCATCCAAGGCTCTCAACTCTCACCCACTCATACCACACCCCTTGTTTCAAGTTTAGGTGCTTGCTCATACTGCTGCTTTGTACACTGGGGGTGGGGGAGAGAGAGAGAGAGACCTTTCCAGCCCATGGCCTGCATTTCCTCACGAGGAACCGTACAGGGCCTGCTAGAAGGGTCACAGGTAAAAGAGGAAAGGGCAAAAGGTTCTGCTCTTCCATTTGCATAGCAGCCCACATTAAATCTGTGCAAAAGTCTAGAGCTCTTACATGTACACACAGGAACCTCTTCATCCATCCATCCATCCATCCATTCAGTAAGCAAGCAGCATTATCAAAAGTTCAAGGACTTGTGCCTGGCAGAAGCACTCCAGAAGAGTGAGGATCAGGGCTGGTGAGGGGGGTGGCCTGGGGTGAGTCCCAGGGGCCAGAGAGAGGACTCCCAGGGGTTCCCAACCCCTGACCTACACCGACAGATACATATACTGTACACATGTACAGTCATACCTCGGGTTACAGATGCTTCAGGTTGCGTTTTTTCAGGTTACGGACCGCCGAAACCTGGAAGTACCGGAACGGGTTACTTCCGGGTTTCGGCGGTCACGCATGCGCAGAAGCGCTAAATTGCGCTTTGTGCATAAGCGCCGAATTGCAACCTGCACATGCACAGATGTGCCGCTGTGGACACTGCAGGTTGCGAACGTGCATCCCGCATGGATCACGTTTGCAACCCGAGAGTCCACTGTATTTTGTATAACAGCTTAGCAACATTCACTGACACAAGTTTAACACTGGTACTTGTCTAGCTCTTGCGCTAAGAGTTCAAAGTACTGCTCAGGTATTAGATTACGGACTTTTACAACAACTCTGGAGTGGCGAGTTGTTCTGATGCTAAATAAAAGAAGGCCGACAGAAAGTACCTGTCATTCAGGAGTAGCTCTCGTCAGGAGAGAGATGTGCAAGAACCTAAGAGACCCGCTGGATCAGGCCAGCGGTCACCTATTCCTGAATCCTGTTCTCAGAGTGGGAAACCCATAAGTAGGACCAAGTAGAGCTTCATATTGTTTTACATGAACTGCTTAGAGGCTATTTTGATTAAGCAGTATATAAATCTTGTTACTTAAACAAACTCTCTCCCTCTAAATATCTGGCCGGGGCCTCTTTTTCGCCTGTGAAATTACTTCATGCGTTTCCTTCTCAGTATTCTATTTGGCATTTACGATTCCCCTCCCTGACTCCTAGATTAATTACTGTATACATTACCTCTCTTCCCAAACCACTGCTGAGCATTTCCCAGTTCTCTGTTCATCTCACGCTTTTAAGACTGCAAACCTCTATGAGAAACCTCTCTGTTTCTGTATAATAAACTATGAAACCTCAGTTAACAAATCATGTGACTTTTAATCTCAGGGTCCTGGGTTCGAGTCTCATTTGGGCAAAAGATTCCTGCACCTCGGGGTCCCTTCCACCACTACGATTCAGTGATTCTTCTCTCATAATGGTGATGAGTTCATGGCAGTGAAGAAAGCTGATCAGGACTCCCCCACTTCCGAGTTCACACTGGTAACCACCAAACTATGCCAGATCTACAGAACGGAACTATGTTACGTGAACATACTGCCTCTGAGGATGTGCCAACTGCCGTTCGCTCACCGCCAAGTACCATAAGGCTCAGGGGCAATTCACACATGTATGTCAATCAACCACAAGGTCATAAAAAGGAGCTATCACAGCTTAACCACCAGGGCCAAGGTCAGGCATAGGTAAACTCCAGCCCTCCAGATGTTTGGGACTACAATTCCCATCATCCCTAGCTAACAGGACCAGTGGTCAGGGATAATGGGAACTGTAGTCCCAAACATCTGGAGGGCCGGAGTTCGCCTATGCCTGGCCAAGATCCTTCAACAGCATCTGGCACAGCTTTGAACATAGAACTTTTTCAGCGCCGTGAGTTCACACCATTACCTGCCAGTCATTAAGTGTTGGGCAACTGTGACGAAAAACCAAGGAAGGCACATGTTGTGCAACCCAAGTGGTGTTAGCTTTGAGGAGCAGGGATTCCGTCACAGAAATATTGGCTTCTAAGTGCTGACTGATTTAATTTATGCCATGCATAACGGGAAGGAGCTGCTGTCGCAACAAAGGGAGACACAATGCTTGTGATGAAAATGCGAAGATCCATTCCCAAGTTGTGTTGCTTTCCTAGCGCCATCGTTTTATACATGAGAGGGCAGTTGAAGAAGCTTGGGAGGGAAATGTTTAAAAGTATTTTTCCAAAAAAAACACCCAGGGTCCTTTTTGTTGGGAATAACTCAGATGGAAATTCCCAGGTGTTGGAAAAGGTTATTTATGTATGCCACTACCACAGCTTGTATTTTGTTAGCCCAAAAACGGAAAACGAGCAAAGTCCCAACTAAAGAAGATTGGCAACTTAAACTGATGGAATGTGCGCAGCTTGCGGACCTAACATATAGAATAAAAGAACAGGAAGAACACATGTTTAAAGAATATTGGAAAATGTTTATTGAATATATGGAGGAAAATTGTGTTTATTTGAAAACATGGGCAGCATTATGATAAATTCAACAGTGTAAATAAGTTTTGATGGATATAATAATGGAATACTGAATCGTTTAGTTTATATAAAATACGCAGGGATTTATCTTGTGCAAAATGAAGTGAAGTCATTGATATTTTAAGTTTGGTTAAATTTATGTTTGACACTTTAGAATATTCACTTAATTTAAAATTTAAACTAAAAAAAGAAAGCAAAGCAACTGCACAACTTGGGTAAGTGTTGATTCCCTGTCCTCTCTTTCTTCTATTTTACAGTGAACTTTTCACTACCCCCCAAAGAACACCCTGATTCTCTGCAAGTGATAAATAAAAACAGCATCCACGTTTAACGGGAAGTCATGTGTTCCCCCATGTATTGTCTTCTCCCATAATTATTGCCTGCAAATAATTATTATTTTTTAAATCCCCTGGAGACGGTGCCCTTTGTTTGATGGGAAGTGATGGTGAGAAAAAGTTCTGTCCCGAGAGTGACGAAGTGCAAAGAGAGACAAACATAGGAGGGAATTTTAAAGGGCGCGTTTTGTTTTTCTTTAAAAAAATACAGCAGCTCAAAGCTTATATCAGACCATCTCTCCCCATCCCCGCCGACCGCCTCGCCCCAACCACCTGAGCGCAACCCTAAGGCCCAAACCCTCCTTTAAGCGTAACGTGTGAATGCGAGCAGTTGCGCGCCGAGGCTCCTCACCTGTCGGACTTGCAGCTCCACGGCTTTCTGCAAGACGCGGGCCACGAGCAGGGCGACGCTGGCGATGAGCAGGGTCATGGACAGCACGCCCACCGTGCCCAGGCAGAGCTTCCTCATGGCGGCGAGAGGGGCGAGCGAGCGAGCGGCTAGGCCGGGCCGAGGGCGCTGCGTAAATGCGCCGGGCGGAGAAGGCGACCGAGCGAGCTCCGCGCCCTTCCCACTGGGCGCTCCCAGCCCAGGGCCGACCAGGCGCTGCCTCCCGGCCAAGCGCCTCCCTCGGCCCGAGAAGGCGGAGAGGAAGAAGCCGGGTCCGGAGGGGCGGCGGAGGCGGCTGTTTTGGGGCGGAGCGACGCGCTTCGGTTTCGGTTTCCCGAAAAGGCGCACGACCCAGCGAGGCCACCCGGCTCTCCAAGGCGCGCCGGCTGGTGCGCCTGCCCGGGATGAGCTCAGCGCTGGGCGAGGCGGTCAGCTGGTAGGGAAGCCCCGAAGCGGCCTGGCTGCTGGTGCTGCTGGGCTATTCACCGCCGGCCAGGCCCCGCGGCTTTCCCCATCCAAGGAAAACACTAGCCGGATTAGTCACGCAATGTTTTCCGCTATCTGCGCTGCCGGCGATGGCCTGCACTTTCCCCTCCACACAATCGGCTCGTGTTTTGTTTCTTTGCAGAGCCCTGATTTGCAATTTTTGCAGATTGATCTTTGGCAGATTCTTCTCGCTTGCTGGAAATCTCCCAAGTGGGGAGAGACGCAGGTTGCACTCAATAATAATAATAATAATAATTTATTATTTATACAGTGGTACCTCGGGTTACATACGCTTCAGGTTACATGCACGTCAGGTCACAGACTCGGCTAACCCAGAAATAGTGCTTCAGGTCAATAACTTTGCTTCAGGATGAAAACAGAAATCGTGTTCCGGTGGCAGCAGGAGCCCCCATTAGCTAAAGCGGTGCTTCAGGTTAAGAACAGTTTCAGGTTAAGTACAGACCTCCGGAATGAATTGAGTACTTAACCCGTGGTACCACTGTACTCTCTTCTTGAGATTCCCATGCACTGCAAGAAGATCAAACCTATCCATTCTGAAGGAAATCAGCCCTGAGTGCTCACTGGAAGGACAGATCGTGAAGCTGAGGCTCCAATACTTTGGCCACCTCATGAGAAGAGAAGACTCCCTGGAAAAGACCCTGATGTTGGGAAAGATGGAGGGCACAAGGAGAAGGGGACGACAGAGGACGAGATGGCTGGACAGTGTTCTCAAAGCTACCAGCATGAGTTTGACCAAACTGCAGAAGGCAGTGGAAGACAGGAGTGCCTGGCGTGCTCTGGTCCAGGGGGTCACAAAGAGTCGGACACGACTAAACAACAACCACAACAACATTTATACCACGCCCATCTGGCTGGGCTTCCCCAGCCACTCTGGGCGGCTTCCAACAAAATATTAAAATACAGTACTCAGGTCCGGCATGTAGGCTTCCCGCAGAAACACCTGGTTGGCCACTGTGAGAACAGGGTACTGGACAGTGCCAGATTTACGTATAAGTTAAACAGGCTATAGCTTGGGGCCCCACTCTCTTGGGCCCCCCAAAAAAATTTAAAGGGGGAAAAACAACGATGTACATTTCCAAAATATAAGATAAAAAACAAATAAAATAAAACCTACCGTATTTTTCGCCTTATCGGACGCACCGGCCCATAGGACGCACCTAGTTTTCGGGGGGGAAATCAAGGAAAAAAATATGATATGTGCGTCTTATAGGGCGAAAAATACGGTACATAAAGCAACAGTGTTTTGTGTTGTGTAGGCTCCTATTTGTTATGTGCAATTGGCTTTAGATACCTATTAGGTCCATAAATTACCATATGGCATACATTCAACACAAAAAACAGTGACAATTTGTTGTTGACAAAGGACAGCTGGACATATAAAGGGCCCCATTATTTTCAGTAGCTTAGAGCCTCATCAAACCTAAATCCGGTCCTGGTACTGGACTGTTGTTATTTCATAGAATCACTGCATGGTAGAGTTGGAAGGGATCCCGAGGGTCATCTAGTCCTACCCCCTGAAATGCAGGAATCTCAGCTAATGGCCATCCAACCTCTGCTTAAAAACCTCCAAGGAAGGAGAGTCCATAACCTTTCAAACAGCTCTTACAGTCAGAAAGTTCTTCCTGATGCTAAGTCCAAATCTCCTTTCTAGTAACTTGAAGCCATTGGTTCGGGTCCGACCCTCCAGAGCAGGAGAAAACAAGCTTGTTCCATCTTCCATGTGACAGACCTTTAGATATTTGAAAATGCAATATTTGAATATTATAAATGGTGACCCTGCACCATAGGGTCCCAGGGTTGGTTGAAACTATTACAATACAATGTTAATATTCAAAATATTCAAAAACCATGTTACACGATGTTAAAAGCAGCTTATTCAACATAAAATTAAAAATAAGGTGGGCCTCTGGCCTGATCCAGCAGGCTTTTCTTGTGTTGTTTATAGAACAGGTATTTGCAGATCTGTCAACACCAGTGGGGCACCACCAAAAAGATCTCACCAGCTGATTGTAGGGTCCAGGATGGTTTGCTGTTGAGGAAGGAACCCTATTAGGCAGTCCTGTGATTTTTCCTCTGGGTTTTGAAACATAAACCGAAAGGCAGACTTTTGGGAGATGAGAATGTTGGCGGAAGCAGAGGCAAGGGCTTTTTGCTTTCTGACATTTTCCCACTCAGACCCCACCCGACATTCAATTCTTTCCCAGTCGTGAAGGAAGTGATACAAGAACAGATCAATATAAGCTTGTAAGAAAGCATTGTCAAGACCTGGGAGAAACATTCCACCGCCTCTTTGCGTACCAAAGCCATTCTTCCCCATTGTGAAGAAAAAAAACTGAGCAAGCACTTTTCTGGAAACCATATGAAATTTCCCCAAATTGCTGTGGCCTTGTCAGATCTCCTGTTCAAAGGATGTCTGTCTTGCCTCACCCCATCTCTTGAACTTATGTATCGGTATCTCTTATTGTTGCAGATCGTAAACTTTCAGGCAAGGAAGTTGAAATATACTCGGAGTCAAGTGAGGATTTCATGCTCTTTATTCAGCTCATAGTGGTGAGGAATGCCAGTTCTCCTGAAATGTCTGCTTTATATACAATATTTACACAATGGGCCCCACGTGATTGGCTAATTCCGGGATTCTCCTGTAGGCCAATCAGGTTGCGGATTCACTTCCACCTGGAGTTGGATTGGGTGGCTCCTGCAGACCAATCAGACTGCTGCATTCTGAATCCTATTGTTCTAGGACCAATCAGACTGCTGCCTTTTGGATCCTATTCAACTCAGTACATAATAGAAGTAGAAGGCTGTTGTGTCCTCTACAACCATTAAAGTACCCCCAAACAGATGTAAATTGTCTTTCTAGCAGCAGAAATGGAGCCAAATGGCTGAGTGCAATGGTAGTCCTAGGCAGGGGTAAGAGATAATAGAGAGAAAATATATGGCCTGTCTTTTTAGTGTATATGAGCCACAGCGGATATACAAAAATAGGACAGCCACGATCAATAAATTACCTGTCTGCTGTTTATTGATGAAGCATTAATTGTTACAGAGTAAATTTAAAGATCATTACACAAGACAGAGATGGGGGAGCTAGGAGGAGGAAATAAGCCAAAACACCTTCCTGCTGATTTGTTTTCTATCCATCTCCCTGCTGTTTGTTTTCCATCCTGAAAAATACGCATCTTTTAAATGATTTGTTGTCAGGATGCACTGCAGACCTGGAGTCAGAAAGAGGCAGGAAACCATTAGACTTGCATGTTATGTTTTAATACTATTTTCTTATAGCCCACGCAACAGTGAAATGTCTCTTGTTACTTTCTGAAAATCTCCTGTTATGTATTTCCCTAAGACTGCCATCACGCAGGAGGCTACTGGGCTGCTAACAAGTGTCGCAGAGAACTACAGCTTAAGGCAGGAGTCAGCAAACATTTTCAGCAGGGGGCCGGTTCACTGTCTCTCAGGCCCTGTGGGAGGCCGGACTATATTTTTTGGGGGGGAATGAACAAATTTCTATGCCCCACAAATAACCCAGAGATGCATTTTAAATAAAAGCACACATTCTACTCATGTAAAAACACGCTGATTCCCGGACCATCTGCGGGCCGGATTTAGAAGGCGATTGGGCCGGATCCGGCCCCTGGACCTTAGTTTGCCTACCCACAGCTTAAGGGATAGCCTTCTGAGAGCTGCCAGGCTATCACAGCAGCACTAGAAGGTGGTGATACTTCTTAAATTCTCTATTACTCTTAATTATCATTAATAATTCTCCGCATTGTCTTTCTTGCAATATTTCAAATAATCATCCTTACAAAACTTCTTGCAGTCCTACTGGCGTAATCTGTTCATTACAATTACTTTTCAAATAGTTCATAAATTTACTCCAGTCTTCTAAGTATCTCTGGTCCGGCAGGTTTCGAATCCTTCCTGTTAATTTATCCAGTTCTGCATAGTCCAGCAATTTCATCCGCCATTCTTCTTTCATTGGTAATTCTTCTTGCTACCATTTTTGTGCCAATAATATTCTTGCTGCCGTCATTGCGTATAAAAACAACTTACAATCCTGTAAGTTGGACAAGTTAGCAGAGGACAGTCATGAAGGAAGTGGTGGCATTCCTTTTAGGTATAATCACAAACGATATTCCTGAAAATCAAAGGAAAGTATTCCTCTATGCGACAACAGCTGCCTGGATGCTTATGCCAAAAAAGTGGAAAGGGAGAAAAATTCCATCAATGAAAGAATGGCAAATTAAAATTTGTGAATATATAAATCTGGCAAGACTCACAGCATTCATAAAGGGACAATTGGACCAAAAATTATTAAAAGAATGGGGATGTGCTAAAGAGTATATGAAAAAACATTGTTCTGGAGTAAGCATATCGGTATGTAATGAATGATGCTTTGCAGGGTTAAAGAAAGAGAAAAATGGTGTAAAAAGTATAAAGATCGAAGTAATCTACATTAGACACAACAACTTAGAAAGAGTAAAATTTTTGAGGTCTTAGAACAAAGGAAGGAAGTCTATATGTGTATATGTATGTAATGATGAGATTAGAATGATGATATGGTTTTATTTGTAGGTGTGTATTTTTTTCTTTTGTGTTCTTTTTTCTTTTGTGTTCTTTTTTCCTTTTTATCTTATTGTTTGTACTGTTTTATTTGGGATTTGGTGTTTGTAATTTCTGTTGTAATTTTGCATTGAAAATAAAAAAAATAAATTAAAAGAAGAAGGAGGAGGAAGTGGTGGGTTGTGGGAGAGCAGGACAGAGCAGCCACAACCTGTGACTGTTCTTGTGTGGTGTGCCTGGACACACCTGTTTGTGCCTTCATCCTCCTCCTCCTCCAAAGAATATAAGAAGAAGAGCTTGTTGGATCAGGCCAGTGGCTCATC